TGCGGAGCTTCGCCAAGATCGGTCGCGTCGCACGCTATTGAAGAAAACCGCGCGGGGCTGTGTGCATACCATTCAGGAGGGGGGCTCGTTGTGGCCATTCATTCATTCCGGAGGGGCTGCGTGCATGCCATTCATTCAAAAAGCAAGGAGGGGGGTTCGTTGTGATGGAAAAAAAGGCGGAACAAAGCCAAATGGCTGGGCTCGCTTTTCGCGTTTCGCATTTCGGGGGCGGCTTTCGCTTCTCTTTATCTCTTCTGCTAATTATTTCCCCGGTCGCTTTCTTCGCGTTTCGCGCTTCGCTTTTCGTGGGTCGCTTCCGCTTTTTCTCTGCTTACTATATTCATTGTCTTGGGGCTCTTTTTGTTTTTCGTGTTTCGCATTTCGGCATCCGCCTCCCCCTTCTCTTTGCTTACTATATGAGTTCTGTTATGGGTCGGCTTTGTATTTTTTTCGCTTTTCGCGTTTCGCAATTCAAGCAAGGAAGCCAACTTCCTCCACACTTTACACAACACACACACACACACCCAAGACGCCTCTCATGCTATCCCTTTCTTCTATTTTCTGTGTTCCGAAGGGATCCACCTACTAACCAGATCACGATGGGAATCCAAGTCGTTGCACTTGTTCCAGGTGAAAAAATGGTAGGTGTTTCGCTTGGAATGCTGCTTATTTGGGCTCGTGCCAACAACAACTGCCCCCTCTGGTCCCAAACATCGGCCAGCTGCAACAATCTTATACTTTACTTCGGTGAAAATACATTCGCGCAACGCGCTCAGCCACTTGCTTTCACTTCGTCGTACAAGCTGCAATCGTCCCAATCGTCCGACAATTCTAATTCATCATCGCTTTCGTTTCATATCGTTAACTAGGAAGCTTTTTGCTTTCGTTCCTGACCTTGTTGAAAACTGCTGGGTGTCACAGCAGTTCTTGCAGTCGTCCCGTGGAGGTTTTCTTGTTCACTTTTGGTGCGCGTCCGCGTTGTGTGTTGTCAGGTCTTGTTGCTGGTCTACTCGTGCACGACTCGTAGTAGAACAACTTGAGCTTATAATTTTTCGTGCAGGGGAACCGGTTGAAGGATAATCCTAGGTGGCTCTTTCGGTGTGTATTTTTGAATTAAAAAAACTGTCCACCACGTCCAGTTTCTCGCAGGACCATTATTTCGAGAAAGCGTATTAGACCTCAGGAGCAGAGCTGCGCACTGTTGTTCTTCATCTTCTGTGAAAGCGATATAATTTCTTCGACCAAGAAGAAGAACCAAAAATGAAGACAGCGATTGCCGCGTCGCTTGTTACCGAGGCCGGCGCGATCAACCCCCCCCCCCAGCCCGGGGTTTCTCGACGAGGCCTGGCCCCGTGCAGATGGCATTCATGCAGAACAAGGTCGTGACGGAGGATAAGAAGGCGCAGGTGGGGTCGAAGGGGAAAGCTTCCACGCTGGCCATGGTCGTGCAGCAGGACAAGGCGAAAAGCAAAAAGCAGCAGGCTAAAGCCGCGGCTTCGACGAAGGCGACGCAAGGGAAAAAGGTACTTTTATTTGTTCAACTCCTCGTCCGCGTCTCTCTGTCTGTCGTGTGAAAGAGTGGGTCCTGGACCCCCTCCTGTCCCGCACTAATTTCATATTTCTGTCCTGTTCAGATTGCGAGTAGATATAATTTTGCGCCAGCACTTTCGTGATGTTAATGTTAATGTAAACCAGGTCCAGGACCTCCAGGACGCGGCATGTACAACTGATCTGTCGTGGGGTAAGTACTTCAAACAACTATATTCGACGGCGGACTGCTGCCACGGTCAGCTCTACTGTACACCAAGTGTCTTTGGGGTGTCGGGCAGACCGGGGAGCGAGCAACAACACTACACATGTGTACGTCAATACGACGCGCCCCTCACAACGGTATGTGACGGAGCGGGTCATTTTCCAGTCCGTTCGGGCGGACGAATTGTGTCTCCGTCGGTGGACCGGCTGGGTTCCACGGCCTCCAGCGCCCCCCATCTTCATGTTGATTATGCGGAGAATAGACCGCGGCGGCCCTGTTGTGAGTGTAGCTGTGTTTAAACTTAAAGTTGTTCTTGCAACTAGAGGAGCTGCAGCTCCGTGTCATTGTCGTCCTCGTTCATGGTGTCATATCCAAACTCGTTCCTCCTGTCCTCGTCCTATTTCTTGCTGTCGTTGTCGTTCGATGTTGATCTTCTTCGTTCACACCGAGCGCGGGCACAAAAGATACCTTGACAAGAACTTCACCCAGCGTCAGTGTTGCGTTTAATTTCCGTTCAAACTGTAAGTGGTGTGGTGTCGCAATAAAAGTTGAACAACCTCAACCTCGTCCTCCCTAGCAACGTGGGGATCGATGCAAGTTAATTTGTCCAGAATGCGTCTATATGAAAGTGTTTTCTTTGAATTTCGACAGAGAAGCGCTTATATCTACCCGAAGATGAATCAGAACAAAGTAGATAAATGTATCACGTTGCCCCCATGTTGCACATTCTCTTTCACCCCCCCCCCCCCGATTCTTGCCTCATCGTTTGACGCATTTTTCCTATGTAGTCCCACAAATGTCGACGATGGTGCAGCAGATATGTAGGAGAAGGATGCAAAAATCATGTAAAGGCCTTTCCCATGTTAATCATGAAGGGACTTTCCTCGTGAGGACTTTTTCCGAAGGGCTCTACGCAGTACCTCCCTGCTGCTGTTTCCAGTGCTGCGCGTAAAAATCTGCAGCCCTCGACCACGATGGGGAGTTCGTCGTGGTCTGCTTTCCTGTGGCTGAACGTGGTATCACGCTTCTCACAACCTGGTTTCAACAGCTCCGTTTCTGCCTTGCGAACAACCGGTGGACCACGAGCAGGTGCTGCAGCTCCAGAACAACATCTTCACGTCGGATCAATAGCGCATTCTGGTGGAGATGAAAAGTCGGATGTTGATCAAGGTAGGGCAGGAGATGAGGTACTGCTTGGTACTAGCACGAGCACTACCAGGCCAAGGAGGAACACAGAAGATGGAGATGCAGCAGTCTCAGAAATTGTACCTGGGGTTGAAGATGTCAGGGGCGTAATCAGCAATAGGTCGTTCTTGAAGAAGCGGAAAATTATAACAGCCAGCGACGAGGAACAAGGACGTAGACACTCTCCTGATAGACGGGTAGAAGTTCCTGCGGATGAAGATATCACTGGAGCAGGGCAAGCTTTTATCGAGAAAACTGCTACAGAACGCAAAGATCATGCTAATCAGAATCAACAAGAACAACCGGAAGTAGATGAAAACTTTTCCACGTCGCGGTCGCGCCCGTTGCTGACAAGAAGGAGAACCAGTACTACAACTACTTCGAACAATAGATCTGTACCACCTGCTTCACGAAATAGAAACCTGGCGGCTTCGGATTCAACAAAACTTTCTTTCCTCTCAAGAACAACCTCAAGAACATCGAAGCGGACGATAAGGAGTGGGGTAGCTCGTGTCACAAGCAGAAGCACAACCGAAGAACAACGACAAGAAAAGAGAAAACAAATAGTCCGACTAGAGAACACGAGCAATGCTGCTAAATCCGATCTCCCACAAGAACTTCCTCCGTGGCAGTGCAAGACCTTTGGCAGCCCGATTACGGATCCCTGGAACGCTATGGAAGCGTCAGGATTGAAATCGTCAAAGTTGAAATAATTTCTGATGCATAAATTGCAATGCATGGAGTGCCTCTCTTGCAGGGGCGGCAAGTGAGGCCGACTCTTAGCCTGTTTGGGGTCTGCGATAGAGCTGCTAAAGTGGCCTGACAAAAGACGCCTTTGCTCCCTAAACAGCATGACAGACTGGATTTGGACGGTGCCGAAATTTGTTATGCACCGCTTAGAAATTGGGCTTGCAACTGGTATCGGTTTTATGCATGACAAACCATTTTAGCTTTGTCGCTTTCAAATCTGACACACCCATAAACGCCCCAGAATTGCAGGAGTGCCGAGATAACACCTTCGGCCCGACGGTGGTTTACACCGATGGGAGAAACACGGGAAAAACTGGGTGCAACCAAGACGTGAACGGGGGTCAAGGAAACTGTAAATGTATCCAGGAAAAAAAATGTGTAAGTGTAACTTTGTAGGAGGAGCAGCATTACAAATTCGTTTTGCATATACAGGGAAATAATTATAAACCTGTCATGCGCAGCTAGTACAACGTGGAAACACCACGTATGAAAGTAGCCTATGACGCAGATCCAGCATGACAAGTGAAAGTGTAACAGTTTTGCACTTTCTGCATTACAGAGTTCCACTTACACAGTTTTTTTCTTGCATAAAATGCTGCGAACTGTCGGATTACGGCAAGAGGGAGCAAATTTTGTTCAAATGTGCCGCCACACCGGTCTGCTTTGACGTCTCGGAGCAAAAAGTCCCCCACGATACTGCCAAGAAAGAATTGGACAACAATTTCCAGGAATCTATAATTCGGTTTTTGAACGAATTCAAGTTTCAAATCGGGGACATTTTGTTCACGGGCGGGGGCGAAGATAATAACAACAAACTCGCGCCGGGTTGTTCGCAGGTAAACTCGGATGGAAAATGGGAAGAAAATTTCAATTGCCAGTGTTGCGAGTTAACGTTTGTGGGAGACAACGCCGGAAAAGGGAATGGGAGCAATAGAGGTTCCTCGACATCATCCGGTGGCACGACTCAAGATTCCCAACCACTGTCCCGAAGCACGGAAGCACCGCCTTTCGAGGTCTCTTCGTCCTCGAGCGAGGCTCCGCTGCCGTCGTCTGTAGAGGCTAGTAGTGGGGAAGGACAAACTGGCACAGCTACTCGTCCCGGAGACAGTGACGCCAGCACCTCTCTGGAGCAAGCATCTGCAGACGATGGAACAATGACGATAGCGGAGCTCTGGACACGTGCAACCACGGACTACCTTCCGTTTTGCATCGCCGGGGCGATCTTTCTCGCGTGCTTCCTCCTCGCTTGTGTGTTGATGTGTGTCTTCTGCAAAGACGATGCTGAAAACCTCCTGGATTCGTCCTCGTCTGCCGGAGCCGGCGGGGCCGGAACAAACAAACGCGGAAAGAAAACAATTACATCAAAGAAGAACTCTAAGTGGATGACAATCTTCGACCCGGCCTCTGGCAAGCAGTACAAGGTTCCTTCAGACCAGCCGCTCCCCACGGGCGCAGTGGTGATCAGCAGAGAAGGGTCTATTCCGGGGGCACAGATGGCAGAGCAGGATGTTAGTACTTCTGAGGAAAGCAGCGCGGCGTCTTCCGCGGGTACTAGCAGGAAGAAACTAAAGGCGACTTCTTCCAGGACCGCGAACAAACAGAGTCAGAAGGGTCCGCCGGTTTCCAGTCCCAGTTTAATGTTCAACAACGCGGGAGGACAAGAAAGAACACTAAAGGGCGGGTATGGTAGTGGTCCCGGTCCTCGTGGTGCGCCTTCCCCTCCGACTACCGTTCGAGACATGCGCGGGACAATGAATATGAAACAAAGTACGTCAACCGTGATTCTTCCCGGAACTAGTACAACCCCAAGTGCTGGTACAACTACGAAAAGCAGCGCGAAAGGAGCCGGTGGCTCTTCTGTCCGGGGTGTTTCCGCAACTACCTCCTCTCCACCGCCGGGTATCGATCTGGGTAACCTCAGCAAGAAGGTACTGAGCATGATGACGACACCAACTAGTAGTGCGCAACCGTCGAAAAAGAGCAGAGTCGCCGGCTCAACTACTTCACAGCAAAAAGCGTCGAAGCAGGGGAAATCAAATGCAAGCCTTTCGTCGCAGATGAAAAGTACAAAGTCGACAACTGGTGCACAAGAGGTAGTTGCTGGCCCAGAAGTGGACAGCAGCGATAAAGAGGCATTTGTCACACCGTCGATGAGAAAGAGCATGACGGGGGCGCTGAGATCTGGAATGGTGCAACAACCGGATGTTGAATCAGGCCTGGTGACCTCCAAACAGCGGTCCAGTGTAGTTTCCAGTGGTCCTCGAGTCTCATCTTCCGAGGGTAGAAGTTCGGCCAGGAACATCAAGGTTGCAAAAAAGAAGAAAACAACCGAGCAGCAGCCGTCCTTGCAAAAAGGCATTTTGACCGGGATGTTTCAGAGTCTTGAGACGGCCTATGCATTGCAAAAATGTCTGGGTCTGGAAGAGTGGAACTTGTAATGCTAAGTCTGGATCGTGCAAAAATCTGTGTTGCATGAATGCCAAAAGTTGTCCTCTTTTGACCAAGTTGGGAGGAGGTTTCTCATGCAGGATAGGCACGATAGAAGTCTCACAGAATCTGTCATGCTAGGGCCTGCATTCCAAACGACATGAATCATGGAAAATCTGCATGACAAATCTCGCAATCTCCCAGACCCAGACATTTTTGCATTTGATACGGCCCGGGAGAAAGCAAAAAGGGAGGAGAAAAAACAGAAGAAACAGAGTAAGGATTATGTTGATAAAGGAGACCAAGGCGTATCTGTATCAGCGTACGCAGCCTCTGCGCTACCACTGGACTTAAGTGCAGCAGCTGCTCAAGCCCAAGCGGTAGATGAAGAGCCATCCTCGATGTTAAAGTCAGGCCTTTCTAGCACATTGGAAAAGAGCAAGAAGAGTACAGTTTCAAAGGAAGTAGAAGCACGGAACAAAATGAAATCCCAAGCAGGAGGAGGATTTGAAACGATAATTTCCCAGACAGGGGAAATCGAAAGGATAAAGCCAACTGCCTCTGCCAAGGGTGTTGTTGACAACATCGGTACTGGTTCAACTGTCGCGGTTACATCCGGCAGGGTGTCCGCTTCTAAGGCGATGTTTGAAAAACTTTCGGGAGACAAACCGGCGGCGAAAGTCCTGGTAAAAACTTCAAGCAGGAATAAGGAGATGCAGGAACAAAGGGACGACGACGGCGCTCTTGTCAGTGCTGGTGGAATTATGAATAGAACCAAGCAGAAGTCAAAGTCTTCTTCTGACGAGGGCGAAGAGAATATCGAGAGAGATGACATCATCAAACCTCCTCCAGCACCAGCGGTGAGCCAGCCCTCCGGATTTCCTCGGGCCAGCCTTGTCGCGGCGGCACTGGCGGCGCAGAAGGAGAGGGAGCAGGTTGCTGGGGGCGGAGATCTAATTGAAGGGACTACTGCTGGTGGTGACGTCGACATAACTCTAACAAGAGCAAGCCAGCAGGTGCAAGAAGGATCCTTCGGGCCGATGAAATCCTCCGGTATGCATTGCAAAAGTATCGTGCTCGTACTAATTATTGCACACGTGCATGACTACAAATCTTCTCCCTACGGTAAAACAGCATTACAAATTCCGCTTTTCTTCTCCTTGACAAAATTTGTGATGCAATTTTTACTATATACGAGAGTACTTTTGTAGTGCATATCCGGCGGAGAAGTTCAATCCGGCGAACCGGTGGAAGAGGATGATAATACCCCAACGAGAAGAGCGCCGTCCATTGTAGTGACCGGCAACCAGCCGGTGAGTTTCGGGTGATGGAGTCATCAACATCTAGCCGTGGTCGTGTTGGGCATGATTTTCATTTTTGTCATCTTCTACGATAACACGCACGGTAAATTTTGATTTTCGCCTTCTGCTTGAATATATTTCTGCTCATAGATCAGAGTCACACGTTAGCACAAAAATCTTTGTATACCCGCATGATTCATGAAAAAAATACCCCACAAGATCCCCATTGAGATTGACTTTGATGAGTTTAGTACTTTTAGTACTCGACTTCCACCCTAATTCGTAATTATTTGCTCAAAGAGAATACTCACCGATGTCTGCTGCTTTGCAACAGGATACGCGGAAACAATTTCGGTATGATCACAGCATCTTTTTCGGATTGCTTGTGTAGTTTCGGTCACATGTCACAGTGAGAGTTTTCTCGTTTTCTTGCATCGGTCTGTGGTGCTCGTGCAAGAAAAGCTTCGTCGGTGAGAAAAAAACAATTCGTAATATATTAGTGAACATACAAAGAAGAACGCCGAAGTCGGTTCGTGCACCATGTGATGCCATAGAGAAACATCGGAAACTAGAACTACAAAAGAAGCATTGTCGTCCTTATTTCTGGTGTGCGGCCAAGGCCATCGACGTCCACTATTGTCTTTGTCGTTTTCACGTACACGTACTCGTGGTCTTCTTGTACGAGTAGTTGCTATCGTTGACGTGAAGTAGGCAGCGTCTCCTCGTCCTCAAGCACACGTCTCTTTTTAATTTTTTTTTTTTTCTCGCCGCCGCGCAGCCTCCCTTTTTGCCCCTGCGGGGCTCTAAAGTGGTAAAACTCTGGGAGAGGAAGCTAGTGCACAAGGTGCGAAAACTATGAGGCCCCGCCACAACATTGCGCCCCTTCAAGCCCTGAAATGGCTGCCCAATCCCTGTCCGGGCTCAAGGGCCATGATGGCTGTAAGCCGGTGGGCCAGGGCCCCGGCACTGCTGACAAGACCCGCCCACCAACGCGTCGCAACGATCGACACCGGAGATGGGCCTGTTTTAGTGAGGGAAAATGGACCATAGCATGCTGTCTAGATATGATGTTGACGGTTTTTTGGGGAATTGGAAAAATCCGAGGAAAAAATCAATGATTTGACGCCATCTCGAGGCCAAAATATGCAGATCCCACAAAAACCGTCAACACCTCATCTAGACACCTCGCTATGGTCCATTTCCCTCCACTCAAACCGGTGCGGGCACGGGAGCGCACCTTTTGAGCAGGCAAATCGAGCATAGCGTGCTGGCTAGATGAGGCGTTGACGGTTTTTTGGTCGATTTCATGCAAAAAAGCAGGCTTCTGGAAGACCCGATCGACCATACCGTCGTGTCTAGATGAGGTGTTGACGGTTTTTGGGGTGCCGGCAAATTTTGGGCATTTTGGTACCCAAAATTTGCCCATTTCCCTCATCCTCGAAAGTGCCGCTTTTTCTTCAGTTATGGAGAAAATTTGACAAAAGGCGCCAAAAGGTCCGAGATGGAAACTTGCAAAGCCGCACAGAGCTAAACTGGCGGAAACGCCATCTAGATGCCAGCTCATAGGCCCACATGTCCGAGGTTTAGCCACGGTTCGAGGTTTGAGCGTTCTGGCCCGGATCTAAGAGCCGGCGGCGAGGAGAAGGCACGGCAGGGGGCGGCCCCGGTAGCCGAAGTCCTACGCCGTCATATTTTGTGCAGCACTAGCTAGGTCAAACCAAGCAAGCTTCGTCGCAGTCCCGCGAGAACTAATAGCGGGAATGGGTCGACTTACAAACCAAAAACATACCTCCAGCATACACCCAAAATTTTTTCTTTCCAAAAAACTTAAAACCGTAACGTCAACACGACTTTTTCTTTCGATAGTAGGCAGCGTCTCCTCGTCCTCAAGCACACGTCTCTTTTGTGCAATATCATTCCAAAGACCTATATCGATCCTTGAAAAAACTAAAACAGCGCCTCAATTAAACAAACCCACACGGTTTCTTGTATATTCCCAGGAGATCATAGTTCTTTCACGACGTGTACATTGATTATTTCACAGCCAAGCGGATTATGAATATTCAAATTTCAGATTACACTTCGTCCTTAAGTAGACCTTTTGACACGGCGTAGCGGCACAGTTCTGCCTAAAGCCATCGATGAGGAAAGCCCCGGTGCCCTCCGGCGGCAGCGGTGGGGATCCTGCCCGGAGTAAGCAAGCCCCGCCCTCAACCAACCGTTTCTCCGCCTCTTCGCGCCGTTTCAAGGCCGCAGCGAAAACGGCTTCCCTCGCCCGGTCTAACACTAGTCGCGATATTGACCTGACCAACACCGGCCACGCGGTGGGCCGGAGTACTTTAGTAGGTTTTGAGGCGAAACTTCTACCCCCAGCGGGCACTTTCACTGGAGGAGAGGCAATCAGTGACAGCGAGGAGAGTAACGTGCTGCCGGGTGTTGGTAAAGGAGAAACGAGGCAGAAAACGAATAAAACGCTACTTCTGCCACATCGGGAAATGAACCGACACTCCCCGAGAAATGTAGGTGTTTCGGACAACGAGAGCGGAGGTTCTGACAATAGATCTGCGGGGATCGGCAGTCCACGGGGAGTTTTGAACAAATCAGACACGGAGCCACTACAGAGTGGTGTTCCAGTCGTGATCACGAGGAAAGCTGCGGGCCGACAGCCTGGTGGTTATCCTCCTGCTACCGCCGCCGCGAAAGAAGATCGAGCTGTGAGCTCGTCTGAATCCAGTGCGGCCCCCGCCGCGCCAGGAAGCGGAAATACACCGCGGAGAGGTGGACCTGCGTCGCAGCAACAGCAACCGCAAATGGGGATCCCAAAAATCCGGATAGAAGACACTTCGGTGGTCAACAAGAGCACTTATAAGCAAGGAGCGGCTGCGGCCCCTACTGCTGCTACAACTAGCAGCGCAGAAGTTCCTAGCAAAGCATCAACGACTTCTACTCCCAGAGGAGGTGTGCTAGGTACAACTACGAATACGAACAAGCCTAAACCCGGTACCAGTACTGGTCCCCCACAGCGCCTGCAAACCGCGGACGCCTTTTCGGGTAAAGCCGCCGCGGCTTTGGTGGGGAAAAAAGACAAAAGTCCGGCGGATCGAAGGAAAGCGGCGGCGGGAGGTGGGACAAGTAGTGGTAGTTCTACTTTGACGGTTCCAAAAGCGCAACAACCGAAGCCGGCGGCGATAGTGAAACGGGCAGATACAGATTCGAAAGCATCAGGTTCTGGTTCGAAAACAACTTTGCCTGTAAATAAGAGTGGCGCGACAGCACAAAAAGAAACCAAAAATAGTAGCCTGCTTCCACCGGCGAAGGCACAGGCTGGCGTGCCGAATAAAACGAGTGCCTCGGCCGGCGGGCCTGTTGCTGCTCCAAAAATGACCACAGTCGAGTCTCCTTCTAACGCAACCGCGACTTCAAAATCCCCGGTCGCTGCCGCCGCGAATTTGCCGGCTTCAAGGACCAGAGCAATTTCGCGTGAAGCGAGAGCTGCAGCTTCATCCCCATCTGCGTCGAAGGAGGCGACGGTTGCCCCACCTGCATCTTCATCACAGATGGTCCCAGAAGATAGTGCAGGTGATGTTGTTGAAAATGAGGCTCCTGCACAACAAGACGAGGATCCCGCTCCAGTCGTCACCCTGGACCAACAGTCCTATGCCGCTGCCATGGGTGACGCAGAGGAGCCGTACTTTGTGCCCATGATGTCCTCGGAGAAACCAGATCTGGTCGAAAAGGGAAAGTTTTTGGTTCTATCCGGCAGAACTATCGTGAACCACATGGGAGTATCAAATGCAAAAATGTCTGGGTCTGGAAGATTCTGAGATTTGTCATGCATGTTTTGCATGACCCAGGATGTCTGTAATGCACGGCCGCGCATCACAGATTTTGAGAGGGCTTCCTGATGCCTACTCCGCATGGCAAACGCCCTCCCCGCGTGGCACAAACTAGACTCCTCTTGCTGGTCATGCAATACAGATTTTTCTAGAGTCCAAAGTTAGCATCACAAGAAGTTTCAATCTTCCAGACCCAGACATTTTTACATTTGATAGGGAGACGTTTTCGACATGCAGCACCACTTCGACAGAGACGACTTTCTATATGAGAGTGCACAACTCCCCCTCTCCCTCATTTGTCATGCAAAATTTCAAATCCACCCTTTGCCTGTTAGCACTGTTTCTTGCATGACAGATTCCGGAATCCAAAACAGCACTACAGTCCTCTAGGAATTTGCCATGCAAAAGCTGCATCTTTGCCAGCGCTTGTGTTGCTGTTCATGCAACACAAATGAGGGGGAGCAGGGGGAGTTCACTCTCATACTTTGCTCGAAAAAGTGAAGAACCAGGAGCGGGCGAGGCAAGCGAAAAAGGAGTTGAAGGATTTGCAGAAGCAACTTTTAGTCGCGACCACACGCGAGGGGGAGGACGGCCAGTCGAAAATTGTCTTTATCGCGAACAACGTGAACGCCGAGCAGATCCAGTCGGATGAATCCGTGGAACCGGTGTTGGAAGTGGATGTGGTGGGGAAAAATTACACCAGAGAACCGTTTTACTCCAATTCCAAATCGAGTACCGGTCAGGGCGGCGGGGGCTCGAAGGGGTCGGTGAGATCGGGTGATTTCGGGATGATGAACCACACGAGAGGGGGATATCAAGATGCGGGACTTACTGCTTCTGAAGACGCAACAGCAACAGCAGCAGCTCCGCAACAGAAATCCTATCTCCCCGCCCACCTAACGGCGAAGCAGGAGGTGCAGAATCTTTTCCGGAATAACAAGGAATCGAAGAAAGAGCAGGAAATATTGAAGCACCATAGAGAACAAGATAAAATGGCTCTACAAACAAGCAACCTGCTCAACTATCCCTCGGATTACGCGGATTCTGATGAATCCGAGTCTAACGTCCCGCACCACTTCCTCATTGACGACCGTCTTGCGGTCCAGGAACAACGGAATTCCATTCCGGGCCCGATCGGCTGGCAGAAGAAAAAATCGATAGTCGACGCCGGGAAATTATCGCGAGTGGAATTAGCACAGAGGATCGCGACGGGCAGTTTCGAGACAAATTTGGACACCAGTGCGTTATTGGGGACGATTGATAGGAGGTATCGGATCGATGAGAACTACGATTCCAGGAACCATCTTATGCAGGAAGATTTCGCAAGCCAAACTCCTGGCGGAACGACTGCGACATCCAGTTCTGCGCAGGCCGGCCATGCAGCTCTGGTTGGTGCGCCGATAGGGATGATCAAACTTCCCTCTTCTTCTAAAAACGCGATGCAACAGTTCCAATTGCCGCAGTATGAACAACCGTCGCGACAAGTAGCCGACTTTCAACCGGAGATCATCGACATTGATTTAATTTTGAAGATGTTTCCACCGGTGAAGCTGCAGAACAGGGCACCGCCGCTGGGGGAGACCCTGGCCTTTGGCACGGGGGAAGGACACGGGCAGAATCAAGTATCAACTGCAGGCGGAGGTGCGAATTTTAAAGCAGGCAAAGGGGGCTCATCTTCTTCCACTCTAGCGAAGAAGCTGCAGATCCCGCGCGGTGCGATCCAAGCGGACGAGAACCTGCTAAGGAAATACGGGGTCGAGAAGGAGGATTTGGTTTTCTGGAATCGCGCCGGGTTGTCCACTTCGAAGGAACGGTATCTGAACGTCAAGCCAGTCGTTCCGGGAGTTGGTGCCGTCGGCTCCGCGGCCTTAACAACAGAAGTTATCCCTTCTAACGTCGAACAACTGTTGCCCCCATCCGGGATTCAAATGAGGACGACCCAGCCACCGCCAGTTTTTCCGCATCAGTTCCAGGCGAACAACAAGTCTGACCGGGAGCAAATTGTGAGCACTATCATGCAGAACAACCGGCAGAAAAGAACTCCGTCTTCGAAAAGAACAACCTTTTCCGAGGCACCCACCAGTCGGAAAACCAGCTATTTGTCAACCGTTGTGCAGCAGCAACCTGGAGGCATGATGGGGACTCTGCATGACAAAGACAACTCAACTACATCTCGTTTCGACGTCCGGGACGTTTCGTTTAAACGGTATCAATATCAAATGCAAATATTTCTGGGTCTGGAAACTTGTGATGCTGTTTGGCGAATCATGTGGACGCCTTCATTGACAGCCAAGCATGACAAGTTTTGGAGTTGCGATAGGCTTGCCTATCTGCATGACAAACTGCGTTTCTGCATGACAGAGAAAAAATGTTGCTTTTGGGTGGCGTGCATGACAGACTTGAAAGTCATGCCAGCCGTGCATGACAAACTTGCATTATTCCAGACCCAGACATATTTGCATTGGATAACCAAAAGGCCTTTAACCCCCAAGCGTTTTTTGAGAATCCGAACGAAGACGCAATTTTCTTCAAGAGGGGGTCGAAATTGGAAGAAGCGGAGAAAAAACTGGAGCAGCAAATGCGGAGCCCGAGAAGTGGTCGGTATGTGGTCAAGGTGTTTGAGAATCAGTTGGGGGACCCAATTATGCAATGCAAAAGCATCGTGCTAGTATAAACTGCATCACAAATTTCGGCAAGAGCAGAAGTGGCATTTGTAATGCTGTTTTAGGTTTAGCAAGGGATTTGTCATGCATGAATGCAATTTATACGAGTACGATACTTTTGCAATGCATACCAATTATGTCTTCAGTTCCGAATACGGCGCGAGAGATGGTCAGGGCGACTCTATCGCAGGAAAAAAGTGTTAGAGTTACACATTGTGTTGCACGCCAAGCAAGACAGACAAGCTCTGTCATGCCGGATATGCATAGCAGCCTCGTTTCATAGGTGTTTTCCCGTAGGATTTCTGCATTGCAAGTTTTCTTTCTCATGCAGAGCAATTTGTGTTGCTGCATTGAAACACAAATGTGTAACTGTAACACTTTTTTCTTACGATAGACTCCAAGGGAGGACGACTACTACAGTGGGGGAGAGGAAAATCAAAATGAAAATCCCGCTGATCATGCAGAAGAAGAACTGCAGCAGATGTCCGTCACAGTAACTAAGAATACATCGAAGAAAGACAAAAAATCTGTACCAAAGAAAGCAAAAAAGCAGAAAAAAGAACGGCCTTCCGAACTGGCGAAACAGGCGGAGCAGCACCACCATTTATTAGAGCCCAGCAGCATCACCGCGGCGGAAACGAGAATGAAGCTGCAGGCGAAGTTGAGGCAAACAAGCGAAGAGTATTTCGACAAGTGGGGCTTAAAATTTGACACGGAACATGAGGAAAAGTTACCGGAAATTGTGGTCGAATATGAGGAACAGCTATCCACAGTAAATTTCATCCCGTACTTACACGTACTTACAAATGGATGCGGTCTCTGCATGACAAAATTTGGCTCCGAAGATCCTAGTTCAGCATGACAAGAAAATTGGTAAAATCTGTGATGCATTTTGTGCATGTACGGGAATAAATTTGTATTGCATAACAGCATGAGGAAGAGTTCAAGGACCACCAGCAAAACCGGGATAAGAACCGCCAGGCGACGAATGTCCGGGCGCTACTTGCTGCGGCGAAAAAGGAATACGGCGATAAGTTTCACGGGGAGAAAAAGCACGAAATTTTTCCGGCGTTTGTACCTGCGTACGAGGAAGATCAGTCATCCAACAGCACGTCGAGGGAAGAATCAGGAGAAAATAGGACTTCGTCAAAGTCCACCCTTTTGGAGAAGAAAAAAAAAGACGAGGCGGTGATGCAGAAGACTTCTATCGAGGCAAATTTTATCCGGTCGAAGCTGAAAGAGAAGTTTCGGAATGCGGAGAAATACTTGGCGGCGACTAGTAGTAGTGCGGTTTCAAGTAGTAGCAGTTCAAGTTCGTCTGAGGAGGCTGAGGAACAAGCACAGCAAGGTGCTTCTGCACAACAAGCTCCGCCTGTAGTTGTAGCTTCGGCACAACGACCTCCGCCTGCGGAGTCAGCGCCAGCCGTGCCTTCTTTGCCCGAGCGGCTGGTCATCACAGCGGGGGGTAATACTAGTGCACCACCTCCACCGCCGATTTTTACCTCGGAAGCATCAAAAGGCGGTAAAGGTGGAAAGTCAACAAATACCATGTCAACTACTACGACAAGCGGTTCGGGTAAAAATTCCACCATTCCGGCCGCAATCCTCGGCATGTCTTCTGGTTCCCCCCGCGCGCCGCCCCCACCCGCGCAGGCCTTCTTCCAAGCACCCGCAGCGCCGTTTACGTTAGGAAACGTTCCCTCCGGCGGCGCGTTTTCCTACGCGGGACTGTCGAGCATCCCCTCCGCGCCAATGTCTGCGCCGTCCGGGGGACCACCAAGCGCACCACTATCCGCACCGTTATCCGGACCGCCCTCCGGGCCGGGATCGGGGCCGCCGAGCAGTGCGCCGGAAGGAGATCATTATACTGGAGCGGGAAGCGACAGGGGTGGCGGGAGGATATTTCAAGTTTGAGTTTTTGGAGTAATCAACACAGTCACGTTTTCTTTTATCATTTAGTACTTACTTACGAGTTCTTTCTGAAGTTTTACATACATTTTTTTGTTTTCGCAGCTACAGTGTAAGATACAGCTTTTGCGGATGCGGTTATATCAAATAGTTTGTTTACGTACCTTTCAAAACAAAGCATACCCACCCACCTATAACAAGTACCAGTACAACACAACATGCCTAGCCGATGTACATCAGTGCGATACTGCAGAAGTGCCAGCAGTCTAAGAGCAGACGCGAGGAATTTTGCGTAAGACACAGAGCAGAAGCCCTGCTCCCAGTTAGCTGCCGGCTGCTTGTCGAAGATACATAACGCGCGTCTAACCCGAAGTAGACTCCTAAAAAGTTGTAGTCGAGGCTCGCCTCTAGTATGACAACAAGTAGATGAAAAGCACGCAAGAGCGGTAGCGCTTGTTCAGATCAAATATTCCGTACTTTTTTTCACGTTGATGCAGCGAGGCAGGAAATGAAAACACAAGCAGCTCCAGCTGCAGAATTTAAAAGCAGTTGTAGGGCTGCAGTCGGCCTTGCTACTGGTGGTGTGGCTTTCTTTACTAGTGCGGCCCGTTTATGTGTTCCGCCCAAGATTGATCTAGGGTCGCGAAAGCTGGTTGGTTCGTTCTGCGTCCATTTCCCATGGTGAAATGATCGCGAGCATTGAAGGCAGGCCGCGGCCGGGCTCGTCGCTACCTCTACAAACGAGAGGCAGGCCCCGGCGCGGGGCTGTTTTCTGCCGGAGCCGCTTAGACACAGGCACTACCCGGCAGCCGCAGGCGATGCCAGAGTCGAAGGACCCGCGGCGGGAGATTCGCGCCTGCCCATGGACGCGCGACCCCGTTGCGGCGCAGTTGTGGAGCCGTTTGAGCGTTGCGCCGGGTCGGGCCGCCCGGGCGGAGGCGCATACCGACTTAGCCAGTTGCTTCGGCGCTGCGCGGCCGCGGTGTTTTTCCCTTCTCTTTGTATTTCGGAGCGCGCCAGATTTGAAAAGCCGAAGCGGGAAAATAAAAGAACGAGCGGCCCCGCGGGGTTTTTGCGTGCCAGCCTGAGAAGGGTGGCGCGGATCGATGCGACGCCACGGCGGCCTGCTTGGGCTCGCTTTTCCGGAACGCCGTAAGCGCTGCCCGCCGCCGGGGCGGCCGGCGCTCCGCTCCTTCGTTTGGGGCCGTGGTGTTTTACATTCGTGGGCGCCGAAACTCATCTGCCCGCGCGCGTCAGTTTCACAGGTGCCCGGGCTTCTTGCACATGTTGAAGCACCGCGCCGGAGCTATTTCCCAGGGCGACTGCCGGAAGTCACCCCGGGGGGGCCGGGGTCGAGGCGGCACACCTTGGCGCCCGGGCGAGCGGGGGGGGGCCCCGGGTTTTTGGGGCAAGGCGCCAAGAAAGCCCCTAGCGGGGGACAGGGGGCCACGCCAGCAACACCAAGGCGGGAATACATCCGGGGACGCGCGCGCCCCGCGCGAAAACGCAAGAAAGCTGCCGGAATTCCGCCGAACCAAGGACAAGCGGGCGCCCCCTTCCCTGTGTTGTTTGATTGTGTTGCCGCTCGCGCGCAGGGGCGCGCGCCCGGGCGGGCCCTTTCGGAGCGGCCCGGCAGGGTCCGGGGCGCTTGTTCGGCCGGGCGCGGTGCCTGTGTTGGTTCCCCTCTCTCACTCCCCGTGCCCGGGGCCTGTCTTTGCCGCCCGCCTAGGCGGGGCGGGGCGGCGTGATGGGTGCGCAGCCCTGCCCCGGCGCAGTATGCGTGCGCATTTTGGCAGCGGCGGCGCCAGGCAATCTCTGCGCCAGCGCCGGGCCTTCAGGTGCTTGCCCCAATGGGAGCGAAGCCGGCCTGCGCTATTTGCCTGCGGCCAGTTGAACACATCACAGGCCTGGGTGTTGATCCCGGCGCGGCTTCCCATATTGGTTCGGAGTGTTGTCGCCCGTCCCCCCGAGCCAGCCCGCCAGGTTGCAATCTACCTCCGCCTGGCGGCCCGTCCCGTGTGCTGCCTGTCGATTGGCCCTGGCCTTACTTTTTTGTTAGCTTCACGCACCCATTCCCGGGCCAGTGCGGGCGGAGCGTTCGTAAGCATTGTTAGTGGGGTTGCTTCGTCGCGCATTGGGCTATGCTTGAGCGTGGGCTGACAGAGTCGGACTTCACCCGCCTGACGTTTTTGTGTTCGTGGGAAGCCTTCGTGTCGCCCGTGTTACGCCCGGCTTATGTTGAATTAAAGTTAGAGGCGAGGGCTTATGTTGATCTTAATTTGCTTTCGTTTTTGCCCATATCTTGTTGCTCACTGTCTGTTTTCTTTTCATGATGAACGCGGGCACCGAGGATGAAGAGGACGCATCTCGTGGCCTGTGGTGTTGATGACGGTGTTGATGAAGAGAAGTTTGTGAGGGGGCAGACAGCACAGCAGGGTGCTGGAGTTGTTGTATGAGTGCCGCGCGATTCGTTGAAACAGGATGAACGTTCTTGCAAACTACAACCAGTAGTAGAAGAACCCAGCAAGCATAGCCAACCTCAAAATCATGCGTCGCGCTCTTTCCTCCGAGCGCCCGGGTCAGCATCAGCCGGCCAACACAAGCACCAGCTCGCGGGCTGCCGCGGAAACCTCGGCAACCCCCCGAGGTGGAAAGGGGGGCGCAACTACTTCAGCGCAAATAAATCATGTTTCTGCAGCACCAAGCCACAAGCTGTCCTTCGCTCCGGCCACAGGGTCTGCATCCACACTGAACAAGAAAGCTTTCATGGTACCGACTTCATCAACCCCGAGGAAGCCGCTTTTCTCGAGAAAATTTGTCACCTCGACCCGGGTCTCGCCGAACGCGTCGGGAAAAATGGGTTGTTCAACCGCAATATCAACTGCAAATATGTCTGGGTCTGGAAGGATGCAAGAAGGTTTGTCATGCACATTTTGCATGACTCCTGATGTCTGTGATGCATGCCCTAGCATCACAGATTTTGTGAGGGCGTCCTGATGCCACCTATAAATATCGCATGAGAAATGCCGTCTCGCCCTAACAAAAACTGGACCTCTTTTGCTGTTCATGCAATTATACAGATTTTTGTAGAATTCAGACGCAGCATCACAAGTTGCAGTCTTCCAGACCCAGACATATTTGCAATGCATACGCAAGAACTACTACGGCCGGCTCCGGACATCAATATCAGCAGGGCTACGTGGTCGGGGCTGCAGGTCAGCCAGATTCTGACGTAAACAGCAGTAAACCCGCTAGCACACTCCTGGATGACGCGGAGGACTTGTATCCACAGAATTTTTACCGCCACCGCCAAAAGTAGCACTTTTTCATGGGAAAAAAAAACAAAAATTTAAAAAAATTCTCAACTCATTCCATGCTGATCATGTGGCAAATTATGTATGCTATGAGAGTAGCTAGAGTGATGTCCGAGTGGAGCGCAATAAAAGATATTCAACTAGCTAGACCCATTCATCAGGAGGCTCGTCAAAAGCCGCAAACTCGGTGGACAGGAGCTGGCTGGCGGTGAAGACGCCAGCCATGAGCTTCAGAAAATGCCACATGGCGGTAAAATTTCTGGGGCCGTAGCATCGTGTTACTTTTACCGCCACACTCAGTTTTCGACTTTTTCGAGAAAGCTGAGACTTTTCTGAAATGATCTCAGAACTTTTCCAAATCTGCTTTTTTCCACGAAGTCATGTTTTTTTCTGGCGGTGAAAATAATCACGTTGGTATGGCCTCAAAATTTTTACCGCCATGAGGCAATTTCTAAAAGAAAATGACGACTTTTTGACTTTCCAAATCCACCATAGCATCGGTAGAACTTTTACCGCCACGATTTTAATGGAAAATCAATGAAAAAGTGGCGGTAAAGATTCCACCGGTTCTATGCTGAGATTTTTGAGTCAAAAACGAGCACTTTCTAGAAGAAAATGCGTCGTGGCGGTAAAAATTTTGAGGCCCTAGCACCGTGATTATTTTTACCGCCAGAAAAAAGCATTACTCTCCCACATTTTTTGATTTTTTCTGAAATTTTTTGCGATTTGTCCTGTCGCAAAAGATGACAAGCAACAATTTTGTGCCAGCTGAGCTAGGCCATCAAGTGAAGATGACCAACTCCGAACCCGTAAAACCATCATCCCAGGCCCTTCGCTTTCCTCCCATGTCGCCACGCGGTGGTCTACAGCGGCGAACAGGTGCTGCGGGACTCGGGCGTCGCCTTCTTCACCCGGATCGCTGTTTGGGCCTAGCTAGTTTGTCCTCATTTACCTAATGCGCTTCCACTGGACGTCACTAGCTACCTCGAACTACTAGACTACGTCAGACAAATCTTGCTACGTAGCACCTGAAATTTTTTTATTTTTTTTTCAAAAAAAGCGATGCTTTTTTGCTATTTTTGGCGGTGGCGGTAAAAATTCTGTGGATAACTTGCTGCACTACCTGGACGCCACCGACCTGAATCCCGCACCAGCCAATGCCGGCAGTCCGCGGATGGCGGCAACTGGAAGAAACGAATTTGCTTCTTTTACCTCGAATAAATCAGCGGACCAGTCGTCTCCTGCATCTGCACAGATACAGAACCACAACCACCTCCAGCTTCTGTACAAGGAAAAACTGACGAAGCGCTTCATCGCGAAGTCGATTCACTTCCGCGAAGAGATGAAAAACGAAATTGAGCTGTTGAACTTGAAGCTGAAGGCATACCAGCAGTCTGACCACATCGAGGAGCAGATCAAGAAAATGAAGGCGGAAAAGTTGGAATTGGAACAACAGAAATCCCTGAAGGAGAAACGGTTCGCGGAGGAGGTCAGTCTACCTTTGAAACTCCAGCAGATGACAGAAGAGTCGGTCGTGTTAGAATCCGAGGCAAAAAAGATGCGGGCGTTGCTGTTGGAGGAAGAAAAATTGTTCAAGAAAGTGAGGAAGGGACTGGAGTTTTTAAACATCGGGGTGGATGGCAGTGGGACGAGTGTTGGCGATAAAAATTCGAGTAAGGAGAAAGCTGCGAAGATTAAGGGGACGACGACCGCGAAGGATGGTGTCGTCTCACCCGGAAGCAAAGACAGCTCTACTTCAACTGTGCAGTTGCATCAAGGTAGTGGTGGTGGTGATTCTAACCACGAGCACAGCTCAACGTTCACATCCTCGCCAGGAGTAGTTTCCGGCTCCTCGAAGACCAAAACAGGAAAAAGTACAGTGACTAAATCGGAAAACGTTTTACTTCTAAAAACCTTTCGGTTTGTTCAGGACACGAAGTATTGCCTGATCGCAATTTTCTACCGGGAAGACCGGGACCATCTGCTTCATCAGCAAAAGGAGCAGCGTAATGTGAATGTCGACGGCACTGCGCTGCCTGTGGCGGTCGCGGTTTCCAACATTGGCACAACAAACGAAAAGGAAAATCTTGATCTTCACGCAACATCAGAGATGAGTTTTGGGCAGCACCAGCAGCAGCCTCAACAGCAGCTCCACCAGCCGCAGTCCTCCAAGCTAAATCAAAACGTCTTCATATCCACAGTAAATTTCCTGTACACGTACAAATTCAAATGCAGTCTCTGCATGACAAAACTTGCCTCAAATCCTAGTCCAGCATGACAAGTTGGACTCTGCTTCGAGGTTGCGAAATTTGTGATGCATTTTGTACTACAGGAAATTTATTGCATTGCATACTTCATCCTCGTTGTTTACGACATTGGGCAGAACAAGGTCCACTGGCGCGAGGCGAGGCCAAGCCGGAAGTATGCATTGCAACAGCATCGCACTAGTAGAAGTCGCATCACAAATCCGCTCAGCATGACAAACCATTTGTCATGCTGTTTTACCTTGGGATGGAGATTTGTGTTGCATGACTGCGATTACTATAAGCGCGATACTTTTGCACAGGATGAGAAGGAGTTGCTACTCAACTCCAACGGTTTGGAGAATTACTTTTCGAAATTGCTGAAAGTCGTTGGATTCTCCGTTCTAGCGAACAACGTAGAGCACTTGGTGATTCCGGGGACGTTCCCGATCTGCAGAAAGAACAAAGCGAAGAAGCAGAAGAAAGGACGGGGAGGTGGTGTCGAGAAGCAGAAAACCAATAGTGCAACCTATGCATTGCAAGTATGTCTGGGTGTCTGGAAACTTGTGATGCTGGGTGTCGTATCATGAGGAGGCCCCGAGTTGTGCTGACTCAGCATGAGCATGACAAGTTTCTGAGCTTCTAGCTGTTCTTGCCTATTCTGCATGACAAACTGCGTGTCTGCACGACAGAGAAATGGGGCTCTTGGGTACTAACGTGCATGACAGATTTAAGAGTCATGCCAGACAAGCATGGCAAACGTGCACTCTTCCAGACCCAGACATGTTTGCATTTGATACAACTTCTTCTCTCGCAAATCAAACCGGGATTTTGTTCGAGGGTATGAGGGAGTTGAACTCCTCCTCTTCTTCTATCGTGAAAAAACAGGCGAGTATATCACAGGAAACAGTTGTAACGTTAACAGAATCTGTGATGCAGCAATGCATCACTACCCGTGCTGCCTGAATTTGAATTTGTCATGCATAGCACGCGTATAGGGCTACATTTGTGATGCATGGCTGCAATCTTTAACGTTAACACTTTTTCTTGTGATAAAGTAAGGGATTGGATCAAGAACTTGGGTACTTCCACCTCTGTGTGTATGAGGACCACCACCAGTTCACGCACGATGCTGCTGGAGGAAAGGGTGGCGCAACCGGGAAGACAGGTGGTTCGTTAGCTTTTCAGAAGAAGAAAACCACGAGCTCTTCCTCGGACACGTCAGATTCGGAGGAAGAATCTGATGGAGCACAACTACCTCTAGGCGATACGAGATCTCCAACAGAACAAGAACTTGTAGAGCAGAACCAGCAAAAATGTGATGATGACTACACTGTGATTGGGAAAAAAGCGACAACGGCTGCTGGCTTGGACAAAGTGAAAACAAGAACTACAGGTGGTTTTAGTGCCAACAGTAACACGTCACCAAAGTGCTACGTCATCCGACTTTTTGACAACAGACGATGCACGTTACACTACGCGAAGTACGTGCACCACAAAAGCAGTAACCTTGGGCATCAACAAGGAGGAGGAGGAGCAACTACAGGATCTAGTGTTGTCAGTGGTACAACAACTCCAGGAGCTACTAGTACTTCTATAGCACAAACAGGACAGCATCAACTTCTCACCGCTGACCAATATGACTTGGACGCAGAGATTCTCTTGGAGAAAATCATCGCGTCTCTCTACTATACCGGGTCGGAGCTGATCTGCACACAGAACAACTACTTCGGAGGGATGAACAGCATGACAAACGACATTGATAATGGGCGGAACACCAGCATCACAAACACATCATCATCGAAGAGCCAGTTGTATCATCAAAACAACTACCAGAAGAAGGACAAGCTACAGGATTTGGAAACCATCGAATATCAAATGCAAACCTGTCAGGGTCTGGAAACTTGTGATGCTAGTTCGTGAATGGTGAGCGTGTAGTTGCAATGCGCAGCCACGCATGACAAGTCTCTGGGCTCCGTTCTTGTGTTTCGCTTTCCGCATGGCAAACTGCGCTTTTGCATGATAGGCAAGAGGCTTTTTTCCAGTTCGCGCATTACAGATTCAACTGTTATGTGAGACAAGCATGACAAACCGGCATTCTTCCAGAGAGACCCAGACAGATTTGCAACGCATATCGAAATCGACGAAGCAACGGGGTTGTTTGTCGACGGACCGTACGCACTGTGCAAAAGTTGGATCGTACTCGTAGTACTAATCGTAATGATCGCAGGATAATGCAATCTTTTTTCTATGGTAAACCAGCATCACGAAATCCATTTTTCAGGCTGAGCAAGAGTTTGTAATGCACTTGTTCCGCGAAGTTTGTAATGCACGACCACAAGCGCGACGCTTTTGCATTGCATAGACGGAGTCGGTTGGATGGAATGATGGGTGGACTTGGAGAAGATTTTGAAAGCGAATCCCTCTTGCAGGATTTACAGCCGGGGGTGCTTTTCGTTGTCCAGTGCAGTCGCCAGATGAAGGCGCACCGGTCTTATTCCAACGGGATAAACAGTGGAAGCGGCATTCTCAATCATGGAGACGGCCAGCTCGACGACAGCGAAAACTGGTTTGAGAAGTCCACCAGGATTTTTGAAGACGACCTCACCGATATTTTGCAAATGGCAACGACTGCTGGTACTAGCAAGGAAAGAGTTCTTGGCGTTCATCAAGGGAAAATAAATGCAGATACGGCCGCTTCTAGCAGCACCGCCACTTCTGGACCTGGAGCTGCGTTAGGTGGAGCAACGATTGGAACAAACAGCAATATCAATACCTCCGATGAAATTCTAGACCAGGCGCAGCATCAGCAGGAGAATAACAACGTCCCCTTCGGCGACTACGTTTTGTTGCGAGGAACGTGTTTTCTTCCAGAGGAGCGCGAGAACAGAAATGAAGATGATGCACTGTCCAGCAAAAGTCACAAGATTGCAGCACTGAAAAAGATGAAATTCGGTGTGGTTCTGTACGATCCGCTTACGGACGGAAAACAACTGTGCGAGCGCGTGTTTGACCTGCAGAGCATCTTCACCGAAGGGGGTGGTCGCACACCATTTACAAGGGAAAAAGCGGCTTTGTTCTTAGAGGCGATTTGCTACGGCGGGCCGAAGAATGGGCTGTTTTTACCGGAAGGAGGCGTGGGGTTGTGAAAGAGGATTTGATGATACACAGATGGGAGGTGTAGTTGTTTTGGAATTATAGCACTGGATGGTCATATGTATAGCTGTTCGCGAGTCGTCGTCGCGCAGTGTTTTTTTTTTGAATTGACGTACCTCATTTCCGTGTTTGAAGTTGAAAAGATCAATACGCGACCTACGCGACCGCAAAACGAAAACTCGCTTCGTATGTAGTGGTTTTCTATGTGCGTCTGAAACTATACCGCTGACCAACGAGTAAAGATGAAAGTAAGAGTAAGTGCTGAAGAAAGTAGTAGAATATTCAACCAGACTGGTACATGAGTGAGAGCAGAGGTAATTTCAATTTGTCCGCTGAATCGAAAAGATGAAGTGGAACAGCCTCAACAACGTTCAAACCGATAAAGCGTGCGAAAGTCTTGCAGCGAACAATTCCAATCTATGCCCTCTTTTAGTTGTTTCCGGATCTTGTAGCAGCTGTAAAAGCAAACCGTCAGAACAAGTGAACAGGCACGAGGAAGACATGAAGTCAGTGAACAAGTGCAGGATCATGCATTGAGCGACTGCGCGCGATATCAAGGCATTGGGCCTGCTGGAAGATCCTACAGTCTGTTTATCGTGTTCGTCTCGAAGCCATGTTTCGTGTCCTAGTTGAAGGGCCCGGGGCGGTGTTCTTCTTCGTCGACGGCGCTTTTTTCGGGCGGCGGACGACCACGAGTCCCCTATCAAGCCCGCGACCTTGCTGTGGTCCTCGCAGAACTCTATACAGGGGCAGGGACGTTGAAGGGGGGGCGCCCTTGTGGCGCGGCGAGGCGACGGAGAAGGCCGGCAGATTTGTAAAGTCGGAGGCCTGGCCTCGCGCCCGCTTGGAGGACGGCGCCCGCCTGCTGGCCAAATAAATTTGGGAAACCGCCCTCCTCCGGCGCGCTGACTTGTAACCCGGGGCGGCCGGAAATCGTGGACAGCCCGCGGAGGTGCCCCGGCGGTGCCCGGCCGTCCTTTTCTTTGGCGCGGCGGCTTCGGTGGCGGAGATGTTGCATGGCGGTAGCCCCAGTAGGGGGCTTTGGGTTCGGTCATTGGATTGGAACCGAACTCATTGCAGTCGCCGCTGTGAGCAATTTGCGCGTGCGCCAACTACGCACTGCCCGGGCATTGCCTCCGGTGGCGCGGGGGAAAAGTTGGCCGCGGGTGGAATGGCGCGGCAGGCACATGCAACCCAGCCCGCTGCCGGCGCCGCCGGCCCGGCCGAACGCGTTGCGCGCGTTTCTCGGCGGGGGCGCGCGGCGCTGCGCGTCTGAATAAAAGGGGGCCCGCTGCGCGGTTGGGGCGGAGGGCCCGCCCTAAGAAACAGACGGCGCCAGTCCCCGCCCAAGCGCAGGCCCCAATAATCCTCAAACACCGCGCGCGCGTGGCCCCTGTCTGATTGTCTGCCGGGCGCCCGGGCCGGGGGAGCGAGCGAGGAACAGTGACACCGACAAGCCCTAGCCGGTCCGCCTCTAGCGCGTCCGCCTGCGGCTGGCCGCTCGGCCCGCCTCGCTCTCCCCGTGCCCCCGCTCGCCGTTTGCGTTTGGGCGCGCGCGGTTTTATTTTCCGTGGGCCGCCGCCCGCCCCGGTGCTTCTTAATTTATTTCCCGGCACGCTGGCGCCGGCCCGTCTCGCTTTGCTTGGGTTGCGCCAGGGTTGGGCGGTTTATTTTTGGGCCCGCGGCTGGGCTCCGCCATGCATTCGCGCCAAGCACCCTAGGGGCCGGCCCGCCAGCCCGGCCGGCGCCGGCGCCTTCCATATCCATCCTCCCACCCTGTATGTTGGCTCCGCCCCTTTCTTTGTTTCCGCGCCCGGCGGGCTACCCTGGGCCGCCAGCGCAGCCTTTTGGCGCGCCCGTACGCCGCCCGCCCTGTTCCTAGCCACGATGGGAGGGTATGGACATCCGCGGGGGCAGAGTTGGGTGGGTTTGCCGTGTGGGCGAACCGGCTGTCTACGATGGCGGCCAACTCCGGACCCCTATCCCTGTTGTGAGTTGATGTTGATTTATGACAGCCCCCATCAGCTCCGGGCCCGGTGTGGTCCGGAGAAGAATCGCCCTCAGGTGTTCTGGATTGGTGTGGCGAAGATGATGCATTTTGTTCAGGAGATGTTTCATACAGGTTTGCCTGGATTTTTCTGCCCTTGTGCGTGCATGTGCTCTATGTATGTGCGTGGAGCCGAAGCGGCCAAACTCATTCTCATCACTAAGTATTGTGCGGCGCGTTTATCTTGAGACGAGACACCCACAAAGTTGACAGCGACAACTTCAATTTCAAAAATGCGTAGGCGATTTATCTCTACCACGATGTTGTAGTTGTTGGCGATGAAGGAGAAATGGCGCTGGTGCCATTCCCATCCTTATCTCTTGATGTATTAACCACTCATTGATGATATCATATCTACTACCTCGAAAGCTCGTCAGCCTTAAGTTATTCATTTTCATTCTCATTGTCTTTTTAGCTAGACATAGACGCTGTTCATGTCAAACCCATTTTATACTTGTACCGAAGTTATTTCTTCAGTAGCCATTTTTGTTTCGTCCTGAAGATGTGCCACGACCTACTAGTACTCTTTCAAGAAAATCACTTCATAACTCGAGAAAGAATTGTTGTATAAGAAGTAAAGAAGTAAACTGAATTTGAAATCGGAGAACGACTTCAAGAAGAACGTAAAAGATCTATAATAACCCACCACACGGCCCACCAAGATGCCCAGCAAGAAAGCGCAGTCCGGGATGAACAAGGCGCCAGCACAGGCTGGTACTAGTTCCGCGAAAGTTCCACCAGCACAGGCTGGCGGTAACAAGCACCAGCCAGCAGCCCCGCCTGCACGCTCCGGCTCGGCGAAAAATACTAGCAAAGGCGATGCAACTACTGCTGGACGCAGCAGCTCCAAACCCACCACCACGACCACGTCAAATGGTGGTGGTGGAAACAAAAACACTACTAGTGCCACTTCTGTTGTTTCTACCGGGATGAAGAAGAACGACACCGTAGGTGCCACTACAACCTCCAAGGCTGCAAACAATATTAAGAGCACGACCTCCACCTCCGCAAACACCAAGAACACTCCTGGTAAAAATGCCGGTTCGGGAGGCTCTGCTGTTTTTGTGAAAAAGAACAATAACAAACAGCAGAAGAACCACGGCAAGAACGGGAACGCGGCGGCATCTGCATCTGGTAGTGGTACCGCTACGGCTACGGCTTCGGCCAACAAAAAAAACCAACCCGCTGCTGGAGGAAGTGCCACGGCAGCTGGTGGTGCTCCTGTTAATACCGTGATGAAGGCCGCTTCGAAGGACAAAGCCGCTGCTCTCGGGGGTGCATCGGCGACAGCAGCTGCTGCTTCTGCTGGTAACAAAAACACGAAGAAGAATGACGCATCGAAAAACCAAAATCTTCCCACAACTTCAACTTTTGGCGCAGCGTCGATCATCGGGCCGTCCTCGGGAGTAGTAGGAGTTCCTGCAGGTGGTCCGATTTCGAAAAACAACAACAAGAAAATTATGCCGTGTAAGTCCGCGAAAGCCGCTGCTCTCGACACGAAAGACACTTTGATCAAGGTTCCGCCGTTTGGAGCTGTGGATGTAATGAACAATGGAAAAAATAATCATAATGCTGGTGTTCAACATCTCAACAAAAAATCTCTTTCCAAAGACAGTGCCACCAGCAGTGCTTCTGGAGGAGGTGTCGCAGCCGCGGGGGCTGCCGCACGACCCGCTGTTGTGATGAAGAAGAACAAGACGCCGCCCCCACAGAAGAAACAGCAATCTTTGACGGGTGGTAAGAATGCCAGTTGTACATCTGTGCAGAAACAGACCTCCAAGTCCTCTTCTGTCAACAAAGCCGGCGGGGGAGAGAATGAAAAACGAGTGGCTCAAGAAGACGAAGAAATGCACTCTCCCTCGGCGAAGCGTGCGAAGAAACAGCAACCGCAACTACTACCCGGTCAAGAACATCACCAGCAGAGCCAGAAGAATGTGGATGCAAGCAAGAAGAGTTTCTTAGTCCTGAACGCGGTATCCTGTGCAAAAGCATCGTACTCGTATAAATGCAAGTCTTGCATTACAAATCTTGACTCCAAGGGCAAGGCAAATCTGCATTACAAATCTCATTTCTCATGCTGAGGAAATTTGTAATGCATCTATACGAATACGATACTTTTGCAATGCATACGCGGATGTTTTAAACGGCGAAATCGTTCCGCCTTCGCCGCACCAGCAGAAATTGGCAAAGGTTTTGCACGCCGTGAACTCCAATGCGGAAAACCCGGATTTCGGGGATGTGTTAGAAGAAAATGCGCTGAAGCCGCAGGCGAAATTGGGTTCTGTTGGTGCGACGAAAAATAACAGTAGCAGTACTAATGCTGGGCTAACATCTTCTGCTGGAGCTGGTGTTGGGCCTGCTGCTTCTGGTAAAAAGAAAAATAACGGTAAAAACAAAAACTCCAAAGGAGGAAATAAGGCTCCTGCAGCGAAGAAGAACGGAAAACAACTGCCCGTCGCCGGTAAGGAACAACTCCTGCAGGGTGCTGGTCCTACTCTGAAGCAGAACCAAAAGAGCAAAAAAGCCGCGAGTATGAACAAAAATAAGAAGAAAACGAACAACAAAAAAGTGACTTTTGAGGAGAACAGCGACAGTGGCAACGCCGCAGCTAAAAATATGAATAAATCGAGCAACGCCGACCAAGACGGAGCGCCGGAATCACCCTCCTCTTCCGATGAAAATAGTAGTGAAGATGAGAAAGAAGTACATGTACAAGATACTAAAAATGCAGGGAAGATGAGCAAGAAAAAAACCGAAAAAAAGCCCGAACATCAAACCTCCGAGGAGGACGAGCCGGAGGTTGTCGAAGTAGAGATTACGTTACCCGAAAACATCCGGCGCCACTTCCGGGAGATGCGGACGAGACTGATTCCCCGAACCCCGTTTGCGTACCAGTACGTGACGGACTTAAAGATGGGAAAAGTGAAGCCACTGTATGCCGATCCGATATGCATTGCAAAAGTATCGTACTCTAGTAGAAATCGCATGACAAATTCTCTCAGCATGACAAGAAGAATTTGTAATGCAGGTTTACCATAAGAAGGGAATTTGTAATGCATGAGTGCGAATATTACTACGAGTGCGATACTTTTGCAGAGGATGTCCGAACGTGGACTACAAGGATAAAGCGGTGTTGAAGTGCGTGATTCCGTATCCACAGTTGAAATTTTATTCCGTACTACACGTACTACAAATGCGGTTTCTGCATGAGAAAAATCGCCTTTGTGTCCTGTTTTGCGCATGACAAGTTTTTGGCGAAGTTTGTCATGCATTTTGTATGTCGTCGTGTAGGGGAAAAATAAATTTGTACTTCTGCATACGCCGGCTTGGATGTACGAGTTTGGGCCAGAGGGAAACCCGAATAAAGACAAGGAAGACGAAAGCAGCGACAGCGATAGCGACGAGGGGAGGATGAGCCAAGAGGTGGAACAACACTACAAGCTGCTTATTCAGGACACCTCTACAACTACCGCCCCCGCGGTTGTAGTTCCCTCTACTGAGGAAAAGGCGAACCAAGCGCGCGTGGCCGCCCTGGAACAGCAGCAGCACGGCGAAAACGAAAAGAAGGCTCCCTCTGATTCCTCTGCGGTCATCTTGAACGCGATGGAGATGTTGACGGGAGAGCAGAAACAGGGTATTGAACGAGTATGGGTTTTGTTGACGGAAATTCATTTTGGGGCTAAAACTGAACGCTCATAGTTGTACTCTAATTAGTGCTGATTTATCAAGAAGAAGATAAACTGCACGATTACGCATAGTACGATCAACACTGAACTGCAACAGCACAGATATCAGCCATAATTTACAAAGGTGAAGCTGCTATCCCCTTCGTGGACCACAGTACTAGCACGACCCCCGGGGCCGCCGTCGGCCACGCCCTGCTGGGTCGAAATGCCAGCAAGGATTCAAACCTCTCGAAGACCTCCTCCCGTATCCTGTGCAAAAGTGTCGTACTTGCAGTAATCGCAGTGATGCATGACAGATCCGCTATCTTAGGGAAATCAGCATTACAAATTCCACTTTCCTTCTAGGCAAAATTTGTCATGCAGTCTATACTAGTGCGATACTTAGTTTTGCAATGCATATCCCGTCCCTACGAACTAAACGAGTACTTGGCCCAGATTCTCGACCGGACGGCGGAGTTGTTGCAGCAAGACGATGATTATCCTGTGCAAAAGTATCGTACTCGTATTGTAATCATGCATTACAAATCTTTTTCTTAAGGTAAATCTGCATTACAAATTTTTATTTCTCTTGCTGAGAAAAAATGCATTTATACGAGTACGATACTTCTTTTGCACTGCATAATGATCAGAACAATGCTATGCAGAAGGAGAATTTCGAATTGTTGGTGAAGCAGAAGCTGCAGAAGATCTTCGACGAAGAAATGAAGCCGAAATTCAACGAGAATTCGAAGTACACGACCGTTGGCTCCGGGGAGAACTTCCTACTCCGAACGAAAACCCTGTACGACTTGCTCGCCATGTTTCCTGACTTTGTGATGGAGTACACGTTCACCGAATACAACACCTGGTCCAATGAGAAGCTGCGGAGACGGTTATGCAATGCAAAAGTATCGCACTAGTATGAGTTGCATTACAAATTAGCCCCCATGTTGACAAATTCAATTTGTAATGCTGATTTACTTTGAGAAAGAGACTTGTAATGCGTAAACGCAATTACTACGAGTGCGATACTTTTGCAACTCATAACGGTTGCCCTTCGAGATGAAACTCCAAACCGCGGTGGCCATTTCTGTTGGGGAATTGTCACGGGACTTGACGAAGAAGATGAAGGAAGAAACTTGCGTTTTGGAAAAGAAGGTGGATATTGGAAGCAGTGTTGGTTCTTTGGCGGGACAGAAGATGAAAAACGGAGATAATGCTATGGAAATGGACGTGGACCAGGAAGGAGATGTGAAGATTAACACTGGTACCAGCACAACCGAAAACAAGAAAACGACCACCATTTTTAACGGCACTTCGTCCAGTGCTACGGATGAACAAGCGGAGAACATTATGGAAGCGTCAGGTTTGAAATCGACAAAGTTGAAATGATTTGAATTCGTCATGCATAAAATGGATACCAGTTGGAAGCCCAATTTCCAAGCGGCGCATGACAAATTTTCGGAGCACCGGAGTCCAATTTGTCATGCTGTTGTGGCACAGAAGACTGCTTTTGTCATGCTTCTTCAGCAGCTCTATCCCAAACCCTAAATAGGCTCATAATCTGCCTCGATTGCCATCCCTGCAAGTGAGGCACTCCATGTCTTGCAATTTATGCATGAGGAATTATTTCGACTTTGACGAAGATTTCAATCCTGACGCTCCCATAAACATGAAGACCGACACGAAGAAAAACTCCTCCAAATTCAAGCGCGGGCGCGGCGCAGCGGGAGCGGCGTCTCAGATGTTGATGAACAAGATCGCGGAGGAAGGTAACAAGCAGTTGCACGTAGTTCCCCCCTTCGGGGCCAACAAGACGAAGCACGGACTGCAGCTCGCGGTGTCGCACAATACTGTTGCGGGACTACAACAATTCGTTGCAGATCCTTCTGCTCTTGGCGTTCTTCTTCCCAAGCCGTCCTCCGCTCAAGAACATCATCTACTCCCGGGACCGCGCGCGGGGAAGAAAAATTACATGGCTGGGTCGGTTCCTTTGTCCTCTGCGCCGGGGGTCACTGGCACCGGCGGACCTGTTGTAGCAGCTTCCACCACGACGACCACGACTTCTCTCAAGCGGCCGCCGCCCGTGCTTGTGCCGCACAACAAGGGGAAGGGAAAGGGTGCCACTGCCGCGGCTGCTGGTACTGTCCCTGTCGCGGGGGCGATGTTGCCGTGTTCCGGGACGACGGCGGGTGGTGGTCCTGCTCAAAAATTAGGGCCTGCTGTGCTGGAAGCTGCTCCTGCCGGGAAAGAACTTGTTCATCTGCAAGGCGATTTAGTAGAACAGGTCCACGACGAAGATGCTGATGCTGTATCAAATCATGTAAAAATGTCTGGGTCTGGAAGATTCTGACACTTGTCATGCACGTTTTGCATTAGCCCTGATGTCTGTGATGCATGCCCTAGCATCACAGATTTTTTGAGAGCTTCTTGATGCCTATTCCGCATGACAAATGCCCTCTCCGCGTAGCAAAAATTACATTCCCTTTGGTACTCATGCAATACAGATTTTTTTGGAATCCAAATGCAGCATCACAAGTTGCATTCTTCCAGACCCAGACATTTTTACATTTGATATGCTGATGACGAAGACGAACTACAGGGTCCGTCTGCGAAGAAGATGAAAAAAACTCGGCGTTCCAGCAACACCGGTGCAGCAACTACGCTAACCAAGATGAAGATGAAAAACGCGTCTGCTGGGCAACAGCAGCACGGCAAATCTACGAAGAACAAGCGGAGGTCTTCTGTTGGGATCGACGTGCCCTCTGTGATGACGGCTATCGAGGAAAAGCTCCACAATCCGCGACTGTCTCTCGAACGTGACTTACAGCTGAACAACCCGATTCGCAATTCCACCGATTACCAAATTGATTGGAACAACCTGGGCACGATGAGAAACGTCACCAAGCAGTTCGATTCCCTCTGTCACAACCTGCTATTGTCGTCCAACAACAGTATCAATAAAACTTCTGGAACAACAGCAGGCGTTTCTTCGATTGTTGAGTTAGTCCCGGGGACCACCATCAACTTCGCGCACGAACTTGTTGGTTTCTCGACGTTTTTGCTCCGGGGACAGACTGTGAAGAAATTCTGTGCCGAATCGGACGAATCCGCGGTGGGGTATTCCGTTTTGGTCACGCACATCTGCGGGGTACCGACGAAGAAAACTTCGGTTCCGATGGATCTGTTCAACGATTTTCTGCCGAAAAAAAGCCAGATGGAGGTTCCGCAAATGCTGGAGAACCTGTTACTCCGAAACGAGAAGCACTTCTTATTGCTGCCGGTTGAAGCGATTCTAAACGTGATTGTCGCTCTGGAGACCGTACGCATTGCAAATATGTCTGGGTCTGGAAAGCGCCAGGCTTGTCATGCATGTTTTGCATGACTCATAATGCCTGCAATGCATCGCCTAGCATCATATGTAGTGAGGTCACCGAACGGTTCTAACCGGGGAGTTTTTTTGACACCCAGCCAGCAAAACGACCGGCAGTTTTCAAGCGGCCGAAAGCGTTTTTTGACATAAAAAATTTTCAATTATCAAGCGGGTGGGGCTTTGATATCAAACAAGCCCGGTCGAAAACTATCGATTCGCACTTGATAAAACGACGCAGGGGAGCCGGCAAAAGGGGCGCCCTTCTGAGGAGCCCACCGCCTTAGTTCCTGGCGATTTGGGGCGCCCAAAAAGAGGCGCGCAAAAAGCGCGCCCAAAATCAGAACAGCGAAACAGCATGGCACGGCCGCGATTTCGAAGCATTTTGGGCGGCCGCGAAAGCGGCCGCCTTTTCGCCGGTTTCAGAGCCTGGAGAGCTTTGCAAAAAGCGCCGGCGTGAAAAATAAAAACGCAAAAGGGAAAAAGCGCGCCACACGCGCAAAGCCAACCCGCATGCTACGGGCCCGATTTTTCTTCGCTTTTTGGGCGCCCCCCGTGGCGCCCGGATCGGCCCCATAGCATGGGGGCTCGCTTTCGGAAAGGAATTTTGGAAATGTGCCAAAATTTGTGATGTTTCTCAAGTGACCGCCATGCCGTGCGGCATAACGTTACTCGCGGCGGTATGGCGAGCCCAGAAAAAGCAAAACCGCGGCCAAGGCGGCGGGCGGAAAAAAAAACGCCCACGACCTCACTACCCCCGCCCCGGCGGCTATATTTGGCAGATTTTTAGCAGGCTTCCTGATGCTATTTTTCCGCGTGACAAATGCCCTTCCCGCGTAGCACAAACTGGACTCCTCTTGTTGTTGGTCATGCACTACAGATTTTTTTGGAATCCAAAGTTAGCATCACAAGTTCCAACTTTCCAGACCCAGACATTTTTGCAGAGGATAAACCGCGCAGCGGCCGGAGAACTTTCTGTACTCGTGTGTGGCTCGGTTGCTTCCGGTCCGGTTTAGCCTGGACGAGGCGAAACGGGAGAAATTGTTCAAGGACATCACGTATCCTGTGCAAAAGTATCGTACTCGTAGTAATTGCAGTCATGCATTGCAAATTTTCTTCTCAAGGTAAATTCGCATTACAAATTTTCTTGCCCATGCTGAGGAAATTTGTAATGCATTTATACGAGTGCGACACTTTTGCAATTCATATCACGGTTGACAACGCGGAATTTCTGGGAAAATTGATGCGCAAGTTTGCGCGGAAGATGCACGGGAATGAGAACGTCAAGAAGTGGTTTGATCAGCTGCAGTTGGTGCTCCCTCTGGCGGTGTACGACAAAATTGATCCGCCGAGCAGCCCGAAAGATTTGATGGTGGACGAGGAGAACGACGCCGGTAGTCCGAGTGTGGTGTCATTTGATGTTGCTGGTGGAAAAGTCCTCGGTGGAAAGGGAGAAGGAGTTGTCGAAGATGACATCTTCAAGGGTAAAAACACCACTACCACTACCACGACGACCACGAACGCAATGCTCTTGACTACCGCGACTTCTACCGCTCCTGCTGCGGAAAAAAAGGAGGCGATTGAACAAGCGACGGCTCCGGCCCCGGCGGGCGGTCAAGATCGCATGGCTCTCTGCTCGACCGGACCACCTCCCGGTGGAGTTTTTGACGAGAAGCAAGAGAAAGATGATGTTGACAAAAAACCGATTTTTACTTCCGCTGCTGTTGCTGCTGAAGCGGAGGAGAAAATTAGTACAACTGGAATGAAGAAGATTGACGAGAAGATGGAAGACAATTTTGCTGAGGCGATGGAGTTGAAAACCGAAACTATGATGGCAGTAGTTGAAAAGGACAAGATCGAAGACGAAACTGTGGATGATATCAAAACGGATGTTAAAAATCTAGCAAGCGCTAAAAATACTTTTACGGGTAATAAACAGAGTAGTGATTTCGATTTGATTTTTGGGAACTACAAGCAGGACGACGACGAATGTAGGCCCTAAAAAATCCATCTCTACGCCCATCTTTTCAAAATTTGCTCTACCGGTTTGCCGCCATTTCGTTGCATTCTCATACATAAAGCTCCTCGAGCAGCTCGACCGCAGACCCTGGCTGGCCATATTGCCTGACAGATTTTCCGGGTCTTGTTTTTCTTTTTGCAGCTTGGTGGAGGAGTGTGGTAGGAGTTGCGAGGCCAACGCGTCATGCACAGCTCCGCGACATGCAGAAACAAGAACAAAACCGGGAGAATGCATTCACTCGGCCGAGAAAGAAGTTGACAAGATGCAGCCACGCAAGTTGCCCATCTTTTCAACTTTGAAAGCTATCAAATTTTGAAAAGATGGTCTTTCTGCATCTTTTCAAATTTTGATACGTGGCTGCTCACTTTCCAAATTTTGAAAAGATGCTGAAGAAACATCTTTTCAAAATTTGACAACCCGAGCAGCGCAAATATCAAATTTTGAAAAGATGCTCTTTCTGCATCTTTTCAAATTTTGATTGATAGGTGGCTGCTCACTCTCCAAATTTTGAAAAGATGCTGAAGGAGACATCTTTTCAAAATTTGACAACCTCAATAACGCAAGCACTTGCTTTGTTGAGGTTGTCAAATTTTGAAAAGATGTTTCCTTCAGCATCTTTTCAAAATTTGACAACCTTTTTGACAACCCCTTTGATGAGGTCTCCCAAGAGGCTATTAACTTAACCTAATCCGCATGGTATGGTGGATTTTGATGAACCTATTTGGGAACCTCTTTGGTGCGCCTAGACAGAGAATTGTTGACGAAAGTCCAAGGCTTTGACTTGCGCCCCAGCTGGCGGGTCGCCAGATGGTAAGCAAAGCCGTGCCTCTGGCGACATTTGTTTGCTTGCTTCTTTTGTGGCTCCGAAGATTGCGAAGATGCCCCCTCAGCAAGTTTGCGAATTTTGAAAGCCACGCAGAAGAGTAGGCTGCTCACCCTTTCCGCGGCTGTCGAAATTTGAAAAGATGCGCTGGTAGTATCTTTTCAAATTTTGGAAGCCACAGAAGACTGAGCTGTCCTCCCTTTGCGTGGTTTCTCAAATTTGAAAAGATGTTCCTTCTGCATCTTTTCAAATCCTGAAAACCACAGCACAGCCAGCTACCCTCCTCGTCTGCGGCATGTAAAATTTGAAAAGATGCTCCTTCAGCATCTTTTCGAATCTTGGCAACCTCAGGACACAAAACGAATCGGCTCTTCTGCGGCTTCGAAGATTGAAAAGATGCTCCTTTAGCATCTTTTCAAATTTTGAAAACCACAGACGAGTAAGCCGACCCCGTCTTCTGCGGCTTCAAAAATTGAAAAGATGCTCCTTCAGCATCTTTTCAAATTTTGAAAAGCACAGAAGAGCAGGCGACCCTCCTCTTTTGCGCCTTTTGAAATTCGAAAAGATGTTCCTTCAGCATCTTTTCAAATCCTGGAAACCACAGAAGAGTAAACTGCTCGGGTCTCTTGTGGCTTCGTTATGGAAAAGATGCTCCTTCAGCATCTTTTCAAATTTTCCAGGTCAAAGGCCACGCGCTTCAGATTTGATTGGGAACTACAAGCAGGACGACGACGAAGCCCGCTACATTGCATACCGAATGAACTACCTAGCTTCTTCGCAGCACTTCTCAGTGGCTAAAGTCGGAGCTACCCGGCGCTGCTGCTCCACGGACTTGCCTCGGAGCGCCCCTGCAGCCTGGAGGTGCTGCAGCAGGTCCTCCTGCTGTCCAGCCGCTAGACAATGGGCCTCAATCTGTGCAGGTCGGTCGGAGCCAAGGGCGCAAATGCAACCGGCCGCGGCTGCGTTTCCACTTGTTTCTAATGTCGCGCAGCCGTGCGCGCGTGTTCCGGCAGGCGCGCGCGCCTTTTGCCTTTGCGGCTCGTTCTTGAAAATGCGAAAGGCCAGAGAGCCTTTCGGAAAGGCTTCCCGGAGGGGTTCCGGGACCCCTTTTGGGGAGGGGTAGCACCATCGTGATTCGAAGAAAAAGCGATAGGCTTTTTTTTAGGGTTCCGGGCGCCCCTCCGGCCCTCCCTTTTTGGGAGGCCTCCGGAAAGACCTTCGCGGCCAACATATGCGTGTGGTACCCGCAAGAGACGACGACGCCAGGGCCTGTGTAGACATCTTGTGGAGCGTCTGCAGCCTCACACCCTAACCCAGGCCATAGCGGCAAATGGCTGCACGGAGAAAGCAATCCGGAAAATGGAGCAATATACTGCGCGCGCCCGGCGCTTTCTAAGTGAAAACGCCAGCCACAAAAGAACCCTCTGTGCCTCGCCCTCCTCCGCGTCAATACTCACTTACCTACTAGAGCACTGCTGCTGACAAGCTAGCCAAAACAAACCGCGCTCGAGTCAGCCCCTCACTTGCGGGCACAGGTTTACTAGCTTCGCGCCGCGAAAAAATGCGCGCAGAATTTTTTTTACGGTCTGAGGCAAATACAAGTTTGATGCCCCCATAGATTTCGATTTGATTGGGAACTACAAGCAGGACGACGACGAATCTGTTTAGGCGCGGCGAATCGAGCTTCGCTGCGTTGGCCAGCTTTGCCCTGCTATAAACGGGGCCTGCCAGAATTCTGCCTCAGCAGCCTCGCGCCTATGGTGCGCGCACTGCCCGATGACAGATGGCGCCGTGGGGCACGTCAGGCGAGGGGGCCAACCCGCGGCGGGTTTCTCATCGCCATTCGGCTCGGGGCCGAAGGCGCGGGCCCTCCAACAATGCAGACCATAACGCGTGAACTGTGCGCGAATGATATCGGCGAAGTTGGAAAAAGGCCTGCACCGCCCCGATTCTGCTTAGGGTTGCTGCCCATCAGGGCGCGCGATACACGGCAGCAGAGTGGGGCTCGTGCGAGCGCGGGCGGCGGTTGGATTATCAACACAGCCGCCTGCGACACGAATGGGTGGGGGCGGCGCGCTTCTGATTCAGCCCCCATTCCGGCCGTTCTGAATATAGGGCCGAATAGCCGCGCCAAGGAGCTTTCCTACCGCGCCGCGCGCCATCTTTCATGCCCCCGACCAATGGAGTGGGCTCTAAATCGTGCGCCCCCCCTTCAAGATTCGGCAGCCCAGGACATGTGGGCTTCGGTGCCTGCGCCCGGTGGTTTGGGGTGCAAAAGTGATTTGGTGGTCTGTTCTATGGTATTTGGGTGCGCTTTTTTGCCGTCCTACTTGGGGTTGGCTCACGTGAGCAAGTTTGCCGACGCGTCGGCTCCAAGCAATATGGGCGAAGCAGCCTAAAATCCAGCGGAGCGGCGATGGCGGAAGCGCTATGGCAATGTCATTGGCGCTCTTGCCGTCGCGCTCGGCAGCTTGCGAGCCTGGTGGCGCTGGCATGCCTCGCGGTGGTGCGCACTTTGGTCACATGGGCGCCCACCCGGAAAAAAAGGGCTTCTTCGTTTAATCAAGAAGCAATGCGGCCGACAAGGAGAGGCGGGCGCCTCGGTGCCCAACGTTCGGTGGGGATTGCGGCTCCTGCTTCAAGCTACTGAAAAAGTCGGGGTGTCGCGGTGACTTCTTCACAGAAAGAGCGCACACTAGTACAGCTCGCGCGATTTTTAAATTTAATTGTTGAGCCCGTCATAGATTTCGATTTGATTGGGAACTACAAGCAGGACTACATGAAGGCCCTCGTAAAAGACCCACCGTGGGCGCGCGCCTTGGCTGGTCCGCTATCAAAAAAGCGGCAGGCTTCGCAGCCGATATCGCACTCCGCCGGGCAGGTTGCGTTCTGAGGTGGCGGGCAGGCTATTGCCGGCGCGCTGTGCCGAAAAGCTGAGCCCGCGACGCCATTTTTCTAGAAGTCCCGGCCCCGGGTTTCCGGATGTTCTTCGGATTCTGCGAAGAAAGGTCCGTCCGCGAGACCCCCAAAAGGGGTTTTTTCCGGAACCCTCGTAGCAGTGGGGGAAGCTTCCAAAAGTAGTGTTTTTGGCTACCCCTCCCGGAGGGTCCTCAGCAAGGGTCTCGCAGAGGAGAAAGGCTCCAGCTTCGGAAGCCCTCGGCGCATCTTTCCGCCGGGGCCCCGGGCATCCCGGCCTGCCTACGGGCGAAGTTCGCATAGGCCCCAGGGCCTACCGGAACTAGAGGCACGGAGGAGAAGGCGTAGGCCGCCGGGGCCTGCCGCTAGTTTACAGCTTTGCCAGCGCGCCCGCCCCCCTCAGTTCGTTGTAGCTCTATCGCAGCAAAAACTGAGTGGGAAGGCGGGGGCTTTGATGTTCCCAGCGCCGTGGGGGTGGCGGAGTGAACCAAGCAGCCCGGCGACTTGGTCGCTCGCGTATCCTCTGTCGAGGGAGCTGCGCGAGGGGTGTCGGGCGAAAAGCGCAGAGCCGCCGTGGATGTGACCCAGAGCCAGCTCGGCGACTTCTTCTGCCTCATCGAAGAGTCGGGAAGCGCCACCTGCAAATGCGCCGCACATTGGGAGGGCAGGAAGCTGCTAGAAGCCGCTCGGCTTCTCTTGGGGGACATGATTACCTCCGAAGCCAAGCGGTCTGCGCCAAAGACTCGTGAATGACCCGAGTCCGTGCGCGGGATAGTCCTCGCTAGGGCGAAGTGGCCGCCTTCTTAGCTAGATAACTTGATACGCATGGCCCAAATGCATTGCATGCGTGACCAAGGCCCAGCACAAAAGCCAAGCAGCGCAATGCCTATGCCCGGAGACCCTGAAAATTTTTTATCCACTTTGAAAAGATGCAGTTAGTATGGCCATTTTGAAGCACGCGATATTGTCGTGCTTCAAAGATTTCGATTTGATTGGGAACTACAAGCAGGACGACGAAGATGATGATGAATTGAAGCACGACAATATCGAACAAAAAAATGTTAACGTTACGGTTTCAGCGATTTTTGAAACAAAATTTTTTTTTCCGCTCAATGGCTTTCTTTTCATGTAAAGATCAACACTTTTCATGATACTAGCTACCGTGGGACTCTGTTGCAGCGTCATCAGTTTGAGCTAGCTAGTACAAAAAGTATTCCATTCCGCGCCCGAGTCTAGCGCAACCTCCGGAGGAAGACCACGGGCGCCGCGGCTCTGACTGTTTTGGCATGATATGGCGGTGATGTTGGCGACCTTTCGCCATGAAGTCTGTCATGCAAGGCGTGCGTCATGTGTCGGCATATGAGTCGATGCGACAACCCCCCGAAAGGTCCGCGCAACTCTCCACCATATCGCCACCTTGGAACTGTATAGGCTCGCTGCGTTTCTAGACATTGCGCTGCAGCTTTTGAGCCATCTCGCCAAGTTCTCTCCATGAAGCAGAAAAGCTGTGACTTCGAGGATGGGGAAAATTGGCAAAATTCGGGCACCAAAGTGCCCAAGTTTTGCAGTCACCAAAAAAACCGTTAACACTTTTTAGAATGGGCGGTATGATCGCCCCAGCCTGCCAAAAGCAGGCTTTTTCGTATGAAAATGCCAAAAAATGACCGTTAACACTTTTTAGACAGCACGCTATGGTCGATTTATCCTCCTCAGAGCCCGTGCTTCTTGGCCTGCAGGGTTTTGGACAGGGTAAGTCGATCATAGCATGCTGTCTAAAAAGTGTTAATGGTTTTTCTGGGTGACTGCGAAATTTGGCCTCAAATTGATGGCAAATCATGGTTTTTTTCGGTGGAATTCCCTATGATCCGAAAAAACCGTTAACACTTTTTAGACAGCACGCTATGATCGATTCTGCCTGCCAAAAGCCGGTCCATCCTCGGCGTCGATGGCGGCGGCGAGGATGGTGGCAACTCGAGAGCATCTCTCAACCAGGTGGGTTGCACTAGCTGCCGTCCACGAAGCGCCCCCAAACAGCTGAAGAGCAGGCTCCGCCGGCACCGAGCTGGTGTGGAGGCGATGCGACCGGGTCAAGGAGCCCACGTGGCGCGGAAGGTTCGTCATGGAGCGGCCCCGGTAGGCGAAGTTCCAGGCCGTCAGGCCTTGCGCACTAGCTAACTCAAACAAAATTAGCTACTTCAGAGTCCCACAATAGTTAAGAGGGTGAGCGGGTCCCTTTAGGCATTCACATAATGCCGCCAGTGAACCCACAAAAAATTTTTAATGCAAAAAATGCAAAGCCGTAACGTTTTCGATTTGATTGGGAACTACAAGCAGGACGACGAAGATTATGATTTTGAATTGAAGCAGGACACGACACAACTGATGAAGGCGGTTGTTCCCGAAGGAGGTGACAAGTTTTTTTTTCGAAATGACAAGAAGGAAAAGATCGCTAGCTCCGGAGATGGCCACGATGAAAACGAAAATAAACCGGAGAAGATTTGTACGGAAGATGAGCAGAACGATGACGATTTCAAGTTCGGAAATGTTGAAAAGGACGAGAAATGCAGCAGTAACTACGGTTTTGTGAACAAGGATAAGGAAGAAAAGCAGGAGAAGCTGAAATCGCCGGTGCACCAGGTGGCCGGTCCCGAGGATGTCGATTTTGACGAGCTGTAAATACTGATAAAACGGAACAAAGAACTACGTGATTATAAGGAGTTGTAGTCGAAAATATTGTAGTACTACGACACAGAGACGTAAGTAAGTAGACCGCTTCTAAACTATCCCTCTGGTGAAGGACGATCATGACCACGGGGTTGGTTGTTGAGGAAGCGATGCGAGCGGTTTCAATTTTCCTTCCTCGTCTGTTGAAACTGCACGTTCAGGACGGATGCTGGTAAGGAAAAATTATCGTTTTCGACGAACGAAGGGGATTATAGGTTTGGTGCAGGAACAACTACAAGGATTCTCATTCTTTTTGGAAGACGGCCAGGACGAATCTGAATCGTGCTCAGTAGCGAGATTCTTATTTCCTGAGCTATTCATATGGAAGAAGCGGACACCTTTAAATTTTGCGAGAAAGTAGAGAATAAGAATACGAAGATGATGAAAATTACAGCTGCACAACCTTACGAATATATAACTATTCGTGCCTATTCATGTCGTCATCCGTATCTTGCAGATTTTCAGATTCACCATTCGAATGAAACTTACCGACTACACGGACTGCTAAACATTCTCTGAAAATATCGAAGATTCATACTTCGATTTCTTTTTTGAAAGTGGCGGCTCAATTCATGACTATGTTGTCACGAGGATTGGAGTTGGTAGCTTTGCTACAAACGACATATCATGGTACGTCAGACCTTTCAAATGATTTATATTGCTCTACTATTGGAAACAAAATTGAACTGTTTAGCATGTGCTGGAAGCTGATGTGTTGTCGTCTTGCTTGGCTGTTAAAGTACGTCTTTCGGCGTCCAGTCGTGTCTGTTGCCGAAGCAACTAGCTAACTGCGTCCGCCGTCTTCTTTTTGGCCATGCAAGGAAGCAGCTGGAGGAATGAGGAAGGGCGCTGCTCTGCCACCGCCGCCTCGTGTCCTTGCATGCTTCTGCTCCGTAGTGTCTTCCGCCGTGTTTCGCCCGATTTTGGCAAAAGGCGCGGCGGGGTTTTTTCTGCAGCAGATGAGGGAAGTCAAGCGCCTGGCGCGGGACAACTACCAGCGGCCCCAGCCCCGCGAATCCCAGCGCCGGAACCGGTTCCCGTCTTACTTCCTGCCCGAGGTCAGCAAGATCGCGAGCAAGCCCAGCCTCCCCCGGTCGGCCCCGCCTTCACCAGCGCGCGGCCAGGTTTGCAGAGCGCGCAGGGGCGCGACAAACCTCTCCGCCTTTGGGGAGCCGTGGCGGGCCCCGTTCCCAGGCAGGCCGGGGCCGGAACAGGGCGGGCCACGGGGCGCGTTTGGCCACGATAAAGGCCGGCCGCCAAGAGGGCGGCGGACGGAGAGGAGGGGGGGCGTTTGGGAGAATGATGAGCAAACCGGGAGAGAGGTAAGCAGGGGGAAGCCTTTAGGGTGGGGGCTTGTGGCCGTTGCGCCCGGGCGCCAGCACTTCAAAACCGAAGCGCGCCACCCCGCGCCGTTGCAACCGAGCGCGCCGGCGCACGCGCGGCCCCCTTACTTCCGCGCGTGCGAAGCCGGTGCCCACGGCCAGCGCGAGGGCTTGGCGCCCTGCCTCCGCCCGCGACATCGATCGGCGCCGGCCGGCGTCGGCGTCGCAGCATGGTGCGCAAGTGCCCCTGCCCCCCGCCATCCGCAAGAGCGTGAACCGTCGCAGGCCTCCAACGAGTAGGCAAAGGCCGCGGCGCGTCAAAGGGCGACAGGGAGGCCGCCCGCCCCTTCTATTTGTTCGAGTGTTTTTGCCGCCGGCGCCCGTCCGTCTGGGTAGCGCCATCCGTTTTCGCCGGCGACACCCGCGCGCCCTCTCTATTTGCGTGGGCGCGCCCTCCTCTGTTGCCCGCCCGCCGAATAGTGTGGCCCTCTTGATGCGGGTGCATATCCCGGGGCGGGGCACTGTCCCAGCCGCCCCCCCCGCCGAACAGCGTGTGGCGCGCGCCCTTCCTGGCGGAAAGCGGCCGGCGGTGCCCGGGTTGCTTGCCCGGCTGGGCTGCATTGGTTGCAATGCCTGGCCCCATGGCGTGGGTGTTTCTTTGGGTGCCTTCGCGTTGTTGCGTTGTGCGGCCGGGGCTGGCGCCCTGGGTCTTTTGGTTGTGGCGGCCGCGCAATGAGTTTGTTAGTTTGTCCACCTTGCTCTGGCAGGCCGCGCGGGTGGTTGCAGGCAGCCAGTAAGTGCTGTGTCCGGCACCGGCTCCGTGTTTTTTTCGGGTTGCCCGGCCTTAACTTGTTACTCCGCGGCCCGCATTGCCGGCACGTCGCCCCCACAAATGCAGGTTTGCTGGCTTGTTGTGTCATCAGAGTCGATGCTTTTTCGGCCGCGCAGGCAAGCCAGCGGACTCTCGATTGCTCTGTGGCTATAATGCGTCGCGTTCGGCTGGTCTGCTTAACGTTTACCTTTGTGTTTACTCAGAGAGGGAGCGAGAGGGAGAACCAATGACAGTGGCTCCGTGCTGCGTCGAGACAGTATTGCTCCGGCAAATCGCAGGCGCACTGCTACATGTTGAGCGTTATGCCAAAGGGGGAGACTCAGCTCTTTTCTCCGGCTTCTGAGTGACTGACAATATGTATTTATTGTGCTCCACACGGCAGGTCGTGGACGTGGATTGCCCTGGGTCAACGCATGAAGCCCGTGAAAAAGTCTGGCGCTGATTGAGGTTCTTGATGACGTCGCCAACAGTATGTACATAATGCGTGCAGGGGCGGCTCCACCTCGGGCGTTTTTAGTACGAAAAAGTCTTTGGACGAGGCCACCAGAACCTGCGGTAAAGACCCGACAGCCGCCCGCAGCTTCATTCGCGTGGTGCCCATCGCCTTTTCTTCTTGTTTTTGCAGTTTTCTCATCTCTACTGATGAGTATCGTTGCCGCCAGCACTAGCAGCGCAGCAGCTTCGCGTCGCGCCGCTGTAGTTGACCACCGAGAGCAAGCGACCGCCTTCGCAGCAGACGTCGAGCATTTCACGGCGCGCACGTGCGGAACCAGGAATCGCGATAAGATTCTTGCATTGTGCGCGCCATCTTTGAAGACGGGACCACGGGGTGGATCAAGATCTATTTCTTCGTCGCAGGAGCCGCAAAGGACAAGCTCTGGCGTCGACATCCACACGGCTGCTCAGCAAACCATGAAAGCACTCGCCTGCCACCTCAGCGAGCACATGCGGACGCTGGTTCTTCAAAATTCGGAGCTAATGGCGACGGGAAGCACAGGTGAACATGCTACGGAAGAACCTACAACAGCAGCCGAGTTGCTTGCCACCGCGCACCGCTGCAAGCTCCAGTCATCTTGCGTTGACGAAGTGGTTGATTTCGTTTTTGACATGACGAAGTCCAAATCTCCGTTGAACAAAATCTACAACTCCCCTAGCAGCCACCGAGAGAGTGAGTCAACAGCAAATGATGAGATGAACGGAGATACATCTAGTAGGACGATATCTCGCCTTTGCCAAGATCTGTTTCCGGCCGCCGTAGGAACGATACTGCAGTTGTCTTCTGGAGGTGGTGCAGCAGCTCCTGCACGACAGAAGATATTAACTTCGGCAAAAGCTTTTACCGCTGAAATCGATGGCGGGACTGGTGAGCAAACAGTTGACACTGGTGGTGTTCATCTATCGTCCGGAACATCAATCGGAGCAAAGCCTACACGTCGCCCGGATGAAGATATCGTTGAGGAACATGATCAAAACAGCCCAGGAAATCACCACCCAGCTGTCGCTGCTGTTGCTCATCCTCATCGTCCTGCGAGCCGCGAGATGACAGAATTTCTACTTGATGGGGCGGCGGCCCCGGTGTCGGACTCAGTTTCCCTGCACGAGGAATTTCTTACCGACGGAGGTGGACGTGGACGAGGTGGCGTAAATAAAACCATGCTCACCTCGTCGTACTATTCTGATAGTACAGCAGACAGAGGCGGCAAGAACGCTACGCAACAGCAGTCCAATCAACCTAATACCTTCCCCCGGCGACTCGCGTTCGCTTTCCCAACCGTTACGGCGCTTGTTCCGATAGCAACTTCTATGTCGGATGATGATGACTACGGTCGTGACGGCAGTGACGCGGGAGGAGGCAAATTAAACTGCACCGACGAAACCTTCTGTTTGCGCCTCGCGAGCGCTGTAGCAAGTAGTTTGCGGAGCACGGAGTTGACAAGAACATATTCTGCAACTACTTCTGCCTCGGCAACTACCCAACTGTTTCTCATCCCCGCCAAAGTTTCCGTCTCGATCGAAAATTGTTTCAGTTGTACGACGGACTTTACCTCATCCCCGGCCACAACTACCTCGAAGAACAGCAGTGGGAACAACACTACTAGTACGACGAGCAGTGCCAGTACTACAGCCAGCAGCTCTAGCAGTAGCACGTCCTTCACCTCTTCGTTTTCAGTGTCTTCACCAGGAGGACCGTTTACCGGTCGTGGACCAGAAGCAACACCACCTGCAGGAGACACAGAATACCTCGTCTCCTCTTCAAGGCAACGAACAGCCCCATCCCTCCTCGACGCAGCGGCTGCGGCAGAAGACGAAACGGCTCGCGTTTTAAAGAAGCACCACAAGAGCGACGAGGGCGCGCTGGGACGAGAGCGAGAGGGCGACAACGACGACTCTAACGTGGATAATTGGATCTCCCCCTTCGTGACCGGCGATGTCGAGTACTTTACCTACACCAGTCCTGCTGCCGCCCTGACCGCTGCTTCCAATCTCTCACTCACCGCCTGTGTGGACGATGTGGGGAAGAGTCTGTTGACAAAGTTGATTTGGGAGCGAAGTCGAACGACCAGTACCAGTGCCAGTAGTACAGATAGCGCGAACAAGAAGTACAACGCGCTGCAGCAAAAATCGCAGGCGGCGGTCACCCAGCAGGATGAAGAAGGGACCACTTCTGCGTCAGCACCCGGTTCTTCGACAGACGAGCAAACTAGTACCCTATCTTCTATCTTCCAACAGGTAGACCAAAACGAGGTGGCAACCTGGTTTTCGACCTTCGTTCTGTTCCACATCAAGGAGTCGGCGCTGTTTCAAGCGGGTTTTTTGAAGAATGGCACAACATCAACTTCACCTGGTGGGAGCAGCAATACCAATACAAATGGTACAGCATCAAATAGTTCGACGCAACTTGTAGGGCAGCAGGTGGAAATCCAGTGGGTTCACTGCGACGAAGCGGTAAAGGAGTTGTCAAACTTGCGGAAAATAGGCCCCGGAGTCAACGTACTAGGGAGTACAAGCGATGAATCCTTCGGTCACTGGCTTTCCAACTTGTCCCACGAGCATTTGTTCGTGTTGATTGCGGCGTTGGCGAGCATACTAAGCTGTTTGTTGTCCGTCGTAGTGTTGTGGATGCAGAAAGGTGGAAGTGGAACAAGTGCTGGGACGAATGGTGACGGTAGAACCAGAAGCAGCGCAGTTGCTCGAACGACGAGGTCGGCCTCATTTTCACCTCCGAACAAAGATGCTGTGACGATTCAGCGGATCGATGTGACAAAGCATCAAATAAATACTGGTCCTGATGCAGAAGAAGTGCTGGAAGAAGATGATGATGGCCCACCTTTGCACTAGGTTTGTTCTATCCGTCCTCGTCCCCGGTGAGATGAATGAAACAAAAATAAAAAACGCATATTATGTCAGCCAGTCCCAGTCCCGCGCAAATTATGTGCGCCACATCAAAATGAATAAAGCAGTGTCAAAAACACGTACCAAGATGATAAAGCAGGCCGTCTTGCGACTTCTTAGCTCGGCCATCTTGCGACAATTTGACTCATGTGTCAAGTTGCGGTTGCCTCCGTTGTTGTACCAGCGCAGCGGAACTGATGCTGTGCCTAGCATTTTAATTTTTGCCGCTTTTCCCTTATCGAAGTTTTTTTCGCTACTATGATTATATGTTCTGCGACATTGGTACGGTCTTTATTACGGGGGGGGAGGGTGTGGATGGAAAAACAAATGCAAACTGTACCGGCGAAAGAGGGTTGAAAAACAAAAGCAGCAAGGGTATAGAATGTCGCTCTGCAAAGTAGATGTAGGTGAGTTTGAATTTAAAATAAAGTTGAGAATGTACCATCTACACGCAGAAATGATGGTTTACCGTGGGTTTGATTTTGTGCGAGCGACATGCAAGAAGAGATTTGCTGAGTAAAGAGCGAGAAAACAAGTCGCTCTGCTGTTTCCCGTGGCTGCGCATATTTAGCAAATGTAAACAATTAGGTAAAAACACCAATATCGTACCAGTGCTGTACTTCTGAAGAACAACCACCTAGCCGTCCTATTTTTAGCATCGTATTTGGATTACCACATCAAAAATGACGCTCTCCTCCCACGAGCCAAACGGAGGCGCGTCGAGCCTGGCTGTGGCACCAGACAGAGCAGCCGTGTTGCTGCACCAGGCTGAGCCTAGTCCAGCAGGGCGGGGTGGAGGAGCAGGAGGCTCTAGTGCTACTGCTAGTACCAGCAAACAGAATAGTACCGGCACTGTTGTTCCTACTACCACCACCACCACCACCGCCGGCGTGAAAAACATCGCCAGGATTCCGATCCCTACCTCCAACTCCCGACGCCCTAGTATTGCGTCCGGAAACAGCTCCGCGCGGAGCCGGATCTGCAATAATTTACTGAATGTGAATCAAAGTCTCGGAGGGGTGAGAAGGTTATCCGTGCATTCCCGGGACACGGAGCGAAGCGGTTGTTCTACGGCTCGGGGTGGAGGGTCTACTTGCCACCAACGACCAGACAGTGCGGGTCATTATCAAGTGTAAAAATGTCTGGGTCTGGAAGATTCTGACACTTGTCATGCACGTTTTGCATGAGCCGTGATGTCTGTGATGCATACCCTAGCAATACAGATTTTTTGACGGCTTCTTGATGTGTATTCCGCATGACAAATGCTTTCTCAGCGTAGCAAAATTTGCATTTCCTTTGGTACTCATGCAATACAGATTTTTTTGAAATCCCAATGCAGCATCACAAGTTGCATTCCTCCAGACCCAGACATTTTTACATTTGATAATCATGCGGGTGGAACAACGTCGTCGAAAATAAGCGCCGCGTCAGTACTATGCGTTGCAAAAGTATCGTACTCGTAGTGATTGCAGTCATGCATTGCAAATTTCTTTCTCAAGTCGAATTCGCATTACAAATTTCATTTCTCATGCAGCGGAAATTTGTCATGCGATTTATACACGTGCGATGCCTTTCCCTTTCGCGCAGTTCATAAGTACTACCCCCGCCGCTCTTACCACAGCAACTCTCCTCCGGGCAGATTACATCAGTCCGAAAAACCTCGCTGCAGTCCAGCCACATTTCCTCTCAGTTTTCCCAGCCGGGCAGCGATTTGTTTTCACACAGCGCGGTGTCGTCGACGGGAACGTCGATGTGGTTATGCGTTGCAAATTTGTAGTCTGGGTCTGGAAGGCGAAAGTTGCAACTTGTGATGGTGTCCCAGGATTCTAAAAAAAATTTGCGTTGCATGACCAGCAAGAGCAGGAGTTCAGTTTGTGCTACGCGGAGAGGGCGCTTCTGATGCAGAATAGGTATCCGGAACAGGGAGCCATAAGCTGTGTTGCTAGTTCATGCATTACAGGCGTCATGTGTCGTGGAAAATATGCATGACAAACCTGGCAATCTTCCTGACCCAGACATATTTGCAGTGGATAGTGGTATCACAGCGAGAATTTTTACCTAGATGACGGCGGGGCCGGTCTGCAGAGCCGGTTGGGCCGGTTGGAGTACCAGAATTTGGAATTTAATTATATCACGAAGAACAAACTACGACAGTTGCCCCCAATTTACACGACGACCATGGGGCCTGGATCATCAACATCGTCGACAACGGCTAGCACGGCCAGCGCATCCGCAAATCAAAATTGTGCTGGTGCCAACGCAATAAACAAGGCTACCACAGTAGATCGCCCGTCCATTTTCACGGTTGGGAGTTCGGCGACAAAGCGTCACGGGGGGTTCTTCCAGGAACAGGAGAATGCGAAGTACGTTACCGAGGCGGAGAACACCTATGAATACCATCAAAAGCTGCTTGCCTCTAACAACGCAAACCCCACGACTAGCTATTTGCTCCCGGGGTTGATTTATTCTCTGCAAAACTATCGTACTCGTATAAAAAAATGCATTACAAACTTTCTCAGTATGAGCACTGGACTTTGTCATGCTGTTTTACCGTAAGGACAAGATTTGTCATGTATAGTTGCAATTAGTACGCTACGAGTGCGATACTTTTGCCATGCATATGATTTTTCTGAACATGCTCGTCCTGGGGATCGAAACCGACGCGCACGCGGATACGTTTACCTTTTCACCGTTGTTCTACTCGTTAGAGTATGAATTGCGAATAGAAGTATCGTACTAGTACTAATCGCAGTCATGCAAGACTACAAGTACCTTTACCTTTTTTGATGGTAAATCCGCATGACAAATTTCATTTCTACTCATGCTACGGAAACTTGTCATGCGAATTCTGCTACTACGATACTTTGACTTTTCCAGTGCATATAGAGGTGTTTTTCTTCCTCGCGTTTTCCTTCGAATTGTATCTGCGGTTGCGGAAGGACTTCCAGAAAGAAAGTGAAGAAGACGAGGACGAGATGGAGGACGAAAGGGCGTCAACTTTTTCAAGAACCTCCGGAACGGGTGCTGCCAGTGTGTCCAGAAAAAGTTCGGAAAGTCGGAACGTTTTTGACAACAAATCCTCTATGCGCACGTCGGGGACGTCCAGTGGTAGAACGAGAGGCTTTATGCATTTTTGCAAATATGTCTGGGTCTAGAAGGATGGACGCAGGGTTTGTCATGCTTGTCTGGCATGACGAAAGAGTTTGTGATGCGTGTCCAAGAAGAGACCCTTTGGCTTGTCATGCAAAACGCAGGTTGTCAATGTCATGCGGAAAGCGCAACACTTCTAAGCAGCGAAAATATTTCTCATGCTTGGCTGTGCATAATACAGAGAATTCACTAGTCACAACTCAGCACAACTACAAGTTTCCAGACCCAGACATGTTTGCACTCGATAGGCTTGCAGTCGTCCGTGTATTCCCAGCGGGTCGAATTGACGGAAAACTGGTATGCGAATTACGGAGATGATAATCATGATGAGGACGAGCAGGAGCCAACTTCTGATGCTGGTGCCGATCATCGTCATCTAGAGGGAGATCGAGACCATCACGCACGAGCAAATGAGGTGGTCGCGATCAGTGTCGACCAGATGAACGGATTCCAAAAGCGGTCGGCGTTTCTCGGAAGAAGAAAAGGCAGCTCTAGTTCTTCTTTTTCGGGAAGCAGAACTGCGGGGGATAGCAAATACAGGAGCCGTAGTGGGGATGAGTTTATGGCAGAAGGTAAATTGAGCTTTTCAATTTGTATGTACTATAATTTCAGAAATTGCATGTTGAAGTTATACCTCTTCGTTGCGTGGTGCTTTGTCATGGTTTTCTTACAACCCTAAAGAGAAAGTGCGAGACTGTCGCAGTATCATCGAACATTCACCTCCCGACGGCACATGATTATTCACACAGACCCTGCAACTCCAATCACTATAACATACAGGCCCGGAAGATGAATTATATCAACCAGACCTGCCAGGCCAGAGTCCTCGAATGAATTCGTCGGACATAATACGAAACGGCAAGGATGGAGAACATCAGGCTGCTGCCGCAACAGGTCCTGTGGAAGATTCCTCCGAAAGTAACATGCTGGAGAGCCGTAGAGACGAGGATCATGGCGATGCAGCAGCAGCAAAAGCTGCCTCCTCCTCCACTTCGCGAATGAACAGCAACTCTGCCTCCCCCCCTGTTCTCCGCCGAGCGGGATCCCGGATTAGGAAAAACAGCATTAAAGAAAAACCGCGGATCCACCGGATGTCTAGCACTTGCTCCATGCCGGCGATAATGGATCATCGCGACGTATGGCGTTCTCAACTGTTACATTCTCAAGTGTTACATGAATTTGTCATGCAAAAACACTATCACTCTCAACACGATCACGCCTTCTCCGCATGACAACTTCTCGACGCGCTAGATAGCATTATATTCTGCTCCAAACCTGTAATGCAAAAGGCGCAACGTTTTCCCTTTCACTTTTGCCATTCTTGCATTACAAATTTCATGTAACAGTTGAGAATGTAACGTTTGAGAACGCCATACGACGTCGGTGCGACTGCAGAACGAGGACAGTGCGACGATTTCGCGTTGGAAGAGCAACAGCGAGGACAGCAATCCCGGATATCAACAGCTCGCCGCCGCAATTCGCAGAAATCGCGGAACTCCCGGGTAGAAAATTCCACCAGGGCTAACGCGGAACAAGAGGTGGACAACAAAACGGACGCGAGCTTGCGGAAGTACAGCAGTCTCAGGTCGCGGATGTTTCAGAGTTCGGAGGATTTGGGAGAAAACGAGATTGACAATCTAGAAGATGTATCAAATGTAGAAATGTCTGGGTCTGGAAGATTCTGAGATTTGTCGTGCGTGTTTTGCATGACCCAGGATGTCTGTAATGCACGACCGCGCGTCACAGATCTTGAGAGGGCTTCCCGATGCCTACTCCGCATGACAAACGCCCTCCCCACGTAGCACAAACTAGACTCTTCTTGCTGGTCATACAATACAGATTTTTCTGGAGTCCAAAGCTAGCATCACAAGTTCCAATCTTCTAGACCCAGACATTTTTACAGTTGATAAGATGAGGAAGAGGAAGAAAAAGCTGCTCGGATGAACAGGAGAAGGGCAGCAAGCATGCTCCGTCGTGGGCAGTCCTTCATCGCGAAAAAACCGACCTCCATGCGGCGGCAAATGTCCATGTGCAGCAACGCCGGTGGAGTCATCACATCCTCAACCAGCCGGCGTGCAGCGTCTTCTGGAGCCGGCGGTGGCGCGCGGGCGACAAGGACGAACAGCCAAGTGTTCGCCCGCAACTCTGCGTGTTTTAACCGGCCCATTGCTATGGGTATGGCACGCCGGATCTCGCAGCAAGGACGGAATTCAACCAGTAACAGCACCTTTCACGAAAGAGACAACAACAACGGAGGTGTCAGCGGGGCGGAGGAAACGAGTGGTGCGGACAATGTCAGTCGAGGTACTACTGGAGCTGGTGGAAGAAGTTCCGGAAATGGGACAAGACGGAGCAGAACCTCGGGAAATCTGCAAAGCAAATCGACGATGAATTTGGAAACCGGGTCGAATGGTCCATCAAATTCAAAATCCCCCTCGAAGCTACCCCGGCGGCGCACCGGGTCAAGCTTGTTCAAATCCCGGTCTCGTGGTTCGAGCTTCACGCGCTCAAAGTCGAGTTTATACAACCGGAGTCGCAGTAACCTCTATGGGTGGAGCGGGAGCCGGAAATATTATGGTAGTAACCGGAATAGCAGGTTTTTACTGGTCGCACAACAACTCCCACAACAAATGAAGCAGAGCTTTCTCGTGGTGAGGCAGCGGCTCACGCAGATCTCCCGATATGAAATGCAAAAGCCTCGTACTTACTAGTAGAAATCGCATGACAAATTTACTCAGCATGAAAAATGAAATTTGTAATGCGGATTGAGGTTGTAGATTTGTAATGCATGACTGGGATTAGTGCCACGAGTACGATGCTTTTGCACAGGATACCCGAAGGATTACGACCACTTTGACCCGGCCCAGTCGGAAGCTCAGCAACAGTTTTGTCATGCGGAAGTCAATATGAACTGCAAAAGTAATGTACTAGTGTAAATTGCAATACAAATTAGCTCAGCATGAGAACTGGACTTTGTCATGCTGTTTTACCTTAAGGACAAGATTTGTCATGCGTACTTATTTTGCAATTAGTACGAGTGCGATGCTTTTGCAGTGCATAGCTAATCTTACCCGCAAAGAAGAAAGCGAAGAACTTGCTCCGGGGTTTCGCGGTGAAGGCAAAACAAGCCTGGACCCGGTATTCAGTCATTGCGCAAAGAACGATACTGCGGCGAGAGAAGCTGCAGAGGCAGAACACGAGGATGGCTCCGAATAAAGAGCCGAAGGACAGAGAAGCTGCGAAAGAAATTTTGCAGAAGTCAAAGTCAAATTTATCGTCGCAAACTAATAACCCTGCTGCAACGACGAGTAAAACCAATATCAAAAACCTGGCGGTACAGCAAGTGGGTACCTTGCCGTCCCCAACGGATTCCCACAACAGCACGGCGACCTACGAAACCAATCACACACAGAACTCGCAACAATCCTGCTCGACTGCAGGTGTGAGAAGCAACACGACAAACAAAGCTGCTCTTTTGAAGAACAATCAAACCCGGTCCTACGCCGACCATTGGAATAGCCTCTTCAGCCTGTTCGGCGTGGGCCTGCCGCAGAGCCAAAAACACTCCACAAAAACGAACTACTCCGGCGATACAGACAAGGACAATACGCTGTTGGTTAGACAGGGAAGCAAAAACAGCACTTTTGGGCAAACAGCCGTTGCCGGCACGGGAGCAGCAGGTTCGTGTGGCGATCTCTCCTCCACTTCGCGCTTGTTGAACAATCCCCAGCGCAAGCAATCCGTTTTCCGAAACGATTCGCTCTTCACGCAGTGCTATGCATTGCAAAAGTATCCTCGTACTCGTATAAATGCATTGCAAATTCCCCCAGCATTACAAATTGAATTTGTAATGCTGATTTACCTTGAGAAAGTATAGTGCATAAACGCAATTACTACGAGTGCGATACTTTTGCACAGGATAAGTGCTCCTCGTTGGCGCACCAAGAAGCCGGAGTTTCGAAGGTGAGCACGCCGAATACCAAAAGGAAAAATCCCCCCACCCCGTATCAAAACGAAGTTTCTGATGCTGGATTTGCGTACACAAATCAGATTTGTCTTGCTGGCGAGGACTGCAGGCCCATATCAAGCCTGAGAAGACAGGTTTTTGCCTAGGCGCTTAGCATGCCAGACGTCTACGCTGTAGGAGCATGAGCATGACAAACCGGCTGCAGAATGCGGACGGGCCTGTGGAGTTGCTTTCATGCAACACAGAAACGATTTGTGGTCACAAATCAGCAACGCAAATTCTCGAAAACGTACCTTGTCAATATGGGGAGGAGGGATTTTTCCTTCTGATACCGAACAAACGAAAAATGTCGGTGTTGGCCGGGGGAATGAGTTGTACTCTCGGGGGCGGAGGGGTCGTTGGCGGCAATCGATTCTCTTTCCTACAGAACACTCCGAACAGTGCCTCGAAGTCGAGTAACTGGGCGGTTCCGCAGTCCTTCTCGCCGGAGAACCAAATTATGATGAACAAATTTAACCAGGAGATGATCATCGAATTCTTCGAAAAGATATCTAACAAAAAAGTGTTAACGTTAACGGTTTTCAATTTCACAGATGGCAGCTATGCATTACAAATTTTGCCTTCCATGCATGCTACGCAATACAAATATGGGCACCTCTTCTGATGCATTACTGCATCACAAATTCCGTTAACGTTGACGCTTTCTCTTGCGATAAAAGAAGAAAGGAAACCTGCTCCAACGACTGACGAAGATCGAAGACCCCTACTGGGTGCTTTTCTATCAAATGCAAATATGTCTGGGTCTGGAAGATGATTGGCAGGTTTGTCATGCATATTTTGCATGACCCATGATGCCTGTAATGCATGAGAGACTTTTCGAGGGCTTCCTGATGCTTACACCGCATGAGAAATGCCCTCCCCGCGCAACACCAATTGGACTTCTCTCACGCAATACAGATTTTTTCAGAATCCAAGGACAGCATCACAAGGTGCATTCTTCCAGACCCAGACATATTTGCAATGGATATTTTCGACTTGTCGATCATTCTCGCCGCGGGCTTGGAACTGGTTCTTGCGGGCTACTTTCACACCACCCACACGGAGAAAACGCCAAGTCGCGCGCGGTGTTTGGAGGTGTTGAGAACCCTGTCGTTACTGCGGATTTTGCGGTTCCTGAAACTTCTGCATTTCAGCAAGGAATTACTGCTTGTGAGTCGGGGTTTGGTGGTCGCGTTGTCTACGATATCCTGGATTTTGATCCTTTTACTCCTCTTCCTCTACGTGAACGCGCTCTTTCTCGTGCGGTTCATCGGCCAGGACTTCGCGGAAGACATGCGGCGGAATGATGGGAGTTTATCGCCGCACGCGTGCCAAATCGCCAAGGATTTCGGCACAGTGACGCAGGCGATCTACCACCTGTTTGTCGTGTTTACCCTGGAGGAGTGGCCGGTCATCGCGGAACCCTTTCGCCAGGAGCTGGGAAGCGGCTTCGGGTGGTATTTCGTCGCGTTCATCATGGTCATATCCACAGCACATTTCCTGTACACGACGTACAAATGTGGTCTCTGCATGACAAAAACGTGGCTTCGATCCTAGTTTAGCATGACAAGTTTTACGCTCCAAACTGGTGAAATTTGTGATGCATCTTGTGCATGTACGGGAAATTTGTGTTGCATAGTTCACGAATTTCATCGTGTTTTCGCTCGTGATCGCCATGGCACTGCAGAACATCAAGGCGATCAAACAGATCCAGGAGCTGCGGTTGCTCCAGTCGCTCTCCATGCAGAAAAACCACTTGAAAGGGCAACTCGTGGAGCTGTTTCGGCACTGTTGCAGCTTTGAAAAGGTCTGCTTGGAACATCAATTGGCGCAAGAAGACGTGGTGGAGGAGGGGGAATGCGAAAAAAACGCCTGCGGTGCAACAGCAACATCAGCGGCACCTCCATGTGCCGCGGACCATGCAGCTGAAAATCCTCAAGCGGTTGTGATGTGCAGAGGTGAAGACACCACTGTTGAACGAGCTGACGATGACAACGGCGTGGAAGCGAGAAAAGATAAAGATCAACAAGCCACATCAATCAGCGGAGGTCCTCCGGACAAAAGGAACAGTAGCAACGAGGCACTATCGACTACCAATACCGCGTCAGCAGATGAATTCGGGAACGATAAGATTCAGAACAGCACTTCCAATCTGGCGAAGGACATCTTCAAAAATGAACGTAGTACTGCAGGTTGTTGTGCTCTAGCTGGCACTTGTTCCAGTAGTTCCTCGGTGTCAACGTCGATGAACAATGGCACGACTACTTCTGGTATCAAATGCAAATATGTCTGGGTCTGGAAGAAAAAGAACGCAGGGGTTTGTCATGCAGATTTTGCTTGGTCCATGAGGTCTGTGATGCAGGCCCTGGCATCAGAGATTTTGCGAATGCTTTCTGATCCTCATACCGCATGAGAAATGCCCTCTCCGCGTAGAACAAATTACACCTCTTTTGCTGTTCATGCAATACAGATTTTATGTAGAGTCCAAAGGTAGCATCACAAGTTACACTGTTCGTCCAGACCCAGACATATTTGCAATTCATATCTGGTGAACAACAACAACCTCCGACTTTGTCTCTACAACAATTTCGGGAGATCATCACCCAGAGCAACACGGCCAGATTCGAGTGGAAGAATGTACTGAGCAGCGGGGACGCGGGCTCGCGCAGTAATGAGGATAATAAGGACCACTACAGCGCCAGCCCCAGCGTTCCAATGTCCCGCACGGAATCTTCTGATGAATCCGAAGAGGAACAACCCGAACCAGCACGGCATGTGGCTGCAGCTAGTACAAGTAACGCCGTCTCCAGTTTTAGTGTAGTTTCCGCCGCCTCCAAGCCGCTTGACGAAGAGGGAAAACAAGCATCAGCAGGAGCTGCAAGTAGTCCAAAGAAGAGTAAGCAGGTAAAGAACCTGAATGCAAGAAATCCTGTCCAACTGAAAGCGTACCACAAGAAAACCCGGACGCTGGTTCGCGAAATCCAGGAGCTCTTGGAGCACGCCCAGTACTCTACCACCGGGTTTGACCTGCTTGGGGAAAACTCGCTCCTGTTCGACATCTACGAATCCGAAGAAACGAAGCTGACCGAACACCAGTTTTGCCAGGGGCTCGACACAGCCCTGAGCTCCGAGCACAGTCGCGGGATTTTGAAATGTCAAAATTACGTATCAACTGCAAAAATGTCTGGGTCTGGAAGAGTCGGGGCCTGTCATGCACATTTTGCATGACCCGTGAGGTCTGTGATGCTGGTGCTAGCAACACAGATTTTTTGAGAGCCTCTTGATGCTAATTACGCATGAGAAACGCCCTCTCCGCGTGCCAAGAACTGAGTCCTCTTGCTGCTCATGCAACACAGATATTTTTGGAATCCGCAGACAGCATTACAAGTTCCACTCTTCCGGACCCAGACATATTTGCAATCCATATTACGTCGTGCGAGCGCTGAAGCAGAAGTTTATCGTGGAGGGGAATGGGATATCCTGTGCAAAAGTATCGTACTCGTACTAATTGCAGTCATGCATTACAAATCTCGTTGCCGAGGCAAATCAGCATGACAGATTGCATTTGGCATGCTGAGGGAATTTGTCATGCAATTACTATATATTATATTCATGCGAAAAAAGAGGTAGACAGAGGGTAAACAAGAGGTGGCCGAGAGGTCAAAAAGAGGTCAAAAGAGGTAAAAAAGAGGTCGACAGAGGTGGAGAGGTGGCGCGGGACCCCTTTCGAGAGGGCCGGCGAGAGGGTGCGCGAGTATAGCCCGCCGAAGGACCCACCCTAAGGCGGCGCCTAAGTGCCTCAGAGGGTGCAGAGAGGTCAAAAAGAGGGGGCGCGAGAGTTCGACAGAGGTGGCGAGAGGTGGCGCGAATAAGGGGCGACCTCTCGCGGACCCTCTTGGCCACCTCTCGGCCACCTCTGTCGACCTCTACCCGCGAGTATAGCCGGATTATTAGCGGGGACCCCCAAAAGAGGCCAAAAAGAGGGTCTGCGAGAGGTCTGCGAGAGGGTAAAACACAAAGAAGCGGGCGCGAATCCGCATGGCACTACCCATATTTGGCACTGCAGGCCATTCGCGGAGCTGTTTTGTTCGGCGCCTTTCCGCGCCACCCTCTCGCGCCACCCTCTCGCGCACCCTCTCGCGCCACCCTCTCGCGCTACCCTCCCCCGCCGGGCGGTTTCTGTTCGCCCCCGGTGGTCTTTGCAGCTGCTCCCTGCGCAGAGCGCCCACAGGCGCGGGAAGCGCGCAAGTGGTCCTGCGGGTTGGCGCGGCGCAATGTGTTTCGTTGTGCATAGGCCCGCGGGGTTGTGGTCCTATCGGCAAACAGTCTTGCCCCGACCCAACAGCCTTGCGCTCCGGCGGCAGCCGGAGCATGGCTGGTTTGTACTAGTACGATACTTTTGCAGTTCATATGGGAAATTTGAGAAACTCTCCAACTCAATCCGGGAGTTGAAACAGGGGTTTGGAGCGCTGGATAGAATTGCCGGCGATAAAAATGTGAAGATTGCTGATTCGCACGGAGGTTCTGGCGATGGTCCTGATGACAATGATGATGGGAAGCACAACGGCGGTCATTCTAGTTTTGGTTTATCAAATGGAGAAAGAACAGCGGGTCCAGCGAACCTCCATCTGCACGACCGTGCGACGACGGAGCGCCCCGAAGGTCAGTGTGATGTGTTAGCCGGAAAGGAACAGACAACATGTGAAAATAAGCAGCTAAGGCCCGCCGCCTCCAAGAACAGTGCCGCACCTGGACACTCAACCTCTCATCACGCAGCAGTTCCGGTTCCGGCAGGAGGTCCAAGCAGTACCACCACACCAACTTCCGTAATGTTTGCAAACAAGAACAACTTCTGCGAGCATCCCTCACTGGAGCAGCCGAGTTGGCCGTTGTTTCGCGAAGGCTCGTCCAGCAGTACCTCCTGCAGCACCTCTGCGACGAAGACAGGAGCACTGGTTTCGCCGCGACCCCCCATGCTCCCCCCGCCGAGCTGCTTGCAGGCGCAACAAGCCAATTATCCCACCACATTAGGCACTGCGACCGCCGCGGGTTTCGTCCCACCACAACTTCCAACGGTGCAGCAGCACATCGTTCCTGGTGGGCCTTTTATTGCAACACAAATCACGACTTCAGCGACGACCAGTTCTAGCTCGTCGAGTTTCCAACAAGTATCCTCGCAGGCCGTGTCGTTCTCCAATCAGTCTTCGAATCCGAACAACATGGACCGATCCTCCTCGGAACCCGTCAGTTTGCACAGTTACAGCCACACCGTGTCACTTTCCGGGGCTTCTAACTCGATCGTGACAGTACCGACGCCATCAAATGTAAAGATGTCTGGGTCTGGAAGCTTGCCAGGTTTGTCATGCATATTATGGAAGACTCATGATGTCTGTGATGCATGCTCTAGCATGACAGATTTTTAGAGGCCTTTGTGATGCCTCTACCGCATGAGAAATGCCCTCTCCGGGTAGCACAACCACAAACTGGAGCTCTGTTGCCGGTCATACAATGCAAATTTCTTTAGAATCCAGAGACAGCATCACAAGTTTAGAATCTTCCAGACCCAGACATTTTTGCATTTGATAGACGCCAGCGACTGGCAGTCCAACTGTGGGGTTCAATACTGTTTTTCACGGTGGTATCGCAAGAAAAAACTGTTTCACTGTAAACCTGTAATGCAGAAAATGCATGACTGAAGTGTTTGTCTTGCTACACATGCAAGACAAGTGATTTTTAGCGGTGTGTTCGCTTCGGCTCCTCGCATGGCAAGTTTTCTTTGTAATGTGTAGCGAACTTGTAATGCAAAACTTGCAAAATCCTTCCAGCGAAACAGTTTTTTCTTGCGATAGGTGGCGCGGGGGCGCCAGCAGCCAGCACGCTTGTTTTATCGTCGCACCAAGTAGAACATCTTGCGACGGGACCAAATAGCTACGCTAACGCCAGCGCCTTGTCAGGAGTTGCAGAACAAGGTCACTCGTCCTCGTGCGGCACTGCACGTCAAAGCGGAGGCAGTACTACTGCTATCGGGTTCTTTAATATCCAAGGAAAAAACTGTGTTGGTGTAAGTCTTTTGGGAAAACTGCATCACAAGTTTGTCTGCCACGACAGGAAAAACTTGTTATGCGCAGATAGGAAGGGAAAACACAGAGAAAGCGAGCCGATAATGCATGTCGAGCATGATAAAGATAAGTGTGACTGTTTTGCATTTTCTGCATCACAGATTTACTTTTACACTTACAAACACAGTTTTTTTCTTGCATATTTGAAGCAGTCCCACCCCCGCCTCCTCGTCCCGAACGGGCGGACTCGTTGGTCGTTATGGGGACAACTGCGGGTCCTACTTCTGCAAATGCTAATCGGTTGTGCCACGACCTGCCAGGCACGATCCCCTCGCCGCCAGGAAATACCAGTTCCTCTGACGCGGCTAGTACAACACAGGATCTTCTTGAACCTCACATGCACAACAACAATCCGCCAGCGTTGCTGTTCCCGACCATACCGGCGTGCCCGTCCCAGCCGCACGTCGTGATTGCAGGAGCTGCCCAAGAACAGCAAGAATTGAGAGCAGAAACAACAGCTCCATCAGGCGGAGATGAGCTTGTCGTGGTACACGATATGCCAGGCGGGTATTCGGCGATCACCTCTCCTTCCATCACCAACGCGGGAGGACATCAACTCGAGGACCACGATCCTTTTCTAGACGCGTGCTTCTATCCGGAATACAGTGTGACTGTTAACGGGGAAGACGCGGACTGTAGCGCGAGCACCAGTTACTACAATGAAAAATGCCCTCACCCCGGAATTTGCAACAGTTTGTCATGCGAAGTTTCCAAATGAAAGGTTTTTGTCTTGCATAAAAGGGCTGTGAGCCTCTCTGATGCAGAATCTAGGTGCGCAAGAAGGTGTCTTGTCCAACAGCAACCGGATCTGTTAAACAGATCCGGTTGCTGTTGGGCTCCTTTGCAACACAAATTTAAGCTCTTCAGCATCGAAAATTTGTGAAGCTGAGATACGCATGACGGGGAATCATGTTTATGTTTCCATTGGAAAGGTTTGCCTTTGCACAACAAATGCTGCCAAGTTCCGGTGTGGGGGCATTTTTCATTGTAAGACCAGTGTTGGTGGCGGTGGTCCTGCTCGCCCAGCGCAATCGCCGATAACTACGCTTGTCGCGGCTAATGCGGATCATAATGGAGAGGACCGTGCAGCAGGAGCGTCATCGTCAACATCCTGCGAATCTTCGTCAGACGACGCGGACGAGGAGTCGTTCCGCGCTTGTTCCGACGGAGAGCAAGAAGTAGGTGAAGAAGATACAACCCCCAGCAGCTCCGTCTGTACTAGTCGTCTTTCCTGCGACGTCGATGATGATACTGTATCATCTTGTTCGGGAGAGGAAGATCAAGATGCTTCGTCCGACTACACCGGAACATCTTCTAGTAGCCCGTGCAACAACTCCCCTACGTCTGACGCAAGAGGACCATGGTCGTCGGATTTTTCTCCTAATGTGGGAAAGCTGGCAGTCGCAGGGGACGATGTCGACGGAGATGAATCTGTGGATAATGTGGAAGATGCAGGAGCGGATGTTTCTCATGCGGAAATGGAAGATGAAGAACAATTTTTACAACAACAGCGAGAACAGAGGGACGAGGCGTTTGTGAAAATGTTGAAAAAGGTGATGCAAAAGGCGCTCGAAGATGAGGTGCAATAAAACTAGGAAGCCTTCTACAAGTAGCACGAGCGCGACAGGATAACGATAAGTGCAAGCTTCCTCTGTGCCTGTCCTATCCTCGTAAGTAGGTCGTTGTGTGCAGGAAACAGAAACTACTGTTGCAGCACTGTGGTGAGAAACGAAGTTATCCTCTACTGGGTCTGTCTCTGTCCTACTAAAGGCGAAGCTGGAGAATCAATTATCTTTTTTTAATGCGAAAAGGAAAATTCTCTCCGTTCGAACAATCCAAGTTCGAGCTGGTAGTTCAAAGTACTAGTTTGAGTTTCTTCCGTGATGTTTTTTTATCGAGTTCATCACTTACACTTTCATTTAGATGACTTTTATCGCAAGAATTGCGATTCATCCTTTCATTGAGCAAGTCTGTCGTGCTAAAAATTGTATGACCAGAATAAAGAGTAAGAGTCGGTACGCAAGTCAAGTATTTCATCTAAACAAGCAAGAGCACGAGCCCACGTTAGCGCATTGATGATGTACAGAGTTTTAGCTTTTACGTTGGCAGAGCCATTCATTTCTAATTCGATTTTTGGAATCCGCATCCAGTTCTGGACGTTGTTACACTTTTTTTTCAAACGCCGAAGATCGGCTTTCGACGTACTTGCATGTATGGACCATGACGACCAACCGCGACCACGTCCACGTTTCAACAACTGTATATATGAGGATGAGCATTGACGTGACATGCGATTATATCACGGCGGATTTCTTCGTCTTTGACTTTGTAATATCGAAGCCAACATTTCGCACTGCTTGGCTCCATTTTGACTACAACACCATAACAAAAGAGATTAAACTTCAACACCGGACGAGCGGCGGTAATTGTATGACGTTCAGAAGTAGATTCCTCAATACGACCCACCTACCCTTCTTGGGTGGAGCCGTGTTCGTAACGATTTTAGCAGTTTTTACAATGGAGCGGCCCGTTGTTGTTCTGAGTTCTGACAGTTGTTCGTGACATGAGACCAACTAGTGTTTATTACACCTGTGCGGCGAAAGTGACACCGAAAGCGAAAAGTTGTTTGCAAACGCGAGTATGCAGCTGCGCTGCGCGATCGATCAAAGCCGTTTATCTTTATGCCTTCGCTTTTATTTCGTGGCAGCCTCGTCGTAATTATCGCTCCTCGTCGTCGCAATTATTCGTCGTCGGAATCCGAATCGTTTCATTCCTGTTGGGTTGATATGTTTTTCTTTGTCGCATTCGCTTTCGAGCAGTCGATACGCTGCGTTTATAAATTCTGAAAAACTTCTACTCAGTCGTCGATCTGTTATTGAATAGGCTGACAGCAGCTGCACATGATCAAGACACCTGTTCATGGAAGAAGATGCATGTCGAGGACCACATTCACCCGCCCACAAAAATTGTCCACAACTCCAGGAGTATAATCGGTGAAGAACGACGAGTTGAAAGCGCACCGCAAGTAGCTTTTCGTCCGAGTTCGCGAGGGACGCGTTTTATTCTTGCGGAGGACGAGAACTTGTTTACTATTTCTTGAAGAACAGGTGAAACACGTGTGCACGTCGACCTGCAGGTCTTGCAGTGAAAACATGGCGAGCTTCATCCCGAGCAGCCGGCATTATCTGCAGAACGCCGTGCAGAACTTGTTCGAAAAAAACTTACAGCTGGCCACGGAGGAGGCAGAACAGCGCGGAGCGGACATCCAGCAGTATTACGAAAACCGGCCGTATATGCCTCGCAAAAGCATTGTCGCCGTTCTTGTCCTACTGTACTACTAGCGGAAGGCGCATGACAAACTTGCTCAACATGAGGAAAGGGGTTTCTCATGCGTATTTTCCCAAACACAGAGGTTTTGTAATTGTATAGCAATATTTGCAACGAACAGCACGGTAGCGTCGATACTTTTGCAAAGGATACCGTACGAGTGGGGTCCGAAGCTAGACAAGCTGAACGAAGATGGCGTCATTTTGTCTCCGCCAGACAAGAAAGACTACATCAACCTGCCCCTCGTGAAGACGATTCAAAACCCCAACAACCCGTACTCCCGAAACCCCAAGTCCGACAATTTGATCCTGAATCCAGGGAAAACGGAGGAGATATGCATGGCAACAGTATTGTTATCGTAGTCGTACTAGTAGAAATTATCGCATGACAAATGTCGTCAGCATGAGAAATAGAATTTTTCATTCTGATGCGCGTTGGAAAGGAGATTTATCGTGCATAATTGCAATTACTATCTACGAATACGATGCTTTTGCACATGATAGCAGAACCGGCGGAACAAGTTCGAGAAACTGGTAAACTGGAGCAAAGAGAATCTACACGACAAAAACAATATCCACTGCAAAAGTAAAAGTATCGTACTAGTCCAGCTAGTGGTGATTGCATATACAAATTTGCTTGGCATGACAAATGGAATTTGTATGTAATGCTGTTTTACCTTAGCCTTAGGAAGGTGGGAGATCTGTGATGCATAACTGCAATTAATAGTACAACGAGTGCGATATTACTTTTGCAGTGCATGAACAAGTTTGACGTGGACAGCACCAAGACGGAGGATTTGGGCAATATGCTGCGTTACTTTCGGGAAAACGTGCCCTTTGCCCAGAAACAGAAGATAGCCAAGCGGCTGCTGGATGAAGCCAAGGCGAGCATATTCGATATCCAAGTGGGGGAGAACTTTTGTCTGGCATAGCATGATTTACATAGGGTGATGTGCATCTTCAAGGTGGATTGTGCTTTTGTTATTTCTGACATCAGATAGGTGGGCAGTATCAGCTTCAGCACACAGTAAGAAGCTGCGCTGGCCACAAGCTTTCAATCACAAGATGTGATTACACAAGGCTGTATTGGTGCCTTGTCAAGGCACCAATTTTTACACAGCAGCAAGGTCGTGCAATGTCCAAACAATTTTCTTCATCTACGTTGGATACCTGGCTTAGAAGAGTTCCGAGCGCCGATACCGATTCCTGGAGGGATACGAAATGGCTTTGCAGAGGACAAGTTCTTTGAGTTGTCAAATCTTTATGAAGGGGGCTAGTTTGTCATGCAATGGATGCATGACCATGAGAGGGCGCCTTCACAGCTGCACGCTAAGACGGACCTGCTGGTGCACGGGATAATTTTCATCGTGCTTTTGCATCGTTCGACACGTTTAGGTGTTTGAATACAATGGCACCGACGCAAAGAGCTTTTTTCCTTCATACCCGCGGCAGAACGTCGCGTACCCGAAAATGGAGGAGTTTTTTTGAAGAATGAAGCAACACTACAGTGTATAGACAATGCGATCAATGAATTGCACCAGCACCAGACTCGATAGAATCAAACTCGCCTGGTCTCCTTCTTGTTCTCTTCCCGTCGAGGATGAGGATGACGCTCAACACGGACCACTTGCAGCTGGTTTTTGCTGGAGAGCTGACAGATACTAGTCGTCTTGGGATATCTATGTGTTCTGCAAAGTAGTCTCCACGGTTTTATCCGTCCGGTGTCCTCGTCGTGGTTTCTTGCGCTGAAGAATCACGGTGCCACATCTTATTCCAATCGGTTCTTGCAGATGGTGATTACTGTCAGATTTGAAGTCTAATACTGCTGTCCACGTCGGCACGTCTTCTACTGCTTCTATTGGATGTGTCGCTAGCCGATCATTCAGGATGAATGGTAAGTAGTTTTTAGCTGGACGACAAAGTACGGAACAAATTAATAAAACCACAACTACGGAGACGGATGAAGAGAATGGTCGAACTTAATAGAAGGTGGGAGTCATGCACAAGGAGTTGTTTGTAGTTTGAGAGTTAATGATGACGAAGTACTGCGTCCCGTAGTGCTAGTCGTTGCACTAGAGTAGAAACTAGTACAACATCATGCAGCGAGTGCTGAAAGTTGGTGTTGGAGAGCTACAGGCGCTTCTATCAGTACCGCAGCAACTTGCTACTTTAGAGTAGTTCTACTTTGTTTTCTCATACTTGTGATGAACGTAAAACAACACAGCTTGTAGTTCAGCTGTTCTTTTCATTCTCTGCACAAAGCTCTTCTCGCCATGACGAGATAAAAGCACCTGTATATCTGATATTATCAGCACAAAAGAAAAATGGACGTCACCTTTCGCGCGATCCTGTCGTTCCCCGCGGGCACCGGCGAAGCGCGGGAACAGCTAGAGAAGGTCAAGCGACTCGCGTACCCAAGAAAAAAAGATTGTAGGAGGTGTAACTTTTTTGGCTGATCAGCAATACAAATCTGTTTGGCATGACAGCAGAAACCTGTCATGCGCAGATAGCACGTCAAAACGCGCTTCCTGAATGGACCCTGCAATGCACCATGTCCAGCATGACAGACGCAATCCTCTTACGTGTTGCGCACTACACACTTACACTAGCAATGTTTTTTTCCTGCATATCGCGAATCAGCGCTTTATCGCGGAGGACGATGGGAAGATGATGCTGTCCCTGCTGGAATCCCTGGCCTTCGAGCACAATTACGCGGGCGGACTGTTTATCATGGGAGAACTTTTTCGCAACGGCGATTTCTCGCCCGGAGTGGAAGTGGATGTGGAAAAAGTACATGTGTTTTTCTTTGGTGTACGTACAACAGCGATATTTTCTGATACAACACCTGGCAAATATTCTCTTTTTCTCTTTAGAAGTGCAAACAACACACAAAAACACGATCTCACAGGCCATCGCATACTACATCCTGACCCTGGCACACCCCCTGATCCGCAAAGTCGTTGCGGAAGCGATGTTGCAAGAAATCGGGGCGTTCCTGTTGCAGAATTACAAGATATGCGAGTCGAAAATTTGATTATTGATTAACGATCGTACGTGACACGTACAAAATGCATGACGAGCCTCTGGAGCCACGCTTATTGGTATTCGAGGCTGTTCCTCTCTCTGCGTTTTTGTAATGCTGAACAAGATACGCATACGCATACGACAATCATTATGGGACTGTCAGGATCGAAATCGACAAAATCGAAATAATCTGTAATGCATAAAAATGCTACGCAAAAAGCGACTCTATTGCAGAGGATGCAAGGAAGGCGGATTGTAGTCCTGGTAAGGGTTAAGTGTTGGGCTGCTGACTAGCATGACAGAAGGCAGCTCTTTTGCCCTAAACCGCATAACAGATTCGCTTCCAGGACGAGGAGAATTTGTCATGCGCCGACTACAAACTGTGGGTCTAACTGGCATCGATTTTGTGCATCACAAGTTTTTCGATTTTGTCCATTTCGATTCTGACACTTCCATAATCATAGACTACTGTGGTCATAGATCAGGGCTCTATCCCATCGTGTAGTACTACGGTTGTAAATACTAGATTTTTTTTTGCTGTCGACACTTCACCCTGCAGGAAAAGTACGCGAAGGAGGTCGGGGTCATGATTGAGCGGGACGTTCTGTCTGCGGAGGTGCTGCGGTTTTTGCAGTATGCGCTGGAAAAGAAAGAGGAGGAAACAGTGGAAGGACGTGAAAATGGATTGAGCTTTCACAAAGAAAATGACGGCTCACCTTCGTCCCTCCTTCTCCTCCCGGCGGAGGACGCAGCAAACACTAGCGCTGCTTCCGGGAATATCGCAGGAAAAAAGTGTTACAGTTACGCATTTGTTGCAATTTCAGCATCACAAAGTTGCTCTGCATGGCGAAGAAATAAACTTGTAATGCGCAGACTATAAGGGAAAACACAAATGAAATGAGGCTGGCAGGCATTTCCTGCATGACAGAGGTTGTCTGTCTTGCTTGTATTCCATCAGCGTGTGTAACTGTAACACTTTTTTCTCAGGATAGGGAAATCCAAGAAGCAGCAGGACGAAGAAGCACGGAAACTAGAGTATAACCTGCTCAGGTATTTACAATCTCAAACGTTACAATAGAGTCTGCAACTTGTGTTGCAATAAGTGCATTATCTAGCGGCCAACTCTAATAGAATTGCGCATGACAAGTTCCGGAGTCCGAAGCCGCGCTACAATCTTGCGAAATTTGTGTTGCAGAAAGTGGAATGGTGTCCGAGTCTGTCATGCTCGTCACGCAATACATAACCCAGACTCTATTGTAACAGTTGAGATTGTAACGTTTGAGCAGGTCATATAGAGGCGGCCAAGCTGGACAAGGCGCAAGGGCTGAAAGAACAGGCAAATGTATCTCAAGGGAACTACAAGTAGGAAGGCTCCTTGGCCAGCACATGATGTGTACCATCAATATCCTCGAATTATGCGTGTTCCCTAGCACAGTCACACAGCTGCACCTCCAAAAGCGCTTCTGTTTATACACAGCATCTTCTCAAAACTTTGTAAAAACAAGTTGTGGTTGTATGTGCGCAGACAGTCAGATGTCTGAAAGTCTGCTGAACTACTACGCTGATGGTACATTCTCGTCGAGTTACACCAGGAGCAAGAGCATTTTTTCCATCGCATAACACGACCTGTATCGCTTGGGCATTGTCCCGGGAAACGCGAACGGAAAGAAGCAGCTCCTCGAAGCTGCGAAAATCTTATGAGAGAGAGTGCACAACCCCCCTCGCCCTCATTTGTTATGCAAAACGCCAAATCCAAGCGCTTGCCTGTGGCACTGTTTGCATCACAGATTCCGGAAGCCCAAACAGTTGTACTACACTAGGCGCATAAGTCTGTCATGCACAGGCTCCACGTGTGGTGGTGTTTGTATTGCTGTTCATGCAATACAAATGAGGGGGAGGGGGAGTTGTGCACTGTCATAAACCTACGAGGAAGCCTTTGAAGTCGTAGACCGAGCAGATTTATTAATTGCAAAAGTATCGTACTAGTGGGTACGTAGTAATTGCAATGCAAATTTGCTCAGCATGACAAGTGGAATTTGTCATGCTCATTTGCCTTGGAAACCAGATTTGTAATGCATGACTGCGATTTCTACGAGTGCGATGCTTTTGCAATGCATAAGATTTCGTCTATCTTTCCAACGCCAGCCAAGCCTACTCGAAGGCAGGGGAGTGGGGAAAAGCGAAGGAAAAAGCGGAGTTGGGCCTGGAATTGGTGTCGAAGCAGGAGATGGACGCGATCGCATCAAACAAAGGCGGAATGAACAAGTCACAAAGGCTGCAGAAATTCGGTATTAAATTCAAAATGCTCTTTCTATTTCCCTGCTACACAAGCCGTTGTGTTTTACTTTTACCGAAACAGAACAAGAACTTGTGCTGCAGAATCTTCCAAGAGAGAGCACCTATGTCATGCAAGAATTATGCAATCATGTAAACTCAACCAGGTTTGCCGAAGAAGAAGCTTCTTTCTCGGCTAGGTCTCGCGCAGGTCCGGCTTGGAACGCACAAAGCCGCTGCGGAAAATTTGAACCAGGCACTCTCTATCAAATGCAAATTCGTCTGGGTCTGGAAGAGTCATGCTGCTTTTGCATGACACAGAAGGTCTGGCATGGAAGCTCTTGCTCTAGCATCACAGGTTTCGAGAAGCTTCCGCAATGCCGAACCCGCACGACAAATGCCCCACTTTGGTGAGAAAATGCGGACAGCTCTTGCTGCCTATGCATCGGAGATTTTTTATTTGCGTTCTTGTGTAATGCGCATCACAAGTTTGCACTCTTCCAGACCCAGACATATTTGCAATGCATACTTTCCCTCTCCGTCCAACTCGACAAGCTACGGGAAAAATCCACCGTTACGACGAAAAGCAAGGCCGTCAGTGAGCACGAGTCCTTCTGTCAGGAAGTTTGGGAAATCTGCAAGGAGATCCCGCGCGGTACCTTGCCGGAGGACCACGAATGGGCGGTTACTACGGGCCAGCTAGAGAAGATTCACAAGCCGGATTACAGCCAGATGGAGCACCGCATCTGTGGCGTGTGGGAGTACGGCGTGGCGAAGGCAAAACCCGGCGAGCCCAACCCAGCCCAGCAGAAGAAGAACCAGAAAGTTGAAGTGAAGAAGAACCAGTTTAAAATCGAGATGGTTCCGGACCTTCTCACCGGAAAGGCGATCAAACTTCTTTACCGTATCCAGGAAAAAAACTGTGTAAGTGTAACTGTGTAGGAAGAGCAGCATCACAAATTCGCTTTGCATGATTACAGGGAAAACCTGTCATGCGCAGCTAGTACGTGGAAGCACTTATGAACAAAGTAGCCGATGACGCAGATCCAGGATGACAACCGTAACAGTTTTGCACTTTCTGCATTACACGTAGTTTTTTTCTTGCATATACCGCGAAGACGAAGTAACGGTCGAACTGATGCAGGACTACTTGTTATCGAAAGGAAAAATCCCCCCTCCCCATATCGAAAACGAAATTTGTGATGCTGTATTTGAGGTCACAAATCGACTTGTCATGCTAGAAGGCCAAGAGCCGCAGTCGTGGCCTCGTTTGCAGGCAATTTGTCATGCTGTTTCCCACTCTCAGCTGCCTCCTATCATGCTGAAGATGCAAGGCTTCCCCACGCCACCCAGCACTACAGTCCGCATCTTTTCCCGTGTAGCATAACAACGCTGATTTGTGACAACAAATCTGCATCACAGATTTCCGTTTTGATATGGGGAGGGGAGATTTTTCCTTTTGATACTTGTGTCAGTGGCACGGAGACTTCGAGCTCATCCCCGGCATGCTGTTAAAAGTGGAGTTCGAACTATCAAATGCAAATCTGTCTAGGTGGTCTGGAAAAGTGCAACGTTTGTCATGCACGTTTTGCATGACGCGTGACGTGAGGTCCGTGATGCGCCATGCCCTAGCATCACAGATTCTGTGAGATCTTTTCCATGCCTTTTCCACATGAGAAGCTGCCTCTCGGCCTTCTCAAAAGTGAAGAGCTTTATTGGTAATCTTCATGCAGCACGACAGATTTTTGTATGATTCAGATTTAGCATGACAAGTTGTACTTTCCCAGACCTTGACATATTTGCAATGCATTCAAACCATCCATGGACCAACTCACCGTCGCGTTTGTGCCGCCACCCGAGGAAGAAATGACTGACGAATTTCGGGAAAAATTTGGCACCATGGGCATCCAAAAGTTCACAGCTACGAGGGGCAAAAAAGAGGACAACAAAGACGCGAAAAAAGGAGAAGAAATAAAAGCCGGTAACACTAGTACATCATCCTCTGAAGCAGGTAGTGCGAGTGCGTCGTCAAATAGTGCCACTACAGCATCCTCTACAACTTCTGCGTCGTCACAGCGCCCGGGAGGTGCAGGTGGTACTGGAACTGGTACTATCAGTAGCGGAAATGAATCTGCCGGTAGCTGCAGTACAACAGCGTCATCATCTTCTCGCGCTCCCGTTGCAGCTTCCGTCCCTCGTTTTTGCGTGCACACCTGCAAAGCCCAACCTTCTCTAGTTGGTGAGTACGAAATTTGTGTAGCGGCGAACGACAGTACAACCGATAAGGAACTTCAGGCCGCGCTGAGGAACACCGGCGTGGCACTCTGCTACAGGAAGAAGCAACTAGCGGGCCAAGGTCTAGACGGCGCGAATCTTCTATCCACAGTAAATTTCCCGTACACGTACAAATGAAACCAACGCGGTCTCCGCATGAGCATGACAAAACTTGGCTTCGATCCTAGTTTCGCATGACAAGTTTTACAATCCAAATTGGTGAAATTTGTGATGCATCTTGTACATGTACGGGAAATTTGTATTGCATATCTTCAAAAGCCCGTCTTCGCGTGGCAGCGGTCCGGCCAATGGGTCTTCACGAACAAAATCGACAAGAGCCCGTTTAAAGCGCCGTTTTTACTGCGGTGCGCCAACGCGAAGGGCCCGAGTCCCGTGGAGCTGAAACCCAGGCCGGTCTGGTTCGCGGCTACGAAGAAAGCCGGGCAGGAAGAAATGGATAAGACCGTGGAAATTTCCACGAACAGTTTGATGCAGTCGTGTGCTGCAGAAGATGTTGGCACTGTAAATCTTCTTCGAGCTGAAAGTGAGCAGCAAAGGTCCTCTGAACAAGGAGACGACCAGCTTCAAGAACAGGCGAAGAGCCCCGCAGGACGACCACTAAAGCATCAAGGGGCGGCGGACACAGAAGGAGACACGAAAAGCTCGCGCGAGGGAGAAATGCTCGCAGGTGAAAATGAAGCAGAAGGTCATCTTCACGCTCCGCGGGGACAAGCAGCTGCAGCAGCAACGGGAGGACGACTATCCGCAGCTTCATCAACATCGTCCTCGAGCAGGGAAGCAGAGGGAAGAAAGCGAGAAAATTCGATATTTGTTCCACACGCCCTGTACATCGAAACCTCCGGTTCATTGTCCTTTTGCAGCAGCTGTAATACCTCTTCAAACAGTGGCCGAAATGATCAACAATCGGAGCTTGATGCGTCTGAAGCAAGCAGGGTCCCCGTCGACCTCCTGTTGAGCAATGATAATGATGTTTCGGGATTCTACGCGTTGTCAGCTGCAAGTCGAAAGAAGTTGCCAAACGAGGAAAGTTATGTTTTCTACCAGCACACCACAAAGCCGCACTTGCGGTTTGTGATACGGGAAGAAGTGCAAGAAGATAAACTCCGGGAGTTTACCATCGTAGATCACGATCGCGGGGGTCTCGTGTTGGCGCGGTGGAAGGACTTTGGCGACACCAAAACCAGAAGTAGGGGTAATGGTACATCAGCAGCACCAGCAGTGGAGGGACAAGCAGGCGGGGACGATGCTGAACAAGACGTTTTTGACGTACCGCTGCCATGGATAACACTTTGCACTGCAACTGGTGCTGCAAAGAACACCAATACCGTTCTTGGCCGAGGATCATATAGTGCTTCTTCTTCTTCTACTTCTTCTTCTTCTTCCGACTGGGCCTGGGAGCGGGAAAAGAATCCGGAAAAGCACCACACGAAGCTTTCCTACACCGATATAACCTGCTCAGCTGTCACAATCGCGAATCGGTTGCCATGATGGACATCTCTCCTGATGCAAAAAGTGCATCAGCTAGTCCAATATCACAAGAAGATTACGCGGCATGACAAGTTCCTTCTCCCAAACCTGATGTTTAGGGAATCTGGCCAAATTTGTATATACGAAAAGCACAAGACTGCTCGGAATGTTCCCCATGCTGTCTATGCAACACAGATTCCAGCAGATTCTAAGGTAAGAACCGATTTGAGGTAGTGACAGTTAAGCGGGTCATAACCGAGTCCCGGATTATGGAGCGCGACCGGAAAATGCGAGTCATAATGTGTCCTTCGTTTTTGGGAGGCGTAGACGGGTCCTCGCCGGGAAAGCTGGAGTTCAAACATGCTTCGGATCAGGAGGATGATGGGTCGACGTCTACTGTTGCTACTGCTGGTGCGCCGGTGCAAGCGATGAGTACCAGGACAAGCAACAAACTAGTTCCAGTGCTCGAGCTTTGGGGAGTGCCTCCTGCGTCCGCAATAGAGTCGGCGGATGGTCAGCCTCAACCTCTTGCTAGTGGAAAGAGAAATCAAGAAGGCAAATCCAGCGACATCGACGGTATAATGGAAGCGGATAAAAAAGTAGAACTTGAACAACAGAATCGGGAAGTAGTTGATGTGGAGACGATCCAGCCAAGTCCGCCCGAAAGAGAAGTCGTTCAACTGAAGCATTGCGAGGTGGATTATTCACAAGAAAAGATCCATTGTCCCCATCTTTCAATTTGTCATGCAAACCATGCACAAAGAAAGCGCTTCGCTTGCCCTCCAAAAAAAGGATAAAGGAAGGATGATTTTTTTTCTGTGGATATGGATCTGAATGAAGCTGAAATCACCGTGGCTTACAAGACCGAGGCGTTTCGGGTATGGGATTCACCTCAAATCAGTTACATTGTCAACAACGATTTGCCATGCAAAATTGCCGTCAGGCTCCAGCACACGATGAAGCTGGCTAGCATGACAAATTCTGGAACGGAGGTACTTAAAAAGGATCGCATGGAAAGTAGAACTATCCGTTCCTAATCTGTAATGCAAGAGACGCAAAAGATCAATGTGATTGACGAGGAGGAGGACTCCATATCGGGTGCGAAACGTGTTTGGCAGTGCGGAGGTGATATCCTGTGCAAACTTTTTATCGTACTCGTAGTTGTAATCGCAATCATGCATGGCAAATCTCCATCCCAAGGTATTAAATCAGCTTGACAAATTCCATTTGCCATGATGAGCTAAAAATTTGTATTGCAATTACTACTCGTGCGATGCTTTTGCAATTCATAGGTCAAGGTGAAATACAACAAGAAGGGGAACAAGTTGGTGTTTACGTATCCAAGAAAAAAACGTTGTTAGTGTAAATTTGTGATGCGCAACATGCAAGATGATTGCGTCTGTCAAGCTTGGCATGCGTCGTAGAGTCCATTAAAGGGCGTTTTCACGTACTATCTGCGTATGAGAGGTTTTTGCTGTCATGCCAGACAAATTTGTAATGCTGTTCCTCCAAAAAAGTTACACCTACAATGTTTTTTTCTTGGATATTACGGCATGATCTTCGGGTGCTAGTACAACTACCGACAGATGAAGAAGCGAAGAAGTAGTTTTACTTTGATGTTGTCTTCACGTATGTATTTATTTTTTGAAAAGGCGACCGAAGACTATGACTACTTAGCAGTACCAGCAGTGGTGTTCTTCAGAAAGCAAAAAGGCGAAAAGATGTTGAAAAAGAACAGCACTGAAATTTTTCCAAAAACCATTTTGCCAGGACGCAGAAAAAGAAAAGCGACGCCTGGAAAAGGAGAATTTGGTGACTTGTTCCAATCCATCCCGCGATTGATCTCAGTGTATAATCTTTGACGTAGCACGACTAGCCTTCCTTGTCTCTTTGATTCACTTTTTTATTTATTCGTGCTTGATGTGAGACCGCAATCTTCGCTCGGAGGAAAGCTCAGCTGCGAAGCTGCTACTCTTGACACGATGCCGTGTTGAGCAGGGTGTCAGACAGTGTCGGTCGTGTGTGGAGTAGTGTGCCCAGAAGTCACGTGCACGGATTTTCAGCTAGTTAAACAATCTCGATCGGTGATGTACTACTTACTTTTACAACGACGAGTGAACCCAGCCCACCAAGAACACGTGTAGCAACAGAACAAAGAAATAGATCCCGAATGACAATGTAAATGACGCTGAGTGAAGATGAAGCCGATCATTCGTCCTTACGAAAAATCAGTCACACGAAAAGGGCAAAACTGAACCACTCACGATCTAGATCTGAAGATGAAAATCCGGCAAATTATGATCATATATAAACCGCAAGAAGTTGTAGTTCTTGTACGATCGTCATCATGTGGATCTACTACTTGTCATCCTCGGTGCAGTCGGAACGGCCAAGAAGTTTGCACCACGAGTGATCATCTTCGCTATATAATTTGTTTCATAAGTTAAATAGACTCTGTTCTTCGATCATTTTTGCACGAAAGCTGTGGACCTATCGGTCAAACAAGCACACTACTCGGTATAAAAATTAGCAACTCATGGTGATGAAATGAAGATGATGAGCGAGCAAGGATAAAGTAAAGCGATGACGGTCTACACCAAGAATGACAACACTAAAACACGAACCACGAACATCAGGCCCCTGATTATCTTAGTGATTGGCCTCGCAATAGTCAAGTCTTGGGCTTCTACCCACATAGGGTTCATTTATACACAACAGCACCGGCGTTCAGAGCGCGGGACCACAAAAGCAACTGCAACAGGTAGTCTAGTGCATTACGCGAGACACATGAAAATTGATTCGCTAAAACTAAAAGTAGAAACAATACTTCAGCTTGACCTTGACCCTCCCCCAAAAAGGCCTAGCTTCAATCCTTCGTCCGAATATCTTCGTTCTCGATTCACTAAAAAAGTCTGCGACGTCGTTTATCTTCGCACTCCAGGAGCTTTAGCTTTTCTTGATAAGTATTTTTTCTGTTCACACGGTAAGAGCAAGAATCGTAGGCGGGCTTATAGATAAAACAAAAACAGTTATAGCTTCTTTATTTTTTCTCGACGTTTCGGTTTTGCTTTTGGTCTGGCAAGCACGAGAAGCTGCAAAACCTGCAAAATGAAGCTCCGCTTTCTTTCTGTCGTGTTGTTGTCGGGGGCCTGTTTCCACGAGGTCGCGGGACGAAGTCGTTGCTTTTCCTGTTTTCGACCGGCGTCGCCGAGCCAGGAGGATCAGCATTCTCGCTGGGAAGAAAGTTACGTCAGATTTCTTACATGGTTTAAGAAGGAAAACTGTGATGTAGGAGATACGGGCACTTACCACATTGACATTCCGGCCCTTGGCCTCGAGGACGTTCACAATCTTTTGAAAGCACAAGGTAGAAGGTCGCGCCAACGAGGTCGAGGAGTGCATCCGCTCCACGCCGTGTTTACGGCCGCGGATACCTACATCAAGTCAAATAACAAGGGCGAGCTGGATTCGCGACCGCCGGTTCAAGACCTGTTGCTCTTGCATCCGGAAATGCAAGCACAGAACTCGTGGTGTGTGGCTCCGGGCTTCGGGCTGCGTAGTAGTCCTCCCGACGGGGATCTATTAAATAGATCTGGTGAAAAGTTTATTCCCGATGAAAGCTCAAGACAGGTAATTATTTTCCGAGCGAGTCTACCAAGCGAGAGCGACGGGTACTACGTTCGGGCGTGCCCCCTGCGTAATTGGGCCAAGCTCCTTCATCAAGAGAGGAATAAGCGGCGCCCCGTCTGGCTTCTCTCCGTCGTGCGCGCCGGTGCGGGCCGGAGGTTCCAGATATGAAAGCCTCAGGTTGGAAATCCTCAAAGTGGAAATAATTTGTGATGCAAAAAAACGACTCCAGTTGAAGCGGCATTAGTAGTCGGCGCATGACAAATTTCCCGGGCACTTAAAGCATGTCTGTCATGCAGGCTAAGGCAAAGGGGTGCCCTTCTGTCGTGCTAAGCAGCATTCCAATTCTTCAACCTTAGCAGGATAATAGTCGGCCTCCATTGCGTCCTCTGCAATACAGTCTTTTTTGCGTCGCATTCCATGCATCACAAATCATTTCCACTTTGAGGATTTCCATCCTGAGGCTTTCATACCAGACCAAGTTGACGTATTACCCACAGATGCCTACGTCGAGCTTGCTTGTCCTCTTGGGTGTCAGATCTGGACCGTCCGGCGAGTCGGAGGACGTACAGACCCAAAACGCTGCCTACCAAAGTGAAAAGTGCCGCCCCGCAGGAGCTCTCAGTATGTAGATAAAGTAGAAACAGAAGAAATAAAGCGTTTATTATATCTGACGCACATCATCTTGACCCTCGCCTTCGGCTTCCAACAGGAATAAATAGAAGCGCTTGTTTGTGTTGCATGATCAAGGAAGGCGGACTGCGGGCCCTCCTGGTCCAGATTGACTCTACGTGCGCACATCAGCCTCTGCTGCAAATTGCACGAAAAAAATGTTTCCAAGTTCTTGGGTACTAGCGGTAGGGGCACCTTTCATCATGACACCGCCCGCATGTTGTCCACTTGGCAGCGCCTGTTTCTCTCTCAAATCATCAATCCAAACGGGCCCCCTCCTCATCAACCCGTCAGCGAGCCAGGGCGCCAAAGCAGCGAGCGGGCCCGTAGCCAGGTCCCAAGTGCAGGCGGCCCAAGAATTTTCTACAGCTCTATTGGTTCCTCAGTGCACAAGACTTACAAGATTCAAGCCCTATATGGATGTGTCAGAGTTGAAATCGACAAAGTTGAAATAATTTGCCATGCATAAAATGGATGCCAGTTGGAGCCCAGTTTCTAAGTGGCGCATGACAAATTTCGGCGGTCCCTAAATCCAGTTTGTCATGCTGTTTAGGCAAAGAAGAGCGATTTTCTCATGCTACTTTAGCAGCTCGAGCTGTAGCCCCAAACAGGCTTACAATCGGCCTCACTTGCCTGCTCTGCAACACACGTGCCGCGAGTCATGCATTTTATGCATTACAAATCATTTCAACTTTGACGATTTCAAACCTGACGCTTCCATACCCTACCAGGTGGAGCAAGCACGGCGGCAAGAGTATTGGGTATCGCCTTCGCCAAACAAAAAGTGCGGCAGGCCTACGGCTTGGAGCCCCTTCACGTTGTTGCGGCGCGTGAAAAGCTATCCACAGTGAATTTATTCCCGTACACGTACAAATGCAGTCTGCGCATGACAAAACTTGCCTTCAGTCCTAGTTTAGCATGACAGGTTGGACACTGCAAGCTAGTGAAATTGGTCACGCATTCTGTACATGTACGGGAAATTTGTATTGCATAAAAACCTTGGCGGACAAACAGTACGCATAGGTTGCAGAGGCGTCGCGCTCACAGCTCAAGAAAGTGAAAGCATCAGTTTGCTTTTCATAGCGCAGGCCATTTTTTATACTATCATGGCTCCTGCTCTTGCTTTTTTGGTCATGATATTGAGGACAACGCAACCCAAGTCACTTCTCAGTGAAGAAGAGTGATCGTTTTGCTCATTGTCATTGTTCTTGTTGACCATAACGCCAAGGTTTGTCTTCTCTTGAAGCATCAAGCGCATATCTCTCCTTGGCGGCAAGTGGTCTCCCATGTAAACGTAAAGCGATAAGCTTATGGAAGCGTCAGGTTTGAAATCGTCAAAGTTGAAATAATTTGCAATGCATCAAATGCATGGCCCGAGGTACGTGTGTTGCAGAGCAGGCAAGTGAGGCCGATTGTAAGCCTGTTTGGGTTTACAGCTCGAGCTGCTAAAGTAGCATGAGAAAATCACTCCTTTTTGCCTAAACAGCATGACAAACTGGATTTCGGCACTACCCAAATTTGTCATGCGCCACTTGGAAACTGGGTTACAACTGGCATCCATTTTATGCATGGCAAATCATTTCAACTTTGACGATTTCGATCCTGACAGTTCCATAAAGCTGATCATGTAAAAATCATGGACCCAGAAGCTCTTCAAGAGAATGAGAAGTCAGGGCCTAGTACTTCTAGCGCAGGAGGTGACTTCTACGGACGAACAAATAAGATTGATTTGGATGCTAAAGATGTTTTCCTTTTCGGCGACTGTGATCAAGATCATGCCGTATTTGCAACGCATACACGCAGACGTGAACCGCTTTGTGCAGGATTTTTTGAGTTTGGGCCCCAGCAATATCCAGGCACAAGATGCGAGGAAGTGGGCTACCGCAGTGACCAGTTATGCGGCTGATTTAAGTCGTGAGCGGAGGGTTCCCGATTTGGTAAATCAGATAGATGATGACGATGATGATGACCAGTGACGGCGCAATGCTCTGTAGAAGGAGCAGCGACCTGCGGTGGAAAAAAAAAGGTCCTCCCGACGAGCACCAGGGGTCGAGTAGAAAACATGTAAGTACAATTTGAACTCCACGTGTGCGGAAATCCTGCTCTATGAAATACAAAAGCAAATCGTACTAGTAGTAACGTGGAGGATGGAAGACGCGCAGTAACGTGGAGGAAGGACGAAGTAGACGGGATGATGACAATAATGCATAAAGTATTTTTTTGAACAGCAAGAATCAAGATGATGATGGGGTGAGTGCGGAGACGGCGATGGAAGAAGACGGTTTTTCTGAAAAGTGCAACTCTGCGAACTCAAACGTCGCTGTTGCCAAGAAAGTCAGTCGCATGCAGAGGACACGTTTCCTCCTGCTTGCGCGTTTTGATATGGGTGGACTGAGTGCTTCATGATGCAGTCTGTTCATGCACTTTCCAGATGCGCAAGCAGCTTGATTGCTGTACAACTTTCGAAGATTCCGACGCGCAAGGCTTGTGCCTCGCACGCACTAACTTCAGTAGAGTAAAGCACTCTTCATGTGTTCGCCCCGACTTGGAAGCAGAGACGTCGGTGCGGTCGTGCAGGTAAAAAGTTATATATGATTTATGCCATATAATTTCGGTATCATTCTGTTTTGGCTCGGTCAGCAACTTTTCGAGTGTAATCATGATGTCGGTTGGCAACATGTTGTCATGGAGATGGGCGCGGTGTAGTTGCAGATTTATTGGCTCTGGCGCCAGTCCACCACCTTCATGATCAACATTGAATCGCTGTTGAGGACGTTCTCGGTGTGGTAAGTTAATAGCTGTTGACCTTTTGATCATGGTGTCCTCCTCTTCCTCGGTTGACACAGCAATACGCTTCTTTTACCGGCGTTCATATTAATTCGGTTATCCTCTGGTGGTGTCTACTCACGACCACGTTTTCTGGTGAGGCGTGTACAATCGGTCGCTAGTATACATGAATCCATCTTCAACTTCCACCGACGAGCCCATGTAGTTTTTCTTTTTTCATCATCCAACATCGTTCTTCTTACATTCCTACTTTCAGTTCCAAGATTTTTTCCGACTTCTATCGAGTTGATGTATAATCAAACTTCGTAGTAAATTCTTTTTACTCAGTACCATGATGAAGATGTCTAGTATGATACATTGCTTCTATCGCGCAGCTCTTCTCGGCTACTTCTACTTCTTAGCGCATGATGAAGAGTTCGAAAAAGGAAACCAGAAATTATATGCAAATCCCTTGCTGGTGACGCGCTGCCGCTTTTAGAAAAGTGTTTTTCGCTTGCGACTACGTACTGGTATCTATTGTGTTCAACGAATTCCATGGAGAATTGTTCCTGGCCGGAGATGATCCATTCAATCTTTAGGCCGATCATAATTCCCACCAAATAGATATAATCATCATGTGCTGGTGAGGAGCATCAGGACTGCAGCTGAACACACCTGCTCGGTTTGGATTTCCTTGATGTCTTTTCCAGCACGCGCCGCGCCAGACATAAGAGAAAGGAGAACGTTGCACCAGCAGCTTCTCCAAGACCGTGTCTCTCTAGAGCAAGTTGACATCGGTATTGGAAAGGTATATAAAAAGTTATAACTTATAATTCCATATTTCGGCTCTTGTGTAGTTGCCTCGGTCAGCAACTTTTGTTTCGAATATAGTCATGATGTCGGGTGGCAACATGGTCATGGACCACTCGGTGTTGCAGATTGGCTCTGGCCCCAGTCAATGTCTACCTTCATGATCAACATTCAATCGCTGTTGAGGACGTCAGTGTGGTAAAGTTAATTGCTGACCTTCTAATCATGGTGTCTGTGCTCCTCCCCCTCGGCCTCGGTTGACACAGCAATAGCTTCTTTTACGTTCATACTTATTCGGTTGAGAATATTGGTTGCTTCTCTGGTGTCTACTAGTACAAGTACGCAAAAGCGCGTTTTCTGGTCGGCGTGTACTTCTTCTATCGGTCGCTACTACAATAAATCCATCTCATTTTTTTACTACTTTTGGCGACGAACGCGGATGTAGAAGTTTTTCTTTTTTCATCATCCAGCATCATTCTTGTCCTCTGACATTCCTCCTTTCAGTTCCAAGATTTTTCCCGACCATCGAGTTGATGTATTAAACTTCTAGTAAATTGAAATTCTTTCGGCTTATCATGAGCAGCATGAAGATGTCTAGCAAGAAATGCAAAATACATTGCAGCTCTCGCGCAGCTCTTCTCGGCTACTTCTTAGCGGATAGTCCGCCTCTCAGCAGCGTCTTCTTGGACAAAATTTCTGGGTCTTTCTATTATACTGCGCACCAGGAATATGGATGTGTCAGAGTTGAAATCGACAAAGTTGAAATAATTTGCCATGCATAAAATGGATCTCAGTTGGAACCCAGTTTCCAAGTGGCGCATGACAAATTTCGGTGGTCCCTAAATCCAGTTTGTCATGCTGTTTAGGCGAAGAAGAGCGATTTTCTCATGCTACTTTAGCAACTCGAGCTGTAACCCCAAACAGGCTCACAATCGGCCTCACTTGCCTGCTCTGCAACACACGCGCCTCGGGTCATGCATTTTATGCATTACAAATTATTTCAACTTTGACGATTTCAAACCTGACGCTTCCATAAGGAAGTCCAAGTCGAAGTAGTCCAAGTCGGTCTGCAACATCGCAGCTTCAACATCGGCGTGGCAGCGGAACTGTTGAACTTATCCTGTGCAAAAGTATCGTATTCGTATAAAGGCAAGTCTTGCATTACAAATCTTTATCTGAAGGGAAATCCGCATTACAAATTTTCTGTCTCATGCTGTTTGAGGAAATTTGTAATGCATTTATACGAGTACGATACTCTTGCAGTTCATAAAGCTTGCCTCAGACGATGAAGGTATCAACTGGAAACATGTCTGGGTCTCCTAGAAGGATGCGAACTTGTCATGCAGATTTTACATGGAGGCCCGTGACGTCTGTGATGTATTTCCCTGGCATCACAGATTTTCTGAGTGCTTCTTAATTCCTATTCCGCATGACAAATGGGTTCGTCCCCGCGTAGCAGAAACTGGACTCCTCTTGCTGTTCATGCAATACAGATTTTTCTAGAGTCCAACGTTAGCATCACAAGTTCCAACTTTCCAGACCCAGACACTTTTGCAATCCATAGAAGGATGCGCGGGACCAAATCGCGGCTGCGGAGATTGAAGGGCCGTGGCGCGTGGCTCCGGGCATAGGGCTATGAGAATGCATCACTTGTCCCCCTCCCCCTCATTTGTATTGCATGAACAGCAATGCAAGCGTCAGCAAGAATACAGGTTTTGCATGACAACTTTGGACAGGAGTGCAATGCTATTTGGGCTGTGTCAGAACTTGTCATGCAAACAGTGTCAAGAGCCAAGGCGTAAGTTAGGTATTTTGCATGACAAATGAGGGGGAGGCGGGGGGGTTGTGCAACTCTCATAAGGGCAGCAACATCGCAGCTTCAACATCGGCGTCGCGGCGGAACTTCTCGGGGAAAAAAACCAAAATGAGCAGCAGCAACGACAGCTGGAAATAACCAGGTGGCTCTGGCCGCTCGGCACGACTTCCTTCTGGGACTCCTTTCCTCCGTCGCCGCGGACCGCTTCGTCCACAGGAAATAAGGAAAAACACAACACGAGGAACAAGGCGGGCAATAAACAAGAGAAGCCGCCCGCCAGCATGACATCGAGCCCCTCTAGTAGAAGTAGTTCCACTTCGGTGCAAAGAGCAAGAGCCGTCGAGCAGTCCTCAAAGGGTGGTGCTGATACCAACGAACACCAGAAGTTGGACCAGCAAGAGAAGTCGGAACAAAGCGAAAGCCAGGATCTTCTGGCACAACTTCCGGATGAAGAAGTACAATTAGGACCGGGGACGAAAAATGTTGGAACTGCGCCGGCTGTTGACAACATTTCTGACACAACAACTTCGTCGGCCGATGATGTCTCTGAAGATGGAGTTTCGACTTCTTCTCTTTCATCAGCAGGGGCCGCTTCTTCCACTTCCTCTCCCAGTACTACAGTCATCACCTCCATCGCGGACGTGCACGGGGATTTTGCCACCACCGTGAAAGCCTTGCAACTTGCGAACATCATCGACGCAAACCACGACTGGATCGCGGGGACACAGACCTTGGTATGCTGTCGTGCAAGAGTATCGTAAACTCGTGCTAATTGCAGATTTGCATTACAGATCTACGTTTTCTACTTCAAGTAGGTAAATCCGCATTACAAATTAAGTCTGTAATTCTGAGCCAATTTGTATATGCAATTTATACGTCGTTGTAGTGCGATACTTATTTTGCAATGGATACTTGGTGCAGAACGGCGATGTTGTCGACCGCGGAAACCACGCACTATGCATTGCAAAGACCCCTGGATGTGGTCTGGAAGGTTGCAAGAACTTGTGATGCTGTTTGTAGATTCTAGAAAAACTGGTATTGCTTGACCAGCAAGAGGAGCCACGTTCTTTGTGCTACGCGGGGACGTCGAGGGTATTTCTCATGCGGAACAGGCATGCTCAGGAAGGGTTCGAAAAAACTGTGACGGTAGGGCATACATCACAGACACTCATGGATCACGCATGACATGCCTGGAAATCTTCCAGACCCAGACATGTTTGCATTTGATACGCGCGCGAGATCTACGATTTACTTTTCAAGTTGCAGGACCAGGCCGCTGCCGCTGGCGGGAAGGTGGTGTTGATTCTGGGAAACCACGAGCAGATGCGCATGCAGGGAATCCTGAAGTACCAGGGCCGGCACGAATCCAGTTGGGCGGCACAAGAAGAGAACAAGAGCCCGGAAGCTGGAGAACAAGAAGTAGATGCGCCGGGTGCGGCACGACCTGTGAACAAGATTCTGTCCGCAAAGGAAAATGCTCTGGCGGGCGAAAAAGCCTGGGCACCGGGGGGCTGGCTACATTCCGAAATCGAACGAAGATTTACGGCGATGGCAGTCGTTGGAAAGTCTCTCTACCTGCACGCGAGCTTGCAGAAGGTGTTTTTGGAAGAGCTGAACTACTTTGCGAGAGAAGTTGTAGTGGCTGAAAGGAGAAGAGCTCGACAAGAATCTTCAGAAGTGGGTGGGCTCCCCTATGACCTGCTCAGATATTACAATCTCAAACGTTACATATAGAATCTGGGTTTCGTGTTGCATAATAAGCATGACAGACTCGCAGAGCGTTCCACTTTCTGCAATACAAATTTCGCCGGATTGTAGTGAGGTTTGGGACTCTGGAACTTGTCATGCGCAATCCTGTGAGAGTGGGCTAGGACATGCGCTCTTGCATCACAGATCTCCATATTCTATTAAAACGTTTGAGATTGTAACAGCTGAGCAGGTTATATCCCCCTGCCTGGGGACCAGGACGATGAGAGCGAGGACTCAGTATGAAAGCCCCAGGTTGGAAATCCTCAGAGTGGAAATAGTTTGTGATGCAGGAGAGCACTCCAGTTGAAGCGCCACTTCTAGGCGGCGCATGACAAATTTACCGGGCACTCAAAGTAGCATGCCTGTCATGCTGGTTAACGCAAAGGGGTGCCTTTCTCTCGTGCTAAGCAGCACTCCAATTCTTAACCCGTAGCAGGACGATGGTCGGCTTCCATTGCGTCCTCTGCAATACAGCCTTTGCGTCGCATTTCATCATGCATCACAAATTATTTCCACGTTGAGGGTTTCCATTCTGAGGCTTTCATACTCAGACGAAGATTCAGATTCCCTCTACTCTTACCCCGGTGATTCTGAAGACCTTCCCTTGCCGCTCTCTCCCAACCTGCGAGAGAAGGTGATCCAACTATTCAACGAAAACACGTTCAAGGCGCTCCGGTACGAAAACGACGACGACGGGGAGAACTACTTCTGGGTCGACAGCAAGCGGTCCGTCTTCTGTATGCAAGAAAAAAACTGTGTATAGTGTAAATCTGTGTTGCAGGGGATGAAAGACACTTACACTTGTCATGCTGGACATGCGTCAGAGGTTTGCAGCTTCGTACGTGTTTTCACGTACTAGCTGCGCATGCGAGATTTTCTCTTTCATGCAGTAGAGCACATTTGTGATGCTGTTCCTCCACGAATAAAGTTACACTTACACACTTTTTTGCTTGGATATTCTGGTCGCGCGATTACGCAGCAGAATGTGACTACGGGAGTCTCAGGATCGAAATCGTCAAAGTTGAAATGGTTTGTCATGCATAAAGCCGATACCAGTTGGAAGCCCACTTATCAAGCGGCGCGCCGCAAATTTTCGGAGCTGCACCGGGATCCAATTTGTCATGCTGTTTGGACAAAGAAGACTGCTTTTGTCATGCTCCTTTAGGAGCTCTATCCCAAATAACCCTAAGTAGGCTCACAACCTGCCTCACTTGCCATCCCGGCAAGACAGGCAATTCATGCCTTGCATTCTATGCCTGACAAATCATTTCAACTTTGTCGATTTCAAACCTGACGCTTCCATAGTGACCTGATGGGGGAAATTGCGGAGTTTTTCGGGGTCAAGCGGATTATTGGAGGCCACACGATTCAGAAAGACGGGCTGATTATGCATTGCAAAAGTATCGTACTCGTATAAATGCATTGCAAATTTCCTCCGCATGAGAAAAAAAATTGTAATGCGGATTTACCTTGAAGAACAAGCTTTGTAATGCGTGGGCATGCTTGCAATTACTACGAGTGCGATACTTTTGCACAGGATACTGATTACGTCGAAATGCGACGGACAGATCATCCTTGCGGACACGGCTTTGTCGAGTGCGTACTGGAACGCGTACCCCCGCGGGCAACTTTCTTTGATTCGAATCACGGCAGAGGATGGGGAAGAGAAAACCATGGATTTTCTTTACGAAGATCCAACCAATCGGGATAAATCACTTTTAGCGGTGCCGCAGACCGTTGATATTGCGGTTAATATGCCAGCACGAGGACGACCGGAGGTAAAAATTATCGACGTGCCTGAAGACGAGATGGAGGACTCAGAGGTATCAGATGATGATTCCAGTGAAGAAGATGACGATGATCTAGACGAGGACGTGGAGGACGAGGAGCTGCTGCTACCTCCCGGTACAGCTACTAGCCCAAGGCCAAGTCGTGAACTACAACAGGAAAAAATAAACCACGAACCGTCTAAAACCAAGCACTTTCCTCGGGCTGTTCTACTTGAGCATGCTTCTACTTCACCTCGTCCTGGAGCTGCTGCCGGCACGAAACACGCGAAGGCACGAAATGCGCAACCACGTATCGCAAGAGCTTCCAACGTCTTGCCACTGGGGCTGGGGGCCATGAAGATAAAGCCATCTTCTCCCAAGAAACCTTCACCCACGAAGATGAAAACACCACGCAAGGACCACCTCTCCTTGAAAAAAAAGGAGCAGGATCCCCGAATCAGTAGAGAGGAGCAGGTACGCGAAGGAGTGCCGAAGAAGGTTCATCAACCAGTTGTACCAGCACCTCTACTGCTCCCTCGGAGGCCGAGTCTTGATTTTTCCGAAGACAAAAAGCACCCGGGCCGCCGTGGTCTGAGAAATTATGTGGACAAAGGCCGTAGACAAGAACGTGAACGGGGCTCCGGGTTGCGGAAGAACGGCGGAGCAGTGCTGTCTTCTACAGAAGGTGAATGATCTACAACTTCGTGTAGTGGTCGCATCTGCATCAAAGAGAAAGAACAACAGCAGCCACGACTCGTAAAGTTGGAACTGGTGGGGGATAAATTTTTGGTAGACTCAGAATCATGGAGTGAAGGTGCAGCTACTAGACGAGAGGGAAAAATCTTGTGAAAAATTTGTCATAGCGTAGAAGTAGTAAGTTGCTTTTCTTACTATTTCGACATGTCTAATTCTGAAGTTGCTGTTGCTCATCGCCACTTATATTTTTTGCTTACTTACATTGTGATTTTCATTTTTCTGCATAAATTTCTTTTTCTAGTGCTTCATCTCTTTCTACAAGCTGACGGATCAAAAAGGAAACTTTTTCGTATCCGCAGCGGAAAAATAAAACAATATGGACAACTGACACTGAGTTGTGTTAGTCTTAGTTCTCTTATTTTTGCCTTCACCTACACGACGAACTGTGTTTCGTGGTACATTCATGTTGACCTACACGGTTTTTCAGTAATACTTATCTTTGTACACATTGACATTTGTTGACATTTCTAAATTTTGAGCAATGACGATTTTTTCTCATCGGAAGAAAAAGAAATCAGACTACTGTAGATGCAAAGTAATATACGCGAACGCCATGTTGAGTTCGAGTTGGTAATAAAACCAGGATCACATCTTGATCGCAGATGAAGAACCCGATAAAACAAAACAGAAGACAAACAACTCCAAGTAGCCGATGATGAATTCGAGTTGGCAGTAAGACAGTGAAGATGTTTTGATCGCAAAAAAGCACGTAGTTCTAACTAAAGTACACGACCACACGACTCATGAGCAGGTTTAAATTCACCAGCACATCCGTGCAAAAGTGGAAAACGGCTTGGTCGGGCCGTGGTTTTCAATCGAAAACGTAGTTTTGTTCTGTCCACCGATCTCTTCTACTTAAATAAGAACATGAACAATTATCCGCCACTTGCACTTTCGCACATGTCGTGTATATTAACTTCAGGCTTTTCCCTTTTTTTCTGGATAGGAAGAAAAGTAAAAATTCTATAGATCACACCACATACTTCTGTCTCATTGATTTTCATATCTCACTGAAAATAAGTTTATTATTATTTCGCTTTCGGTTTCAAAAGTACTACCCTGTACTACTTCTAATTATCCGCCTAAAAAAAAAAAATATAATTATCCAATTCCAAACCTTATACTTTCGCCCCCGCCACTGTGGAGGCCCTGATAAATCAATTTGCCCCGACGAAATTCTCACGAGTACTAGTTCCACTCTGAAATATTGGACCTGAAATCATGTCTTCTCTGACGTCCAGCACAGGCGCCGCTCCGATCGAGCTGGTGGACCGTGTTGATCGTTGTCGGGAGATTGTGGACAGTTTTTTTGCCAACCAAATCACGGAGATTGCCGTGGACATGGAGGGTGTAAACCACGGACGGAACGGCAGGCTGAGCGTGATTCAGGTTTTTGTGGATCAGAAAAACGGAGTGGAGAAAAAGGTCTACCTGTTCGACATCACCGTGATGCAAAGCGAGGCGTTCGAGCACGGGAAATTGAAACAGCTTTTCGAATCGAAGCAGATCCTCAAGGTCCTCTTCGATATCCGCGTATCAAATGCAAATCTATCGATGATCTGGGAGGTTCTTCGGAAATAACTTGTGAGGCTCAACAACATGATTGGCGAATCAAAATCATGAGGCCGGTACACTAAATTGACGGGCCAAGAAGAACATGGCAAGTTTCTGAGCTATGCTAGTACGACGTGTTAGCTATTCATCATCTCAATGACAGCAACAGCTGCCCATTGCCCTTCTGCATGACAGAATGAGCAATGTCATGCGTGGCAGACAGGAGAATCATGCACATGCCAGCCCCGGAGCACAACAAGCCTTGCATTCTTCCAGAGGTCCCAGCCATGTTTGCAATGCATACCGCGGTGACGCCGACGCGCTGTGGCACTTGTTCAAAGTGAAGTACGACCACGCCTATGACATCCAGGTTCTGTACCTATGAAAGTCGTGCACAACTACAACTTCCCCACCCCCCTTGTTTTAGAAGAGCATGATGTCTGTTGATGAGCAGCAGCAATACTAGTTGCAACCACTAGCAGAATCAGAATGAAATGTGACTTCCGCATGATTTTGCACGGATTGTAGTGCTGTTCGCGGTATTGTTCCAAAATTTGCCATGCAGACGACAGTGCTTCCAGATCCAGTAAAGATATGGATGTTTTAGGATTTTGCATTCTACAGAAGACGAAAGAGAGCAGGGGGACTTCTACGAGGGAGTGGTTCTTGTACACTGTCATAGCACACCTTCAAGTTTCAGGAAACCTCCGACGGCTATCTCAAGGGGTTCGCGAAGGTGCAGGATGCTTTTTCCGGACTGAGCTACGCCGACAAGCTGCGGCTGAAGAAGGTGAAAGACGAAGGGGTGGCGTTGTTCGGCGACGGCAAAAGCGAGATCTGGGAAAAACGGCCCCTGCCCGCAGCGTTGGTGAACTACTGCGCAGCAGATGTCGAGTACCTGTTGCGCATGAAGCAGGCCTGGGATCCGACCTGCGCCGAGAAATACACGGCGACAGTGAAGTCGGTGACGCAGTCTCGTCGGGAAAATTTTGTGGGCGCGCGGATTCCAGTGGAAGGGCGGAACAAGGCCAAGCGGGATGTTTAGTTTCACGGGTTTGGGGTGCAGCCTCGGGCCCGGCGGGGCATGTCGGATGACTACGATTACTTGGATGTGGAGCCGCGGTACGATGATGGACGCGATTACTTCGATGCAGATTACGACGATTACTTGGATCGGCTCTTTGACTCATTATGATTTTGAGTTGTAGATTCTAAAAGAAATCATGAAACTTTACAACTCAAGGAAGATTTTCGTCTGCGTTTCGTTCTTCGCTTGTTCTTCCACGAAGAGCCTCACTCTCACTCCCAAGACGCATGCGATGATCCAGCAGACCTCATTCACGTATACCATAAACTGTACGGACTTTTTTGCGTTATATATACACGCCAATTTTTATTGATATACAACTAGACATGCAAAGACGTCCTTGTCGATACCACTCTAGATGAACCAAACCCCATTCGCGCTAGGCTCCCGAAAGAATGAAGAACGCGCTAGAAAAAACAAAAGCTTGTATATTTTCCCCATCCATCATCAGAAACCTGTTCTCGCGTAGTTGCCATTGATGATACATCACTGCCCATCAAACTACATTTTCAAGTGTATGATTTTCTGTAGCGCAATATTAAAAAGACATGTGGATGAAAGCGAGGAAGGAAGAACCTGATCTCGACTCTGATGAATCGCCGAAGAAGACCGAGAAAAAAAGTTGTATTTTGCGTCTTTCTAAAATTCCATTTCTAGCTAGTGTACGCACACCCACACTGTGGCATCGTACCGTCGCGATTTCTCATCGTCCTGCAAGCATTAGATCGTTCCGCTCAATACCATCGTCCTCCTCCTTGTGGCTGAATCGATGTTTTTCGTGTAGTATACAAGGAACTTCAACTTTCTTTCACCCTCGTCCACCAGTGCAATTGCATGTATTGTTACTCTTTTTTTCAGTCATCTGGGAGTACGTAGAACGGTCGTGTTTACTGATTTTTCGCTACTTTGTTCGTCCTCTCATCTTGTTGTGTTTTTGGAGAAATCACTTTGCGTTTCCCTTAAGACGACAAACGTACACAAAGGATTTGCAATTGTCGCTACCCAAATCATTTTCACAGGCACATTTCGTGATCCAAAGAAATACTCACACTCAAGCCAAGAGCCCCCAGAACTAGAAGTTTTAGGTTTTCTCCTTTGTCAGCTTGAGAATACGATCTCGAGCGAGAGCCAGATGAAGGGCGGTTCCTTTGAACCTCCTCGGAAGCAGCTACGAAACACTAGTTCCCGCTGGAGCCGCCAGGCCAAAGACGTTCTGCTCTTCTTGGCCGCCACCGGAGGACAGACGAAGTGTGGCAGCGGCCTTTTCTGTAGTTGCGCAGCCCTCGACCGACGTGCTGCAGGGGCGGGTCCTGAACTACATTTGCAAAGCGACAGGTGGAAGACAACACAACTCTTGCGGGGTGAGAATTATATCGATACGGATGAACCACAAAAAATTGAACTCACCGCGGTTCTTCATCTTCACGATGACCAAGATGCAGCTAGCGCAGCACCTACGCCGGAGGAACAACGAGAAGTTCTTTTTGCCCCTTCTGTGGTTTCAGCGACGGAGAACTCCATTGTGACGTCCATCGCCGACCTGCACGGCGATTACGAGAACACAGTCCGTGCGTTGAAGCTCGCAAACCTTGTGGACGACAACCTGGATTGGGCGGCGGGGAACCAAACCTTTGTGCAAACCGGGGACATTGTCGATCGGGGAAACCACGCACGGGAGATCTACGACCTGCTATTCAAACTGCAGGACCAAGCGGCCCTGGCCGGCGGGAAGGTGATTTTACTGATCGGGAACCATGAGCAGATGCGCCTGGAGGGCGATGACCGTTACGTTGGGCCGGAAGAGACTTCCTGGGTTGAGGACTTGGAATTTCATGATCTACTTCCGGAAAAAATGGAAGATGGAAATCTTTACGATGGTGACGTGCATAACTCCCACTCAGAGTTCGTATCCCTCCGCACGACCACTACACCCAGTACCCCGACCGAAATCGCTTCGGAGGCGTGGGGCTCCGGCACGGCTAGAAACGGCAAAAAGTACAATACTCCAGGCTGGATCCACACGGAAATCAACAAACGCTTCCAGACCATGGCGGTGGTGGGAAACAGCCTCTACCTGCACGCGAGCATGCACCCTTCTCAATTAGAAGGCCTTAAAGGATTCGCAGCGGGGTTTTTGGCCTCGACCGAAGAGGGCGAAGTTCGATTTGGAAATTATAGCGGGGTTTTTACGCCGCACCAGAAACGAGCCCTGCTGTTAGAATTGTTATTTGACTGGCACCGTGCCAATGTGTTCGACGCCATTCAAAGCCCAGAACAACAATCCCCTTCTGGGCGGTTATCGGAATCCGAATGGACAGCGCAGTACGATTTTTTTTGCGGAGACGATTCTGTTTTCTGGGACCGGGACTACGACGCCGAATGCGGTGCGATAGAGGACATTTTGTCGTTTTTCCACGTAAAACGCATCATCTCCGGGCACACGGCGCAGGAAGACGGACGGATCACTACGACTTGCAAGGGCAGAAAAATTCTCGCCGACACGGCTATTTCCGAGGCGTATCGCGAGGACTACCCGGAGGGGAGAGTGTCGGCTTTGCAGGTAGTGGTTGACGCTAAAACGGGGCTGGAGCAAGTGAAGGCGTTATACCTGGATGAAAAAGAACAAGGCGTGAAGGTGGAAGTTTTGCCGACGTGAAATGATGTGAGAGCAAGTAGATTTTTGCGTTCGCGCTCAGAATCAGATTCAAGAATGCAAAGCCATTTCTGATGCTTTTGAGTTTTGTTTCCGTTTCTCTACAACATGACATGATGTTTGAGTTGGAATTAGGAATACCAAGAATATCATGTCTCCTCTCATGATAATTATCCTGCGGCGCTTTCGCTCCGTAGCAGTGGCAGCCACCGCTCTTAGATTCAGAAAGAGTGTTCGTCCGTGATCGTGTTTACTCAAAAAATGATCAACTACACGAAAGTATGAAAACGACACTTGCAGTTCTTCAAGAAACGATCCATCACGTCCTTGCATGCATGCCATGTACTCTCGTTGAAAAAGTAGATGAAGGAAGATCGAACGGGCGTCGCGAAAGCGAATCGCGCAGCGTTTTTTTTTTTGCTTGACAAGCTCACTTAGCAGATCTACAGTGATTTGCCTGTACAAGCATGATCGCTTGAATTACTCCAGTAACGGGCCCCCAAAACAGGAGCAGAAGAAACTTGAAAAAAACCTTAAAAAAACTTGAGCATTTTTGATTTATAGCAATTCAAAAAGCAAAAACCAAGAGGGGCAGCCGGAGGAGAAAAAAAACGCACGGAACGGACGCGATTTCCGGTTTCTGGAAATCGCAATCGCGCCGGCGATTTTGAAAAACTAAGCGAGGTGAACGGCTGGCGCAGATTCAAAATCAAAGGACTCGAACGGGAGGAATTTTTTTCATTTTATGGCGCGCCAAAATCCAAATCTGTGCTGCAGGAATAGCCATCCATAATTTTCGCGCGAAGGCGCGCCACTTTCAAAAGTTTACGAGTGCGACTCGGGGCAGATATTTTCCGCAGACATGGGGCAGCATTTCGCACGAACTTGACGGCCGCGGGGCGCGGTTCTTCTTCATTTAGGTGGGGGTCGCCTCGATGCATTCACTGCGCCGCGTGCGGGGGTGTTCAAAGTCCCTGCCTCGCCCGGGCGCCGGCTGCCGGGGTGCCCGAGCTTGGCGGGCGGTGGGGTTCTGGCTCTTGCGAGGCCTTTTTGTAGTGCCGAAGCGGCCCCACTTGGTCGGAAGGCTTGCCGGCACAAAGGGCGGGCGCAGCGGGCCGTCCCTCCCGGGCCCCCCCCGGAGGCCCTTTCATAATACACAAAGCCACGCGGGCAGCGGGACTCTGCGCAAGCAGCTTCTGGCCCCCTAGGCTTGTACGCATAGGGGCGCCCACGCGCGTGGGCAGGCGGCCTCTTTGTTCCCCGCGCCGTGTTTGCGCGGGTGCGATCCGGCCCGGAAAATGAAGAAAATCAAAAGCGCCACACCATCGGCCGGAGGGTGTGATACTTTTTGCCGCGGTGCTGTCATGCATGCAAAAAAACACGCAGAACCCGCGTCGACCATGCCATTGGCTCTGGGGTGTGATACTTTTTGGCAGGATGAGTTCACGGAGGCCGAAAATGATGAAAGCGACGCCGGCCATACCGTGGGCTCTAGGTTGTGATACTTTTTGCCAGGCTGCTACGGCGTTCAAACTTGCAACCCGGCGAAAGTGTTGGCGAAAATGCGTCACCTCCGCCGAAGCATCTCGGCAGCAGGCGAAAAAAACTTGGATCTGCCGACGTTTTTTGGCCAAAATCTGAAGGGCTCCGCCCACCATACCACCGGGGCTAGCTTGCGATGGCTTCCAAGCACGCGACCCGGCTTGCAAGTTTATTCCAAGTTTATTTCAAGTTTTTGCTGCGATTCCGGCCGCCCGCGGGCGTGCCCAATTTTGGGCTACTTCCTGAGGCCTGTCCACGGGCTGACGGAGCCGATTTGCGAGTCGCAAAAGCGGCGGCGCCTTCCGAAGGCGCCGGCCGAACTTGGGAAGGGGGGTAAATTCCTGACTTTTGCTGGTTTTCTTCGCCCATGGTGCCGCCGTGGTAAAAAGTATCACACCCTAGCGCCGCTTGCATGGCGAACGCAGGTTGCCGCGATGGCGAAAGTGAAAACCTTCGCCCGCGTGCCCGCCCTGCGAAAAAGTATCACGCCCCAGCGCCCATGGTATGGTCGGTCGGGCTTTCCGCCATGCCCCCCGGCTGCTTGCTAAGCACGCCGCGCCCGCTGGCGCCGCCAGCCTGGGCGCGGCCGGCCCCCTCGCTCGCCGGCCCCGGCGGCCCACGGCGTCCCTTCGTGATTTCTACCGGCGCGCCGCGGCCGCCCCCGGCCCATCGATCGGCAGGCTGCGCCGGCCATCCGCCAGGGGCGGGCACCGACGAGCCCGGCGCACGCGGGTGCGCCGGGCTATTCCCAACAAAGAAAGGGACGAACCAGCGCGCCACCCCTAGCGCCCACCGTCGTCCGCCCGGGCGGGCGCGCCCCCTCCGTGTGGCCTGCCGGCCTTTTTGGGGCATCAGGCTCGGCGTTCTTTTCGGCATTGGCGGCGCGGAGCCAGCTTCTCGCCAGTGATCGGGCGGATTGATTAGTGGCGGGCGCGTTCTGCTTTTTCTAGGTATAACGAAAAAGCAGCGAAGGCGGCACCCAAAGCAATCCGCGCCCGGTCTAAATCTCGACAATAGGCAGTTTTGGCTGGAGCGGCCAATTGTCCGGATTCAGATCGTGTTTGGATTTCAAAGCAAAGCGGCTGTGGTTCCTGGCATTAAACGTGAAAAACAGTACGAAGAGGCACAGAAAGCGTCGCGCCGTGCCATAGCTTGTCCTGCTGTTGTTGGTTTCAAAGTTGGGCGCGTCACAGGTGCGCTCACAGAACAGCTCACTTTGAAGCCGTCGCGACCCTCTCGAATATGGGTCGCGCAAGTCTTTGGCAACTTGGTTGCAAGTTTCGATCTCCATAAAATTGGGGGTCCGTTCCACCAGTAATTGAAATAGTGATGCTGCCACTTTGGAAGAACTTGAACTCCCGCTTAGTTGATCTCCTGTTGATTTAAAAATTTTCACCATTCGCTTAGACGCCGTTTGAATTTTTACCAAAATCGTCAACTCGTCTCCAAGCAGCTTCTAGTACTACAACAGGCATAGCAGCAACCACAGATGACATTTTGATCGAATGCGAAGTCATACAATTACAATTTTGAATTGCATAGATCCACCTCCAGCTCCAGCTCTCTACGACCTCTAGCCGGCAAAGCGGCCACCAAAGAAGAAGATGATGCAGCATCACCGACTTTTCCGAGCTTTCCTCCTTCTCCTCTTCGAAAAGAAAAGTTTGACAACCTCAACAGCGAAGGTCACTTTGCAAGGCGGTGATCCTGCTGCTGCTTCAGTATCATCGGCGCCGCGGGAAAATAAATCTCCACTGCAGGAGCTTGGGTCCCCCTCCTCCTCGTCGGCCCAGCCGAAATACGAAATCTACGTCACAAACGCTCTGAATGGCGAATTGGTTTTGCGGCTAGATGAGGAATTCCTGCCAGATGAGGACGTTTTGCCAGCAGCACATCTGACGAAAACAGCTGCTAGAGCAGCAGCTGACACCACCACTGGAACCACTACCACAAGCACCATTGCAGCTCCAACTTCATCCTCCTCAGTACAACTACGGGGTACAACAGCAGCTACAGATGCTACTGCTGTTTCGTCATCGTCTTCGTCCACCTCGGCACGGAGACGCCGGACGCCAGATCATGACGTGGTCCCCGGTGCAGACCACACCAGCGGAAAAAGTGCACCAGCTGGTGGACCGAAACTACAGCCTCTTCGCCACGTCACTTGGCCGATTCTCGTGCAGAAATTGCTGCAACATTTTGCGAACAAAAACCCTGAGGCGCCCTTGCTTTTTCCGGAGCAAGTGTCGCTGAAATTTCTCCATGTTGAGGAAGATAAAAGAGGGAGCGGTGGGGATGGAAACGATTCGAAACTGGTCCCACAGGACGAGGCACAAGACGAGCCTCCTGCTTGTCAAGAACTACAACAGGCAGATGTTGGCGCAGCAGCGGCCTTGCTCCTGCAAAACGACTGTCGCCGGGGACGCAGGTGGATGTTGAACAGTCGCAGAGCTCCCTCTACTTCCGGTGTTGCTGCTACTGCTGCTGGTGCTTCATCTACGGCAACTGATGATACTGCTGTAGTAGAGTGGTTCACTTACAAGTCGGAATACACCGTTCTGCGAACCTACTTTGAAAAAATCAATATGGAACGGATCACGGCCAAGTGCGGGGCCATGGCGCTTCAGGATGACGTGGGGGATCTTTTTGCACAGGGTGGTCCGTGGGGAGTAGTTTGTGATGCTTGTTCAACGGCGGGAGCAGCAACGTCTTCGACAGCAGGATTGACATCTTCGCGCCGCACGACTCCAAGGAGCTCCTCTTCTGGACAGCCACATCTTCGTGGGAGGAATTGCGGGCCGCGCCTCTTCAGCCCTAGTGCAGTGGCTAACTCCAATGAAAATGCACCTACTCCGAGCACAACTACATCTGCAGCCTCTGCATCGTCCGCGACGGCTATGATTTCCAGTTCAACCACCTCTCGGAGGAGTCCAAAAGGCGCTTTCAATTTCATTGGAGCGACCTCCTCCTCATCAATCCCTACATCAAGCCGCAGTCCGAAAGGAGGAGGAGCATCAGTCGTCGGCACGGTGTCTGGTAGTCGCCGGGTCGCCAGAGCTGTGGCGGCGGCAGGAAATACAATCCGAGGTCGTGAGGTGCCTCGATCATTAGCACCAGTACCAGCAGGAGGTAGAGGTACTGCAAATACGGGAACAAGTATTACGCAAAACATACAACACTTGCCACAAGTCGTTCCCCATTTGACGGTCGAAGAGGATGTCGAGGACACGTTCGAGGCTGAAAGTACTGAAGCTGAAGCAAAACCACAACAACCCGTGAAGACCCGCATCCATTTAGAGATGCTATTGACGCAAACGTTGCCCCTCACCGTGTCCGCGCAAATGGTTCTCGCAGGGGCAACACAGAGTGCTGCGGGAGCGGCGGGGGGGAATGCCGTTGGGGCAACGCAACATGGAGGTGGGAACGCGGCAAATGCTGTCGGGGTGAACGCGGCCAACGCAGCTGGTGGTCCCAGTACAGCTGCAACAGCTACTATTGTCTCAGCCACTACCGCGGCGGGCAGCAACACCCCGGTAGTTCCGGGGTTGGAAGAGCAGCGAAATTTCCTGGAGTTCCTGCGCACAAGTGCGTGCCGTCGGCCTGCGCAAGACGAAATCGCAGAGGAGAATCTTTTACCTAACGAGGAGAAAGAACATTCATCAGCGCACCCGAATTCAAAACTGCCTTCCACAGGTGGACGTCGAACCGCGAGCGCAATTCCAATCCTAGGAGGTCGAGGTGCGACTTCTAATACAGGAGGATCTACTGCTAGTACAAGTCGCCCGGATTCTCAACATCCTCTCTCCGACCAGAAATTCCAACTTTCCATCGGCACCGGGCATCTCTTATGCAGGAAAAAACCCATCCTCATCCATTTTTTGCATGACAAACACTGCAATTTATGCATGTTTTGCATGACAAATTGGAGGGGGATGGGTGTTTTTCCTGGATATCTCCGCGCGCTGGTGGTGAACACGTTAATCGGCACCTACGGCAGAATAAGCTCTGCAAAAGTATCGTACTCGGAGTAATTGCTGCTATGCATGACAAATCTCCTTCGTAAGGTAAAACCGCATTACAAATTTCATTTTGTAATGCGAAGCGAATTTGTGATGCAATTAGAATTACTACTAGTACGATATATTTGCGATGCATACAGAAAATTCACAGACAAGCCCGCAGCTCTCTTTTCCGCTACCACCTCCTCGTCCTCCCACGCCGGAGCAGATCTTGCACACGCACTCCCTATCCCACCAGTTTTGGTTTCTCCCGAGATGCTGTATTACAAGGCCACGGAGACGTTCTGCTCGAAGATCTACAATTTGGAGCCGAGAGTGTCCCACGAAATTTTAAAAAAGCACTTCCACGATAAATTTTATCTGCGGCCTTCCTTCCTCGCGATCGCGGGACTGGATCGCGTTCTGATTCAGAAATATGTCGCCGATATTTTCTTCCACATCGAGCAAAGCCAATTAGCGGTGAACTCCGTGGGGAAAGACACGGTGCCGCTGTGGCGCAAATTCTTCCAGTTGCTCGAGTTTGCGGTGAAAGTGTCGGAAAATGGATCGCACTTGGACCAAGGGATCAAACAAATCGCCGAATTTGACACAAAATTCACCTGCTACGGTTTGACAAATCGCTTCGCGGGTGCGTACGCGCCGAATATTGTGAGGAAAAATCCCCCCTCCCCATATCGAAAGCGGAATGTGTGTTGCTGTATTTGAGTACGCAAATCATATCTGTCTTGCTGGAGAGGACTGCAGACCCATATCAAGCCTGAGCAGAGAGGCTTTGACTTAGGCGCATAGCATGAAAAGCGTCCGTGGTGTTGGCTCAACAGCATGAGAAACCGCCTCCATAATGGGACGGAAGCTGCTGTCCTTGTCTTCTTGCAACACAGACGTGATTTGTGACCTCAAATCAGCAGCACAAATTTTCGAAAACCTACCTCTTCAATATGGGGAGGGGGGATTTTTCCTTTTGATACCGAAGCCGTTCTTGGAAGCACTAGCGGTGGAGATGGTCGTGCGGGGAAAGGATCTATGGGTTGCAAAAGTGTCTGGGCCTGGAAGAGTGTAAACTTGTCATGCAGCTTTTCCATGGGCCATGAAGTCTGGAATACGGGACCTCGCATGACAGACACTGCGAGGTCTCTGTCATGCCCATCCTGCGTGAGAAACCCCCTCCCCACTTGGTTGACAGTGGGCAGCTTTTGGCACTCATGCAACACAGATTTTTGCACGATTCGGGTTTAGCATGATAAGTTCCAACCTTCCAGACCCAGACATATTTGCAACGCATAGGATCATGCTGGTGTTGATCATCGAAGCAGCACAAAAAAAGCCACCGGGGGAGACCACCAGCACTCTGCAGATGCTGGCACAGTCGATGCAGGAGCTCAGCGGACCTCCACCAGAGTGGTGTCTAGCAAGTACCAAGAAGCTGAATACTTGCTGAAGACGCTCTATTTCGAGAAATGTAATCAGTTACGACTGGCGAATTATCATGCGCTTGGCGGTGGCCGCGGCTTAACAGGGATGACACTGGCAGGAGCTGCACGACGGAGTCCTGCAGGAGCAGGCGGTGTGAATGCTAGAAACAGTATAAACCGCACAGGAGCTTCCTCCTCCGGTCTGCTGTGGCGAAACAGCTTCTCCCTGTCTCCTACACCGACATCAAATAGGGTGTCGGTGAGCACCAGCATATCAAGAGCAACTGCATTGCCGTCTTCTCCTAACAACGCTGCGTCATCGACATCGACATCAACTTCGCCTAAAATGTTGACCACCGCCACGTCCACCTCGCCGAAGTCCTCCACCATCTTTCGTCGCTCCCCTCGCACCACCCGGTCATGCCTGCTGCGACGGGCTTTTTCCCAAGACAACTTTTTCGCTGATGATTTGGTGTGCTGTGGGGGAGAAGTTGTAGAGAGACAGGACCTCCGCGGGATAGCAGCATCCTCTGGAGGAGCACGCGCCTGCGATGGCCGTCGTGTAGAGAAGTATGCAACGGAAGTGCAGCTCGGAGGTGTGGCACAAGCTACAGGTGGCAGTGGCGCTTCCTCGTCTTCCTCCGCAGCGGCCGTAGGTGGAGAGACGTTAACACCAAGGATGATTTCCGACCTCTTTTCGCCCCCAGCACGTTCAAAGACGTCATCTTCCTCGTCCGCTGCAGGAGCTTGTCAGCAGCAAAGATCGCAGCCGCCGTCTAGTAACCGAGCGAACTCGAAAACGGGTAGGATTTTTCCTTCTTCGCCTAGCATGATCGGAGGCGGCCACCAAGGGCAGACGCAAAGCCAACCTCTCTATCCTCTGCAACTCACCCTGCAGGCGAAAATGCGGGATCTGTTTCGTGAATTGCATCAGCGGAGCTACATTCGGGCCACTGGTGAAGACGAGCTTGGGGAAAGTATTAGCGACGATCTTGCAACGCCTAGTGGTTACTTCCGATATCCGGGCGGGGTTCTGATTTCGAAAGCTCTAGTGGAACAGCAGCTGCGGATAGATGCGAAAAAAATGAAATTATTGTGGCTGCTGTGGCGGGAGGCTGGGCTGGGAACGCTAACGCTTTCTACTACTTCCAGTTGTGTGTCGTCCGCTCAAACAGCTAGGAAGAAAGCGGGGAGAACTTCTACTGCTTCATCTGCAACAAGAGGTGGTACTTCAAAAACTGCAAACCGCGAAGAAGACCACGGAGCGCTTTTTCCAAACATGAGGAAACAGAGCGATCTCATCACAGCGAAGGACATGCTGCAGCTCTACATGCGCTCTTACTTCGGATTGAGGGTTGGTTCCATAGCGTCGACTGCATCTAGCGATAATTTTGAGCCGGAACAACATGAAGTGGTGGAAGAACGACCCGGTTCATCTTCTGCAGGAGACCACGACCATCTCCGCACGAACTACCGCGGCGACCATCTTCTGGGCTCGGATGATTCGGCGGATGATGAAATCGCGGAAAAAATCAAGGTCTTACTGCAGGAGGTAATGGCTGAGGCTGCAGAAGAGGAGGAGGAACATGAACAAGCCGAAAGCGAAACTTGTGATGCAGCAGTACAACACGATCTGAAGGTGACAACTCAAACAGCCGATACTACGATTCAGTTTCTCGAACACCTCCGCGAGGACTTCAGAGCGCAAAGAATATCCCCAGGAAAAATCAAACCCATGCCCAGAAGCACGCAATTTGTCATGCAAAACATGAAGGATTGCCTGTGTTTGTCATGCAAAAATGGGTTGGGGCCACGGAAGATTTTTTCTCTGTGGATAAGGGATGCAGCTTCTCTACGGCACGAAAAAGGACGAGATTGCGCAGGTGGTGGAGAATTTGATTTCGGACGCGATGGCACAAGTTCTGAGCAGTCGAAAGAGCGCTGACGTTCTTGCGGCGAAAAGCAACGACCACGTAGAGCAGGATAGCAGAGCTGGGCTGCAGGTGGAGCAGCCCGACGACTGTAGTGAGGAGCTTGCTCTACAGGGGAAACGAAAGAGCAGTGTTCTTCGTAGTTCCAAAAGCGAAATAAACAAGCGGCCTGATGAAATCGGCGTATCCACCAGTGATGCAGAAGACCACGAAGTGGATGACGATATCTACGAGGCGGAGGTGTACGACGACGTCGCGGAAAAAAACGAAGTCGGAGATCATGATCCGTGTTGCACTGCACCAGCAGACGCCGGGGCTGAAGGACGGGAGGACAAGTTTTGTGGAGAATTACAATTAGATGCACGACCGTCGGACATTAGCGTCACAACCGCAGCGTCGCCAACATCATTTTCGTTTGTGCGAAAGTCCAGTTCGCTTGGAAGCAGCACATGCTGCACGACACCATCAACGACGAAATCTTCGAAGGGTTTAACGTCACTCCAAACACCAATGTCAGTGGATGGTGAGGGGGAAGGCACTTTATCAACTGCTGGCACCTCATCGTAGGCCCCTGTGATGCATATTGAAGCTTGGTAAATGAACATTTTTACGTTTCAAATTTTGAGTTTTGATAGTTTTGAAGATGATTTTCCCTTCCTCTTTTTTGGCAGTATTGGCCTTATCTTAAATGAACACGAAGATGAACATTTTGTTCGCGATAAGGACAACCACATGCTGAAGATGCAGTTTGAATCAAGTATGCTTTGTAATGTTTCATTTCTTTTCGCTGTCGTGTCCTCTCGATGCCTGGCCCCATGGGTCTCTAAGTTTTGCTTTTACTTCGACCGAAAATTGAAAGTAAACTGCTGGAAACATGTCTTCGATTAATGCAAAACTGAATTTGGGAATACAGATACAGTTCTAGTTCAGGATGAAACAGAAGCTTAGCTTTCAGAACTTACCAGAAGACTGCCGAATCGAGGCAAGTAGTTTTGGCGCACTAATCGTACTTTTGATTGACCATAAGAGCCTGCTGCGCCGCCATCTGCTCGTTGTGGTTGTGGTTGTAGTGCAACAACGCTCTAATCTTCGTCGTAGTCTCGATCGTGCGAAAACTTCATGAGCATCGTTGAGAGATGAATGAGAAAAGACGGAGCGAATGCATTTTCGTGCGACACGCTCTATTCCGTTGTACATCGTCGTTCAATAACGTAAGAGAGCTGTGATCATGCGCATCTTCCGGCAGCTGTAATTCCGGTTATTTCATCGTCCTAAGCTCACTTCCGTATCGTTCTGACTTGTGCGAGACTGAGACTCCATCTTCGACACGACGTTTTGCTTTGAGAATACAGGAACTACAGGATTTTCTCATACTACCTAGGCATGAATATTGTTCTCCTACCTGCTGGCCAGCGCCTTGGTCCGACCCCGTGACCTTGATGTAGGAGGTGTGCTCTCGTCAGTATGAGTTTTTTGAGTAGGAGTATATAATATGCGGGTGTTACTTTGTAGTGCTGCGCTTTGTTCGAATTGGAAGTTTTAGTTTTTTGGTTTATGCTGATTTTCATTCGAACGATTTGCGCTAGAACTAGAAGTCAAGAAATTGTAGGAGCACACCAGGAACCGCTAAGAGTAAGATTCTAAGCGATCTGTGTGTCTGTCGAAATGTAAAAACCAACCTGAGAAACAAATATAGTAAGTGCTTCTTCTTTCCAAGATGGCTTGTGTTGCAATTTCACCTACATGTTGTTCAACACGACGAGGACCAGAAAGGAGAGTGTCTTCTTCCTTCCCCTTTCTCCTCCTCATAAATTTCTTCCACCACTTTCTCCTGAAACCCTCCAACGCCCAACAACAAGCGCAGCCACCACCACTCGCGCCATCCTCCATCCAACCACAAATAGAAGTACCAACACCAACAGGAGACGGCCAAGTAGATGCTGTGGCGGTTAGGGAAGAGGCGGAATCTTATGCCCAAATAAACCAGCAGAGCGTGAGCGCGGCGGCGGCTGCGAAGAGGAGTATTGTTAACAGGAATAGTAAACCAGAGCCCGGGACCACTCCTTCCTTCTCCAATCTTCAGCAACAAGTCGGGATAGAACAAAATAAAGCAAAATTACTGCACCAGCAGCAGGTTCATCTTCACAAAGAAGGAAATACGAAAGAAGAAAGTCTCGGCACCGGGGCCGTGATGCACCCGCGGCAGGACGGAAACGGATCGAAGTTTGAGAACAGGAACCAAAAGCCGTCGACCTTTTACGACGAGAGTGTGATAACGTCAATTGCGGATCTACATGGGGATTTCAAATCTGCGGTGGAAGCGTTATAGCAAATGCAAAAATGTCTGGGTCTGGAAAAATGCAAGGTTTGTCATGCTAGGCTAGCAGGACTCTCAAGTCTCTCATGCGCGTTACCCAAAAACATTTTTTTTCTGTGATGCAGAGTCGCAGTTTTTCATGCAGAATAGGCAACACTTGAGAAGCTCAGAAACTTGTCTTGCTGGGCTATCATTTGTGGCATCCTCATGCTACGTCACTCAGCATTACAAGTCTCCAGACCCAGACATTTTTGCATTTGATACGTTAAAACTGGCGAAAATCATGGACGACCAGTGGAACTTATGCATTGCAAAAGTATCGTGCTAGTGGTAGTAGTAAAACAAAAACTGCATTACAAACTTGCTTCGCATTACAAATGAAGTTTGTAATGCTGTTTCACCTTTACGAAGGACACTTGTCACGTATAAACAGCAACTACAACAACTACGAGTGCGACATTACTTTTGCAGAGCATAGAACTGGGTGGCGGGCAACAAAATTTTCATCCAAACCGGGGATATTGTGGATCGGGGAAATAACGGGCGGGAAATTTACGATCTCATGTTCCGATTGCAAGATCAGGCGGAGAAGGTATTTCTAGATAGCGTTCTAACTTATTCATGCTTCTGACTGTGCATGACAGAGCCAACTCGACGTCTTCCAGAAAATCGCATGACAAATTTCAAGTTATGTGCTGAAGCCAAACAATGTGAAAGTGTAAGTCATTGATTGTTCTTTCTCTACACCTGAAAAATCAGGCCGGCGGGCGCGTCATCATGTTGTTGGGTAATCACGAGGCAATACGAATGCAAAATGACGTGCGATACCGGGGCCCGAAAGAGACTTCCTGGTCCTTGCACCCGAAAACAAACGACGATGACGCCAGGGGGATAAAAGCTTGGGCGGAGGGGGGTTGGTTGAGGACGGTATAGAATCTGATAGTTTTTTTTGGTAGTTGATTATGATTTCCCTGTGTTGGTACTTTGTGATGCTGATCCATGCATGAGAAGCAAGATTTGTGTTGCAGCACATCAAAGACAAAGTCGTCATCAATTTACGACGCTTAATCCTATCCTCAGGCACTGGAAAAACGTTCGTCCACCATGGCGATTGCCGGCCGCTCACTCTACGTCCACGCAGCGTTGACCCTTTCCTACGCCAAAAAACTGGAATACGGAGTTCTCAAACGCTACATTCTCAACTGTTACATGAATTTGTCATGCAAACCTCTCTTCAGTATCACTATCATCAAGCTGCTTTGCATGACAAATTTCCAAAGGGCTAAAGAGCCTCTAAATCTGTGCCGAATCTGAATCTGTAATGCAAAAGGCGCAATCTCTACCCTTGCATTTTTGCCATTGTTGCAATACAAATTCATGTACCAGTTGAGAGTGTAACGTTTGAAAACGCCATATGGAAACTATCGCCCAGGAATTCGACAGCAACGCGAATTTAGACACCCCCATGAGCCCGGAGCTACGGGAGAAAGTGTTTAACAAGTTTCACGAGAAGGTGGTCGAAGCGTTGCGGAGCCAGGACTTCCTAAATTTCTACGTATTGGATTTAGATAATTTTATTTGGCTGCATTTTACTGTAAAAAGTGTAGTCCAATTCACATGACAAATACATTCGACTTTGCCTTGTATGCATGACAAGCTTCAATAAAAATAAAATCAGATCAACGACTACTCTCCCTTTTGGTCCCGCGAATACGACTTGGAGTGCGCAGAAGCTGAGCGGGTTTTCAAATTTCTCAACGTGGACCGCATCATCGCGGGGCACACCCCTTTATCCTGTGCAAAAGTAACGTACTACTGTAAATTGCAATACAACTTAGCTCAGCATTACAAATAAAATTTGTAATGCTGAGTAACAACTAGATTTGTAATGCATTATAACTGCAATTGCTACGAGTGCGATGCTTTTGCAATGCATACCCGCAAACCGACGGCAGAATCGGCGTCGGATGTGACGGGAAAATCGTGCTGGCCGACACAGCCATGAGCATCGCGTACCGCCAATCGTTTCCGAAAGGGCAGGTCAGTGTTTTGACGATAGCGGACTCCGTGCCGGAAGACGGAAAGGAGACCGTCGTGCAGGCGCTGTACAAAGACCAAGTAATGGAGTTAGAGAAACAGGCCGGGCACTGGGGATCCTGGGCCAGTGTGGTGGACCCAAACATGGTGAAACAGATGCAGGAGCGCGACCGGAAAATGAAAAACGTGCGTGGGGGTAGCAGCAGTAGCAGCAATAGCGGTAGTGCGGGTACTGGTACAGCTTCTTCTACCTCCAACGGAGCAGAAACAACACCGACAAACGCAGCCGCTACTTCCTCAAACAATGAAGCAGAAAATGCAGCAAAAACTACGTCAACTGGCGAGGCCTCTTCTTCCAGTAGTTCTTCAGCTGCAAAAGCTAGTGCTGGCGCGACGTCCGAAACAAATAAAGAGCGTGAAGATTCCAAGAACACCGGCGCAACAGGACATCAACTGTCTGGTACTGCATCCTCGGAAACCAATTTAGCAAGCAAACTCCTTTCCTCCACCAGCACAACCCAAACTTTGTATCACTACCTCTTCGCCTCCCCGAGTAGCACGATCTGCACCCTTGTCTCACTGCTCATCATCACTCTCGTTTTCTTCCTCTTTTTCCGGTTTTACCAGAGGTCGAGGATGATGGGCGGAACCATAGCGGGCGGGAGTGGCGGGCTGTTGCCCGGGTGTAACGCAGGGACGTTTGGCGGGCCGGTCGGGGTGATCGGGTCGATGTATTACATGTGGAAAAGCTATGGAACTGTCAGGATCGAAATTGACAAAATCGAAAAATTTGTGATGCATAAAATGCATGACGCGGAATGCGTGTGTTGCAGAGCAGGCAAGTGAGGCCGATTGTAGGCCTGTTTGGGGTTGTAACTCGAGCTGCTACAGCAGCATGAGAGAATTAGCCTTCTTTGCCTAAACAGCATTACAGACTGGATTTAGGCACCGCCAGAATTTGTCGTGCGCCACTTAGAAACTGGGTTCGAACTGGAATCCATTTTATGCATGACAAATTATTTCGATTTTGTCAATTTCGATTCTGACACTTCCATAAAAGCCGGACGCCAAGGCTGGTTGTTTGACAACGTGGTTTAGAAGAAGACACGATTTGAAATTCTAGCAACTGAAGTTTTAAGTAGATATAGATTTACTCACTACACTCTGATGTTTAGCTTGTTTACCAAATTCTCAAATTTACATTGACAACGTGTTGCAAAAAATTTAAGAGTTTTTTGTTCCTGCTTGAATACGAATAATGTAAGTGTGCAAGAGGTGGAGTTCGCCCTTGTATGTACAAAACAATGTAGTGTTGCGTGTGTACATAAAACTGTAATATCTCATCACTTTTTTGTGGTCCCTACGTAAGTAGCCCTTGTAGTTTGTTTTGCTTCGTCACTTTGTTTTCTATTGTACTACACTGACGGCCACGGCGCTAGAGGAGGTAGTGATGCAGATGCGGCGCGACAAAATCATCATGCCTTATCATGCTGCTGCAAAAGATGAAAGCGCCCAACTGTGGCCCTACTCATACGGCAAGAAAGATGAGGTGGTTCTTCTACTTTCGCCAGAAAATAAAATTTTCTTGTCGACTTGATGTACTTGTACATTTTAAAAATGCCGATGACCCTGTGTCGTCGCTAAAAAAGACGTCGACACGACAGCGCTGCAGTTTTGGTTTTCCGGCATCTGGTTCACTGACCGACTTGTGACGGTTTGGATTTGATGGTGCGTTCGTGCAAGTATCTTCGGTGCTGTTTGTTCTTCACAAGTATGAGTGACGGAGTTCCCTTCAGAGGAGGGAAAAAGTGCCGTCCATACCACCAGGAGAGCGACTTGTCTATAATTTTTTGATGTCGAGGACGTGTTATCTGGGACTGGGAGTGCGAGAGCACATCTGGACGAAGCGTAAGGGTAAAGGAGCGACAAGATTATACTACAAGAGGCCAACTGTAGAGCTACAATCGACGCGATGTTGTCCTCCGCCGCGGGGTTGATGCGCGAGCACGCCGCCGCGGAAGGTCCCATGGAGCCGCTATGGCGTTCGCTGGTTGTTGCTGCCGACGGGCGGACTTGCGGGCCAGCCTCGGGCTACATCTCTGGTTGCCGTATTGCGCAAGTGAGCGACCGACCCCGGGCCGGCGCCGTAGCAGCTGAAAGAGTGCAGGCTGCCGAAAGTCGGCGGCCGCCTTGTCCTCCCGCCCGGCGGGCACGGTGGGGGCGGTCAGCCCCCTGCCCCCGCGTCGCGTCCGGCGTGCAGTGGGGCAATGCTTCCCGGCCCCTTTTCTAACTTCTTGGGCGGCCCCAGCGCTGTGGCGCGCCCGTGCGGCCCCTTTGGTGTCTGACGTTGTGCCCCCTGGATCCCGTTTCCGGGGTGGGCCGCCCTGTTGATTGGAGCGAGTGAGCGCAAGCAAGCTCGGGCCGAACGGGCAGAAGCTAACTATCTAGCGCATGTTCTGCGGCCTTTGTTTTGTGACTGCCGTTCGTTGCCGTGCCGGGGCGCGCGTCCGGGCAAGCAAGGTTTGTCTGGCAGCTGCGTTGCAGGCCGTGCCTGCCTAAAAACCCACCGCCCCCCTCGATGGGACGCCACAAGGAAGACCAGATCAGACGTGTGTGGTTCGCAGCTCTGGCAGGCCTTGGCGCCGGGGCGTATCGTATGTGTTGTGTGCATCTATACTTACATTGTTCTTTGGCATCGGGTGTTCGCGTTTCTTTTTTTCTTGACATCGTATGGTCATTGCAGAGTGGTGTTAGCTACACGAGACTGGTCGTCAGGAGTTCGACGGCTTCCTCAAGAGGAAGAGCAAGGTCCGAGTGCAGCCAAGTACACAGACCGCCAGCACTTCTGAAGCCAATAGAGATGTGGGCGGCCGTTGTATGAGTCGCATAAATTTGAAACGAGAGGAAGAGAGGACGTAGACGATGACGTAGGCTAGTAGGGGTTGTCAGATAAAGAAGTAGAACTTACTACCAAGAAAAACTGAGGCGATACAAAAATGGAAACGATAGCACCAAACGAATAACCGGAGCGAGTCTTCCAAAAATGGGCGCTGTTTCTTTGTGCGCGTGGCGCGCAGGCCCTGCATGCGAGGGGCGACTGTGTCAGGGGCCACGCCTTCCGTGTGCTTCTCTGTGGCTGGCCCCTAGAAGCGTAGCGCCAATGCTTTCGGGGTCGTGTGTAGTGGGCAGGCCTCTGCCCGTGTTGCCAGCTCGGCCGTTCGTTGTTCGCTGGTGGAAGCGTTGGCCGCGCCTCGCCAGCGATTGGCCCAACGGAAGGCGGAGGCCGTTCGCCCGACAGTGATGATGGCGATGAAGAAACTCACGGGCGGCGAAAAGCTGGCGGGGTCAGAGGCGAGCGGCGCGCCCTCTCTTCCTTTTTGTCGTTGCTCATCAGCGAGGCTGGCAGGCGACGCCGCCGGGGGGGAAGGCGCGCGGCCGGGCAGGCCGCCGCCGCGCGCCCGTATTCCTATTCTTCGGCGGCCGGGCCTTGGTTGCCCCGCCCCCGCCCCCCCCTCGTAGCTCCGGCCGGGGCGGCTCGCGTTCTCCGTGCCCCCCAGACCTAGCGGCAGCCAGCCGGGCCCCGGGTTGCTGCTCGATCGGTTTTGGCGGCGCGAAGACGCATGGGTTGGATAGGCCTAGCAGGGAGGGAAGCCAGCGCGCCCACGCGCGCTGCGTCTTGCAGCAGCTATGCCTCCGCGGAGAACAGATGGTCCGCGCGCGTGCAAGAATGCAAGCAACTTGCGGCCGCCGCCCCCGGCCGGTGGCACGGCTTCCGTCTCTTGGGATATATCGACTAGTATGATTAAGCAAGGGCTGTTGCCCACAGGTGAGTTTTGGTGCCGTGGTGTGTCTTATTTGGCGTCGTGTGTTCGCTTTTCTTTTTTTTGTTTATTTTGTCGGATGGACATTGATGATTGCGGAGTGGTGCATGCTACACGACGAGACTGTAAGAGTCACTTGCTCCGCAAGAGCAAGCGAGGTACCATAGTTCTCAGTGATCTTGTTGCCAATATCACGTCTTCGGCCCCAGTTGCAGGAAAGTGAGTTTTTCTTTGTAGAAGTGCCTTACTTTGAGTCAGTTTGTGTGTACGGTGAGTGCGTGTGGCTGCGGCGACACATTGCTGACGAGATGACGTAGCTCAGGTCCGAGAGGTTCTTTGTGTGTTATGATTCGCATGCTCAGTACCAGGAAATAGGAAGTTCAGGTAGGTGGGATCTAACATTCTGTTCCTGTGCCTCCTGTCCCTACTTCACATTACTTAGTTTTCAACAGGCTATTGCGGAATATATTTTTCAGTGTTGTGTAGTCAGTTTCTGTACCACTCGAAATCCAAAACGCGAAGATGTCCTCCGCCGCGGAGTTGATGCGTGAGGAGATGCTGCACCAGCAGCGGCAGCAGAACCAGCACTCCAAATCCGGTAGCTCGACTTCGCACTCAACCTCGAGAAACACCGCTGGCGCAGCTGCCGGCGGCTCTTCTTCCTCTTCCACAGCTAATGGAAATAATCATGGAGCCGCAGCATCTTCATCCACAGCTATCACCTCCTCTTCCTCCTCCAACAATATCGCAATCTACGTCTTCGACGAAACCACGAACCAGTCCCGAAACTTTCAGTGCAAACAGGATGTGTTGTTAAAACACATGAAATACTTCCGAAGCTACCTAGCTGGTTCCAGCAAATCTTCCTCCAACACGACCACCCCAGAGGACGACATTAACGATGGAACGGGTAGTATCGCAAGAAAAAACTGCTTCACTGTAAACTTGTAATGTAGAAAATGCATCTGAGAAGTGTTTGTCTTACTACACATGCAAGACAATGGATTCTATAGCTGTGTTTCCTTTTAGGGATCTCGCATGGCAAATTTTCTCTGTGATGTAGAACAAACTTGTGATGCAGAACTTGCAAAGTCCTTACAGTGAAACACTTTTTTCATACGATATGTCGTAGTAAAAAACAACCACCAAACAAGCAGAAGAAAAAAAAGGACCAGCAGGAGCAGCAGGTGGAGATTTCTGTCCACTGTGACATCGGCGTTTTCGCCTGGCTGGTTCGGTACATGAGCAATCCGGAATTAATCGCGAGTACGAAATTGAACGCAAACAACGTCATCAGCATTTTGATTTCCGCGGAGTTTCTGCAGATGGAGTTGCTGGTGCGGCAATGTGTGGAATTTCTGGTGAACCCAGGAACAAGTGGCGGAGGAGGCGGGGGGAACAATCCGTATGCACTGCAAAAGCGTCGCGTCCCTGTTACTTGTAATATCGCATGACAGATCTGCTTTCTGACCTACATTTGCATGGTAAATTTCACTTGTCTACGGCTTGCAAGAATTTGTCATGCGGTTTCCACTAGAACTAGAAGCAAGTAGACCAACAAGCGTAGCCGTAGGAGCAAGACGCATTCTGCAATGCATAATCCGAATGCAGCCGGCGCACTCGTTCCCGGAACACAAAACTTTTCGACGTCGCCTACCGGAGGTGGGTCTGTCGCCGAGAGCGCGACTGGGGGAAAATTTCCGGCTCTGGATCAGGTAAGTGCGTGAGTTTCCTTCTCACCTTCACCTGATTCATTTTCATGCCACTTTTGCATCACAAAATGAGTCTGCTACCTGCAGTACTTCCGCATGACATATTGGAAACAACATATACACCCTATCAGGTCCTGGCCCTTCCAATCGACCTGAACTGTTTGAATGAGGAGCTACTGGATTTCCTTTATCAAATGCAAAAATGTCTGGGTCTGGAAGGTTGCAACTTGTAACGCTGTCTTTGGAACGTAACAAAAATCTGTATTGCATGACCAGCAAGAGGAGCGCAGTTTGTGCTACGTCGCGGAGTGGGCGTTTCTCATGCGGAATACGCATCAGAAGGCCCTTTAAAAATCTGTGATGCTATGTCATGCATTACAGGCATCACGGGTTATGCAAAATATGCATGACAAACCTGGCAATCTTCCAGACCCAGACATTTTTACATTTGATATCCTTTGCGATAAGCTCAAAGTCGAGGAATTGGACAAAATCGTTGATAACGAAGACAAACTGGTCTACAAACTCTACGACGTTATGCATTGCAGAAGTATCGTACTCGTATAAAAATAAATTGCAGCACTGCATGACAAATCCATTATACAATCTCGAAGCAGCATGACAAATTTCACTTTCGTTTTGCCGAAATTTTTGATGCTGTTTTCACTACTACGAAGATGCAGATGCTTTTGCAATGCATAGACGTGCATTTGAAACGGTTGCTGAACAGCAGTCCCGAGCTATCCAAGAAAAAAACTGTGTTAGTGTAACTTTGTGTTGCAGAAAGTGCAAAGGTGTCACACTTGTCATGCTGGACATGCATCAGAGGCAACTTTCGTACGTGTTTTCACGTACTAGCTGCGCATGACAGGTTTTCTGTGTCATGCAGAACAAACTTGTGATGCTATTCCTCCAAGAAACTTGCACTTACAGTTACACACTTTTCTTCCTGGATACGAGCTTTTCCGCTGCGTCTTCTGCCGGGAGCTGTTTTCCCTGGTGATGCCCGGAGCTGGGGTTAGCAAGGCGAAAAAGCTCCTGCTTGGGGGCGGTGGAGGAGGTAGTAGTGCTGGTTCTTTAGCAAGAAGCAGGAGTCGAGAAAACGAAACAAGGAACGCCGGGGCTGGTACAGCAAGTTCGCCGCAAAGAAGAGGCAGTGCAACTGCCGGTGGTTCCTCATCTTCCTCGTCCAGCAGCTCGTCTTCTAGTTCGTTGAGAAACAGCACTACTGCCGGAGCAAAAGTCCCGACTCGATCTCTCAAAGAACTGCAGCTCGCGTCGAGGAAAATCATGAAGCAGAATCAGCAGGAGAAGAAGTTACAACAAGACACTTCCAAACAAGACCACGAGGAGTTCATGAAATGCCCGAAGGCAGAAATTTTCATCGACTTCAACGGCAAGGTGATCGCGCAACACGTAAAAGACCGCGATTTCGACTTCTACGACTACGCGGAGTACGAAAAGCAGAAACGGTTGAATTCCAGCTCTGAGCAGCATGGCGGTTCCAGCCTGAAAAAAACGAAGATGCGGGATTTGTTCTGGTCGGTCTTCGGAAAGTTGAACTACTTGAAGTGCAAGCACTGCGACAAAACACTCTCTCTGTCTACTTTTGCGGAGGGGTTGAATTGTTGGTATCATCCGTTGAAGCCGGGTCAGAGTCAAACGGCGCTGAGAAGTGGAGGTGACAGCAACGTCGTGTCTTCCACTTCTAGCGAGTCGGAGGACATTCTGTGTGGTGCGGTAGACGGTACAACTGGGGTAGTACTGGCAACGACATCTTCTGCGACAAAAATTGTCGACCCAGTCACCGGCGAATTGATCGTTGGACCCAGCTCTACTTCTTCTACGCAAACTGCGGTCCTCCTGAAGGGCAACAGGATTGTCGACAATGTGTATCCTTGTTGTGGCCTACCAGTAGTGAAGTTCAACCCAACCGGATCCTGAGTAAAAACGTACCCACACCAGAGTTGTCATGCGACTTTGCCATGACAGGAACATTTGTGATGCGCAACCCCATGACAGGCATTTTCAATCGTGTTTGGGAACTTGTAATGCTGTAAACAGGATCAGCAGATCGATTTGTGATGCGGCTTTCCTTGCTAACTTGCACTACCTCACGGACTGAAACTTGTCATGCGTGACTCACAAAACTCCTAGGTTTGTGTTGCAAAATCCCCATCCTGACTCTGGTGTGGGTACGTTTTTACTCAGGATAAGCCGGATCTTCGGTGCGGAAACTGAGTAAAGCGAAACAACAGATGGACCATTATGACGGCCGGAACAGCGATAGTAGCAGCAACAACAACCGCGAGCTCGGGTGCAGAGTTCGGGACCACGAGCCGTTGTCGGTTTACTCGACGACAACAGGCGGCGGCTCTGGCTCGTCTGGGGAGGAGAGCATGTTCCACCGAGGGAGTTCGGAGCAGGAGAATTCAGTAGGCGCCGGAGGTGGAGAGGATCAGGACCAGGAAGTGGATGAGCATCAGGCGTTTTTAACAACTGTCTTATCCTCCTACGGTGGGATCATGAACACCTCAACCGATTGGTGGACGAGGGATTTGTATGCAATGCAAAAGCATCGTACGAGTAAGTAAAAATTGCATTACAAATTTGCTCAGCATGATGACAAATGCAGTTTGTAATGCTGTATTACGTTTGGAGGAAGATTTGTCACGCAGATTTGCAATTAGTACGAGTGCGATACTTTTGCAGTGCATAATTTGAGGCCACGGGGGATGGCGGAGGAGGATGAAGATGCAATGGTGTTGGATGATGATGATGTAGACCTCGACCTCTCTATCCTGTGCAAAAGTATCGCACTCGTATTGCAGTCATGCATTACAAATCTTTTGCTTAAGGTAAATCCGCATTACAAATTTTATTTGTTTCTCATGCTGGGGAAATTTGTAATGCATTTATACGAGTGCGATACTTTTGCAATGCATAATCTCCGCAGCGCAACAGCAACTCCGGGCGTCCTCGGGAAATTACAGAAATAAAGGGATGTATGGAGCAGGAAGTGTTGGGAGCAGTCATCAGCACGCGTGGGGAAGCTCGTCGTCAAACCACATGGGCACGTATTTGCAGGGGGAGCAACGTATTGGTTTTAGATTTGGTTGCTTCATCTCGAAATTTCTCATGCACGTGTCTGTAACGCATGCTACTCCCAAGTACGACATCCTGCATGACAAATGTACATCAGTTGTTTCCATTTCGCGCTAGAACACAAAAAACCCATTACTATCAGTCTACCACCCCCGTTGCAGCTTTGACCGAGCGTATTGTTTCGAGCCACTCCCCGAATACGCCCCGCCATTACGCGGGAGCAAGATGATAGCAGCGGCAAGTAAGAAACTAGCACAGCAACAGTTCCTAGGTGGTGGTACCAGACACGGCAGCCAGTCCCGGTCCAGGTACCAGCAACAAATCATCGGCAACAGCTTCGGAGCACCAAAACGCGGATCTTCTTCCTCCGCCGGTTACGGGTACTCCTCCACGATGTCTCTAGTTCACGGTCAACCGCAATACAACCAAACGACGTTTTTTGATTTGAAGTTCCCGGGGACAAATCGGAGACAGCGGGACCAAAGGCTGGACATGTTGAGGGAGGACGATAAAAGGCGGCTGGAGATCATGATACGAAAGCAGAGGAACCACCGGATGCATGCCATGCAAAGGAGCATGAACGCAGCTGCAGCTCTGGCTGCGAAGAGGGGAAAATTGAACAGAGCCGAGTTGAATGCTGACCAAGCAAGCGGCGGAACAGGAATGTTAGCCAACAACAACTCACCGGATGCTGGGAATGCGAAAAGGAAGAACAAGAGTGGCACGCTGAAAGCACAAAACCAAAACACGACTCTGCTGAATAGCAATTCGTCCAGTAGCGTCGTTGGAAACAACAGCAACAAAACGCGGGCCAGTGGTGTCGCTAGTACCGGAGCATCAAACGCTAGCAGTGCGAAGCTGCAACAAGGCTATCGGAAATCGCGCATGGTGATGGGCACTGGGGCGATTCGGCCGACCAGCGCGGGTGGGTCGGGAACGATGCGGAGGTGATAAGCATTTTTTGCTTTTGCCTTGTCCTCTGAAAGACCACTATCTTCTTACCAGTACATGCAGCTCCTTAGATAGATTATGACTGTGATTCTGTTCTTCAGTTCAGTATTGATGAGTTCTTCGTTATTTACAGCGCCTCGATGTTCTTGACAGCACGACATGATCTCATGAAAATGTATTGGAAAAATATTGGGGTAAAACTAAAATTGAAATCCGCCAAACTTCGCACCATTTGTTGTTCTGCACCCATTGATTGTGGGGTTGGAGTTGTGATCAGGTGATTGACAACATCGAGATCACACCGATCAAGACTAGCACCAAATGAGCGGATCAAGTGAAGTAGATTGTGATCGTAGCTTCGCGGTCCACTGCTGAAAGAGTTTCACTTTCACCTAAGTTTCACACCCAGAGATGGATCCACCCGGACTGACGATTCTGAAGCTCAGACGCTTTTAGCGTGCTTGGTCTGATTCTGATCTATCATCTTGAAGATCATCTCTCCTTCACGACCAGGCACAAGGACGACCCGTGTTTTTATTTCGGCACATTCGATAGATAGGTGTGTTACCAGTAGAAAACGTTTCTCATCACGGATACGGTAGCATATTTCGAACCCTGATTGTCAAGCGCATCAAGAAGACACGTCTTCCCCTGGAAAGGTTTTCAACGAAGAAGTTCCAATCATCTATGCAGTCTCAATAGTAAACCTGAAGTAATCTCCTATCCAACCCGCAACAAATCATGGCGCCGCCCCCGGCCGGAGTTGACCAGCAAGCAGCTGGTGACCGCATCAACCAGCACACCGAGAGCGACCACCCGCAAGAAAAAGCGGAAGGAAAGGCAGAGCAGAAGCCGCAAAACGATTCGGAACATCAACCGCAGCTTCGTCACAAAACCTGGAAGGCCCGGCCGAAGCGTTGCGTTTCCAACGACACATTGCAGAAGAACAGCTTGATGACACCAACCCAGAGGTACGAACTGTCCAAAAGCCTCCCGATTCCGGAGCGACAGGCGCTGATATCGTATTTAGAAACGTCCCCACCTCAGAGTTGTAATGCAAATCTGCATGCTCAGAATGTTTATCATTCGGAGCCCCATGAGCAGCATTTCCTCGTCGTGTTTTGAAGTTTGTGATGCTCCAATCTGCATGATATACTAGATCTGTGATGCTGCTGAGCTAGCTCGAACAGCACTACTCTACGAGTCCGAATTTGTCACGCGAAACAGCCAAAGCCTGTGGATTTGTCTAGCCGATTCCCCATCTTGACTATGGGGTAGAGACGTTTTTACATAGGATAGCTGATCGTGAAGACGTATGTGGAGAATTTCAAATTTTTCCTCCAGAACGAAGGGAAGTGTTTGAAGTGCTGCTTTCTGCACGAGTACTGTATTTGTGGCGAGATGGAGAAGCTGGCGAGAGGACCGGCGGAATTATGTCCTGTTGAGCAGGGTGAGGAAAAAGATGTAGCGACGTCCGATACGGAAGAGCCGGGAGGGGAAGGAATAGTACAAATCGCGAAGTCCTCAACAGCTCCAGCTACAGCTGTGCCATCAAGGGGGCCACCTCCTGTCGTTTCTATCCCGAACATTTCCTCTGCTTCCGCCTCTACTTTCCCCACGAGGGTATCAACTTCAACTCCAAGAACGACCGCGCCTGCTAGCCCCACGACGACCAGTACTTGTAGTACCAGCGAGAGCGACCCGTCTTTATCAAGAAAACAGGAAAACGAAACAAGAAACGACCAGCAAGACAACCACTACATCCAGCTCCAGCCCCGTTTCCTCCTGTGGATGCACTACAAGGAGCAATTCCGCGCCTCCAACACGGGGAAGCTGCTTTGTCAGCTGTTCGACAACTCAGAAACTTTCGTCCACGGGCACCCGGTGGAGATGGAAAGGTTTGAGAAAAAAGTCAGGGAGTCGAAGCTGAAAACGTTAGTTCTGTTCCCGACGGAGAACGCTGTGGACGCGGATAAATTGACGATGGGAGATTTGCGCGCTAGTGTTTGTGATCATGTAGGACAGAAACCGCAGCAAGCGCAGGCAGAACCAGAAGCGCCAGTAACAACAGGGAGTGATCATGCTCATGCACAGTCTGCAACACAAACAACGGCTGCAGATCACTTGTCGCAAGACTTCCTCAACATCGTCGTTCTTGACGGGACTTGGACCCAAGCGAGGAAACTTTTGAAGTCTATTTTTCCAAAGAACAAGACACAAAAACAAGCATCTGAGGAGGATCGATCAGTAAGGACAGAAGACGACGCTACGACCGTTGTGGAAGCCACGACCGGCGATCATGTTGACACGTCAAGCCGCATGTCAACCACAAACAGCAAATTTCTCTTCGTGAAAATCAATCCCCAGGAGCTTTCCCGGTTCTGCTGCCGCCGACAAACCCAGCCAGACCGGATTTGCACCGCGGAGGCGGCGGCGATGCTGCTGCAGGAGCTGAAGTGTGAGAAAAAAGCGGTGGACAATGTTTACAAAGGGTTGAAGATTCTTTGTACCAGCATGGATAAGCAGTCGCATAAGGATACGATGAAGTACGTGGCACCCACGAAAAATCACGTCGGAAGGAACAGAATGCAAAAAAATGTGTTTGGAAAACAGGCTTTCGTGTAATTTGCGTGCTGATCATTTTAGAAGCCCTTCTTGCGCGACACAATCATACATAAAACGGTATTTTTTTTTACCCAAAATTTAAGTGCGACCAGCTGAAATCGTCACTCGTCTTTCCTTGGTTGTTCAGCTTGTTTTTCACCATGCGAAAAATACATCACGAGGAGCCGTGGATCATGAATAGTCTGCGTCTGCTGGTGGACGAGAGAGGGCATGTTCGGTGTGAGAGCTAGTACTTAGGCGGGTTCTCGACCGTGAGTTTGTTCAGGATTGGTGTTTGAGGTGATGCTACTTGAGGAGCGAAGATGCACTAAAATTTCTAGTTGCGAAGTGGAAAGTGTTGCACTCTTCGATAAAGGAAAGCAGAAGCTAGAAATGCCCCACTACGTAGAACTAGTGCAGCTCCGCCGTCCCTGAATCTGCGGTCTACACCATGTCCGACTCCTTTCCATCAAACCCGAATTTGTACCAGCATGGATAAGCAGTCGCATAAGGATACGATGAAGTACGTGGCTATCAAGTGCAAAAATGTCTGGGTCTCGAAGAATGCATGTTTGTCATGCTTGTCTGGCATGACTCTTAAATCTGTCATGCACGTTACCCAAGAGCCCCATTTTTCTGTGATGCAGAAACGCAGTTTGTCATGCAGAATAGGCAACGCCTGGAAGTTCATAAACTTGTCATGCTGGTGATCCAGCATTTGTGGCCTCATCATGAGACGCCACCCAGCATCACAAGTTTCCAGGCCCAGACATTTTTACATTTGATAGTGGCACCCACGAAAAACCACGTCGGGAGGAACAGGATGCAAAAAAACGTGTTTGGAAAACAAGCTTTTGTCTAGGCGGACTGATGTAACAAGTCAGAACGGGCTACTGCGACGCAATGATAAATAAACTGCTTCTTGTAGTTCTTCTACTCCAAGCTACCACAACGTCAGGTGCTTCACCGTGATGTTGGTGATGTTGTTCAACTTTACGAATTACGATAGCATTAGCAAATTATTTTAGAGTTATGCTTTTTTAGAGGTTCGTATCGCGTAGAGGTTCGTATGGGGAGGGCTAGCTGAGAAGGATAGAGAATCTCGATTTCGATATCTGTTTGCGTATCGAGGTTTCACAGCGTTAGCGCTCGTTGTTCGATTGGCTAAAGCAACACACAACACCAAACAGATTCCACAGTTGGGGCAAAGGATGGGGTAGTGGAGTAGGTAGCTTAGATGTCCACTACGCCTGATGCCCCAACAGACTCAACGACATTCTTTATCTGTTACTAGCTTGCTTGTTTTTTGGCGGGGTTAAAAAAGAAGGGCAAAGATAAAGATGTCGCTAGGGCGTGATTCCTAATGTTCAAGAAGGCCTTTTTACGTTGAGACCTACTTCTTTACAAATGGACCCAAAAAAGGAGACCTAAGGTTCGGGTGTGAATTTCTTCACCCAGCTTCTGTTCCCTTCCTTGAGTTGCTGTGGTGTTGAAGTTTACACCTATGCTCGACTGTGCAAGAGGGTTTTTGCCTTACCCCTCTAAGGTCTCAGGAATCACGCTGCCACACTGTTTCCAAACCCACGCCGACACTACCAAAAAGACTTTTTGATATAGAATGAAAAAGCCACAAAGAAGCATGCTGTAGGGGGAAGGGAAAAGGCTTGCAGCTACTCAAAAAGCGCGGCCAAGCATATCAGAGGGCTTGCCTGGGGGCAGTTTCTGAATTCTTGCCGCGCTCGTGTATTTTTTATATCGTAGTATAGACGTAGAAGAGCAAGGGCGCGATTTGGTCGGCAACTGCCCCCTTCTCTGCCTTCCTCCCGCAGCAATACTTCCAAAAAGAGCCTATGCACAGCCAACATTCCGCCGCGCCCAGCCATGCATGTCGCGGCACTTCGACTTCCCAAAGGTTGCTTCTTCAAAACTCGCAAGTGTGAATTGAGATTTCCCGACCTTTAGGCTTAGCATTTTAGGCGTGAGGGGCGGGGCAGTGGGCCACTAGGAGGAACAGGTACAGAATCACCACCGAAAATGGGAGTGTGCTGCAGCCTTCGCGTTACATTACCTCGGTTGTCGACTCCCACACTCAGCTGGGGTGGAGTTCTTCTACTCCAAGCTACCACAACGTCAGGTGCTTCACCGTGATGTTGGTGATGTTGTTCAACTTTACGAATTACGATAGCATTAGCAAATTATTTTAGAGTTATGCTTTTTTAGAGGTTCGTATCGCGTAGAGGTTCGTATGGGGAGGGCTAGCTGAGAAGGATAGAGAATCTCGATTTCGATATCTGTTTGCGTATCGAGGTTTCACAGCGTTAGCGCTCGTTGTTCGATTGGCTAAAGCAACACACAACACCAAACAGATTCCACAGTTGGGGCAAAGGATGGGGTAGTGGAGTAGGTAGCTTAGATGTCCACTACGCCTGATGCCCCAACAGACTCAACGACATTCTTTATCTGTTACTAGCTTGCTTGTTTTTTGGCGGGGTTAAAAAAGAAGGGCAAAGATAAAGATGTCGCTAGGGCGTGATTCCTAATGTTCAAGAAGGCCTTTTTACGTTGAGACCTACTTCTTTACAAATGGACCCAAAAAAGGAGACCTAAGGTTCGGGTGTGAATTTCTTCACCCAGCTTCTGTTCCCTTCCTTGAGTTGCTGTGGTGTTGAAGTTTACACCTATGCTCGACTGTGCAAGAGGGTTTTTGCCTTACCCCTCTAAGGTCTCAGGAATCACGCTGCCACACTGTTTCCAAACCCACGCCGACACTACCAAAAAGACTTTTTGATATAGAATGAAAAAGCCACAAAGAAGCATGCTGTAGGGGGAAGGGAAAAGGCTTGCAGCTACTCAAAAAGCGCGGCCAAGCATATCAGAGGGCTTGCCTGGGGGCAGTTTCTGAATTCTTGCCGCGCTCGTGTATTTTTTATATCGTAGTATAGACGTAGAAGAGCAAGGGCGCGATTTGGTCGGCAACTGCCCCCTTCTCTGCCTTCCTCCCGCAGCAATACTTCCAAAAAGAGCCTATGCACAGCCAACATTCCGCCGCGCCCAGCCATGCATGTCGCGGCACTTCGACTTCCCAAAGGTTGCTTCTTCAAAACTCGCAAGTGTGAATTGAGATTTCCCGACCTTTAGGCTTAGCATTTTAGGCGTGAGGGGCGGGGCAGTGGGCCACTAGGAGGAACAGGTACAGAATCACCACCGAAAATGGGAGTGTGCTGCAGCCTTCGCGTTACATTACCTCGGTTGTCGACTCCCACACTCAGCTGGGGTGGAGTTCTTCTACTCCAAGCTACCACAACGTCAGGTGCTTCACCGTGATGTTGGTGATGTTGTTCAACTTTACGAATTACGATAGCATTAGCAAATTATTTTATTGATAATTCCAATTGACCGCAAGAAGGTTCTACTCATGACCAGTGGAATTTATTGGCTGAGCGATGTGAGAGGGAGAATGATCAGATTCAGAGCGAAAGCTAGCTCCTGCTGCAGAAGCGCTCGGTCGATTCTTCAGGACTGGTGTTTGAGGTCGAGGAGCGATGCGTCAGATATTCATGATGGACTAGGGTGTTGAGCAGGCTTTTTCGTCTAACTGTTGTTCGGTAACAACATGTGCACAGCAACATATAACTTCGAATTAGAGATCGCATGTAGAAGCTAGAACGTGTGCACCACACCGTGGTCGTCGTTCCTGACGCCGCTGCCATGTCCGACTCCTTTCCGTCAAACCCGAAAAGAGGCAGCGGGCCCCGTGCTTTTTCTTGGATTTCCCGCGCCTTTGTCGCGGAAGGTGTTCGCAGAATTTTAAGAAAAATTTGCCACGCTTTACAGAAATAAACCGAAAGCAAAACTTACCCAGAATCTGAAGAAAAATTTGCGGCGTTTCGCAGAAAATCAAACGCAAGACTTTCTCAGACTTCGAAGAAAAAACTGCGGCGCTTCACAGAAAATCGAAAGCAGTCCGCGGGGCAATTTTGCGCGCAAAAGACGCGCGGCCCCCGGGCTTCTTTTTTTGTGTTCTTTGCGCTGGAAAAAAAATTCAGAAAGCCCGCGCATTTTTCTTGCAATTTTTTCGCAAAAGCAGCGGAGTTTTTTGCTGTGTTTGTCCCTGGTTTTTACCGCGAATTTCTGCAAAAACGAAGCAAAATCTTCAAGCACCTAAAAAAAAGTGCGTTTTTTTGAACCGAAACACGACCTATTTCCATCGATTTTTTGTTGAAAAGCGGCACTTTTTGCCGTTTTCGCTGTGACTGTGACACAAGATTTCGTTTTCGTAGCTCCGCCGTCCCTGAAGCTGCGGTCTGCCACATGTCCGACTCCTTTCCGTCAAACCCGAGCCAGCCCTATCAAATGTAAAAATGTCTGGGTCTGGAAGAATGCAACTTGTCATGCTAAATCTGAAGCATGCGAAAATCTGTGTTGCATGAGTGCCAAAAGCTGTCCACTTTCGACAAAGTTGGGAGGGAGTTTCTCATGCAGGATAGGCATCAGAGAGACCTCACAGACTCTGTCATGCTAGGTCCCGCATTCCAGACCTCAAAGGTCATGGAAAGGCAGCACGACAAATCACGAATTCTTCCAGACCCAGACATTTTTACATTTGATAAGCCCATCACAACCCCCACTTCACACCAAGCCCTCGACCGCCGGCAATCCCGCCCCTCGCTTGATCGAAAGCAGTCCCGGGCCTCAGTTGACAGGCGGTTTTCGAATTCCAATTTGAATGCCGCACTCGCCGGGAACACCGCGATCAATGCCGGCACGACAGTGGCGACGGCTACCACCAGTCCCGCACCGAGAAGGACCCTCGGCCGGGCGTTTTCGACGACCGATGTACCGGTGAGTCGGAAGGGAAGCAACTTCTTTTCCGATGGTGGACCTTCTGGGGGAGTGGAGGGAGGCGATATTGTTGGGGGGCTGGCAACTACGGGTAGCAATGTGCCCGGCGGTGGACGAAGAATTACCACGACTGCGGGAGGAGGACAGGCGAGGTACTGAAACAGCAATCGCGTTGGAAATCATCGGGTTGTTCTTGTTTTTGCAATGCAAACGTAAACCTGTGATGTACGACCATGCAGATGAATTTTTCATGATTGAAACACTGCCCCCTGCTCCTGCTCCAAACTCACTGTATTACATGAAAACCTCTCTCAGAACCCTCGGCCGCGCGCAGACCCTGGCTTTACCCGGCCGGGACCCGCTCGAAAGGTCCGGCTCAATGGCGGATACGAGCTATCCAGGAAAAAAAAACCATCACCATCCATTTTTTGCATGACAAGAACTGCAATTTATGCACGTTTTGCATGACAAATTGGATGGGGATGCGTGTTTTTCCTGGATACCAGCGGGGATAATTCCCCAACCGTCGAGGTTCCCGCGTCGGATAGACGAAAATCCTTTCTCGCCCCCACGCTTGGCGGCCTGCCCGGCTTAGATAACGCCAGTATGGAGACGTTGATGCAGATTCACCAACTACAGCAAATCCAGCAAATGCAGAAGAACAAAGTCTCAAACCAACAAACGGGTGCAGGGAATGCTGGGTCGTCGCATCACGGCGTGGATTCGGTGGATTTGAACTCGGACGACTTCGATTACACAGGGATCGTCGGGTATGGGCAGGACGGGAATTTGCTGCTAGAACCCTCGAAATGGACGAAGTACAAGCTGTATCTGTGGCTCTTCCTCGAGGAACCGTTCGTGAGTCCGGCAGCGAGTGTGGTACTTATGTACTTCTGTAGCTAGTACAGGTGTTTGTCATGCAGAGTTTGCATTTTATTCGACTATGTTTGTCTTGCACGAAATGCATGCCGAGATGTCGTCCGTGGCCAAGATTAGACCAGAAACCGTACACCAGGTGTCCTACATCATCGTGATCCTAATTGGCCTCTCATTCGCGATGTCTGCGGCTGAACAGCAATACCACAACTATGCTCTGCAAAAGTATCGTACTCGTACTAATTGCAGTTATGCATGACAAATCCTGTCTCTTAGCCAAATCAGCATTACAACCCCCATTTCTCCTTCTGAGAAAATTTGTATTGCGAGTTTATACTAGTACGATGCTTTTGTAATGCATAACAACGGCGGCACCACCATTGATTTCGACGTCTTCTACAAAACACCGAATTTCGGCACCTACGCGCGGTTTTTCATCGTGCTGCTTTTCACTCTATCAACTGTAAAAATGTCTGGGTCTGGAACATTCCGACACTTTTCATGCACGTTTTGCATGAGCCCTGATGTCTGTGATGCATGCCCTAGCATCACAGATTTTTTCGGAGCTTCTTGATGCCTATTCCGCATGACAAATGCCCTCTCCGCGTAGCAAAAATTACATTGCTTTTGGTACTCATGCAATACAGATTTTTTTGGAATCCAAATGCAGCATGACAAGTTGCATTCTTCCAGACACAGACACTTTTACATTTGATACACTCTAGAAGCTTGCCTCCGGTTTGCCATCGCGCCGCAGCGGAAGCAGTTTTGGTTCCAGCCGAACAACGTCGCGGATATCATTTCGGTTTTGCTATCCTGTGCAAAAGTATCGTACTCCCACTCGTAGTTGTATATTGCAATCATGCATTACAAATTTTTTCGTTTTCCCTAAGGTCAATCTGCATGACAAATTCGATTTCTCAACATGGTGAGGAAATTTGTAATGCAATTCATGCTAGTTGTGCGATGCTTTTGCTTTTGCTATTCATATTTGCCCTACTGGTGCAACAACGTTTGCCAGCTCCACGAGAACCTTTCCGTCTACTTTCACGTGATCAGCATCTTCAGCAGCTTCTTCTGGCTCTTGAAGTTAACCCGCTACTTCTCCGGCTGGTTCTTACTCAGCCGAGCCTTAACGGACGCCGGAAGAGCCTTGATGGTGCCCGTGTTTTTTCTCATGATCGTCGTCATGTGTGGAAGCTCACTGTTGTATCCAGGAAAAAATACACATTCTCATCCATTTTTGGCATTACAAACACTGCAAATTATGCATGTTTTGCATGACAAATTGGATGGGGATGGGTGTTTTTTCATGGATATGCTGCTCCTCTTCGAGAAGGCGCATGCGGAAAACACGCCCGCGCCGGTAATTACTTCCACAACGGATGAGGAGGAGCTTTGCCCGGAGTTGTCCGATTGCGTCACGATAGATTCTCTCTTCAAGGCGATTCACTACACGATTGTGTCTGTCGTCTCCATTCAGATCACCGAGGTTTACGGGAAAGATGTCGCGAGTAACGGGGGGAGAGTGTGGTCGGTGATCATGATGTTTCTCGGTGTGATCTTTCTCTCCATGCCGATCGCGATCGTCGGCACCAGCTTTTCGAAAACGTGGTTTGAACAGGACATTATCATAGTGGTCGAAAAAGTCCGGTCCAGAATGCGGCAGCAGGGGTACACGACGGACGATTTGCGGGAAGTCTTCAACGAACTAGACGAGGATGGATCCGGTTCGATTGAGTTCAACGAATTCAAACGGATGCTGGAGGCGTTTCACTTTTTTGGGTCTTTGGCCACTTGTCGGAAGCTATTCAACCACTTCGACTGCAACGGAACCGGGTCGATTTCGTACCAGGAGTTTGTTTGCGGAATTTTCCCCGAGATCATAGACGTAGATGAATTGCTGGAGTATGATGAGGAGTTGGAACATATCAGAGGAAAAAGTGGTAACGTAAACGGAATTTGTGATGTAGAAAATGCATCACAAAACGTGCCCAAGTTTGTCATGCGTAGCATGCATACTAGGCAAAATCTGTCATGCATATTTGCAATCTATGGAAACCGTTAATGTTACCGCTTTTTTGTTTGATAGAACAGATGGAGAACGCGAAAAACTCTTCGGGGTCGGCGACGGCAAGTCTTTTTTCCGGAGAAGAGGAAGAGGATTGTTCCGACGATTCCGATTTCGACAGCAATGATGAAGACGAGGAGGGTGACAAATCTGGAGGTTCTTCCGACAGCGCGTCATTACCCTCTAGCAGCAACTCGTCGGGGGCGGGAGAGCAGCAGGGACGAGCTGCTGAGAAGAGGAAAAAGAGGAAAAATAAACGGAGTAGAAGATCAGGAACTACAGCTGGAGCTGGTCTAGGTCTAGGTGCAGGTAGTGTTAATACCGGCAGTACGAGCATGCCCGGCAAGAAAAAGACAACCTCGTCCTCGGGCGGTGTAACATCTACAGGAAACAATAAAGTCGTGAACTTCAACACAAATCTCAACGTGACAAAAACCTTAAGCGCCGAATCCGCCGCGCCGGGTTGGACGTCAATGATACCGACGATCAACATTTTCGGGCACACTGCACCGTCGGCGAACGGCAATGCTAATAATGCGGCGAATAGTAATTCTGTTGCAACGACGAATCAAAATTTGACCACTTCTATTATGTCCACAGACAGCAAAGCGCTGGGCGGTGGTATAGTTCCGGGAATTACAGCTGGCAACGCAACCACGATGAGTAGTACAACAGCTGCCCACTGCTCTGACTCCCTGGACCTCAAAAAGCACGCCTTTTCATCCGTGACGAAGCAGTTTAGCACTGGGAATAATGCTGTCACAAATCAGATTTCCAGTGGAGGCGGTGTGGGAAGCAGCAATTTCTCCTCCATGATCCACCACACAAATTCCTCTCCAAAAAACGCGTTTTTGAAAAAGGGTTTTCAACGGTCCAGTACCAGTGGCAATTTGGAAATCGGCGGCTCAGGAGGCGCTTCTTTAACCGGCGGCGGAGCAGCCGGGGGGATACACGGTGGTGGTCACCACGGCGGGTTTAACCAAGACCATCACGGAGCAGGCGACATTGGTAACGCTCACGTGAACAAGCAGGGCAGTCTTGGCCGCGGCGGAGGTCACCAGAACGTTGGAACAAGCGGTCCGCCTCGGTTTCAAAATCAGTTCATGGGCGGTGGAATGAACCGCGGGTACGGGAACATGGGGATGTACGGCTACGGACCGGGAGGCGGTATGGGGATGATGAGTCAACACGGGCAGTTTGGCGGGGGCGGGAGTAACAATATCGGCATGATGAACAACGACGGAGGATCTGGAGGAGGCGGTTTCAATAGCAACAGCAACAGCGGTCATCCTCATCTTCACAACAATTCCACGCTCCAGCAACAACTGTCCGCGAATAAACTACTATGAGAGTCAGTGCACAACTCCCTCTCCCCCTCATTTGTATAGCATGAACGGCAATGCAAGCATCTGCAAGAGTGCCGGTTTTGCATGACAGATTTGCACCGGATTGTCGTGCTACTTGGGCTACCAGAACTTGTCATGCAAACAGTACCAAGAGACAATGCGTGGATTGGGTATTTTGCATGACAAATAAGGGGGAGGGGCGGGGGTTGTGCACTGTCATAACTACAGGCGAAAGTGAGTCTGGTGGAAAACAAGTGCAAATCGATAGAAGAGGACATGAAAAAAATCTTGAAACACTGTCAGGCGCAGGCGAGTGAGATTGCACGGTTGCAACAGATGAACGTTGTGATCATGCGGACGCACTCGCCGACGCCCAGTCAGGGAAGTAACAGGAGTGGGATTGTTTGTGCGTGAGTTTATGGTGGAGTTGGTGACGAGAGTGATTTTCTATAGGCCATGAGAGGCTGTTGACCGTTGCGAGATGATCACGTTCACGACAACGAAATCGTCGGCGTGCACAGTGTTTTTCTTCATATGGGAAAGATATTAGTGAGTGTGAATTTACTAGTTTTCATTTTGCACAAAAAGAAAAAGCTCGTTTACATGTCAGGTGCGAAAAAGAATTGGGTTAGGCTTAGCGCAAAATATCGACACACACGAAAAGCAAACTTCGCTTCATAATGTGGAAAAAAAAATATAGAAGAAAGGTATGGGCGACGACTTTGTAACCAACTTGGAAAAAGTTGAGTTGAAGTATCTCTATCTTTATCTATGGTGGAGCTGATTACTAAGAAGATGCTTACGCAGTTGTGAAAAAGCTACAGACGTCAAGATGTAGTTGTACAGAACTGCACATACAAGCAATTTCATCAAACTCGGCCGAGCAGCAGGCTCGCAAATCTGCTTGCTTGTTGCGCCTGACAGTCTTGCTCATCAAGATCAAAATAAACATGAACTAACTAATATCAGTGTTTGCTAAACCCGAAGGGAAGTGGAAAACGAGACAGCGAGCGCTACTACTAGTCAAGGGGCCATACGCAGTCCTGCAGCACGAAGGTAAGTGCACATAACTGAGCAGAAGCCAAAAACTGCCTTGAGAGAGTTTGAAGTTGAGAAGTGAGCGTAAAAGCGAAGGGAAAAAGGAAACAAGGCACAACAAACAAAACATTATGGCCCACCACTTGAAAAATTATGCGAGTTTCTTGACATTGTTAGCAAACCCACGACCGAGGCAACAAGGAGGGCGCACGCGGCGAGTGCCTTCGTCATTCGCCTCGGCTGCCTGTGCCAGGGAGGAGTCTCCGCGGCCGGCATTCGTGGTTAATTCGCCCCCCCCCCCCTTTTGCGTCTTGCGGGCGCCTTTTCCAGGTCGCGCGGCCGTTCGAGCCCAGGCGGCCGGCTTTGGGTCGACATTGTGGCCGCGCGTCAGGCCATTGCGTGGCATGCATCTGCATGAACGTCGGCCGCTCCGCGTGGCCGCCTACGATCGCAAAGAGCCACAACGGGCCCTACAGCGGACGGAACGAAGGAGCGCCCGGCACCTACCCCCGCAGTTGTGTCTGTGGGCCCAGGCCTTGGGATGTTTTCCGGGCCGCGCCGGTGGCCCTCGGGCGCGTTCGTTGGTATCTGCTGCGGCGCCGCGCTTGTCTGTGTCCCCACTGCCTGGGGGCCGTGGCAGTTAGTTTGTGGGCCCGGGGCCGATCGAGGCCGACGGGGGGCGGGGAATCGATTGCGCGCGCCCACCGCGCGCCCGGGGCGCCGAGGGTATTTGGCTTGGCTGGGTTGCGATTTTGCTTAGCCTGGCTCTGAGCCCTGGCATTCTGCGGACGCCGCAGCCGGGCGCCTCGCTCTGCGTGCCGCGGTTCTTCCTTGGCGCGGGTAGGTTGCTACCATTTCGCGCACTGCCAGCCCCGCCGCCCAAGAAAAGGAGACAGAGCGGTGGTTATGAATGCCGTGACCAGTGGTGGCAAGGGCGAACATGAACGGGTCCGCGTTCCGGGCAGTGGCCTACCTAAGTAATTGGTCCGGCTAGTGCAAGCCTACCATTTCCGCTGGTTTGATCTAGATCTGTGGAAGCTGCATGCGCCAGAAAAGGCGCCCGCTGCTAATATGGCGCCAAGCAAAGCGCCTCGCGCGCCCTGGTGTTGAAGTTGATGCGCTGTGTTGTTCCTCATGGCCCGTCCTCCCAAAGAGAGCAATACCAATAGTTGACGATCCGGACCACGAACTATTTGCATTTCAATTTTGTTTTCTGACCGGCGTGCAAGTCATCCTTTTGCTTGCAACAGTGCGGCGTCGGAAGCAGCCTATCTTTGTGATAGCCAGGCGTGGACAACGAACCAAAAGCTGCAGAAAAAAGATGTCTCGTTCCGCCAGAGCATCTCTGGCAGACCAGGCCTGCTGTACACCGAAGAAGCACCTCCTCCAGAACAAGTCTTCCACATCATCTTCGTGTTCTCTGCAAGATATCTTTCGCCAAAACGACGTCGATCAAAACCAAACATCCACCGCCCCCGACGATATCAACTTCCGGTCCCCCGACGTCAGCCACAAGCAGCGCCTCCGCGGCACAAAACCACTGCTAGATCAACAGTTGGCTGCGAAGGCACTTCTTGTTGGTGAAAAGAATCGAGCATTGGGGGAAAATGAAAAACAACTGTCGACGTCGGTAGAAGATGCTGACAAGAAGAAGAACTACCACAATACAAATGCAAATCACACGACGACTTCTGCAGGAGCAGGTTCTTCCGCCGCTCTTTCTGCGCCAGGCGACTACAGGATGAACAAGAACACTCTCCTCGCCAAAGCAGGCGCCGCCTCCACCTCCTCATCCGCCAACCGTGATTGTTCCCGAAGCCGCGCCCGGCCCAGCACGTTGCAGTCCGAGCGGTACCGGCGCATGGAGTGGGCGCCCGCGAGTGGATATCGTGAGGAAAAATCCCCCCTCCCCATGTCAAAACGAAGTTTCTGATGCTGGATTTCCGTACACAAATCAGATTTGTCTTGCAGTAGAGGACTGCAGGCATATGCCAAGCCTCAGTCGAGAGGTTTTGACGTAGGCACCTAGCATGACAAACGTGTATGCTCTAAGCCCAACAGCGTCACAAACTGCCTGCAAAATGCGGGGCGATCTCTGAACTTGCCTTCTTGCAAGACAGACAGGATTTGAGGTCACAAATGCTAATGCACGTCACAAATTTTCGGACGGATAAAGTTTTCAATATGGGGAGGGGGGATTTTTCCTTACGATAGTGGACGGAAGTTGGAAAAGCAGGGCGTGAAGAACGTGCACAAGTCGCTCTTCCCGAAAAAGAAGCGAAAACGTCGCACCCTGCGGACGAAAAGGAGATTGGAATTAGCTTCGGGTCCGGGTCGTGCAGAAACAAGATCAGATGCGGCAAGAGGAGCAGGAGAAGGACAGGAAAGCGAAAGCGGGGAGAACGCAATAATAAGAAACCCCGGCTCTACTTCATTGGCGGCAAGGAATCCGAATCGGAACAATCGCAGAGGACTACAGCAGGGCGATTTGTTTCCACGCGAGGAGGATCTACTTCGTGGAAGAACCAGTAGTGACGACGAGGAGGAGAATGACGACGAGTCCTCAGATGAACTATCAAATCGAAAAATGTCTGGGTCTGGAAGAATGCAAGATTTGTGATGCTGGTTTTCCATGACCCATGAGGTCTGGAATGCGAGACCCAGCATGACAGATTCTGTGAGAGTTCTACCATGCCTATCCTGCATGAGAAACTCTCTCTCAACTTGGTCAAAAGCGGACAGCTTTTGGCACTCACGCAACACAGATTTTTGCATCGTTTAGATTTCGCATGACAAGTTCTAATCTTCCGGACCCAGACATTTTTACATTTGATATGAACAACAGTCTTCTGATTCGTCTTCCGTCAGCTCCTGCTCTTTTCGGTCAATACCACGAGGTGGAACATCAAATCTAGCTTCGAATAGGGTATTACGGAGCAGTAGATCTCCGTGCTCCTCCGCCCGGGTCTTTCCGTGCAGTGGGAATAGGGAGGAAGACAGGCAACAGAATAAACTTTCCCGTTGCTCTTCCGAGGAAGACCTGCTCGAGCCGGTATTTAACAGTGGCTTGCGGGATGTCGGGGCGTCGAAACAAGACGACCGGAGAAATGCTAGCAGTGGTAGCCTAGTTTTTCCGAACAACAGGCCGCAGGGTGGACGTCAGCAGGCAACAAGAACAACTTCCCAACTTCTACAACAAAACCCGCGACATCCCACCAGACACTCCTCCTGCCCCCGCAGCTCACCCGGACTGGACGTCCAGATCGGAGGGGTTGTGAACAATAAAGGCGGCAAGATTAACAACTACCATCGGAAGAAAAAACGGGAGCCGAAGTCCGATATGAAACGAAAGTCCACGCTGGCGCAGCTGTTGGTCGAGGGTGGGTATGCATTGCAAAAGCATCGTACTAAGTAGTAATTGCATTACAAACTACTTGCATAGCATTACAAATGAAATCTGTAATGCTGTTTCAGCTTAGTAAGGAGATTTGTCATGCACCATAACAGCAATTACTACGAGTATGATACTTTTGCAGAGCATAGTGGGTCGAAGGCGAAATTAGTGGGGAAGAGGAAACTGTTTGCGTCGCCGGATGAGGCAGCGAAGAAGTTGAGGTAAATAGATACGTTTGTGGCTTCTAGTAATTTCAAGCTCTTGCTCTCATGCATCTACTCAGCATGATAAAATGGTATCACTTTTGAAACTCTGCATGACAAACACCAGCCGCGCCTTCGCCTCTGATGTCGAGTCTTCCAGCGCGGCTTCGAGCGCCGTGAACTCCCTTATGCTTGGAAAAAAACCTGTCCCCACCCGCATCTGATTTGTCATGCAAAAAAAACATGAAGCATAGCCTGAAATCCAAATCTGTGATGCTCAAAAGAGTTGCGAGGTTTCGGTTTTTTTTCCTCTGGATATCCCCCGTGCCGAATTTCCAAGTCAACCCCTGGCTCTTAGACGTCAGCTCCAGTGGAGGGGAAGAAATTGTGTCGCCGGCTGCTAATCATCTCGCGAGGAGGGCACGATCGGTTGGAGCGCATCAACATCCTGTAAATTTGTTTTGGATAATGTAAAAATCTTCAGCAAGCAACACGTCGTCGACGCTTAAAATATTATGATGCTGGAATCTTCTTCTTTGTGGGTTGGCAGCTGCCGGCGTAGGCTAACATTCTTGAACAGTCACTGCCAGTACCATTACAATCAACATCATCAAATACAGGTTGACGCCAGCACGACGGAGAGCCAATCTAGCATCGCAAATCCTGGTCCGCCAGCTTCTAGCAGTTCCACTGCGACGAGCTCTGCTTGTTCTAGCTCCTCCTCCGCGTGGTCCTCGCATGCGGAAAGCAGCAGCGCCGCTTGCTCCACCTCCGGCGCCCAAAATACTAACCCACTCGACCTTCCCTTTCTCGACCACGTCACGGCAAACAAAAGCAAATCGGTCTCGAAGGACTCCTCCGTGTCCGCACGGTCTGTGTTCCAGAACAGTTGCAGGGCGCTACCTACTTCCACGACCGAGTACAATACGCCAATATCGCGACGAACGTCGCTCAGCCCGGACCGACGGCCACCTGCTGCTCCTCTCAGGTGTCGCAACATGTCTTTGGTGAGCGGGGCCGGGTCTTTGGCCGCGAAGTTCCGGGAGTCGGTTGCAGCGGCACGAGCAAGTCCGTTGGGCAGGTAAGTTTTTTCTTCAGTCGATTTATTCGTCATGCAAGCAGCGGATTTGTGATTGTGAAACCTAATTAGTCGTCGAGTTTCATGACAAAGAACTCTACAAACTCCATCCAATCAAGGTTGCAACTACTCGAGGAGAAGTCGCCGGAGGTTGTGGTTGGAGTGTCTCTGTCCGCCGCGAATCACGATAAAGCGGCCGACGTGGTGAAATCGAATGAGGTGCAGCATGACAAAAAATCCAACCTTTTCCCTCTTTCCCCCTCCGGGTCGAAAAGTTACCCTCCGTCCGCAAGCGCTTCTCCGTCGTGTAATGGAGGGGATGGAAATTATACCAGTGGTGATGGAGCCACAAATGGATTGGGAGAACAGGTGGTTTTCAGGAAAACGGAACCACTGGAGCCCATGGTAATATGATGAGTTTCTTCTTGGTTCTGGAGTTTGTCATGCAGAAGTCGTAAAAAAATGTATGTAAATACCAAAACACCAGAGGAATATCAAATAAAATGCAAGGTTGTGCTCAAAACTTGCAAGCAAGTTTCAAAAATCTTGAAAATGCAACACACAACAACAGACCGGCGCCGTCGTTTCCGGCGGGGAAGTTGTGAAAATTGCGCCGCAAAGCGTCGACAGGAAGGAAATCTTGGATTTGGTGGGACGAGAGCAGAACATGACGGATTCCGAAAATAACGCGTTTGAAAACCTCTTCAATGGGGGAAAAAAAGCGGTTCGGAGAACGAGTAAGAATCCGGGAATAACAAATGACGAAGACGCGCCGAAAAGACGCAGGCTGGAATTGGAAGAGGAGTGAGTTGGTAAAGGGGGGACGGGATGCCGGGTAGTACAACATGAGCAACAAAGAAGATTTCTAGATATCGTTCTTTGCGCTTCTTTGTTGTTTAGACAAGTGTGACGATGTTGACTCTAAGGCTACGTGCGGCCAGCAGCAAGAAATTTTATGATTCGTACAACTTTCCAAATGAAATTTTTTATGGCAAGTGGCCAAAATAACTAACAATAGTGCGGTAGACCCGCAGGATGAATCAATGACCGTGACGATGTCCTTTCGCATAGAAAACTTTTTAGAACCGAAAAAGCGATAATGAAGAAATCCATATAACTGGATTTGAAAAGTTAAAAGAATATATGCGCAGCTCGGTAGAAGAACAAGAACGAACAGTGAAGAGTTGTCGCAGAGCAATAGCTTGCATCACCTGCTGCTCAATTTCCTTTTTCATAGGCTTGTGAAGATGTTTCATGACTTGACAACTTCGAGCAGTCAAACTTACCTCCTTGTTTCTTGTATCAACAACTTTATAAAACGAATTTACTGACAATTATGTGCTTTCATCGCGGATCCATACGAGGAAGATTCGATTTTTTTTGTACGATTTCCACAACACGAAACAGTTTATCGCTTCATTGTAAAATTTGAATTTGCAACACCGAATAAGACAACAGTTTTACCTTTGTTAAGCCGCACGCAAACTAGAGGACGAACATCACCGGATGAAGACGCTCCTTGTATAATGTTTCAGGTGTTCCTTGAGAGGTGAGAGCTGAAGAACAAGGTGGCGACCACCGGGGTCTTCATGATCATGTATAAAAACAGAATTGTTGGAGGCTAGATGATATAACCAATAGCAGGGACAGCGAGAGGAAGAGGCGCGGGGGTATAATTGCAGCGATACGAATTCTTATTTTTGGTTCAGCCGCCCTACCATTTTGGTTCAGCCGCCCTACGTATATTAGCCATTTTGGTTCAGCCGCCCTACCCAGGATCGGTTGTTGTTCCACGAAGTATGCTAACGCGCCGGACACAGGCACCACTATCGATGTAAAATGAAAGGAAAAGAAACTATAGCAAAATGACCGCAGCAGCAGCACGCACGACAAGTCGAGGTCGGGTAGTCCGTCAACGGCGTGATGATTTTCGTTCGGGTGGTGCGGCCGGACTTTTTGTACTGAGAATTGCATAAAAGGAGGTCCTAGTATTATAGTACTAGTGCGGATGGTATCAACTGTAAAAATGTCTGGGTCTGAAAGATTCGGACGCTTGTCATGCACGTTTTGCATGATCTTGATCTATGATGTCTGTGATGCATACCCTAGCAACACATATTTTTTGAGGGCTTCTTGATGCGTATTCCGCATGACAAATGCCTTCTCAGCGTAGCAAAAGTTGCATTCTCTTTGGTACTCATGCAATACAGATTTTTTTGGAATCCAAATGCAGCATCACAAGTTGCATTCTTCCAGACCCAGACATTTTTGCATTTGATAGATGGTGTGCAGGTCTTTCCTCCTCTTCGCCTTCAATGGCTTCCCAGCCACTGTCGTGGCTCGCAATATCCGAGTGGATTTCGACGTGCCTCGCTACGGTCCGCGGTGTGTGGAGGCGAGTCTGGGTGACAGCGTCACGTTTCACTGGGACGAGCACCATAACCTGCACCATTTAGCCAGCGAGAACGACTACCGATTCTGTAATTTCGCGGCCGCCACCAAACTTGCGAATGCCGGACCGAATCCACGTGGCGTCACCGTGGGTCCTTGGACCACCGCGGGGGACCGCTTTTACTCGTGCTCCAAAATTTGCTCCACGAACGGACACAAGGTGCGCGTGTGCGTAGCAACGGAGTGCACTTGCAGTGAGGGTGCGATCTACAACGGGGAAAGCAGCTCCGGTGGGAGAAGCAGGAGGACATCAGGGATTCATACCTCGGTTGGAGAACGGTTTTGTATGATGCTCGCATTTTTTGCTACTGCAGCAGCAGTGCTGCTGAACAAGAACTTGACCTTGGCCTGAAATTTTGATAGGACTATCCGATCGGGACGAGTGGTCGTGGGCATGTTCTGAATTTTTCAACCTGGTCGACGCAGTGGCCACCCTGCACCTGCTGCACTGCACTCACTCGTCCCCGCAGAAAAGTTTTCGAATAGTTGCAGACTCATCGATCTCAGTCGACGTCCAGGTTTTTTACACGACCAGCAGAACGAACTTGTTCTGAACTTCGAAATGGACAGCTGTCGTTCACGTTCTCGTCGTTGTTTCTTCACTAATCGTGGAGCATCGTTACATATTGTTGAGACAAGATGATGAGCGATAGGTCCATGAGGGATCGAGGAAAGAACGAACTGGGTCGCCTCTCTTTGTTCCTTTGGAGCGAGCATCAACATGATGAAGATGATCATCTTCATGCCGGCATTCGTTCGTACAAAGTAGTGCTAAAATTTCATCGCGAGCGCACCAATACCAATGAAACACTTCGCTCAACACCAATCATGATGATGTGTCGCAGTATCAATCATTCTGTCATGAAGCAGAAGTTGAGCAGTTTTTGCTCTAGTAAAGGCAGACCTAGCGTTCTAGTAGTTCTTACAGCATCTGCTTATTCGCAGGACATCAAATGACGTCTCCTACGCCGGATGCTATTCCCGCTCTATCTCTCCCGCAAGAAGAACCGCAAGAGCAGCAGCAGGAAGAGCTTCTCCACGATCAAGATTCCGGTCCGCGCGACGTGTCTATCTCCTGAAAACTAACCATCCCTAGTATGATCCAATTTGTCATGCAAAAGTAAAAGATGTAGTCAGTTCTGTTTTTGTCATGCATGATGATGCAGAAAATGGATGGGGATGGTTCATTTTCAGGGAATAATGTCTTTCCAACTGGAAGAAGCTGTATCAAGTGTAAAAAAGTCTGGGTCTGGAAGGTTGGAGCTTGTGATGCTAACTCTGGACTCTGAAAAAATCTGTATTGCATGATCACCAAGAGGAGCCTACTTTGTGCTAAGGGGGGAAGGCATTTGTCATGCGGATTAGGCATCAGGAAGCCCCCTTAGAATCTGCGATGCTAAGTCATGCATTACAGACATCCTGGGCCATGCAAAAGAAGCATGATAAACCCGGCAAAATTCCAGACCCAGACATTTTTGCATTTGATAAGCGGTAATCGAAAACGAAACCTCCAAAAGCAGCATTCGAGAACCCGAAGACGGTGTTGATGATGAACGCGGGAACCATCGTCCTGGCGATAATTTTTCCAAACCCGCAACAAAAACGACACGTACACGAAGTCGAAAGATAGCACCCACAAGTAGCTCACCATATTGTTCTAAATCGGCATCGTCTTCTGCTCCAAAATTATTCACCGCGAATGGCAAGGAGAAAAGCGGTTGGCAAGCAAACAGAAATGATCGGCGAAGAACGACAAAGAGCACGGCAGCGGGGGATCATGATGGTGCCGATGCGGACAGCGATGGAGGTGGCAGTAGAGCTAGTGGCTCTACTCCTCGCGAGATGAACTACGAGAGCAGCAACGGCTCTTCCCTCAGTCTGACTTCTTCATCTGACGACAATGCAAAAGCGCAGAATGATCACGACAATCGTCCCCAGCCTCCAGAACTACCGTGTACAGGAGCGCCTAGAAATAAAGGTTCGGGCGAGCAACTGAAATTTGTTCTGCGAGACCGAGGGAGCAAAAGTAAAAAACGCAGTACAGGTGGTGGTCACGGTCAACATCACGCTCGTGGAACGGATGTGTGTGGAACAACCGGTGCAGGAAAGAAAAACAAAAAATCCTCTCCTCACAAACCTTCACATCCACAACATCGAAGGTCCAAGCCAGCCACATCTGGGCGCACCACGGCGAGAGGCCACCAGCATGGGAGCAATAAGCCATCATCTACTACAGCATCAAACCGTCACGATCATCACAAAAACACGACCAATAAAGAGGACGATTTCACAATCGCGATGCGGTACCTGGTGAAAGCCCCCATTCGAGCTGCAAGATTTTGCTTCTCCGAGATTTTCGAAGGGAGTGGCGTGTTTTTGGAGGAAGACGAGGAGGATTTTTACAAGTACAGAAAGAACACCGGCAGGACAAGGCGGAGAACAACAAGTCGGGGAAGAAGCACCAGTGAAAGAAGAGCTGCACCACGACGAGCACCACCACGTATTCATCGAAGGATGAATAAACAAGAGCCTTCATCCAGTCCCGAAATCACCACTTCAAAGCGCGGCGGTGGCAGAGCTGGAAATCGGGAAGATGATGTTGATCGAAACCGAAAGCTACGATTTGATGAGGAAAATAAACGGAGAAATTTCAATGCAGATGAATCCACAGGAGCTCCTCCTGCTCCCCTTCGACTAGGGCTAACCGACGATGAGCAGAGCTTTCTGATGAAGCACAAAAACGAAGAAACTATTTCGTTTCAAATGCCAGGAGGAGGACAAGAAGACCCCATCAATCTCGATCGGTCGGGGTTCTTGAACAACAGTTCGGTGAACAGAAGCCGCGGGACCATGACGAATAGCATAAGTACAACATCCAGCAATAGCTTTGTTCGTCGAGTATGAAATGCAAAAGCATCGCGCTAGTGGAATCGCATGAAAAATTCCCTCAGCATGAAAAATGGAATTTGTAATGCGGATTTAGATTATTAAGGAGGAGATTTGTAATGCATGACTTCTACGAGTACGATACTTTTTCACAGGATAACGAGGAGCGCATGACAACTTTTCCGATGATCCAGCAGCCGCCAGCGAAATTTCCAGTTTTGTGGACTTGCAGCTGGCGGCGGTATTGCACCAGAGAATAGGGAGAATTTTGAAACAAGCAAAGAAACGAACTGGTAATTCTTCCTCCTCTTCCGCATCAAGAACTACATCGGACGACTTGCAAAAAGAGGACCAAAAAGCGAGGAGAGCAGTTTTCAAAATCCTCGAAACCGCGCTGGCCACTGCTTGCGCGACGAGTACGAGCGCGAGTAGTGGCAAGAAGTCTGCCAGCACCAGCAGTACTAGCGGTAATAAAGCCACAACCTTCAACCCCACCCGCCTGCAGTTCGCGGCAAAATTGGCCCAGATTCAGAACAAAACCTTCCTCGCGTTTCTTCTCCACGTGTATTTCGATTTCGAACCTGGCATGGGGACGAGTAGTTGGTTTGGGAACGTGCATATGCACTGCAAAAGTATCGTACTCGTACTAATTGGACTTATGCATTACAATTTTTTTTCTTAAGGTAGATCCGCATTACAAAAAATTTAATCTGTAATGCTGAGCAAATTTGTATTGCGATTTCTACTAGTACGATGCTTTTGCAATCCATAGCGCAACTCCCGTATTTCTACGGAACCAGTTCCTACGTCGGGCTAGAAACCGGGGCATCAACAGCGGGACGAAGTGGAGGCGGGGGTTTAGGTCTTCGGTGTACTAGCAGTAGCACCTCCGCTAGCACCAACTCGATAAACGTCAAGTCCCTTGTCGACACGCTTTCCTTCGTGTTAAAAGACCGGATGTATCCACAGTAAATTTCATCTTCCCGTACTACACGTTCAACTGCGGTTTCCGCATGACAAACCTTTCCACTAAATCCTATGACACCATGACAAGCGCGATGGTGAAAGATCATGTGATGCAGTTTGTGCACGCGTGCGGGAAGTTTGTGTTGCATAGGATGGCGAAGGACAGAGACGGGTTTTTCGAAGACGAAAACAACGTGACGGTCGCGAAAGGGATGCTGCGTCTGTTCGCGTTCTGCCCCCTGGACCCCTGGGGATACCTCGGCTACTGCTCCATGACGAACAATTTCAAGACGCGGGCGAGGCTGTATTGGATATAAATGATGATGCGTGACTTGAACTTGTGATGCAGAAGCATTTTGAGTAGTCTTCTCTGTCATGCACGTTCGCCATTATTTCAACACATTTCCATTATGTGCAAAAACCCACCCTCTACTTCTATCTTCAGGTCTCTGGAAGTCCGCGCCATTTTGCTTCCCCTGCATTCCACCGTCTTTGTAGAAGAAATTACCCTGACGAAAGAAGAGGATCACGACTTCATCAGGAATTCGAAATTTCAGACGAAAGACCTAGCAGCAGGAGGACCAGGACCTGGACCAGCAGCAGGAGTAGCAGCTGCAGCTTCATCGCACTACAACAAATCATTACCCCACCATTCCGAGATCGGGTACCTAACTCCTATTCCCCGCCACGCGGAGTCTCTAAACATGGAAAACGACGATTTACTGGCTCCGACTCCTTGGACGCCGGAGGAACAATATCGACACGGGGATGAAGTAGATCATTTTCACGACCAGTTGTACTATGGAGGAGAAGAGGAGGAGGTAAATGTAAATCTAAATCCGCGGTTTCAAAGTTTTTTCCGGAACAACGTCCGAAGTAGTACGGGAACGAATGTTGGCGGGAAGAAAAGTCAAAGAGGGAACAACTACAAAGTTTGCGGGGACTTTCATCATGGAGGACGAGCTGGCTCTGGAGGTTCCAAGAACTACTGCAACAACTTCAATGCCTCTTCGTCTTCCAAGAAAACGATTTTATCAAACGCAAAAGCTGCATCGCACAGGCACAACTCGTATTAATCGCAGTCATGCATAACAGATTCATGAAGACCTGACGGAAGTCAGCATTACAAACTGCTTTTCATCTTCTCTCGGACAAAGAACTTGTATTGCGATTTCTACTAATGCGGTCCTCACGTTTTTGCGATGCATAGATCTCAACTAACGACAACACGGAAGACGGAGTCTTCGATTCGGACGACGAGGTGGGCGGATTGAGAGGCTTGTTGCCGAAAAAGATGCTGCAGGCCATGCAGTATGCATTGCAAAAGTATCGTACTACAACTACTAGTGTCAATCGCATTACAAATTTGATGATCAGCATGAAAAATGGAGTTTGTCATGGTGTTTCACCTTGAGAAGAAGATTTGTCATGCATATACTGCAATGTATGAGTGCGAGTGCGATGCTTTTGCGTAGGATATGCAGCAAACGAGTTCTTCGAGTGAGGAGGAGGATTCGGATTGAAGTGTTTCTTTCCAAAACAAGCAAAGCCTCATGAGTGGAAAGTAATCAGCTTTCATCGGCTTTTGTAGTATCCATCTGTGAAGACCAACAATACGATTTTGCTTCTTCCGGTATCTTGAACTTGCGATTTTTTGTAGAATTTCACTTTTTACTTGTTTCTGTTTTGTTTCCCACCAGGATGAAATTGTGTGAAAGATGACCTACTCCTCTATGTACTTAGGCCACAAGTGTTATTTCGTCTCAGTGTTGTTTCAGCTCCGTTGTGGTCATCACGCGAAGTAGAGCACTGGATTACAACGCGAAAAATCTACAACAAAACACCGCCTGGCAGTATCGTTTCCTGGGACTCCGAAGTTGAACATGTCGGCGATGTCTCTGCACGACTTTGCTCTCAAATGTGTTGCCACTTAAGTGTTTTGGTTCATCGCGCTGCAAGCTGAAGCTGGCGTAGGCTGCTATGTCTTCTTTTTGTTTTCACGGTGCGAATTCGAGTAGTAGTACCTGCGTGCCGAGTCTTTGCAGACTGATTAACATCAAAAGGAGTGCGAGGTGGGAGTGAGCAGACCTACAGACTAGAGGCACGCGTGAGTACATGCGCACTGAGGCTACGAGAAGCAAAGAGAACGCCAAAGCTGCCTCGCTGTGTGCGTTGGGTTTGTTGTCTTGTTATCGTCTTGCAAGCAGCCGCGTCGCTGAGTTGCGAACTACTTAGAATGATGAGCGCCGCGCTGCAAACGGCGCGCGCCGGCCTGCGCCTGGGCGGGCCTACCTTGTGGGCCTGTTGGCCGGTATTGGCCGTCGTCTGTTGCTTCATGCTTCCGCGACCTTCCAAGCGGGCGGGCGGGGCCGCCCTCTTTGGTTCGGTGTTGTTCCGCTGCCCCGGCCCGTTGTTCCAGCGAGCGCAAAGTTCCGGGCCCGCCTCGTTCCCAGCCAAGGGCGATGGCCCGGGGGGCCGTTGTGTTGGCCCTGCCTAGAGGAGGCCGATATCATGCAACCCAGCGCGCAGGGGCGACCAGGAACAGGAACAACGCGCGCCGCCCCCGCGCCTCCCCGTCCCCTTATTTTGGCCCGGCGCCCTATATATTGCCGGGCCCCTTTGGCCGGCCGTGGGGCGCCGCTTTGTGCGCCCGCATGAATGTGGGCGCGCCAAGCAGGAGGCCCGCGACTGCTCGGCTCCGCCCCCCGGGCTGGTGGCTTTGTGTTGCGAGCGCGCGGCGCACGCGCGGAGCCGATTGCCCTTGGTGGCTTTGTGTAATGTTAATGTATGCATGCAGATAGCGCGTGGGCCCGGTAGTGTGGTAGCATCTTGGTTGCAGCCGGGGCGCCCCCGATCGGTCGCTCTTTCTTTCTACGTAAAGTAGGCATCGTTGGGCTTTTGTGTATTGCGCGCACACAAAGGCTGTCTGCCGCCAGCCTGCGCTTTGGTAGATTTTCCTTGCCAGCGACTGGAGCTGCGTGTCCTGCTCGTTGGACGAATGCGACGGGCCGCATCCCAAATATCGGTCGGAAGAACGATTCGAGCCCAAATACCTTATGCCGCGAGCAGAACCCCAGTCACAAGGTGGTCTGGCTCAGCTAAACCGATTTCACCGACCGCAGTGGAATTTTTGGCGTATGAAAAATCGCCATAGGCGTAGTCTGTGTTCCGTTTCAGTGTAATCTCGGAATTCTGTTGAGGTTTAGCGTCGGCGTCTGGCGATCCATCTTGGAAAGTTGTCTCGACCGGAGGTAAGGTGGGTCCCCTGGGTAGAAGATTGCGCTCAGTGATATGGTGTGTGGTTTACAGACATCCAACCCTCCTGCCAACACGTTTTGAGGAACACGCTGAAGCTTCCTCGAACATGTGAGGACTGGTCAAAGACCCGCCGTGGACTGAGACAGCAAGTCGTCCTCGCGCAACTCTACTGCGATGTCCAGTCTCACGGCAAGCAGCGCAGTGGCCACCAGCACGCCGCACTCCCGCATGAACCCGACCCTTCTACAGACGCTTCCTGGAGGTCAAGACGACTCGCAAACAGTGGAAAAGGCCACATGTTCGCCGCAACTCTCAGCTACTTCAACCACCACCACCACCACCACCACTCAACACCAGCCCCTCGACCAAAAAGAGCTCTGCCGTGTCCTCCTCGGCAGCCTGTCTGGGGAAAATTGGCGTATACGCCATTCCTTCGTGCTCGGTTGGAACGACTACCCTCTGGCGACGACTCAACAACTGGTAGAACGGTCGTTCAAGAAGGTGCTCGCGAGAGCAGGGCTGCTCGGAGGAGGTGTATCCTGTGCAAAAGTATCGTACTCGTAGTAATCGCAGTCATGCAATGCAAATTTTCATCTCAACTCAAGGCAAAACAGCATTACAAATTCCATTTTTCATGCGGAGCTAATTTGTAATGCGATTACTACTAGTAAGACTACGATGCTTTTGCACTTCATAAGGTGGTCGTGGTGGTGATCCTCCTGGGCAGACAGAAGGGGAAGAAGAACAAGAAGAAGTTGTTCCTGCTGGTGATGATGTTGATGCAAATAATCTTAATCCAAATAATGCCGACGTAGTGGTAGTTCATGAAAACAACACCACGACGTCTCCGGCGCAGCATCAAAACTCCATCAGGAGTGTTACCTCCGCGTCCGCAACAAAAATCCAAAGCAGCAGATCTCCCCGAGCAGGAGGTGGGACCACTCTAGTACCAAATTATGCTGACCTCCAAACGCAAGAACTCCAAATCCACAAAACCAAATCGAGTAGCCGTCCTTCCTCCCGCGCAGCGCTGTTGAAAAATCAGGGAAACAACAACAAAATCACGGAAAGACAGCTCTCGCTCATTCTGGACGATTTGTTCCGGCGGTCGCAAAGTTACGACGAATTTCAACTTTTACGGACGAGAACTGCTGGCTGTGGTGGAAGTTTACTCTCCAGAACGAGAATCGGGCCGGTGAGCAGCTCGTTATTCGCAGCTTCGTCTCGTAGTTCGCCAAGCAGCAAGGGTCCAGTTTCCACTAGGAACGCCGGGGTAGCAGGAGGGGTAGTCGCAGTCGCACCAGCTTCGAGTACAACATCAACACTGAATCAGAAACAAGATGATCATACTGTGCTAGATCCTGACGTCGCCCTATCAAACGCCGCAGTTGTCGACTTGTACCTGCTCGACGACAATGTTCTGGATGTGGAGCTGGTGATCGATCAGGTGCAGGCATTTCTGGGCATTAGAATCAACGTGATTTCCGCCACATCAGCATCATCTTCTTCCCCAGCAGCTGCAGCTGCCGGCGGACCCACGACCGGCGGTGGCGCGGCAGTACTAGATCCTCGGGCCTCCTCTCCTTCTTCACCTCCTGCTTCGCCGACCAGTCCTAACGCTCCGATCGGACAGAAGCGAGTTTCTATTTCACGACAAGCGACCGCCGTCGCCGGTTCTTCTTCAGTTGTAACTACATTGTCATCTGGAGCAACTACAACTTCATTAAATGTTGACACAGCCAACAGCTCTACAACAACTTCAAAGCTGAGCAACAACGCGATTCGCTGTAATGCCATCGCCCAGGGCTGTATCGTGAGAAACAACCTAAGCCGCGGCAGAAACATCAACCGAAACACACCTTCTTCCATGACCAAACGGGGGCAGCCGGTGGTGGACGGGAACTTGGCGTTGAACTTGATCGAGCACGACAGAACGAAACACTTGCAAAAACTAAACACGAGAGCGGAGAACGGGGAGGGGAGAAATTTGTGCGCTCTGGCGCTGACCAGTTTTGAAGTAGTGGGTAGCACGAAAAGCAGTAGTGGGAAGGATAGCGGGCTGACTGGTGGAGGTGTTGTTCTTGCAGGTGGAGGCGCCGCGAACCAGAACTCTTCCGTCGTCGGTGCAGGAGCTATGACAGTGCACAACTCTCCCTCCCCCACGTTTGTCATGCAAAATCCCAAATCCGCCGCCCTTTTCTCTTTGGCACTTCTTGCATGAAAGGTTTCAGAAGCCGAAACAGCACTAGAACCGATCGGGAATTTCTCATGCAAAAGCTGCATTTATGCCAGCACTTGTGTTGCTGCTTATGCCCTTCAAATGAGCAGGATTGGGGGAGCTGTGTGTTGTCATAGCAGCAGGAGAAACCTTCCGGCGTCGAAGATCGTTGACGACGGGCACGATTCCGGAGGACGGCCGGCTTGTTGGAAGTGGAACGGCAGCCAGTCGAATCCCAGGTCTCTACGCAGCCTCGAACACTGCAGCAAAGTCAGGAACAAAGCCTCCTCCAGGAGCCATGTTCTTGACAGCAACAACTCCAAATAGTTTCAACACCCATCAGAGCCAGCGCGGCTCTGCGTCTTGTGTCTCTTTTGACGACGAAAAGCGGATTGCGGTTTTGTCCACAACAGGGCTCTCTTCCGCGACTGCGGGAGGGACGAGTAAGAACCAACCACAGGAGCAAAAGCGGACAACGGCGAGCAACAGCGATACGGTTCGGAAACCGATCAAAGTGACGAATTTGATCCGAATTTTGACGAGAGAAGTGCTGTTCCTTTGCGGGTTTAAACTGTGTTTTCTCTACCAGTGCCTGATGAATCCGACCCGGGAAGACATGGCAATTGTGAAAAACAACCAAAGTAGCGCAGCTTCTATTGCACAGAATTATCATCTTCATTCCCACACAGATGTGGGCGGGACAACTGCTGGTCATGGATCTGGTTCATCAGCGGTATCACCCTCAAATAACCCTCCTGCGACGAACAACAACGCGAGTACCATTATGAAGGCCTCGGAGCAGACCATGCAGCAGCATTTTGAATATGCAGACAAAAAAGTGCTACAGTTACACACTGTGTTGCAAGACCGGCAACAGAGAAAACCTTTCTCATGCAGGAAATGCTTGGGGGCCTCGTTTCCCTCCTGTTTTCCCTTACGATCTTCGCATTACAAGTCTTCTCTGCCACACAAAGAAAATTTGTGTTGCTGAAGTTACAACAAATGTGTAACTGTAAGACTTTTTGCTTGTGATATTGAACAGTTGGGGAAGAACATGTGCCGGCTGTGCCCGATTTGCACGAGAAAGTTGCTGTTGTTGAATGGGCAGGATCCATTGAACCGGTTTTGTTGCGCGGAAAATATGTATTGCAAAACTAACATACTACTTGCTTCTGCTTGGTACAACTTGCATTACAAAGTTTCTCTGCTTGGAGAATGGAGTTTGCCATGCTGATTTGCCTTGGGAAGCAGATTTGTCATGCAGATCTGCAAGTAGTACGAGTGCGATACTTTTGCAGTTCATAGAAAAGGGATTGCAGCAACTCTTTCCGGCGGAAGCGGGGGAGTTGCGGCTGCAGGCGGAAAAAGTCGGGTGTCCGACGCAGGGGGCGAGCTGAGAAGGAGGAGCTAAAAAAGTATCGAACTCGTATTGCAATCATGCATTACAAATTTTTTTCTCAAGGTAAATCCGCACTACAAATTTTATTTCTCATGCTGAGTTGAGAAAAAGGAGCTCTTGCGCTAGGTTTTTTTTTCGACGCTTTATGGTGAGTTAGAAAGTGGTGTGTGAAGACGAAGTAGAAGTGAAGTCTGCGTTTATTTTGCTAGTACATTTTTCGAAATCACAAAAAAGGCACAAAGAAATAGTATCAGTGCGCGTGATGTTATTGGAAATGAAGGCTCTGCAGTAAGTACATGATAATGCGCGCCTTGCAAAAAGGCTTCGGCTTGTGGTTGAGACAGTGGAGGCACCTAGCTCAATTGATGGTCTGAAATTGTGCCTCGGATTCCTATTTGGGTTAGCTACTGGCACGACCGCGAGGAAGTCAGAGGACGACTTCGCACCGGTGCGTCACGTAGTTCCTCCTTTCCGACAGCGCGGAGTTTTGTTCGTGATGTTGTGCGCTGCGGCTGGAGGTATCTCGTCGCCAGCACTGCTTTGGCTTGGCAGGTGCTGTCGTGTGCGGGATTTCGCCATTCCCCGACCTGATAGATAAAGTAGTAGAAACCTAGTAGGCAAACCTACGTGGTGATGAAATAAAGTGTCGTCAATGTTGTATATGTAGTCGAGGAGGTCTTCTTGTTGTCTCCTTGCGCGACGTCGCCGAAAGAACCACTACTAAAGTAAACAAGAAGGAAGATGAAGATTCCGTTGTTCCACATCACAGTTTAGAAAGAGGAAACCAAGAAATGGCATCATCCTCCCCCTCCCCCCTGGAAACTTTCATCCAAGCCAACCACGCCCGCCTTTCCCAGGATATCACAGGAAAAAGTGTTAACGTTTAGCGGAATTTCTGATGCGGCAATGCTAATGCATCGCAAAGCGTGCCCAAATTTGTCATGCATAGCATGCGCACTAAAGATAGATAGATAGAAAGGCTAAATTTGTGACGCATGGCTGCAATCTGTGAAAACCGTAAACGCTAACGCTTTTTCTGGTGATACCGGATGCCCTCGCAGTCGGCCTCGCCCGCGGGATCGGCATGTTCCCCGACCCGGAAGGAACCTCAAACACAGACACAGAGAACCAAAATCACGGTCGCAGCAAAGCGAATTCCCTCGGGTACGCCCTGACCCCCCACCCGATCCCGAAAAACGGCTACCGTTTTCTGGCTCAGGAAGGCACGCCGCTCAACGTTCTGCTCTACGACGCGCTTTGTCACGAGCCGGAGGAATTCCTCTACCCCGCGCTGAAAAAAGCCGCAGAGGTGGATGAAATTACGAAAAATTTGATCGACATCGGGAAGAAAATCTACAACAACAGCACACGACAGTATAAGAATGAACTCCGGATGTTCATCGTCCGGAACGACTTCATGATCGATCACGATTTCACGCTGAAGCAGATCGAACTCATATCATTTGTAAAATCGTCCCCACCCGCCCAGAGTCAAGGTTGAAAATGATCTTCTGCTGGACAAATCCACGAGCTGTGGTTGTGGCGCATGACAAGTTCCGGATCGAAGTGTAGTCGTGTTCAGCACCTAGTTCGGCAGCATCACAGATCCAAGACATTTGCCTGATTCGAGCATCACAAGTGCAGAAATACCCTTGGAAAACATTTGTAATGGGGCTCCACATGAGAAACATTGTAAGCATGCAGATTTGCATGACAAATCTGCGGTGGGGACGTTTTCACTCAGGATAACCCAACACCTTCGCGGCGTCGTTTCAGGGCATGAGCGACGAGGTGCAGTGGATGCAAGGGTATTTCGCCAAAAAGTGGTTTGGAGGAAGAGCTTATCAAATGTATAAAATGTCTGGGTCTGGAAGGTTGGCTTGTGATGCTAACTTTGGACTCTAAAAAAATCTGTATTGCATGACCAGCAAGAGGAGTCTAGTTTGTGCTATGCGGGGAGGGCATTTGTCATGCGGAGTAGGCATCAGGAAGGCCTCTAAAAATCTGTGACGCCATTACAGACATCCTGGGTCATGCAAAATATGCATGACAAACCCGGCAACATTCCAGACCCAGACACTTTTGCACTTGATAGACCTGAGAACCAGAATCTTCTCTCCCATCATCACCAGCCGTGCTTCGCGAGTCAGGAACAGCAGCAGAAAACGATCATCGCCTGTCGAAAGGGGGAGCGCGAGCAGGTGGATGCGGTAGAAGACGAAATATTCGACGTAAACGCGGAGTTTGCTCAACCGCAAACCAGAAGTCCATTTTCCTCCACAACGATGGCGGGTTTTGGAACGGCGTTTCGGGATCTGAGGACGGCCTATGAGGCGATGTTTTTCAGTTCAACGACAAGCAGAGCTGGTCCTAGCAACGGGAACGGCGCATCAACATCGCCATCTGGTCGAAGATCAGCCTTGACCAACAGTTCCTCAAACAACCCCTTTGCCGTTCTTTTCATCGCGGATGACGACGAACGAAACGAGCTGGATCACAGGAAGATGTACGAAATGCAAATATGTGTACTTGGTCTGGAATGATCCGAGTTTGTGATGCGAATTCTACATCATGACAAAATCTCTCATGTATGGCCAGCAAAAGGCCAGACTTCTTGTCACCGAAAGAGGAGATTTGTCATGTGGATTATGCATTGGTAATGGTCTGCAGATGCACCAGTGGTGTACCTGCTCGAAGTCTGTGATGCTAGGGCTTGCATTCCAGGCGATCTGGGTCAGGCAAAAACCGCACGACAAATCTTGCATTCTTCCCTTCCGAGACCACATATCTGCGTTTGATAAGATGGAGCTCGCCATCCTAGAGCACAGCGACATGATCTGCATCCGACGGTCCTTTGCCGCGGTTTCGGAAGAATTCGCCAACGGAGATTTGGTTCTGGAAGAAGGGAGCAACGCCCTGTACTTTTTCGGGACGGAGGGGAACGGGATGTTAGCGAGCAGCGGTACGAAAATACATGCGGATTTGCAAGCACAGCATCAGCATGCTCCCTCCCTGAAACCAAAATCCGCAGTGGAAATATGAGAATGCACAACTTCATCCCCTCGACGTCCCCGTCATTTGTCATGCAAAATACCAAATCCCCCCTTTGCCTGTTGGCACTTTTCGCATTACACGTTCTGGAACATCAAGAAGCTCAAACAAAACCACAAGCCTTGGTCGTGAATTTGTCATGCAAGATCTGCACGGTTGCCAACGCTTGTATTGCTGTTTGTGCCATGCAAATGATTAAGGGGGCTGTGCACCTTCATAGGAAATTGTCGCTGTCTACTACCGCTCCGGTTACTGGCTATCCTGTGCAAAAGTATCGTACTCGTAGCAATTGCAATCATGCATCACAAATTTTTTTCTCAAGGTAAATCCGCATCACAGATTTTACTTCTCATGCTGAGAAAATTTGTAATGCATTTATACGAGTACGATGCTTTTGCAATTCATACTGGCCAGACCACTACAAAAACCCGAAAAACCCGGCGGCTGATTTTTGGGGCGTCCGGTACTTTTTGGAGAAATCTCGCGCGGCGAAAGTTCCCTCTGTTCTCGGCCAACTGGTCGGGCAAAAGAAGATCCAGCAACTGCTAGCACTGTACGCCAGCGCGAACTTGGACTTCAGGATACGAAGGATTTCCGCAAGTGCTTCTGCTGGTGCTGGTCAAAGCATGACAGACCGGACCTCAGCGTACCAAAGCCGCAACACAAGTTCCGCGACGATGATCGTGAAACACAGCTACCAAAAGTTCATCACGGAGAACAGGTACGGATCGCAAAAGGTATCGTACTGTCATTCTAGTATCACTGCAGTTTGTGCATGGCAAATCTCCTTCCCGAACTAAATCTGCATGAGAAACGAGTAGATTAAGATTTTCCTTTTCCAGCTTGCTAAGCGAATAACTTGTGTTGCAATTACTACTAAGCGCGATCCTTTTGCCACCTATACTAGTGGCTTCATGGCAATTTTGGAAAAACTCCTCCCATTCTTCGCCGAGCAGTTCGACCCGTCCGAGGAAATCGAAAAGCACCTCAGCCGGAGATTGGAACGCCGTGAGCTCGATCTTCTCCGCGAGATGGCGCCGATGGTGATGCATTTTTGCAGCACCATCAACAAGGACCACCACGAAGGGAGAATAATCCACGGGGACGAGTCCAAAAACTTCGCGGACCACCACCCCCAGGCCTACGCGACCCTGGTTTCTTTTCTCCCCAATCTGGCGAAACCGTTGCTAAACGTGAACGATTATCCTGTGCAAAAGTATAATCGTACTCGTATTGCAGTCATGCAGCGCAAATCTTTTTCTTAAGGTAAATGCGCATTACAAATTTTATTTCTCATGCTGAGGAAATTTGTAAATAATGCATTGATACGAGTACGATACTTTTGCAGTTCATAGCGATTACGTGATGAAGTCGCAGATCGAGGGTTCCGGCGCGGTCATTGTCGGGGTTGAGTTGGTATGAACTGCAAAAGCATCGTAGTAGAATAAATTGAAATTGCATTACAAATTAGCCCAGCACTACAAATTAAATTTTGAATTTGTAATGCTGGTTTGCCTTGAAAATTTGTAAATGCATAAATGCAATTACTACGAGAACGATACTTTTGCAGTGGATAGTTGGGGGACATTTTGGCGGAAGCGGTTAGGTACGCACTGTAAAAGTATCGTACTACTATAAATCGCAACACAAATTGGGTCAGCATTACATACAATTTGAGTCTGTAATGCTGATTGTCCTAACCAGCTAGATTTGTAATGCATAACTGCGATTACTACGAGCGCGATGCTTTTGCATAGGATATTAGGCAGTTGGTGCACAAAATTTTCGAGAATCACGGATTGATTGACGAGGAAATTGATCCGTTGTTGCTGAAGAAGAAAATGACGAACAAATCGGCTAGCCAAGAGTTGGAGGAGGAATTTGGAATTGGGATGTTGAATACCAATGTCGGGGTGGAAAACGAAGGGGAGAGCTCCGCGAAATTTTCGAAAAAGTACTACGAAGAAATCACCAGAAAAGCGAAAAACCTCTCCGAGTTCATCATCATGAGGAAGGTGAAGTGCCCGAGCTTCCTCTCCCCGGTCTTGATCCCGAAATTGAGCCAAATCATCTTGAGGAAGGATGCAATCGGGGAGCTGGGGATTTTCAGTTGCTTCATCGGAGGCCGGAACGGACAGCTATCCAGGAAAAAACAACCATCCCCATCGATTTTATGCATCACAAACACAGGACTTCATACATGTTTTGCATGACAAATTGGATGGGGATGGTTGTTTTTTTGTGGATAGCAGTGCTTGAAAAACTACAGCTACGGTATCCTGATGAAAAACGTCCCCACACCAGAGTTGTCATGCAGATTTGCAATGACAAAGACATTTGTGATGCGCATACCCATGGTAGACATTTCCAATCGTGTTTTGGAATTTGTGATGCTGAGAACAGGATAAGCAGATGGATCTGCGATGCGGCTGCACTTGCTACCTTGCACTACACTACGGAGTGCAACTTGTCATGCGCGACTCCCAAAACTCCTAGGCTTGCGTTGCAAAATCCCCATCTTGACTATGGGGTGGGTACATTTTTACACAGAATATACGGGCACTTGGTGCGGAGCAAGGGGGTGAAAACGGATCAGGGCGGGGTGTTTCTCGGACATGCGACGCTGGATGCGCCGGTTTTGGTTTGATGAGGCGTTTCATGAGCAACTAGAAATAGTTGAGGCAAATAAACCAGGTTTTGCTATGAAGCTCAAGCTACTTCAACTATATGGATGTCGATGTTGTCGAATTTTGCTCCCTGACGTATCTCTGTCAGGCTGTACTAAAAAAATGGACGGACGCAAAAAACATCTCAAGAAGTGAAAAACACAGTGAATTTCTCGAAATATGGTGTGTTTCGGTTATGGTTTTTTTTGAAAAGCTTCTGCTTCTCGTACACCACTTTGCTTTTGCGTTTTCTTTGATTTTTTTCGTACACTACGAACGAGGTTGACTACAGAGCGATGGTTTTTTCTTGAAGAGCGACAAATCATCTACAACTTCACCATCATCGTCTTTGTGAAGACTCACAAAGCATGTAATTTTCCGTTCCATACAAGCAAGCCACGAAACGTTTTTGGTTCCGTCGTTCCCTGTTATGGTTCACGATCCTCGCAGAGATCCTAGCAAACCGCCCTTGTGGGCGCTTTGCTTCCAGACGTGCGTAAGTAGTTCTCCTCGACGTCCCCCGTGTAAAGATAATCATTTATCGTTGCAATTGCAAAAGAGGCGCAGGCGTTCGTACAAGAACTTCTGCGCTCCAAAATCTAACGAGACAACCCAAGAGCAAGATGACAACTACCGTTTCTGACACAACTGCCGCTCCTCCGTCTGCTTCTCCACCGACGATAGAAGGAGACTCGTCCTCACCAAAAGCCAAAATCCTCGATGGCAAAGGTTGCGCGGCGCAAATAAGGTTGGAAATCAAACAGGAAGTGGAGGAGATTTTGGCGAAATCTTCCAAAACACCAGCACCACAACACCATCTTCCCCCCGGCCTCGCGGTCATTCTAGTTGGAGAACGACCGGACTCCGCCACCTACGTGCGGAACAAGACGAAAGCGTGTGTCGAATGCGGCTTCCACGTGGAGGACTTCAAATTGGAAGAGTCGACATCGGAACAGGAGCTATTGACTTTGATGGACAAGTTGAATTTTGACGAAACTTTTCACGGAATTCTAGTCCAACTCCCACTACCGAGCCACATCAACGCACACAAAGTGTTGGAAAGAATACGAGTGGAGAAGGACGTGGACGGATTTTTAGCCTACAACCTGGGTTGTTTAGCCGCCCGGGACCGGCATCCATCCGCGACGGCGTGCACGCCCGCTGGGGTTTTGGAGTTGTTGAAGCGGAATAACATTGAAATCGCCGGGAAAAAAGTGGTGATTCTAGGGAGGTCGAACATCGTCGGAATCCCATTGGCGTTACTCATGCTGCACAGCGACGCAACGGTGGTGATTTGCCACAGCAAAACGCCAGATTTGGAAACCGAGTGTAAGCAGGCGGACATCCTTTGTTGCGCCATGGGGAAAGCCGAGTTTATTGACCAGCAGAGCTTCATTAAGGAAAACGCGGTGGTGGTGGACATCGGAATAAATTCGAAAGACGCGCCGGAGTTGAAAAAGGGATATCGGCTGTGCGGGGATGTGAAATTTGACGAAATTGCGAAAGTTGCGTCTTTCATCACCCCGGTTCCGGGTGGGGTTGGGCCCATGACAATTGCGATGCTGTTGAAAAACACGCTGGAGTTGTGGAAGAGGTCGAGAATTGTGGAGGGTGTGATTGAGAATGAATGCGAAGTAGGACAGGATGAAATGCTGAAGAAGGCAGCATGAAAGTCATGTAATGTGTCACGTCTACCAACATGATTATCTGCAAGCAAGAAACATCATCAGTTTTTGCAATAGAATCACATCACACCTTACTTCACAGCTTCATCTTGTACTTGTTTTCTGGTTGTTCGCCACCAATCTGTTTCAAATTGATGTCGATTCGGTAAAAGCCGGTGCCGGTCCGATGATAGATTCGCGTCGGTACAAGTAACAAGCTGTATTTACACCAGCTGATGAACTATTTGCACGTGGTATCAATATCTGTAGCGTAGGCGTCAGCTAATTGTGAACTGCAAAGTTAAAGAACTCGAACTTGTCTTGCATTTTTTGAAAGTGTTGAGCAACAGGTTATCAGCATTCTGCTGCTCCGCCTGCGATTTGAATTCCTTGAAAAAAGATGTCGGTTCGTACTCAACACCTTGCTGTCGTTCTTATCCATCGTAGTACTATTCGTGCGCAATCATCAGAGTCGTTCAGCTCACCAAAAACATCTGGCTACTCTCAGCTACTTTCAACATATTCGTGCTCGTAAATCATTGCAGCGGCCCTAAACAATACAACCCCTTACCTCGTCCCCAGTTTACTCTTTCATGATCAACATGTGCGCATTTTTTGTAATGCAGCTGCGCTAGCGCCGTCTTATTTTTCAAAATCCTTACCGTTACCCGATTATCTTCGCATTCGCATTTGTTACGTCCTCATAACCAGAACTTGAAGTACTACCGTTGGTCCCCATAGACACAAAGAATAAAAAATCGAAGATGTTTCTCCGTCGTCTCTTTAGTAAGCTGGGGGGGGACAAGAGCAAACCCCCACCAGCTGAAGACGAGGATTCCGACGTTGAGGAAGCTGCAGGACCACAAGATAACCACCAGCAGCTTTCGATTTCTCTCCCGTCTGAACAACAAACCCCAAGCGACGTTCAACCATCTTCACCGAACTCGCAGTCCAGAGCGATTGTGACTGCCAGTTCCCCCTCCGCCATGTCCGTGCCCCAAAGCTACCTCCAGCAACTGCAATCTCCACAGCGCTCCAACAGCATGAAGGGGAATCTGGTCATCACCCAGCACGACGAAGACTTAGATTCCGACGACCGAGAATTCAAACGGTTGTCCCAACGGAAGAGAAACAAGGTCGACCACAAGGGCCGGCCAGTTTTGTACTCCGATGTCCGCAGGTTCACGGAATACCGGCTCCACGACCGCGTTTCGGTTTTCAAGCGGCTCCAGCAAGCGAAAGCAGAGAATCTCTACAGTCGGGACATCGGGGGGAATGATGATATGTACGTGCCGAAATTGCACCGAATGCACAGTCAGATCGTGCTATCCACAGTAAATTTCCCGTACACGTAGACGTACAAATGGAAATGCTGTCTCTGCATGACAAAACTTGGCTCCGATCCTAGTTTAGCATGACAAGTGCTACACGCCGAATTGGCGAAATTTGTGATGCACTTTGTACATGTACGGGAAATTTGTATTGCATACGTGCACGGGAAGTGGGTGCCGGGGATCATCATCGAGGAAACGGATGGGAATATCCGGATAAAACTCGGTCGGACTGGGAAAAACGACACCCGATGGATGCCGAGAAACTCCGCGAATATTCTCCCGAAGAAGCTGTTTATCGAGAAATTATTCGATAAAGAGATGAAAAAACTGAAAAAGGGAAAGTACTCTGCTGAAGCGGCAGAAGAAGCTTTACAGCGCATGTCCTACGCGGAACGGCTGATGCAGTCACAGCAAGTCACCGGCCGCTCCGGCACGAAAGAGTCAGTTTTGACGTTCACGGCGAACAAACAAAACGCCGCAGAGATGAAAGATGAGATGAGGAGATCGCTGTTGAATTCCAGCGACGGCTACGGTTTCCACGCCCAGCACCTGCAGCAAATAACCGACTTGTTTGGGGAAAAGCTCTGGTATGCGGAGGATTATGTGGAGAAAATTAAGCCCGGGGATATGTCTGAGGACGAGGAGGATGAGGAAGAGGATGGTGGTCGTGCACTAGCGGAACAAAAGCCCGACGGGAGTGCAGCGGGCACGGGGAGTGGAGATATGCCCGGGACTGGGTCCGGGAAGCCAGGGACAGGGACGAGTGGAAAGCCAGGCACAGGATCCGGGAGTAGTCCGAGTAACAAAGACCAGGCGAAATCGAAAAGCACAGGTCTTGCGATTAAAGACAAAAGTCCAGAAAAGAACTTCCAACTCGCCAACCTCCACGGGTTCGACCGACCAAAAGATGTTGATGGCGACCTCAGCTCCTACAACTCCGACGAGGAGCAAACCATCTATGGCGCTCTCAACTGTTACATTCTCAACTGTTACATGAATTTGTGATGCAAGAATAGAACAGGTGAGACGGAGAACCATGCGCGTCTTGCATTACAGGTTTGATCCGGATTGCAGTGCTATTTAGCCTTCCGAGAATTTGTCATGCGAAGCAGCTTGATCGTCTGGCGGGTCATGGTCATTTTGCATGACAAATCATGTAACAGTTGAGAATGTAACGGTTGAGAACCCCATACCGTCCATTCCAACGGTTTGATTGTCGGGGACATGCAGTCTTTTTTCGTAAAAGTGTATCAAAGTGAAAAATGAAGCCCTCCCAATATTGAAACGGAAATTTCTGTTGCTGGATTTGTGTACACAAATCACCGCTGTATTGCAGCAAGCGCTTGCAGGCATTTCCTAGGACTGGTTAGGTATGCAAAAGGCTAGCACTCAGGCATGACAAACAGCTTTGCAGTAGGCAAAAGCGCATGACAGATTAGCTGTGGAACGAATGCGCCACACGGCTCCACTTGCCTCATATGCAAGACAAAGCTGATCTGTGGCCACAAATCAGCATCACAAATTTCATTGTGAGCATGGGAAGGAGGGATTTTTCCTTACGATAAAGTGAAATGCACGTTTTCCGGGAACATGGATGAATTAGCAACGCATGTGCAAGAATTCCGGAAAATGATCCGGAACCGGGAGCGGGAAGAGCAGGCGAACCGGGAATCCACGGTCCGCCAGGGCCGGGTGAAATTTCGGAAGTTGAAGAAATTTCTCTTCCCCGAACCTCCGCCGCCGAGACGAGAGCCGCCGAAAATTGTGTTCGTCGAGGATTTGGTAGCCGATGTGTCGATATGCATTGCAAAATTGTCGTACTCGTATTGCAGTCATGCATTACAAATCTTGTTCTTTAGGTAGATCCGCATTACAAACTTTATTTCCCATGCTGAGGAAATTTGTATATGCATTTAAATACGAGTACGATGCTTTTGCAGTTCATAGTCGAAGAAGGAGAATAAGCACGGCGGGTGGATAAAGCTGTTGACGAATTACTCCACGGCAGACCCGTACGAAACGTTTATGATCCGGCAGCCGGAAAAGATCAATGGGGTGGTGAGAGATGAATTCGCGATCGCGAATGTCATGATGAAAAACGCCGGATTGAAGATGTCGAATTCTAGGCCGGTCACGCCGAAAATGAAGGTCGTGAAAAGGAAAAGTAGTCGGGACAACATTTTGGAAGAGTCGCATGGCGTTCTTGGGGCGATAGAAAACGGGGAAAACAACTTGGCGCCGGTGGCGACAGAGGGTAGTACCGGAGGTGAACAGGTTCCATCTATCAAATGTAAAAATGTCTGGGTCTGGAAGAATCCAACTTGTCATGCTGGTTTTGGATTCCAAAAAAAATTGTATTGCATGAGCAGCAAAGAGAGTCCAAGTTTTGCTACACGGAGAGAGCATTTGCCATGCGGTATAGGCATCAGGAAGCCCTCACAAAATCTGTGATGCTAGAGCATGCATCACAGACATTAGGAGTCATGCAAAATGTGCATGACATCTTCCAGACCCAGGCATTTTTACATTTGATGCCATCCCCTGGTGAGCAACAACCACCTGGCGCAGAAGGCAGTGCGGACCAGCCTACTGCGGCTGGAGAAGAGCCAGCGACTGCACCGCAAGAGGGTGAAGCAGCGCAAAAGCAGGAGGGCGAAGGTGGGGAGGAACAAAATAAACCTCCGGCTGAGGGAGAAGTCAAACCGGAGGGAGAGCAAGTTCCTCCCGTAGAGGGAACTGAGCCAGCTGCTGCTGCTGCAACCGGTGATGGCGAGCAAAAACCAGTGACTCCGCCTGCAGCAGGCACAGCAGCGGCCGAGGGCGAGCAAGCAAAGCCAGAGGGTGACGGTGCCGCAGGAGCGGAAGGCGGCGATAGTCAATCACCAGCACCTGCAGGTGAAGGAGAACAGCCTGACACTGCAGCTGCGGAAGGCGAAGCAACATCGCCTGCCGCTGCGACTGCAGGCGAGCAACCTGCTCCCACGACTATGAATTGCAAAAGCATTGTACTAGTAAGTATGAATTGCATTACAAATCTCCTCAGCATTAGAAATGGAATCTGTAATGCTGATTGACCTTGGGAAAAAGATTTGTAATGCACAACTGCAATTACGATACTTTTGGTTTTGCACTGGATAACGACCGAGGATCAGCAACCTCCCGAAGACGACGAGTTCGCTCGATTAGTCGCGGAGGAGGAGGAGGAGGACGAAATGGATTTCGACGACGAAATCGCGAAGAACATCAAGCGGTTGGCGGCAGAGCAGGAGTTAAAAAAGCAGGAAGCGGCGGCGAAGGAGGCGGAGAAGCAGCGAAAATTGGCCATGGAGGGCATGGAAAACGAGATCAACGGGATTTATTACTTCTGTCTCGTGACCGGAGAAGCAAGCTGGATTCGGCCGAAAAAGTTCAACGACGTGCGCATTGTCCAGTTCACGAAGCGGTTTATTTGGGCGCTGCAGAATCCAGAAACGACGGAAGAAGTTTTCCGTTTGCGAACGTCGATCCGGGAAAAAGCCATGCCGCTGGACATCCGCCACGCAGAGACAATATCAAATGTAAAATGTCTGGGTCTGGAAGGGTTGGAACTTGTGATGCAAACTTTGGAACACACAGAAATTTGTGTTGCATGAGCGCCAAAAGCTGTCCATTTCTTGGCACGCAAGTAGGAAGTTTCTCATGCGGGACAGGCATCATGAGGCGTGATCAAAACCTGTGATGCTTTCGCCTGCATCAGACGCCACTTGCGTGATCCGAAATATGCATGACAAATCTCAGAATCTTCCAGAGGACCCAGACACTTTTACATTTGATAGACAACCGATATCATCCAGCGCCTCTACGCCGGGCACTGCCCGATCGATATTCCGACTGGCGGAAAGTTGACGGTCGTCGGCGATGTGGAGGAGGGTGCGAAGTTGTTCGGTATGCCCTTAGACAATTTGACGCAGAGGGCAGAAGCGTATGAGAAAAAACTTTCGCAGCAGAACAAATTCGGAACTACGATAGGTGCCAGGACGATGGGAGCTAGTACTTCTACAACCGCTGTTGGCTTCAAACCTTACGGGGGTGTCAGGATTGAAATCGTCAAAGTCGAAATGATTTGTCATGCATAAAATGCGATACAAAAAGCGAGTCTATTGCAGAGGACGCACGGGAGGTAGAGACTATAGTCCTGCGGTAAGGGTCAAAAGTTGAACGGCTGACTGGCATGACAGAAGGCAGCTCTTTTGCCCTAAACCGCATGACAGACTCGCTTCCAGGACCGGGAAAATTTGTCATGCACCGACTACAAACTGTAGCTCTAACTGGTATCCGTTTTATGCATGACAAACTATTTCAACTTTGACAATTTCAAACCTGGCACTTCCATAAACCTCCAGGCGAAACTACATCAGAAGAGCAGATCACCTACAGACACAGATCGGTGAACGAATTGTCCCGGATGGTATGAACTGCAAGAGCATCGTACTAAGTAGTGATTGCAATACAAATTGCCTCAGCATTAGACATGGCATTTGTAATGCGGATTTACCTTTAGCATTTCCATTTGGATTTGTGATGCATAACTGCAATTAGTACGAGCAGTGCGATGCTTTTGCATTGCATAGATGGTCAAGACGAACGATTTTCACGGGATGAAAATGGAGCCGCACCAGTGGGTCCAGTCGACAATCCGCGAGGAAACTATGGATGTGTCAGAGTTGAAATCGACAAAGTTGCAATGATTTGTCATGCATAAAATGGATGCTAGTTGGAGCCCAGCTTTCAAGTGGCGCATGACAAATTTCGGCGGTCCCTAAATCCAGTTTGTCATGCTGTTTAGGCAAAGAAGAGCGATTTTCTCGCGCTACTTTAGCAGCTCAAGCTGTCACCCCAAACAGGCCTACAGTCGGCCTCACTTGCCTGCTCTGCAACACACGCGCCTCGGGTCATGCATTTTATGCATTACAAATTATTTCAACTTTGACGATTTCAAACCTGACGCTTCCATAGAAACCCGGACGACGAAGATCATCTCCTTTCAAACGAGTTTGATGAGCAAAACCATGCCAAACAAGATGTTTTCATCGCATGACAGATCTTCAAAATCAGGCTCGGACCAAAACCTCTCTTCCATCCCAATCTACGGAAGGGGCCACAACCTCCGCATGCTGAACGCGAGCCAAATCCCCGATCACAACAGCTCGCTATGCAGTGCAAAAGTATCGTGCTTGTAGTAAAAATCGCAGTCATGGTGCATTAGCATTACAAATCTCCATCTCAAGGTAAATCAGCATGACAAATTTCATTTCTCATGCTGAGCTAATTTATCATGCGACTTATACTAGTTGACGATGCTTTTGCAATGCATACTATCGCACGGTGAACAAATTCGATTTCCGGATTGATACGGATATGAAGAAACAACAAAAGGAGTTGATGGCGAAGAACCCAGAACGGCCGCAGAGAATAGTGTACGAAACGATGGAGGATGGAACCATTCGCAGAAAGCCTTTCGGCGAAGCGCCGTTGAAGAAATTTTTGAAATCGCAGACGAAGCACTTGCACAGATCTCTGTCCACGATTGGAGACGAAGACCATTTAGGGGCGACGTTGGAACAATCCATGCTGATGGGGAGCAAGGATGAGTTATTCCCGGGGGACGAGGAATTGAACAATTTGCTGAATTCGTCGATGTATCAAATGTAAAAGTGTCTGGGGCTGGAAGAATGCAACTTGTCATGCTGCATTTGGATTCCAGAAAAATCTGTATTGCATGAGTACCACAAGGAATGCAATTTTTGCTACGCGGAGAGGGCGTTTGTCATGCGGAATAGGCATCAAGAAGCTCTGAAAAAATCTGTGATGCTAGGGCGTGCATCACAGACATCAGGGCCCATGCAAAACGTGCATGACAAGTGTCACAATGTTCAAGACCCAGACACTTTTACAGTTGATACGACGAATTTATCCAAACAGTCCTTCTTCTCCCAAAAATCGCGGGATTCTCTATCTCCCTCCCAGAAGTCCGCCGGTGTGATTTCCAATTTGGAAAAAATGCGGGGGGCAAGCTCGGATGAGGGCGGGGTGAGTGATCCGTTCGGCATGTCCGGGTTGATGAACTTCGGGAATGAGACGACAGAAATGAACGACAAGATGTATCAAAAAATCGCGGAGGCGGAGCGGGTCGCGAGGGAGAAGCAAAAACAGAAACAGCTAGAAGAGGAGAACAAGATGAACCAAACAGCATCGTCCGGTTTCGGCAAGTTCATTTCGAAAAGAAGGCAGTCGCGGTCCAAATCCGTAAGCAGATTAGGGTCGGAAGAAGGCGGCGAATTATTCGACAGCGCTTTGTTGGACAGCCAAGAGTTGTTCGACGACGAGGATAATGATAAAACCTTCCTCTTCACATCGAAAGACGACATGGAGGCCTGTAACCTTCACGACAGACTCTACATCCGGGGCGACAAATTTTCGAAGCCGACGGGTGAGATATCAAATGCAAAAATGTCTGGGTCTGGAAGGATGCAAGGTTTGTCATGCTTGTCTGGCATGACTGAAGAGCTTGTGATGCGTGTCCAAGAAGATACCGCTTTGCTTGTCATGCAAAACGCAGTTTGTCATGCGGAAAGCGCAAGACTAAGCCGCGCAAATTTTTCTCATGCTTGGCTGCGCATTACAAAGAATTGGAATTCACTATTCACAACTCAGCATTACAAGTTTCCAGACCCAGACATATTTGCATTGGACATGAGACGACAAAAACGGATTTCTCCTACAAAAAAGTCGTGCGAAACTGGGGCTATATGGACGTTATGCATTGCAAAAGTATCGTAGTACTAGTATGAATTGCATTTTTACAAATTAGCTCAGCATCACAAATGCTAATGCAATTTGTAATGCTGTTTTGCCTTAGGAAAAAGATTTGTCTATGCATATGTTGCAATTACTACGAGTACGATGCTTTTGCAGAGCATAGATATGAAGGAACAGGCGGAACTACCGCATTTCAAAGCGGGTTTGAAACAGATGACGGGGGTGAAGGAGGACGACCGGGTCCCGATCCAATCCTGGACGAAAACGTACGGGTTTCAGCGGATTGGGAGAGCAGTGACAGGGCAGCCACAGTTTCCCTTCATCATGACGGATTTGACGAGGAATCAGAGGTCAAAAGTGCTGTATCCGAGGTGTAATAGATAGAGGAAAGAAGTAGTTGTATACTTTTGGTTTTAGATTCCGATTTGATCATGTGGATCGAAAACTACGATTACCATTACCTCAACCCTATTTACACGTATCGAAGGGTCCGCTGCATCCACCACTTTGATTTGCATGCATGATCTTGTTCTGAAACAGAATCATTCCACCAAGCTACACGAGATACACGACGCAAATTGATATTCATCTTTTTACGGCAACGAATATTATCGGTGTTGATTCGAAAATGAAAACCTCCAGATCGTGTCCGATTTTGGGCCTGTAGTTTCTCGGTGTGCTTGAAATGATGTTTTTCCACCGACGACGAGTGTTCCCTCGAAAATTTGAAGTAGAGCAGCTCAGAAATGAATTTCGAAGTCGAGTTATCAGAACATCAAAACACATAGCACCAGCATTGTTCCTGCCCTGCAATGACAACGAGGACGAAAAATGAACCCTACTTCTGTGCTCTGTTCTTTGTTTTTGCAGGCTACTTCCGAGTCTTGGTCTCTTCGGTGCTACGCTCGACTGCCTTTTTGTGAAGTAGCTTGTTTCCTGTCTATTGTCAAGATATTATCTAAGCGACGATCTATTTGATACGGCTGAGAGAAGTAGATAATGAAGATCTAGCGTAGCTTCCATTTAAGTATTTCTTTCACGACTGTTGCTCTATGGTCTCACTATGACCCCGAAGAGTGTTTTGGCTTTGTACTCGATTATTACCAGCTTCATTGCGTCAACCACCTCAGTGTCTTCAACATCCAAGCAGGAGGTTCTTCCGCCGCAAATCTTCGTCCGGGCTGCAGAACAACTTTCTTCCGTCGGTCGTCCACAAGAGCCAGACCCCGCGCAAGCGGCTCACGCGAAGAAAGACCACGACGCTCACCTCCATAACAAGGGGAGCGCACGAACCCCTCGCCACCGCGGCGGTCGATCTTTACAAACCTCCACTTCTCTTACGGAACGTGGAAGCCGGCGCAGAACGTTCCCGCCCACCCCAGGAACCTTATTGGAACAACGTGATTCCGCGGTTGTTTCGTCCGACGCTGAGGCGGAAGAGCCCTCTGTTGAAGGTGGAGCTTCCGCCGTCAGGCCGCATCATCACAACACGAACAGGAACATAAATCACGATAACGAAAATTACAAGCAGCAGCGAGACACTGAAAAGACCATGGTGTTATCGCAGCAACTCGCCGGGAATAATTACCCGGATCAGCCAGGAGTTGCCAGTTCCTCCCTAGCAGCGGATCAACATTCTGCGACCGCTAGTACGGGCGGCACAGCGACTCACCATACTTCCAGCGGATCTTTCCGACCCGGGAATTTCTGGGTCCAGCCACTACTGTTCTCGGTCATCGCCGGCGCGTCGACCTCCATCGGCGCATTGATCGTCGTTCTGAATCAGGGGCGGATGACAAACCGGATGATGGCATTTTCTCTCTCCCTGGCTTCCGGCGTGATGACCGCCGTGTCGCTTCTCTCTTTGCAGGAGGTTTTCGCTAAGGAAAAACACGAACAGGCGCATACGGTGAAAGAGATTTTCGGCTCTCTGTGCTTCATCGCGCTGGGGGCGGTGTTTTACTTTATGTTATCCAAATTCGCGCTGCCGGACACCCAGGACTACGTTTTGGATGACGTAGAGCAGCAGCAGTTCAAAGCGAGGCGCTCCGCAGGTGGAACTACAGGTCTGGACCCCTTTTCCAGCAAGGATGACCCCGACAAACAACTTTCCCATGACACCCAGTGCCAGTCCGACCCGGACAACAGTTCCCACCCGAACTCCGACCCGGAGAAAGCGGCGATTTTAGGAAAAGAGCACCACCATCGGACGATCTTGAGCCCCGATGTGGTACGAGTGCACTCCGGGTCTTCCATCCTTCAAAACGACACAACGGCCGCGGGGAAAAAAATCAGCTACAGCGATTCGCCGCCTGCATGGGTGGGGGCGGGTGGTTCATCTCCGCGGGGACGCGGGCCGAATAATTCGAAGGCGGCCGCAGCAGCTATGGCGTTCTCAAATGTTACATTCTCAACTGTTGCATGAATTTTCGATGCAAGGATGGCAAAAGTAAAAGGAAGGACCTTGCGCGTGTTGCATGACAGATTTGGAACAGATTCTAAGCCTGGTTGGCCGTCTGAGAATTTGTCATGCGAAACAGCTTGATGGCGTCGGTAGTCAAGGCAATTTTGCATGACAAATCATGTAACAGTTGAGAGTGTAACAGTTGAGAACGCCATAGCAGCTCACCAGCTAGAAGGACCAGTAGTAGAGACATCAAGAACCATCTCCGAGCACAGCAGCAGCAGCACGAACGCAACTGCTGCGGATCACAGGATGATCCGGGTCTTAGCCAGCCCAACCTCAGTGTCGACCCCCCGGACGGAACAGGAAATGCACATCGCCGGAGGTGCGATTCTTGCGGCAGAGCAAAATACTTCTAACCAAGGCGATAATAATTCCAAGTCCACCTCCGTTCTCTCGTCTTCCTCCAGCCACCAGGGCGCTCTTGCGACTAGGAAACGGTCGTGGCGAATCACGATGCTATTATTTCTCTCCCTCTTGTATGCATTGCAAAAGTGTCTGGGTCTGGAAGAATGCAGCACTTGTCATGCTTGTCTGGCATGACGCTTGGATCTGTGATGCGTAAGCAGGAACGGGGCCTCCTGCCTGTCATGCAACAACGCAGTTTGCCATGCAGAAAACGAAGCACATGGCACGTGCAAAAACTTGTCATGCTTGGCTGCGTATTGTAGTGCGCCCACGATTCACAGATTTGCATCACAAGTTTCCAGACCCAGACATTTTTGCGTTTGATATCTTGCTTCACAACTTCCCGGAAGGATTAGCCGTCGCGATTTCCACTCTGGAAAACACGCAACTCGGGATCACCATAACTTTCGGGATTCTAGTCCACAACATCCCGTATCAAGTGTAAAAATGTCTGGGTCTGGAAGAGTGCGCGATTTGTCATGCTGTTTTTCCATGACCCATGAGGTCTGGAATGCCGGAGCTAGCATGACAGATTCTGCGAGACCTTTCTAATGCCTATCCTGCATGAGAAACTACCTCCCGACTTGGTCAAAATTGGGCGACTTTTGGTAATCATGCAACACAGATTTTTGCATGCTGCAGATTTAGCATGACAAGTTCCAATCTTCCAGACCCAGACACTTTTACATTTGATATCCCGGAGGGGATTGCGATCGCGGTCCCCTGCCTGGCAGCGAAGCCGAACCAACCGAAACTCGCCTTCTGGCTCGCGAGTCTTTCCGGCATCGCCGAGCCGATCGGGGCAGCGCTTGGGCTGCTCTTCGTATCAAATGCAAAAATGTCTGGGTCTGGAAGGAGGCCAGATTTGTCATGCAGCTTTTCCATGACCCATGAGGTCTGGAATGCGGGATCTAGCATGACAAACTACGTGAGGTCTTTGCCATGCCTATGCTGCATGAGAAATCCCCTCCCAACTTGGCCGAAAGTGGGCAGCTTTTGCCACTCATGCAACACAGATTTCTGCATGATGACGATTCAGATTTAGCATGACAGGTTGCAATCTTCCAGACCCAGACATATTTGCAATCCATACTTCGTGTCCGTGAGCAACGGGAATTCCAAAGACAACACAACCCTGCCGGTGAAACCGTGTTTAGCTTTCGTGTATCACAAGAAAAACATAAAAGTGTTAACGTTAAACGATTTTCAGATTTTTGCAGTCATGCATCACAAATGTAGCCGAACATGCATGCTAATGCTATGCATTACAAATTTTGGCACGTCTTGCGATGCATTGCTGCATCACAAATTCCGTTTAAGATTAACACTTTTTCCTGTGATATCGTCGCGGGGGTCATGATGATGGTGGTGGTTTACGATTTAGTGCCGGAGTCTCTCCGTTGGGACCCGGTGAATAGCGGAAGTGCGACCAGCACGCCGACAGGGATGAACAATAATGCTTTCGCTCACCAAACGTCGAGGATGACTACAAAAGTTTCCTCGACTTGGAAAGACTTGGTGAATTGGAACAAGTATTTTTGGGTGAAAATCGGCTTCGCGGCGGGAATGATGGTCATGGTCTTCACGGAAATGCTACTGGATTCTGTAATGTAGTTATGGCTTCATCACTAGCATGAGAAGATCTCGATGTGATCGAGATTGAAGGAGGGTCTAGTTGTACCTAGAAGTTTGTCATCACGCCGATTAACTACACCGTGTGTAAGCAAGACCACCACGACCAACAACATCCATGTGTGTGGTTGCTGTAACTTTCCGGCAGTGAGGATAGAGGCGATCACGAATCGAGACCTCGAAAAATCACTGTACTCGTCTCAGTACTATCCCATATTCCGCAGTAGGGTCGTTGCTCCCTTCGTCCTTCTTTACGCTTCGCACTTAGTCCGTGCGATAGATGATGAAATGGTATACGTAATATACTTGAGTGTTCAAAAATAATATTCAGCAGCTGCATGATCCCATTGATCTACTATAATCCTTATGTCACAGAGACGAGATCTGACAAGCCACACAGGTTCATCTTTTCGGAAAAATTGATGTTGTTCTATTGGTAGAAGGCGAGATCATGATCATCTGTTGTTTTTCAATACGAGAAAGAAATTTTTTTCTACGTGATGATGATTCTGGTGAAACGGACAGCGGAACAGACGCGAGGTATCTTCATTGGGGGATTTTCCATTGTTCTTGAGCTTACCGTCGCGCTTGGCCGATTTCGGCTCCTGAAGGGGGTCAATCCGGGACCTCCTTTTTGGCCTCCCCCGAGAGCGGGAACCACGACGGTATGCTGGATCTCGATAGAGGTCCTTTTTGGGGGGTTTCTGCGATTCAAAAGGGCCTTATTTGAATCGGCAAATTGCAAAGCCGTGGAATTTGCACTTTCCGCATTACATTCTATTCAAAAAGTGCCGCGATCTGCTCTTTTTGTGCAGGTTTTTGGCGGATACGCGGCGGCACGCGGCTGATGCACGGCGCCAAGGCTGAAGAAATACAGGCGGAGCCCCGCGCTGTTGCCCAATAAGCTTTGGCGGCCAGAAGAAAAGGACCACGAACAAAAAGGCCGCCAGCCAGAGACGAGGGTCTTCCACTGGTGGGGGGACCGGCAAACGCTGCCCCACCGATCACAGGCACCTACAGGAAAGGCGCAGAAGCTGCCGTGGGGTGGGCCCAAGTGGAGATATAGCACATCGTAACGCCCGGCCAAGGCGGCATGCTCAGCAGCACACTTGGAAAATTGCCAAAAGTCCGCACCGCTAGCACCGGGCCCCTGGGTAGCCTGGCGGCGCAAGCGTCATGTGTTTTTATTCGGTGGCGCTGCGCCATGTTTGGCAATGCGGCCGCAGCGTGTCTTTTTCCCTCTCCCGGTGGCAACGCCTGTAGCCCAAACTGAAATCGGCCACGCCACCATCCTCCACAAGAGGTCTGCCAGACTTTTCGTGGCCCGCAACCAAGAGAAAAAGCAAAGCGGATGACGAGAGTGGCGCCGCATTGTGTCGGGGTTGGGGCCCCCACTACGCAACGGCGGGCGCGTTTTTCGTCGCTAGGCTTTCGGCTCCTTTTTCTTTGTATGTATGCGAGAAAAACCGCGCAGGAGACAGCGCCACCTAGGCGGTGGCAGAATAATGGACCGCGCGTTGGCGCCACTCTGACTAGCTCCGGTTGGGGACGGCCCTGCTTTTTTAGGTGCATAGCCCGTCGCCTCTCTGCCGCCGCTCACGTGAAGCCGCTATTTCCGACAGCGGTTGCGGCCACGTTTTGGGGCCAAGTAGTGGAGGGCGTGGGCCTGGGAGGCATCTGTTGGATCGCCTACTCTGTTGGCCCTTGCTTCTGCAAATGCTTCGGGTTCATGAATAGGGATGGACGAAGTACATAAAGCGCAATGTTGCAAATCCGAATAGATATGCTGTTTTGCGGCGCTAAGGCGAGCGGCTCGCCCGATGCCAATGCCGTTCGGGCCGCCTTCTAGCTGATCGTAGCGTTCTGGGCGTGGTCCGCAGGTTGTTATGGGTGTGGTGCGCGTGCCTGCACTTTATCCCTTCGGGGGCCGACTTCGTGTGGGCGCGCAGTCGGTTGAATGTTGGCCGCCATGCGCTCAGGCGCGCGCGCGCCTGAGCAGATTGGGGGGATAACCAGCCCCGCGGCGGCCAAGCAGCCGCGGGGGCCTTGGGTTCTTCGGAATACCGGAGACGGCGCGCCTCTGTTAAAGGTGGCCCATTTCAGTGGCCGGCATTTAGTGGCGCCAGCTGGGGCGCCGCCAGGACAGGCACACGCGCAGCAGCTGTGAGGCGGGCCAGGACCAGGGCCAAGAAATAGCCAGTGGCGCCAGTTGTGGCCGGACGGGGGGTTGGGGCGTATGCGTCCAGACAGCTGGCCGCGCGCCCAGACAGCTGGCGCACTGCTTGACTCGGCGCGGCCATGCAGCCCCTAAGTGAAGCTTTGGCCGGGAATCGTGTTGGCAGGGTTCCGGGCTGCACGGCACGGCTTTGCCGATGCCTTCGGTTCGGGCGGTGTTCGCTGGGAAATAGAATTCGGACCATTGCCGAATTCTATTCGGCCGGTTGGCCATTTTCCCGCACGTGCGCGCTTTCTGGCCAACCGGCCAAATAGAATCCGGCACGGGGCCCAATTCTATCGGCTGCGGAGACCGTCCAGGGTGGGCTTTGGGTCCGGTTCACGCTGGGGGTTGCTTGTGTGCGTCGTGTTTGGCAGGCGCACCCCCTCCCCCCCTCCGGTGGCCCAGCGCTGACCTTTTTCATTGTTGTTTGTGCCGCCCGTCGCAAAGCCCCGCGCCTTCCCAAGCTCGCACAGGGACCAGCAACAACGCAGCGGCCCCCTTGGGTATTGCAGTCCCTGTTGTTCTGCCGCCCCGTTTCTTTGTGGATGCAAAACCCGACGGCGCGCGCCGGCGGGCAATTTGCATCGGCAGCACCATGCCATTGGGGGCGTTGCGTTGCCCTCCACAAGTTGAAACGCTCCCTGTTGGGCTATTTCCGTGGGCCCGTGATGGTAATTGTCGGAGCCGTGGCAAGGGGCTGTGAATATCTTGGCCCCTGTGTTGGCAATTTGTCGGGCAACCTGCGGCCCGGGAGGTGCATACATCAACATCAGCCGCGCGACCGCGCACCAGTTCAATTTGGTGAAGTGTAGCATCTCCCGAACAATTGCAGGGGCGTGGCATTCCGCGCTCCAACAATTGCTCCGCGCATTGGGAGACTCCGGATCTTCATAGGCCCAAACAGTTCGGTGGGATGGCCAAAGCAGCCATATCTATCGGAAGTTGCAACATTGCGTTTTTGCATTTTGTCCAACCATATTCATGAATGCAGGCGCTCGCCTTGCCCTTTCTTATTTTTATTGCGTTCACATATGCCAAAGTAACGAGCTCAACCTCAAGTCGAGATCGGCCTAGCTGTTTCGTTTGATACTCTTCTGGGCGACGTTTCGACGAGGGCAAAAAAACATGCAAAATGCAGCACAGCAGCAGCGCTGTTTTTTTCAAGACTCAGGAAATGCCTGGAATGTGAAAAAAAATTTTTGAATCGCTTGACTTTGAATCGCTCAGACGATCTCATAGATGATGACTCTGGTGAAAGAAACGGACAGCGGAACAGACGCGAGGTCTCTTTTATTGAGATCATTGCGCTTTCTTTTTTCAGATCAACAACGACACAAATCGACAACACACAATGACCACGCGTTGTATATATATTTATAAGTATATTACGACGCTCCTTTACGCGCGTCAAAAAATTTCATATTTTATTTTTAACAAAAAAAAAATACGGCATTTTTGAAGTAGTTCTAGAGCGCGAGGTTCTTCCTCAGATGTTCACAGATCTGTAAAAGAGAGACTTGCACTGCATAGAGAGATGGGAGAGATAGCTTGCAGCACCGATTCCGAGCTCTCTTGATTTCCAGCGAACGAAATAAGGCTGGAGCCGCAGATCATGATCGATCTGCATCCTGTCGGCAAACGGGATGTAGGTTTAGGCCGGCGCTTAAGGCGATAGGTGAAGACGTTCACCACCAGCAGACCGCAAGAATCTAAACATGAAAGAATTCGCTCTCAATTCGCTCTCTCACTCTTCACTGCAAATCTGTAATGCTATTTTACCTCCAGGCAAAGAACTGCAACGTCCTGCTTCTCGATCATTTTTCTCCTCCTTCGCTCCAATGTGCACATGCTTTTAGCATGGTATGGACATGATTTCGAAAAATGATATCTATTTGTCTTTGCCTCCTTCCTTCCTCTTCATTGTTTTTGCGTAGCAAGCGAAGTTCCATTCCACAGGCAGAAAATCAAGTGCAAGGAAAACGCGAAAGTTTAAATTGCTACTAACGAAGTAGTATTTGCCATTTAGTTTTTTGTTTTTGTTTACTTCAAATGCATAAAAGATGTATCTCTATTATCACTTTTTTCCTTCGATAATGTTGAAGCAGTATTTACTACGCACCCAGCTCGCAGTTTTGCGGCGCTGCGTTTGTTTTCTGCTGCTCGGCGGTTGCATCAGCCGATTTTGGTTCTTTCAAATAAATTATGGCGAACCGAACCAGCAGCCACAAATAAGCTTGCAGATGGTAAACGCAGTCAAGCTCACCTCTTCTAGTCGCAGTGCGGATCCGCAGCCGGTAGTCCCCGAACGACCGCAGCAGTTGCAGCACCCGACTTTTGAAGAGGACCCCGATCAGGTATTAAGAAGCTGGAACGTCTGGAATCGCGAGATCGTCCCCGCGGTAGCGTACCTCAGAAACCACCAGGACCAGCACCTTCCAGCCACCTCGTCCCGGTCAGCGCGTCGGGAAGATGACAACGGCCCGGCGGTCCCGCGTCTACTTTTCTCCTACGCTGCGTGTCCACTGGCGCCCCATCCGCGCGACGTGCCGTTTCCGGAAAAACTGCTTTCTTGCTACCCGTATAATTCGCCTTCCGCACACGAACTGCGTCTGACGAGACTCGGCCTATTATTTCCGCAGCAGCCACAGCAGGAGCCCTACGAGTGGTCGGCATCGGGTGACAAATCATCCAGTTCTACTACGTGGTCTACCGACGGCGACCGGCAGGCTCACTGGTTCTCCGGGACCGGCCACGATCTTCTGGATGTAGTCCCGTCCTCCACCTCCAGGAGGACGGTGAGAAATTATACAGGCATAACTGATCGCGGTGGTCCAGCTGTCTTGAGTGACGAGAAAAACGCCGTTCTTGACCTCGTGGCGGGCAGCGGCAGTACTGATCCGGTTGACCGGCGGGGCACAAGAACCACCGGCGGCGCCGACGTCGAGCAACCAACAGTAGCAGCAGCAGATGACAACCACCCCAAACCGCCACCACATCCAGCAAAAGCAAAACCTGAACCCCGCCGCCCGCTTCCCCTTTCCGCAGCCGAAAAGGCGAAGACCCGAGAAGCTCTGCTCAGCACTCGCGCTGAGATGGACGCCCGGGTGCGGTCTCCCCTGATGTTGAAAAGCGCCCACAAGGTCAGCGCTGTGGACGCGTTGATGCTTGAGCTGCCTGCGACAGTTGCAGCAGGACGGTGGAAGGAACCTTCAAAAGCCTCAATTTACGCACGGGGTCACAATTCTACTTTTTGACACGGGTTCCAGCGCAAAAACCAAAGGGCAAAGCGGGGCCGCAAGTAGGTCGTGGCAGTTGCTTCGGTTTGAAAAATCACAAACAGATGAAAAACTAGGGCGCGAAACAAGGCGAAGGAGCGGCATCACATGGAGAAGCAAAATGCTGGATAAGCCCGCTCGTGCTGAGGGAACAGAAAAGCACTTTTCCGGAGGTATCTAGGGGGCCAAAAATTCCTGCATGCGTGTCCTCCACGCGGGCGGCCCCTGGGTGCGTCGCTATGGTTGTCAATCCGCGTGAGGGGTGAAAAGGGATTGGGCGTAGCAACTCACGCCGTTGTACCTTGAGCCATCCAAAGTGCCGACATCGCAAGCTTTGACACATTGATCTTGTAGTCCACAAGTCTCAACTAAGTGTGTGCAGATCTGGCGCGACAGGTTTTCGGCATTCAGGGCATTGGTGTCAACCTGAAGCGTCGCTTATTGAGACTTGTGGATTATGAAATCGATGTCAAGCGTGTTGCAGTGGGAGGTTTTTGGCTCAAGGTATTGCGTCGTGACTTGTTATGCCCAGTCCCATTTCACCCTTCGCGCGGCATGGCGGGTGCGCAATTCGCTTTGTAGCCCTTGAGTTTTCCGTCGGGAGTAGGGCTCTGCAGCATGGCCTGGTGCGCGATATTAATCCGCGCCCCATACCATGGTGGCACATTTTATTCTGGGTGGTACGCTGCAGATGTCTTCTGTAGTTGATGTCTTTGGAGGCTCGCCGACTCTGATCGCCGGAGCCCACCCGGCGATGTGAAGCGCCATGATTTGGATCCGACGAACAAGGGTGGGCTAGGTTGTCTGTTTTCCAAAAAGTTCTAAACCCCGCTAGTGGGTGGGCACTAGCGGGGGTTAGGGTCAGACGAATGTAACCCACCTTTGTTCATCCTAGAACAAATGAACAAGGGTGGGCTGCATTCGTCCGAAGCTAACCCCCGCTAGTGCCCACCCACTAGCGGGGGTTAGACCTTTTTGAAAAAAAGCAGATGTAACCCACCCTTGTTCGGCCATGTCAAAGAGTGCAGAAAGTAAGCAGCCTGCTAAAGTCAGCAGCCGGGATGCCAGCCCCGGTGGATATGATCGGGAACGACCATGCTTCTGAAGTGCAAATATTTTTGTAGAACTTTATTCGCCATGGAGTGGTCGTCTCTTAGCAGGTATCTTTCTCTTTGCTTTTGATAAGATGTCGGCCCAGCAGGACTTCTAGCAACAAAGAGAGGGAGGTGGCTGGTTGGGTGGTCGGTTGTGCGGGTGTTGCCCTTCGCTCCCAATGGATTAGTGCAAACAAAAGGACAGAGCAGCTGTTGCAGAAGCTGACCCAGAGCCAGCAGTCGACCCCGGCAATTCAAGTCGCCGCGGGCTCTGCAGCGCTGGGAGGCCCTGTGGCGGATGAGTAGAGGCATGCCTGAAGAGGTGGATTGCCGGGCACCTATTCTGTGTCAGATTCATTCAGCGCGCCCCGAGTATCTTTTGCGATGCCTTTCCGCGCGCCATTTTGAGGCAGGCAGGCGCTGCGCGCGTGAGCGTGCTTTGTAGACGGCCCGGCGTTGTGCTATGCATGTGCCTACTAGACACTATCATAGAAGAGGGCACTTTGGCACTGACTTAAAGTGCCCTCTTCTATGAATGCGGCGGCTCGGGGGGCACTAAAACAGGCGCAGCCGCAAAAACAGGCACAGAAACAGCTACAGACACAAGCGGAAAATCAGGCACGCAAAAAGGTGCAAAAACAGGCACAAACGCAAGCGATGCGGGCTAGGCGCACCAAGCCCAAAAAGAAGACAATTGTGACCCCGTGCTTAAATTCCGATAGTCGAAGTAAATTGGACCGACGGCGCGCGAAGAAATTGACAGAGCAGTCCTCCGCGTGGTCTGTTTAGAACGCATAATTTGTCAACTTTGTCTAGTAGTTTCTTACCTCGTTTGATGGGCAACAGAAGTTTCTGCTGCAGCCTGCAGCGTCTGCTGTGCTGCGTACCGAAGGAACAATAGTGCCGTCGGTCGTTGAGACCTTATGGCACTAGGCAAAACTCGAGAAAATTTTTCTGTAGGCAGAACCCGACAAAAAAATTTTTTGAAAATCGTGCTTTTCGACGGCTTTTCTAAGCTAGATGCTCACTCATCTGCAACTCGCCAAGGCCAGCCCTTCGGGAAATAATGAAAAGAAAAAACAAGAATTACTCCTTCGCATAGTGTAGTTGTCATCTCGATGAATTAATCACACGATAACCAAGCGCAGCTACATTTTTCTACTTCTTGTATGCACGGCTCTGGCCGCACAGGCGTTGAAGACATTTCCGGCAAGCTTTTGTGGACTACAACTTCTGACGATGCTGATAAAGGACAAACTGCGAAACGTTTCTTGGAAGAACCCTGTGTCTACTGCGACAACAGGTTTTGAAGTTCTGGAAGAATTGTAAAATCCATTGAATTGCAAAATCCAAGAATGCGTGTGTAAATTGCAAAATCCAAGAATTGTAAAATCCAAGACCTTCTCCATCGCAGACTGCGTGCGTAAATACGAAAGAGTTTTTGTTCCTAGGTTGCTTCGCACTTGGTCCGTGCGATAGATGGTGAGATGGTAGCGTAAAAGCTACTCCAGTGATGTTCAGCCGCCACTGTGTGCGCATCTCATTGATCTAGTCGAAGACCAAAGAGGGATGCAGATCTAAGCCATAGAAAGAAATAAAGAAAGTGCATCGACGTTCCGGTGGCATTGATGATCTGGAATTGTCCTACTGTAGTTTTTTGACGAGATCTGTTATTTTTTGGCACGCGAAAACGCTTGTTTTTCTATTTTTCACGCGATGGTGTTCATACCAGTCTTGTTTTGGTGAACAAAAGGAAAGAGAAACAGAGGCAAGGTCATCTCTTGTTTGAGATTGTGCTTTCTTTTTGCAAGAAGATCAACAAAACGACAATCACATTCAGTATATGGACCTTGCAATTCAAATTCTAAATCTAATTTCGTCATCAAGCTTTTTTTTATTTCTCTACTCCGACCTGTATCTTCTTCTAAATTCTATCTTTATTGCCGCTTTTCATAAGCGAGTCCAAGTTCTATTCCTTTTACCCCCTTATTGTATTGTCGTACTTACTTCACTTACTTTATATCTGCGAAGTACGAAAGCCCCAGAGCGGCCAGAAAGTAGAAAATGAAGCAGTACCTACTACGCACCGCGCTTGCGTTGCGGAGCTGGATCTTCCTCCTCGGCAGTTGCAGCCGATTTTGGTTTCAAAATGACGGACCGAACGAGCAGCCACAAGTAAACGTGCACATGGTAAACGCAGTTACGCTTATCTCCAGTCGCAGCACGGGTGCAGCAGCAAATTATGCCAACTTTCTGGAGCGACCGCAGAATGATGCGGCAATTCAGTTTCCACAGCCGGTTCGCTGCAGCGGACTCGCATCGCCATCAAGTGGGGTCGCCGGTCTGGCAATGCCAATACCCGGACCGGAATTGCAGCACCCGATTTTTGAAGAGGACCCCTCTGTAACAAGAAGCACGAACGTCTGGAATCGCGAGATCGTCCCCGCGGTAGCGCACCTCAGAAACCACCTGCACCTTCCGACGACCTCGTCCCGGTCAGCCCGTCGGGAAGATGACAACGACCCAGCGCTCCCACGTCTACTGCAACTGCCCTCCTACACTGCGTGTCCGCTGGCGCCCCACCCGCGCGACGTGCCGTTTCCTGAAAAACTACTTTCGTGCTATTCGTATTCGCAGTTTGATGTTCCCCCGCGGCCACACAACTGCGATTTCACCGAGAGGAATTCTTCCCAACTGCATCTGTCGAGACTGTATCAAAAATTTACCGACAAATACCAGCCACAGGACTGCCGTGTGCTGCACGCTCCCGGGGGGCTACCGCTCTCCATCTTGCGGCCCCGAACTGGCAGTGAGGACGCAACGGAGGGGGGGACGACATCGACACATGAGGAGCACTACGATTCGGGTTGTTACAACCTGCAGCAGCCCGAAGCCGAGCCACTTCCGAGTGCCGTTTCGTGGGGTGGGGCGACGGAGTCGGGGAGTACCACCGAAGGACCTGGTAGCAAAATCCCCATCCTGACTCTGGTGTGGGTACATTTTTACTCAGGATACTTGAAGATGTTGTTCCGACAGATGATCCACCCACGGTGTGTCGCTGCTGCATGGCGGTGATATCGAATGCAAAAGCATCGCACTCGTATAAATGCATTACAAATTGTTCACTTAGCAATACAAATTGAATCTGTAATGCGGATTTGCCTTGATAAAAAGATTTGTAATGCAGAAACGCAATCAGTACGAGTACGATACTTTTGCACAGGATAGGTGAGCAAAGATGTTGATGATGGTGTCCCGGTCTTATGCATTGCAAATATGTCTGGGTCTGGAAACTTGTAATGCTAAAAGTGAATGAGAGTTCCACTGCAATACGGAGCCAAGCAAGACAAATTTTTTGGGCTCCTATGTGTTGCGTGTTCCGCATGGCATAGCACACTGCGTTTTTGCATGACAGATGAGAGGACCGCTTCGTGCCCATGCATCACAGATTCTTGAGTCATGTCAGACACGCATGACAAATGTAGGAATCTTCCAGATCCAAACATATGTGCATTTGATAGCTCTGCTGGTCATGCGGGGTCGTGGTGGCCAACATCTTCCCGGACGTACTCTGCCCGAGCGGACTCTGTATCAAATGCAAATATGTCTGGGTCTGGAAGGAGTCGTGCTGTTTTTGCATGACACAGAGGCTCTGGCATGCAAGCCCTAGCATCACAGGTTTGGAAAAGATTCCGCAATTATTAATCCTAATCCGCATGACAAATCCCCCACTTTGGTGGCAGTAAATCTTTTGCTGCCTACGCATGAGAGATTTGTGTGTTTTGTGAAATGCGCATCACAAGTTCACACCCTTCCAGACATCCAGACATATTTGCAATGCATACTCTGCAAGGCGGACTGAAAGGTCGGGGTGGACCCGCGACTGGAGGTTTTCGAGCCAGGTAGTAGCCCGGTTATCGTGAGCAAAAACGTCCCCACACCAGAGTCAAGATGGGACATCTGCTAGACAAATCAACCAGCTGTAGTTGCTTCGCATGACAAGTTTTGCCTCGTACTGCAATCCTGTTTGAGGTAGGTCAGCAGCATCACAGATCTGCCGATTCCAGCATCACAAAATCCAAAACACGACTAGAAAATGCTTCTCATGGGGCTCCGCATGAGAAACTTTTTTGGCCCGCATGAGAAACTTCTCATGGGCTCCGCATGACCCACCCGCCCTGCGTGTCAAGCCATCTGCGGCCATGGTACAATGGGGGGGCAAAGTGTGTCGCATTTTGTTTAGCATGACAACTCTGGGGTGGGGACGTTTTTACTCAGAATACCGGTCTGGTAGGAGCGCACGGTGTAGTAATCCTGTTCATTCGGGCTGATGCTGGTCGAGCCTGCTACTGAGTGGCCGCTTGTCCCCGCCCGCAGGTTGGAGGGCGGCAGCGCTGGAGCGGCAGCGCGCTGAAACATGCTGGTCCACAGCCGCTTGGCGGTCACGGAGACGCAGCAGTTTACCGGCTCTTCCACAGAAACGCTGTGCTCTACTTGATGCCTGTCCCTCGCGGCTGCAACGGCAGCGCGTGCAGCCAGGTCCTGGAAAGATGAAGAAAAGTGGTCCTGCTCCTGTGGGGAGAAGCTTGTGCCGCTGTAGTCTTCGCCGAAGTCGGTTTGCGTAGAAATGCGACGAGTGATCCGACCACTCGGGACGTTTCGTGGGGTGGGGCGACGGGGTCGGGGAGTACCACCGAAGGACCTGGTAGTGATGCGGCAGCTGCATCTTGTTCGCCCACCAACAGGTACTCGATGGGCAGCCGTGGTTCTTGCGACGCTGCGTCCGCAGCATCTAGCAGTGCTGGTGGAGCAACGGGGTATATTGCAAATGCTCGCGCGCAGCACAAATCGAAATCCAGCTCTGCGTCTACAGACGGCAAGCCGCAGTTCCAATTTTTCTTCGGTACCAATCACGACCTGGATGTAGTAGTCCCGTCACCCAGAAAGAAAGGCATCACTCATCGTGGCAGCAGTGGTCCAGCTGGCATGGAGAAAAGCGACGAAGATGACAACGGGGGCAGCAGCAGCATTGAGATTGACCATGGTGACCGGGGTTGTAGTACCACCGGCGGCGCCGACGTCGAGGAACCAACAGTAGCAGCAGCAGATGACCACCCAAAACCGCCACAACCAAAAGCAAAACCGGAACCCCTTCTGCTTCCCCTTTCCGCAAGCGAAAAGGCGAAAACCCGAAAAGTTCTGCTCAACACCCTCGTCGAGAGGAAACTGCAGCCCACGGACGCCCGGGTCCAGTCGCTCCGGGACGAAATCCATTCTCGCCGCGGGGCAATTGGGGTTTTATCGTGGGGCTACCCGTTCATCAGCGGTCACAAGAGCGGCTTTTTGAATGCGGCGATGCTTGACCCCCCCGCGGCGGTGCGACGTGGGTGGGTGGAAAAGCTGGGGGAACGGGCGGAGGAAGTTAAGAAGACCGTGCCTGTTTAGAAGACATAGTTCGTTAATTTTTTCTACATGTTATCTCGTTTTGTGGGCAACAGAATTTTCTGTTACTAAAGAACAAAAAACCATGGGTCCGTGTCCAGTTGTTGAGACCTTCTGGTACAATTTGAATTTTTTTTTTGCCGTGTGGTCATTGTGTTTGCTACAAACATCAATGCGATTTTTGTTATAAGCGAGGCTGAGTACAGGAGCACACCAGCTGGAAAATTTACCTGCTTCGGCACCCAGCATAGAAATGCCCCCAGAACAAGAAGATGAAGACATCTGGTTGCCGCCACTACTTTCATGTGAGAAACGACCGAAAAATCTGGTCGAGGGCAAGTTTTGATTGGGAAGTTTTTTTTCATAGCGAGGCCAGCAGGGATACTTGATATTGGCCTCCTGATTTTTCATCGTAGAACTCTATTTGTTGTACTTACGGTACCACGATCTAGATTGCAGATGATACCGCAATAACAAAATGCACACAAAGAATACCAAGACCCCCGCGAACGTACAGCCCGCTTGTGTGAAAACGACAGAGTTTTTGTTTCTAGGTGTTTTCGATCGTGTTTCCCATTTCCGTCGTTATCTCGTCGGTATTCGAGAGAGGTCAGCACCGTCGTGCTCCTCGAAATTATTTTGGGCTGGAATTGAGTGACGAGTAAGTTGCTCGTGAAACCACGACCACTTTGCCTTTTTAGAGAGTAAGGAAGAAAAGTTCGACAAGACGACGAGAGAACCAAATACAAATCGTTATTCCGGCCGGGTGCAACGACAGCAGCTACTCGGATTTATATCATCGTATACTTGTCATAGTAGGACGAGAGGGCGAGGAGGAGCGCGAGCGCCATACAGACGCATCGTGTCAGAACAACAAAACTTTTTACTGAACCCTACGAACGAAGAAGGAGGCGTTCAATCGAAGATGTCGATCACGACCACCAAGCCGGCCCCGGTTCAGAAACCGGGAACAAAAAGCTGCACAGCTGCAATGAAGAAACCAACCACCTCCCACAAGTTCTCTTCCATGAAGACCCCCGCAACCCCGGTTGTTCCTCTATCCACCAAAAAACAACCATCCCCATCCAATTTGTCATGCAAAACATGTATGAAGTCCTGTGTATGAAGTCCTGTGTCCGCCCGCCCCCCGGGGAGGGGATCCTTGACCTGTGGCGCTGGGTGCGGGTGTCCACTACATGATGATGATGATGCATAAAATGGATGGTGATGATTCTTTTTTCCTGGATATCCTCCGATCAAAACCTCCAAACTTCACGAGGAGCTCTGGAGCAAGTGGACGCCGGCGGAGAAGAAAGTTCTCGAGAAACTCAACACCCCGGAAAAAATCCAGCTCTACCTGGACAACGAGATCAAGTACGGTGGGGAAGACGGCTGCCGGTCCATCCGGCACACCCTGAAAACGAAGGAGGCGCACTGTCTCGGTGGGTCCTTGCTGTCCTACTACCTGCTTACCCGGCACGGCTACGAAGCCTTCTGCATCGGTTTGGAAGCCGTGAACGACGACTGTCACGCGATTTGCGTCTACACGGTGACGAGCCCGATCTCCGGGAAGAAGTACTACGGAAGTCTGTCGAAGTCGTATCGACGGCAGAAGTAACGTACTAGTAATTTGATCAGCACGAGAAATGAACTTTGTAAAAATGCTGGTTAGCGTACACGGATAGATCTGTCGTGCATGACTGCCCTTACTACGAGTACGATTTATACTTTTGCCATGCATAAGTGGAACTTCACCCTGATCCGGTCCCGAGATGCAGTCTACTCCTCCCTCCGCGAACTGGTGATGAGTTACTGGGATTTCTACTTCAATACGGACGGAGAAAAAACGCTGGTGTGCTACACGAAACCGTTCATATGAACTGCAAAGGTATGGTACTCGTATGAATGCATTACAAATTTCCTTAGCATGAGAAATAACGTTTGTCGTGCGCATTTACCTTACGAAAAAAATTTGTAATGCATGACTGCCATTACTACGAGCGCGATACTTTTGCACAGGATAGCTCAAGGCGTTCACCGATTTCAAGGGGGTGAAGGGGAAGGAGGACAAGTTTTCCTGGATGTTCAACGAGTCCGGAAAGGATGCGAAATATGCATTGCAAATAAAGCGTCGTGGAGGTGTTGGTGTAACTGCAGAACAGCATGACAAAATTTTGAAAACGCAAAACTCAAAATCGTCACTTTGTCATGCTAGACCTGCCTACACCAAAGGTCCTTTGTATTGCACAGTCCTGCTCCATCAATCTGTAGTCAGATTACATTAACTAGCAATATGACACATAATGCTCCAATATGACATTTGACCAGGACGACATGAAAAACCTGCCAAAACGCGCATTATCATATTGTAATATTGTCATATTGTCATAATGCATATTGCTCGCGACAGCCCGGCGGCTGAAAATTGGTCCCACCCGACACGCTGCCGGCCAGGTGTTGCGATTCTAGGACCCTTTAGGCGGGTGCGTATGCATTTGCGGAAAATTTGGCGGGGCGATGAGCCGTACGCACTTCCTCCGCCCCTCTCGCCCTTGCCCAGGGGGCGTGGCGCTCGTGGCGTGGCCCCTCTCGCCCCTCTTGCAGCGTCGCATTTGTAGCGCGTCCTAGTGCACTGCAGCTTTTAGCACCAGCATCGCCCCGGCTCTGGGGCGTCATCGCTTATTGTACTCCGAAAGCACAACGCACGAAGCTGATCGCCACACCCACACCACAAATAAAGCATTATGACGCAATGGCTGCTGAATTTTGAGCAATTGGATTCGCGTGCGGAATAGAATTCGCATGAGAGCGGGCGACCCGTGGCAAAGTCATTCGGGTCGCAACGGCCCAGGTCGCGCACATGTTCCTCTGGTTCGGACAATTGTGCCCTTTTCGCCGCCGCTAAAACAAAACGGAGGGACAGGAAGCAGGCCTTGCAGCGCCAGTAGTGCGTGGCGGGCGCTGCCGGGCCCGCTTTCGGGGGCGGGGGTTCCGACTTTCAACACCTTCTGGTCATTTTGCTCAAAATGCCGCAGTCATATTGTCATTTTGTCATATTGCCATATTGCATATTGGTAAAAGTGTCGAAATTTTGCTAGTTAATGTAATGTGTGTAGTTCGTCTGCGACGTGTAGTTTGTCCTGCATAAGCAGTACTGTGAGCAGGTGTTTGACGAAATGGACACGGTTTCGCTCTTTCCGGCGGAGGACCAGGCGGCTAAGAAGAAGATGATGACGGCTTATGCAATACAAAAGTACACTCAGAAGGACAAACCGCATGACAAATTTACTTGAGTTTCAGCTACACAAATACGAGAGAAGAAGTTTGTCATGCAGGGACGCATCTACTGTTGGTGATGATGTTGTTGTACTTTTGAAATTGGATATCGCAATGAAGTCGCTGAAGTACGACACGCGGAAAGAGGGGAAGAAGCAGGAACACGTTTCGTGTTTTGGAAAATCCGTTTTTACCGCGCCGAAGATCTTGGTGGAGGGAGGGATATGAACTGCAAAACAAGTATCGTACTCGTATAAATGCATTACAAATTTCCTCAGCATGATGAGAAATAAAATTTGTAATGCAGATTTGCCTTGGAAACAAGATTTGTAATGCAAGACTTGCATTGGCATTTGTACGAGTACGATACTTTTGCACAGGATAAGGGACTCTGGACAGCAACCCGGATGGGCTGTACCAGTGCTAGTGCAGTTGAAGGTGAGGACGAAGGTAGGAGCGAGTGCCGGAAAAATGCTTTCAAACTACGATGTAAAATGTAGATGTACTAGTATTTGCGTGTCTTTCACTGTTGATACAGATACTTACAGATACTGCAAGAAAGGCGGGCTTTACCGGAATCGAATTGATTTTCTTCCGACGATCGAGAGTTCGACTGTAAGATCAATGCTTTATTGTACGACCGTTGTAATTCTGTTTGTGACTGGACTGAAAATGCAATCCCACGCTTATGTCGATGTTTGGAACGAAAAGAAAACAAGTGTGGGCCGCTCATGTTTACTTGCCGCAGCTAGTAAAAGCACACTTCTACTGTTTCATCTACTTTTCTCAAACCCAGTTTAGTCTCCTCAAACGGCCGCGAGCAAATGCTAGATTTCCACTCAAACCGCAAGCAATCGTGCCTGTTTTGTAAAGGTGGATGGTTAGGCTATGGCACAACAGCATATCAAATTTTCCCAGCACGGTTATTTTCGTTTTGACCACGACCTGGTTCCAAACCTACACCCAAATGAACCTTTTCTGATTTTCCTAAATGCTCCTTGTATCTGGATTCGGATTTCAACCTGGAAGTAGGCGACCTCCATGCGCATCTGTCTGCATGTTGCTGGTGTGCTAATGACCGTGTAGTAGAAGGTCCTACTTACAACTTCTCGCACGAACATGTTCATTGATAACGGGCCAAGGCTGACCGATGAATGTTGACGCGGTAACACCACAAAGATGTTGGCCAGAGATTCATGACTAAAGATCCTTGCCACAAGGCGAAGGCCACAGTGTCGCTGTTGTACGACCGAGCTCCATAAGCTGCTACTCGTAGCCAAGACGAAAAAGAAGGCCAAGGCTAACGCGAATGAGAATGAGAATGAACATGATCCCTGAAATGGAAATCTAACTGGTTTTTGTGAGAACAGGATCCTTTGTTGTTTTTTGGAGATCCAGCTTCTGCTGCCCTGGCACAGGTGAGATTTCTTCCACCCCCCGGCGCTGCTGGATATGCAGTTCCTAGCTTCGCGACAGAAGCAAAAGCATCCATCATGTTGAGGCGCAAGCACGGTGACAGAACCGCCCGCCTCTCAGAAAATTGCGCCCCTGCGGCTTGCGGCAGGGACCAACCACTTTTGATGGTGTCGTGTTGAAGCACCACACGGCGCCGAGCGAGCAGCAAAATTTGAATTTCGTGATGGCGAATACGTCAACGGCAGCCCCCGCGGGTCTCCTCCTGCGCTTGTTCATCTCTTCTCTCGCTTTACTGAAGGCGAGTTTGTTCCTGCTCGAGCTTCGTGCAATCGTGGCAACAGAAGTTGCCCCCGATGCCGAGAGCAACTACATGCAGCAAGGCGCCTCCAAGCCAGACAGTGACCGCTCCGCGCACGCGGATAACGAAGATGTTAACCCCAGACAACTCCACCTTCACCCAACTCTCCGGGCATCAGGAGCTGCATCGGATTCGTCATCATCTAGAAGGGCACGACAGCCAGAGCAGGCAGATCAGGAAATTTCCGCAGGCCGGGACGACGCTCGAGATCATGCAGCAGGTACTGTACCGTCTACGTCTTCTGGCGCAGCTGCTGGGGCTGCTGCTGCTGCTGCACCACAGTTATTGCCATCTTCCGACGAGAATCCAGAGGAGCAAGACTCGTCGGCTACTACTTCATCCGACGAAAACGACCACACACTTGTCCTCAACGCACCCGCAAATATTCCGCCCGCACTACCGCCACCACCAACAGTACCGTACATGCTCTTTCCCTCCAGCACCACAACAACTAACGCGACCAATAATTTCCGCAACAAGGAACAGAAACGCTGGAAAAATTTCCGCTTGCAAGTCGAAAACACTTTCGACACAATCCTATCCGATGCAAAAGTATCGTACTCGTACAGATGCAAGACTTGCATTACAAATCTTACTCCTAAGATAAATCAGCACTACAAATCTGATTTCTCATGCTGAGGAAATTTGTAATGCATTATTATACGAGTGCGATACTTTTGCAGTTCATAAATCCTAGAGAACTACAAATCAAAATTCCCCCAGGCGGGCCATGATTTAAAGAAAAAAATCCTCATTCAGCTGCACCGAAACAAGTACAAGATTCTGCAAACGGGAAGGTATGCATTGCAAAAGCATCGTACTAGTATCAATTGCAATACAAATTTCCTTAGCATGAGAAATGGAATTTGTCATGCGGATTTGCCCTAATAAAAAGATTTGTAATGCTGGTGCAAGACTTGCCTTTATACGAGTGCGATACTTTTGCAGAGGATAGGAGGCTGATGCTCGCGACGAGGCGGAAATACGAGGAGGAACAGGAGGCGGAAGTGCAGTTGTATATGCAAAAAATGATGCAAGCGTTGCAACAGGGCGCGAGTGAAGTACAGAGCGAGCTAGTGGCCGCGGGCGTGGACGAACATGATCAAGGTGGTCAAAATCATCACGAAGTTCAAGTGCAACTTCAACTTCCAGTATTGCAATTGAACCTCGGGGCGGGCAAAAGAGCAGGGAAAACGATGATAAACCCGGTAGAACTAGAGGCCGCGTATTCTGCCGGTTTCGCAAATGCTCTCGTTCCCCCGAGCGGCGGCATAATTGCTGCTAGAGATGAAGTAGACCAAGCTTCTACTGGAGATCCACAATCAGAACAAGTTGATCCACAGCAGCTACAAAAGCTGATGCTGGATCTGTTGCTCAATACACAAGTCCAGGCGGCGATGGCGAAGGCGTTGTCTGGTTCTGCCGGCGGTCTGCAAGCAGGGGCTGTTGTTCCAGCTGCATCGTCTTCAAACGGAGATACTAGCGAAGGTGTCGTGCCAGAAGTGCCTGTCCTGCTACCGCAGCCGCAAATCCAGTTTCAGATGCTGCGACCAGGACATCAGGCCGCTGCGTCTGCACCTTTGCCGAACCAGCTCCAGTTGGAACAAGCGCAAAATGCCGGACTAGAGCTTTTTCACAATAACGCGCCTGGTATTGCGTTTCTGGTCAACACGGATGCGGAGGGGAAGCCGCAACTGGAGAAACTTAGCGACAGTGATGCTGCGCTCGCACTTGCCGATGTGGCCGTGGGGGCCGCGAGTGAGGGGACCGTGCTGAACCTTCTTCCACCTGGTGGTGACATAGCTGGGGCTGAGGCCGCATCTTCAGAGGAAGGACCTGCTGAGCCTACCCAATCTTCTGAAACAAAAACGACCGAAGATGGTCTTGAAAGCAGAGTCGACGACACAGCTTTCTTCACCCGGCCTTCCTCTCTAGATTCAGTGGCAGAGCCGTCAAAGGCACAGGCTGCTTCTTCCGGAGACGAAAGAACTCCGACCGCGAGCCAGGAGGCCGCACAACTGCAAAGAAATGATGTTGGAGTTGTCCCTGCGGCCAAAAACATCAAGAAACGCAAAAAAAGGCCGACCAAAGCTAGAGCCGACGCCGACAACACTTCCCCCGCAACACCGAAATACCAAGGCAAAACGGAGCTGGACCTGGATGAGAAAATCAAACTTTTTCTGGAGCACGAAAAGATGAAGGATGATTTGAAAAAATCTGTCATGGCAAAGGTGAAAGCAACGATGCAGAAAAGGGTAGAAAAACTGTCGCTCATGGACAGTGCGGAAGATTTGCAATTGCTTCTTGATGTTGATACTACTTCGGGGAACCAGCATGTTGACAAATTTGCGGAGCAGCAGCACAAATTTTTTCTGGAGCAGCAACGGGAGGAGGCAAAGAGAATGGTGCAGCAAAAGGCAGAAATGGAGAACAAGAAGCAGCATACGCAAGAGAAAGTTCTTTTACCACCACCTCCATGGACCATGTGCGCGTCCAACTCCATAGCTAATTTGCGATGCAGCGTAAGACGTGTCGAGAGAAAGAGATCTGTCATGCGTTTTTTTAATTTTCAAGGAGTCGGGGTGGGGTAGATTTCCTGTCAATAACGCACGAAGAGGTAGAACTGGATGCGATGGATGATGACTCAAATGCTGAGGAGGAGAAGGACCAGAAGGATCAGCTTCAACAGGATGAACTACCTCCTGGACGATCCGCGGACGTCATGAAAAAAGAAAGTCAAAGTCTCACCATCGACGCCGTAAAAAGCTTAGTCACCGAAAACGACTGGGCTCCGGACATCGAGCTGCAGCTCAACCCCATCCCGATCCAGCTACTCGGGCAAATTGCCAATCAGGTCAGCGTACAGGCACAGATGAAGGCACAGAAGCAAATGGAACGGGAGAAAGCCGCTGCCGCTGCCGCGCAAAATGAAGACCAAGGTCAAGCTCCTGGAAAGGACGGCGCAGAACAGGCCCAGACTGAAGGTTACCCGGCGACAGATGGAGCGCAGGCCGTGCAGCCGGAGCCGAAGCAAGGGGAAGGGCGAGATGTGGACGACAGTGGTGCCCCTGCGCCGCGACCTGCTGCTGCAGCAAGCGCAACTGATGTAGAAACTGGAACTTCTCAGACCGAGATGGGAGGCGAACAGCCGCAACGAGACAACACAGAGGGTGTCGCAAGAGAGCCAGACGATGCCCCTCCGGAGTCGAACAAGTGTACCGGTGTTGCAGCTGGTCCAGAACCTGCTTCAGTGCAGGACACAGCTCCTTCAACGGAAGATACCGCCACGACAACCTCCTCGATTTCCAAATCCAAACACCTCTCCCGTGCCATCCGCTTTTTCGTGCATTCGTTTCCCATGCTGGAAAAACCGATGACCGTGTGGCATCACCGTGCGTCGGAGCGGAAGAACGGCGTGTTTCTATGCGTGGCAAATTATAAAGCATCGTACTAGCAGAGATTTATATAAGCAATGCGACTCGCATTGAGTCGCAAACCGGTCGCGGCTTGTCGCATTGCTCGCATTGCCCGCATTGCTCGCAAATCGCGAGGGTCTGCCAGCAGTCAGGCGCGCGGCAATGAAATCCCCGCCATGCCGTCGCGATTCGCGAGCTACACGGCAGCGCACTGGCCTGCAAGTACAAAACTGGTTATCCTGCCCTGGGGCTTCTGTAGTGGCGGCTTCGCTCTCTTACCCAGGAGCGCAGTGTTTAGGTTTTAGATTTTTCTCGGGGAACAAAACACAAACCATGATGGAAGGCTGCCGTCGCGGGGCCCGCGCGAGGTCTAGCGAAGCAGGTGCAGAAACGACGACGGTGTGGGTGTGTGTTCGATGTTTCGGCGCACTTGCGGCGCATCTTGTTGGATGACCTGTTTTCACGTTCACCTGCCGGCACCCACCCCGACCGAGATACTAGGTAGCTTCGTACGTTAGATAGGAGTAGGACTATGGCGCCCAACTAGGATCCGAGCGTGGGCACTCGCAGACGAACTTGCGAGAACGACTCGCAACACTTGCGACAGATCCGCGTGTTCGCAACTCGCAAGACCTCGGATCGCTGTCGCATTGCTCGCAAATCGCGGCCGGAAATTCCTTATATAATTGGCTGTACTAGTATGAATTGCATTACAAATTTGCTCAGCATGAGAAAGGGAATTCGTAATGCTGATCGACCTTAGGAAAAAACGATTAAGATTTGTATATGCAAAACTCACATTCATACGACAGGAGTACGATACCTTTGCAATGCATAATTTCAGTTTTTCAACAAAAAACACGACACGGACGCGAATTTGCGAAACACCTTCCACCCCTACGACCAAGTGAAGTTTGGGGGCCCGCACCAGCCTAATCTGCACGAGGAGGTAGAGTTGAGCAAGTTTTTGGACACGCTGTTGCAGGTCAGGGATCCAGCAGTCGTGCCGTCACAAGGAGCAGGATCAGGGCAATTGTCGTCCAAATTATCGGCAGACGGACACACAGCACCTTCAGAAGGTGGGGGTTCTTCAGGAACGGATTATACCAGAAGTTCCGAAACTGCGACTGAAAAAGACGCAGTTGTACTAGAGGCACCACAGCAATCAGAGTCGGAACTACCCGGCGCTCTGATCCACGCCCGGCCGACCATTTTCACGATTCTCGGCGTGGACAAAAACGACAATGGCTTGGCCACGGGCTTGACAAAGTGGGACGGTGACGGGAACAAAAGTGTTTGCCCCTGGGATCTGAACGTCAAAGTGAATCTGCACGATCATCAAAGTCTTGTTGGGCGCCATCAGCATGACAAAATCAACAAAAAGCATTACCGAATAGAAATCTCCCCCTGGCGCTGGCCCTATTGCTATCGGGTGGTTAAGATCTACGGGCCGCGGTATCGGTATCGGAATGAAACTACTGCGACGGCCTCGCAAGGCGAGAAGGTGGCGGGCATGCCACGAGATGTGGAATCTGTATCGCAGGACGACCAGCACAGGAGCGAACAAGAGCTGCAAGACGCGGCCCAAGAAGCGGTAGCTGCGGGTAATTTCCCAATACAAACTCCTCTCCGAGTCTCCCTGGAGCTTTTCTACGAGCCGCATGGCACTGCGGTTCTGGAGGATTTTAAAATGAAAAACGGATTTTTTGCTTCATTTCCGCCCGGTGATTTCGACCAATTTCATCCGTTTATCACAAACAACAACGTGAAACTGCAGGAGAAGTTTTTCAAAGCGGCGCAAACCATCGGAGGCGTTTTCGAGTACCTGTTTTCTTTGTCCTCATCGACGTCAACGTCGACAAGCAGCACCAGTTCCTCAACCACTACTACGCCTGACACGACCTCGGCAGCGGCAGATGTAGTTGCAACGACAACCACCATCACCGCGACCACGACAACTGCGACCAGGTCTAGTACCACCATCGCCAGTGGTACAACAGCAGGCTCTTCTCCTGCCTCAGAGATCGTTGGGAAAAGTGTGGAACTCCAAGACGAACAACATCCGTTGTTCGCTAGTGGTCGCAACAGTGTGGCCGCAAATGCTGTTGTGCCTGAAGATGCTCCTGTGCTCACCTCTCCCAACGGCTTAAGCGCAGAAATGAACTGGTATACCGCGCAGTTGCGGTTCGACCCGAATGCCCGGACCTTCGTGATTCTGGTGAAAGCTCCGTTTTTCAGCCACTACTTTATCAACAAAGAACTAACCCCCATGCCACGGTACGTGTTTCTGGAGAGCGGTGTTGCTGTTGGTGACACGGCTGTATCTAGCAATACAAATTTGCTATCCAATGCGACAGCCGCAACACAAATTACCAAAGCCCGCATCCATTGGTCCTATAACAGATTCAAAGGCCGGGGCTTCGCAAAGGTCTACGCCGGGAATCTAACCGACGTGCCGCTGAAGAGAGTCGGTAACGTGCGAAGATCTGGCGCTCCTCGTGGTGCTTTGGGATTTTCATCTTCGTCGTTATTTCTCACACCCAACACGGAACTCGCCCAATTTCACATCGATAAATTCCTCGGGCAAATTCTCGACGACGCCAGCGTGATTCTCCCCACTGAAATCGTCAACCAACAGAGGTTCAACAAGGAGCTGAACCGCAAGCATTTTATCAAAGAACTGGAAAAGAACGTCACGGATTTACCGCCGGAGACCGTGCGGGAGGAATTGGAACAGAAGTTGATGGATTTGAAAACCCAATCGAAGAAAATTCTAAACACCAGCTACAAATCGGTTAAAGGATTCCTGCATCGGATGTTTCAAGGCGGAGGTCCTGGGGCAGCTGGCGCGAGGATGATGAAGCATGACCCGGCGGCGGCAAAAGCGGCGAGAAATTTTCTGGCGTTCGGGGCCGCAGCTGAGGGAGTAGAGTCAACCGGATCTTCGTCCTTGAGCTCCTCTAGTACCAGCACGAGCTCAACAACTTGCAGCTCCACGACGTTCGAAAACGTGCACAAGTGCGAAGATGTTGAGCACCAGGAGGATGCAACTATAATGGATGACTCCTATCCTCGGAGCTCTTCTATGGGTGTGGTATTCGCAGAAGCGGTCAGTGTTGACGAGAATATTGGAACAAGCAGCGCAGCTGCACCAGCAAGACAAGTTCAGGAGGAAACTACAACAGCATCAGGCGCAATAGAAATCGACCAGTTGACCATACACGAAGAGCAGCTGCACCACACCGAGCTGAACTTGAGCGGAAAAAATAGCGCTCGTGGACAGACACCATCGCCGCCTTCCACGACGACCCCTCCAGTGCCTACCTCTCCAGCAGCGCACTCCGATGAAGAAAGCAGCTCATCCAGAAAGAGAGCCCTACAATCGGATTTTCGAATCCTGGAGGAAATGTTGTCGATTCTGAAAGAGGCGAAAACACTAGAAATAGACCCCCACATCCCTGGTTTCACCGATGAGACCAAGAAGGAGAATTTCGAAATTCTGGTCAAGTCGAAAATTGAAAATCTGTTGAAAGAGCTCATCGACCGGACTGCGGGCGGAGGAGGTTCTGGAAGTACAACAGCCGGCGATAGTCATCAAGGTGGCGCGTTGTCGCAAGTGGACCGGAAAAATATGGAGAGGAACTTGCACCAGTTTCAAAGCGAGTATTTGAACGTGATCAGGAGGAGGCAGGTGCAGGCGACAGGAGCGGCGGATGGAGAGATGACAACTCCACAGGTGCCTGGTGCTCCAATTGGTCTTGCAACTACTGAAGCTGGTCAACAAGCTGTGGACATCAACACGGTCTTCGACATCCAGCCACAGGAGGTAAGTATCCAGACGTCGTCATCCATTGCTAGTACTGGAGTAGGAGCTGCAGGTGGAGGAAATGCTGCTGCTTCTGCAACACAAGCTGCTTCATCTTCGCCATCTGTTCACCACCACCCAGAAGAGCAAGAAGATGGCTTCGAGTTTCAAATCGACTTCGCGCATCCGCACGCGGATACAGACGCCAAGCAAGCCCAAGCTGCTCAAGCCGCTGCTGCATCTGAGTCTGACGCACACCACCTGCTTGATGACCCGGAGAAGAAGCTTCTTCTCGACCAGGCTTCCGACCACGCTCACGCGGGGTACCAAATTTTTGAAGTGGTCACAGGTGGTGGTGGTGAGGGTGGGTCCGCCACTGCAGGAGGACCACCTGGCAGCCTCCCGACTGGGCCAATGCAACCTGGCGCAGTTGCTGCAGCACACCAGCATCAGCAACAGAAACAGCACGTGCAGCAACTGCGGCAACAGCCAGAAGACCCAGCGGTCTCTGCGGCCAGAGTAAATTCCTACACGGCGCAGGCGTCGCACATTCTGAGGGAGAACCCCTTGAAGATAAAAGCGTGGATCGAGGGTTTTCAGCACAAGATCTTTATTCCCTGAAAAATTTGTACACTCCCCATCCACTTTTTGCATGACAAAAACAGAACTTACTTCGTGTTTTGCATTACAGATTGGGGAGCGTTCATTTTCAGGTAATAGTCTTCCTCTTCTTCAACGAAGCGATCAGTGTGGAGGATTTGGAGGCGCTGGAAGATGATCATTTGAATAGCGATAGTGCTAGCGATCATGGGGATCACAACGACGGCAGCGCCTTCGACGATAAAGAATCAGAACCAGAAGACGTCGGTCCTCGCACTAGTGTTGACGACGAGCCAATATCTCCTGTCAACTACATCGACGTTGCCTCACCCAAAAATCTGCAGAAGATCGCCACCCGTCGGATCGACCAATACTACGACCAAATCGCGAGGGAAGTGAAACACCATTTCGTCATGACCTGGAACAGCTACAAGAAGCACGCTTGGGGCTTCGACGAGTGGTGCCCGACGACGATGAAAGGCAGCAACGATTCCTTTGGCGGGATCGGGATGCAGATATTGGATTCTCTCTCCGCATTATTAATTTTCGATATGGACGAGGAATTTATTTTCGCGAGGGATAATTTCGTCCAAAACCTCGATTTCAAAAAGGCCAGCACGCGGGTGGAAGTTTCGGTTTTCGAGTTGATGATCCGGGCGGTTGGTGGGTTACTGTCCGCTTATGCGATGATGTTGGAGAAGATTTTGCGGAAGGGGATCAAAGCCTTCGTACCAAAAAGCGACTATAGGGGGAAAAATTTGAAAGATCTCACCTTCGACGATATGACGCAGGTGTTTCAGAAACACAAGCAGAAGGTTGAAGATGAAGGTCGTCGTCGTGCAGCGGGGAATTATGAGAAAAAGCCTCCCGTCCTCGGGGCCGGCTCCGCCTCATCTACATCTTCATCAGATATCAAAGCGCTGGCCCAAATTTCCGCGGAACTTTCAAAAAACACGATTTTTTTGCAGAAAGCGGAAGAATTGATCCAGCAAATCATCGCGGTTTTCCGAACTCCATCAGGCTTCCCGTTTTCCAGAGTGAGAATCGGGTCCGGCTTACCGGTAATCGACTCCACCCAGCCCACGATTTTATCCGAAATTGGCACGATGCAGTTGGAACTACGGTATCTTTATCCTGTGCAAAAGTATCGTACTCGTAGTAATCGCAGTCATGCATTACAAATCTCCATCCCAAGTCAAAACAGCATGACAAACTCCCTTTGTCATGCTGAGCTAATTTGTATTGCAATTACTACTAGTACGATACTTTTGCAGTTCATAATCTTTCCTTCGCGACAAAAAACGCGACGTACGCGAGACTGGCCGACACGATCTCCCACCAACTCCATTTCGACGTTATTCTTGGTAAAAACGTCCCCACCCCAGAGTTGTCATGCAAATCTGCATGCCAACAAAGTTTGTCATGCGGAGCGCCATGAGAGGCATTTTCTAGTCGTGTGTTGGAATTTGTGATGCTATAACCAGCATGATATACTACATCTGTAATGCTGCTGAACTACCTAAACAGGATTGCACTATGAAGACAAACTTGTCATGCCAAACAACCAAAGCTGGCTGATGTGTCTAGCAGATTTCCCATGTGGACTCTATTGTGGACGTTTTTACAAATGATAGACGTGTTCCAAGATTTCGGGAAAAACTGGCAGGACTTCATCATCGGAAGCGCAGGAGGACCAGAGAAAACGGAGGAAAAAACCTACCCGCAGTTGCTACCGACACAGTATACCAACGCGCAGATCATTCCGATTAAAGTGTTGAAGAACAGTCGGTTTTCGTTAGGCGGCCAGGGAGACAGCTACTTCGAGTACTTGCTGAAACAGTATCTACAGGACGATGAGGATTTGTTTTCTTTGCATATGTGGGAGGTGATGCTGAAGGGGCTATTAGACAGGAAAAAGGGATTAGTTGTCGGTGTGAAGGGGAAAAACGAAAACGGGATGAAGTCTGTGGATGAATTACTGCAGGTTGCGACGGGGAGTGATGGACGAGGAGGCGGAGGTACCCTTCAAGCTGCTGCACACGTAGATAATTACCTCGACCCCGATGAGGCGTGGGACCGGTTTTTCCCTCCAAGCTCAGGCGGGAACCAGCCTGGAGGTGGCGGGAGAGCGTTTCAAAGCGAAGATGAGGAGCTAGACGCGATGGATGAAGAGGATGATTTGGGAGAAGACGGAGAATTCAACGGGAACGCAGGCACGGAGCAGGTGATAGAGATTTTAGACGTGAATGACCAACAAGAGGAAGATGTGGCTGCCTCAGCCACAACCGGCGACGCGGAAGATGAAAACCAGGCTGCTGACGCGGCTATCAAAGCAGCTGGCACGACGGCGCCAGCTGCAGGAGAAGAAGCCGGCCGTGGTTCCTCGTCGGCAGTACAGATTGAGATTGCGCCTCCTTCTGCAACCAGCGCAGCAGATCACTACCTCGACAAATCCTACTACATTATCGAGCGCGACTTGAAGGGATTGCAGCTGAACCTCATGGCACATTTGACATGTTTCTTCCCCGGAATGCTGGCTTTGCACCTGCATTTGATGACGTCTAGTACTTCACCAGGGGACATCTACATGAACGGTCCGGCTGTTGGGTTGCCTGCATCCGGGTCAACATCGGAAGGGCAAGAACACGGGGCGACCGTGATAGAAACTGCTTCCGAAAGAACCGCTGCTGCAGCCTCAGCATCACCGATTGATGGCAGCACAAAGAACTCAACTCAACTTCCACCAACGGCAGAAGAAAATCTTGCGCCTATATGAATTGCAAAACTAAAACTATCGTACAACTCGTATAAATAAATGCATTACAAATTTCCCCAGCAAGAGAAATGGAGTTTGTCATGCTAATTTGCCTTCGCAACAAGATTTGTAATGCAGTACTTGCATTTATACGAGTACGCTACTTTTGCACAGGATAGCCTATCGAACCCAGCACCGACATCCCCTTCCTGCACCACATCAAGGAATCCACGATGGAAAATTGCTTCAATTTCTACCGTATCCTGTGCAGAAGTATCGTACTCGTATTGCAGTCATGCATTACAAATTTTTTTCTGAAAGCAAATCCGCATTACAAATTTCATTTCTCATGCTGAGGAAATTTGTAATGCATTTATACGAGTGCGATACTTTTGCAATTCATATACCGGAATTCCCCGACTGCTCTAGCGCCCGAGGCAGTATTCGTCCCGCCGGACAATTATGTGATAGAAAACATCGAGGAAATCGAGATCCAAGACGACCAGAAGCGGAAAAAACTGATCCGGACCCGCACGAAAACGTACTTAGACCCAACCGCAATGTACGTGCCACAGGGGCTGTCTTACTCGCTGTTACGTCCCGAGACGGTGGAGAGCTTGTTCTATTTAGACTACTACCGGGAAGAGAATGAAAAGCTGGTGAGGAAAAGTTTAATGTCTACTTCGAGCACAACTTCAGCTGGGGCTAGTGGCGCAGAAACTGAAACGCGGTCATTTGCAGATGCTTCGGGCAGTGAGAGCTCCTCTGCTCCTCGTCCTCCCGTGAATCGTGCATCACAAACTACATCGCAACCTCCTCAACCCGCCACCGTCCAGGAGATTGACCACACGGAAACGCAGCACCGAATTGTCCGGACGAAAAACAAGCCGGGGATGAAGAATCTCCCTGTAGCTCCAGCGACGAGCACGAGAGCAGCCGGGGAAGAAGATGCTACTGGTGGTGTTCCAAGCACCACAAGTTCTTCCTCGTCGACCTCAGCATCGCAGTCTGCCCATTCAGACAACAACCAAGCTGAAGACGATGTTCACGAGGAAGACGACTACCTACATCAAACTACTTCCCCCTTCAAGTACAAGCAGATGGGCCACTTCATTTGGCAGGGGTTAAAAGACCACGGCTTTATCCCGTACGCGGGGTTCACCACTGTGCCAGACGTGACCCAGTTCCCCAACGTCCCGCGTTCCTGCCCGATGCACACCTTTGTCATGTCGGAAACCTTGGTGTATTTGTACTTGCTTTTTAAAAACCGAAATAACGATGAAGTTGTCAGGGACAACAGGGCCGCAGGCAAGGTTGTGGATCTGAAAAAGTGGGTCTTCAACACCGAAGCGCACCCGCTGCCGAGAATCTTCACGAAGTATGACTCGAAGCCAAAAGGGAGGAAGAAAGGAAAAGGAGCTGCGACGAAGGAGCAGGAGTCTTCTGTGCAAGCACAGTTGAATGCGACGAAAAGAATGCAGCGGCCGAAATCCTTGAACGCCGGTGCTTATTCTGCTGGAGCTGCGAGTGCGAAGCAAACGAGTGCGTCCAGCGCAACCAGTAGTCGATTTGTTGATGGGGAGGTGGATGGTCAGACCGCGCCACCGGAAGTAAACGCGGTAGAGCGACGAGAGCTCTGATCGTCCACCATAACAAGTTTCACAAAATCAGAACGAGAGAAGAACGCATAATCTAGAGAATTGTTTTAAAACTTTTTCAAGAAGAGAGAATGAGTTAAGAGATCGACATCGAAGTTTTTAGTATTGGTTTCATTATAGCTAACTTAGACAGTTTCTAGGCTGAATTTGGTAAATCCAAAGGTTGTAATATATCGCACGACCACCGACTGAGTGCATGAGCGATTGCCCAACGAAGTACCTTTCTTGCATTCCTCAGTCCTGTGCAGCTCGGGTGGTGGTCTAGAAGTTTCTGCTTGTATCAATGTTGTAGTAAGTCACTTTATCTGTTCGTGTTCTGCGAAATGTAGTTCTAGGCCAAGTTGTTTTCGTCCGCAAACTACGAGCTGGTGCTGCTATTAAGAGGAAAAGAAGATATGAGACTTGAATTTTATTTTTAACTGGCATGATCTGCAACTACCTGCCTGCCACTTACGTCTATCTCGTGTTCCCACGAACCAAAAGAAACAAAATTTTAATTTGCGAGCACAGTACACACAGCACTTCGGTTAAAGATGAAGAAGAAGAACGTATGGTAGAGAATGAATCAAAAGTCGGTCTTGCATCGTACACATCAGTGACACATCACTTCACTTCTTCGGTCAGTTGTCGTGCCGGCCTAATTGCGCCCTCACATTATTCGGTAATTCGTGCAACTCTTTCCGGTAACGCGGAACAAGTAGAGTAACAGCAATTTTTGTGCAACTGATTATAGCTCAAGCCTCAACCTAATCCTAAATCGTCCAAGAAGGAAATAAAGTCGTTCTCTCGTGCTGTAGCTGTTTCATCTTCTTGTGACTGGCAAAACAATTTCCAAACTGGACAAACTCTTCAAACTAACGCCCATGACAACAGGACCACAAGCGGTGCTTCCTTTTATGATATTTCTCAGTATCAAAATTTTGTATCACACGATCATCAAGTTCAAGCTCACGCACGACGAGCCACGATGAAAATACATCTTCAACCAGCAAAACATTTCACTTAAGAAATTCTTCTTTATCGGCTTTGATCTCTTCCTCTTCTCCCCAGAAACTACAACGTCACCTCTAAAAGATGTTGATGTCCCAGGGCGTTGTCCCTTCCCCGCACGGGCACGCGCAGAACCGGGTGGACCAAGAGCACCAGGAGGTCGACCACCATGGGCACAACGCACAGCATCAAGGCGGCGGACACAGGAACATGTTCGGCCGGGAGTTGCTCGGCAGAGGGCGGTTTCGGGATAAAGGCGATGCGGGGTCTCCGAAGAAACCAGAGTCCACACGCGTCCGTCTCCAAAAACGGCAGTCGAAATTGAAGCCGATCATCCCCGCGATCCACCCGCAAAGCCGGAAGATCGCTTTGTCCGTGTTTCTATGAACTGCAAAAGTATCGTACTCGTATAAATGCATTACAAATTTCCTCAGCATGAGGAATAAAATTTGTAATGCAGATTTGCCTTGGAAACAAGATTTGTAATGCAAGACATGCATTAGCATTTGTACGAGTGCGATACTTTTGCACAGGATAGTTTCGACGGTTGTTTTCGATTTTAAACACAAGATACGGGTCCGTGGAAACGAAGGGGGAAATCCCGGTGTTGCACTTCGTCAGAGCGATGCAGCGGTTCGCGATCGTGATTGGGCAGAAGAAGCGGAAGAAGGACGCGATCGAGGATGATGACGACACGGCCGGGGTGCCGGAAACGGGCGAAGAAATGCGGGAAAAGGAAAAAACGCAAAAGATACAAGCGGACAACTTTGCCAGCTACGACGTGGATGGGAGCGGTATAAATACGATGAAAAAGATTTTACTTTTGATTTCATTGATCATTTTGTCATGCTATTGCTAAACATCCAAAATGAAAATCGCGTGATGTGTACAACATTGGCATCCCGGTTTTTCTTAGATTCCGTTGCGTCTGCTCTATGTCTCAATCGAATCTTCTCTCAACAAAAATCAGGTACCGTCGGCTGGTGGGAGTTCGTGTCCGCGTGGAACAACAACAATTACGAGATTCGCCACACCTTCCTCGAGCGCATTTTCCTGACCATTGACGACCAGACGGGGTCTCTCATCGGGTACATCATTTCCACCATTTCCCTGTCCATGATCGTGCTCTCTTCCTGCTGCTTCGTGATCGCGACGCTCCCGTCGTTAACGGTCCGCACGGACCACTGCGAGGCCGTCTGCACGCCCCCGTACTCTAGCCTGCCCCCCACGACGGACCACTACACCCACAACGAGTGGTGCAACGAGAACTGCCACCCGGACCAGCCGGACTACTTCTACACGCTGGAAATTTTCTGCGTCATCGTTTTCTCGTTAGAGTATTTCGCAAGGTTGTTCACCTGCCACGCGGTTCGCACGGAGTTTCTGAATGACGACACGATGATCGACATGATTTTGGGAGATTTGTCGCTCCGAACGAAGACGAAACGGGAGCGAATTATCCACTTCGTGACCCAGCCGCCAAACATCGTCGATTTGCTCGCGATCGCGCCGTTCTACATAGAAATCATCGCGCAGTCCGACGCGATGAAGGGGAGTGTGATCTTGCGGGTGATCCGGTTGATCCGGTTAGTCCGGTTGATGAAAACCGTGAAGTACTTCGAACAACTGCGGATCATGGGCCGGGTTATCAAACGGGCCATGCCGGGGCTGTCGGTTCTGTTCTTCTATTTGTGTTTGATCGTCGTCTTCGCGGGCTCGCTGATGTTCCACGCGGAAGCCGGGCACTGGAACAACGAGAAACAAGAGTTCCAGCGCTGGAACTGGCAGGCCGGGGAGTACGAGCGGAGCCCGTTTCGGTCGATTCCACAATCGTTTTGGTGGACGGTGGTGACGTTGACGACCGTCGGGTACGGCGACATGGTGCCGATGACGCTGCTGGGGCAGGCGTTGGGCGCGGCGACCATTTTTCTCGGGGTTTTGGTCCTGGCGATGCCCATCTCCGTGTTGTCGTCCAGCTTCTCGGAGACCTGGCGCGAATGGCACGAGGAGAGGAGGTATTGAGAATGTTATTGAGCTTGAAGTTGTGATTTACAAGAAATGTAGCTCATTTTATATTCGAAAATAAATCCGCAGGCAAGAACAAGCGACATCCGCAACAAGACCAGTCAGTTTATGTTCTTGCTACTTCGTCCTATAGAAGCATGATTTCCGCATGACAGCCTGATGAATTTTCCCTAAATCCTATAACCCCAAGAACCTCTCAACAACGAACACCAGGCTCTCCGCGGCGCACGAAGCAGAGGAGCGGGAGGCCATCGAGGCCGCGCTGTCCTTCCGGGACCCGATCCTGCAGTTTCACAAAATCAGCATCGACATCTACGACGAGGACAACCACGGTGACCACGATTTCCTGGGCGAGGTCGAGCTAAACCTCGACGACATCGGCACCGGTCCGTGGAAGCAGGAGAAACACGGCGCCGCAAGTGGCCGGTACTGGAAGTCCATTACCATGGATTTGATGCCGAATGAATACAAGATTGTCGGGACAAAGCGAAAAGTCATTGTTGGGCAGATTGACCTGCAGATTTCCTGGGAGCCGGTGAAACCCGCGGACAAACTTGACCCCGAACTCCCGTCAGAAGCGATCTCTACCCCGAGCAAGAGACGCGCAGAGCCCTGGGTCTACAACGGGGAAAAATTGTACCCCGGGACGCTGTTTTTGAAAGTGATCAGGGCAAGAGGGGTGAGAAATGCCGACGCCACGATGTTCCAAACCTTATGCCCAGGATTACATTTATGGATGTGTCAGGATCGAAATCGACAAAATCGAAAAATTTGTGATGCATAAAATGTAGGGCACTGGAGGCCTGTATTGGTGAGCAGGCAGATGAGACCGATTGTAAGCCTGTTTAGGGGTATGCAATGTGCTGCCAGAGTAGCATGACAGCAGCAGGCTCCTTTGCCCAAACAGCATGACAAACTGGATTTGAGTGCTCCCCAAATGTGTCATGCGCCACTTACAAACTGAGGCGTCAACTGGTATCGATTTTATGCATCACAAATTTTTCGACTTTGTCAATTTCGATCCTGACACCCCCATAACATTCCCAAATGTCCCTCGGCGGTGGGTCCGACCCGTATGCGCGGGTGACGTATTGGCCGTTCCTCCCCTCGAAGCAGGGCATCATCGAGGAGATGACGGTGAAAACGAAAACCATCCAAGACACAACCGACCCGGTGTGGGACGCGGAGTTTCAGTTGCAGTACAACTGGGACCCAGAACTGCTGATCGAGGACCAAGAAATGCAGGAAGGGGGTTCGGACACCGGATCCGGCCCTCAGATGGCCAGCACCCGGGTGTCCGGACAATTAGCGGACCCGAATGCGAACCCGATCGACAGGCTGGGCTCCATGATCGCGGCCGACGGCATGCTGATTGGGGAACTGACAAAACGGTCCATGGACGAAATCGAAGAATTGTTCCGGGATGTGATGCAAGATTTCTTACACCACCTGGGCATCGGAACAAACGGTGGGCACGGGCCAACTGGAGGTCACCACCATGGCGGCGCTGGTGGTGGTGGGGGAGTCAATAACGCAATAACGTCCTCGGGCGCAGCCGGTACTGCTACAGCCGGAACAGGACCGGGCAGTGCAGCAGCCGGCGCTCCAGGAACTAATGCTGCTGGAACATCTTCAAACGGCGCAGCAAATACAACAGGATCTACAGCACTCGCCGGAGCTAATGCAATAACAGCAGCGAATAACGCTCCTGGTGCTGCAGGAATTATGCTGAACAACGGAATTAATAACAATGCGATGTCCAACGAGTCCCTCCAATCCGAAGTGCACTCTCTCCGGAAGGAGGTGAGACAATACAAGACGGATCTGCAGAAGATTACGCAGAGCCTCCAGGATTTGGTAGACGTGGTCAGAAGTAACAACGGATCAACTTCCGTGACTGGCAATATCAATCCGGGTAGCAACTATCCCATCGGAATGAGCAACGGCGTCCCTGGTGGTCCAGGAACATCAACATCAGCAGGAACCAATTTCGGAATGGGAGGTGGTCCGTCAGGTTTGAACACAAGTAACTTCAACAACCCAACAGGGGGCAATGGACAGAATGCGCAACAAAACCAGCCGTTTTACGCGGCGGGAATGGGGCTGGGCTGACGAGGATTTGTTTTCTCTTTGAGTTTTCTCGGTGAGAACAAAGACTCTTCTCTTTGATCCCTAAACTTATTAATTCAGGATACTTATAGCTAGCAAGAGCGATTCACTATCATACAGCTCTAGCTCAACATCAGTGTGTAGATTTCTTTTTGTGTGTAGACTTAGAAATGACGAAGATGCAGGAGGACATGGCTTGTGTAAAAGGCCTCCCTTGCACTGTGCAAATGCTCCTCTCTTTGCCTTTCTACATCACCATCTGTACATTACTAGTAGTTCTTCGCTTTTTACAAGCTTTTGCTTTACCCCACGAATTCGCTTTCTGCGGTCGTGTGTCTATTGTTTCTCATAGTTTCCATATTTTTTAAACGTACACGACCCCTTCAGTTCCACCAAGTCATACAATAGCCTCAGAATGCTCACATGTGCTTACCTACATGTTGACCTGCGCATGCGAAGCTCGTTGCTTATTTTCTAACCCCCAAACCCCAGCTTTCGTCACGTAAAACATTCTTTATTTTTTTCTCGTTTTCGGCACATGGCGTCGCTCTCTGCCCTTACACTCTCAAGAGTAGATCTCAACTACGTCGCGCAAGATTAAGGCGCAATACTGCATTCAGCATGATACTAGGTCGGTGAAAATGCATTATTGCCGTGGTCCTCTTAAAAGTGTATTGCGCAGTAGAAGTGTCGTGAGCGCAGTAAATGCGCCCATGAAAGACGAGAAAAGCCGCACGAACAACATGTCCTCTGATTTCGCGATCTGAACAAGAAGGCGGCCTCTGCAGTTGCAGAGGGCGAGAACTAGTATTTTGATCTCGAAGTAGAAGATTTGCGAAAACAAGGACAGGATAAAGTACAAAACCAAAAGCTTCACGTGATGAAAAATCTGAATCGACAAAAAGCCCTTGCTCATGAACATTAACATGCACTACTCCAGAGTTTTGCCAACGACAAACTTCATCCCGCAAAGATGGAAACCACATCAAAGAGCGCAGCGCTGCATTTTTTTAGTATAGCCCAGCGCGCCCTTCCTATCATTTTCATTTTCTGTTCCGTATTGTCATTGATGTACTTGCTGCGTGTTTTACATCACTGTGCGAGATTGACCGTATTACCTGGTGGGGAAGGAGAGCGAGAGGAGGTAAGCGCAAAAAATCGGGTGGAAGGCCCAGATGCTTGATATTATAAACGCGAGCGAGCCGAAATCGAAAACGAGAAAAAACACGAGTGAAGGCCCTTACAGGAGGCCCTGAAGATGAGGCCCGCCATAACAGAGATCTTCTCTCGTGTGGCGTGTTGCCGGAAAGTGGTTCTCCTGCGTGGTGCAACTCTGCCTGTGCGCGAGGAGTGTGAGTAGGCTAATTTGCATTGAAGAGCATTTTGTAGCCCCTCTATTTCGAGTTGGAGAGTTGTGCACCAATAAGGAGGCGAGGACTCCTCCTTGGCGTCTCGGGTCACAAGAACAGACGCAGAGGATGTGGTAGCCGGATGCTGCGAGAGCAATATCGAGGCTAGCTGGTCCGCGGCGTCGCCTGTCTTCGTTGAGGCCCACCGGTGTGCATGGGCGCGGCGAAATGGCTCGGGGCCGGGGGCGGTTGGCCGCCTTCAACCTGTGGCCGGCCGATTAGTGGCGGAACGGGAGAGCCCCCACTTTGTGGCGAGACAACCGCTGGCGTAGCGAGAAGATGCCAGGTGTTCACGAGCTCCACATCGCCGCAGCGCCGGCGCCTGTTCCCGAGCGAGCCAGTGGCCCCGCCAGCGTGGGCAGGCTTCCTCTTTGGCGCGCGTTGTTCTCGCCGCCGCCCCTGGCTCCCGCCCCCGCGCAACCCTAGCCTGCGCGCCCCCGTCCCCCTACGGGGGCAGCAGGTTGGGCCATCGCCTCGCGGGGCCGGCCCGGCCTTCGCTTTATTTTGTTAGTTTTCGGCGGCGGGCGCGAGATTTTGCCCCTCTGTGCCCCTCTGCTGCCTGTTAAGGCCGTGAAAGTAAGAAGGAGCAGGCACAGGCCCGGGCGAGCCGCCTGCGCAGGGATGTTGGTTGGGGCCCTTGTATCATCCGCATCCGCCGGGCGCCTTGCTTTCCAATGTCGCGCGCGGCTAGTCGGCTCGGGTGGATAATTGCTGCTCCCAATGGCAGAGCGTTACGTCGCAAAAAATTAATTATGCGAACAGAATCTGAGTCCATGCCAGGTCCTTGAGCATGTTCGTTCCCGAGCTCTTTGCATTGATTCATGGCCATGGGCGTGAGCCATCCATCGATCTGTTCATGGGCCATTCATTATCATCCCGGATGGGGCGACATTGTTCTGATCCGATTCCGATCAGAATATATTTTGAATTTCGTCTGCCCGGCTTCCGGTGATCATTTTTGCTTCTCTTCATCTTCTCTTTCTCATTGGGAGAATTGTCATCATGTTATATCCACATCTTTATCTTCTCATTTATCTCCTCATGTTTGCTCATCATCCGAAAATAGAAAGATCTCATATTTCCTCGATAATATCTGTATTGTAGGGAAGGATCCATCATGAATGAATATCGAAAGATTGCTCGTCTATAAATGATTTGCAAAAAGTGACTCAATTTCAGATTCAAAATAGGATTTACAATTTTTTTTCCGATTATGTATCTCATATCATTCCATAGATAGGATCTGGATCGATGCAGAATGAATATGAATACAAATCTAAGAAAAAAATGAAAATTTTTCAAAAAAATGGGGTGAGGTAATTTATTATATCATGTTGATTAAAAAGATTCTATGAATCTACTCTTTTTGTATTTCCAAAGAAAAACAAGAATTCTCTTTTCTTTCTTTCTGGTCATGTCTGGGTATGATTTAAATTTGTCATAGGGTCGGTTCGAGATTGTCCTTTTTCTTTTCCTCATCAATTATAATTCCTTCTCTCTCAAAAATAAGATAATGATAAAATTCTAATAATGATATGAAGATAATCCGAATAGAAATTGAAATCATATTTGAGTTTGGTCCCGCCCTTGTAGGGAAGGGAGCCCATGTGTTCGGAGCACAAAAGTGCTTGGTCTGTCTTTAGGACCCAGCAGATGCCAGGACCGACTGGCAACGCGCTCAGAGTGAGACAATGTATCCGCCTCAGCTACGCGAGGCCTGTGGAGTATCTGGCCTAGTTCGGTCCGTGGAACGCTCGCCGCAGCAGGTCTAGCTCGCAGTTAGACCATCGTGCGCCGCCTTCAGCGTCTAAAAACATTGCCCACGCCCCTGTAGCCTCCCCTGTGGCATGCCCGTCGCATCCGATCGGCTGTGTGTGCAGCCCCGGAGCATACGACAACGGGACGCCAATACAGGGCCACGCAGCGAGCGCGCAAAGATGTGCGAGACACGAAGGCCCGCGACTGCCATGCGCGCGCCTCCCTGCCACCTAGCAAGCACCTGAAAGCCATGGGCCCGCGTCCGAAGGATTGGGTTGCGCCCCCCATCGCTCTTACTTACGCGCGTTGACGCATGCAATGCCCTCGCAGGGCTGGTCCCTGCGCCTTTCCCGTGTGTCCGCGTCTGCCCTCCGGGTTGCTGCCGTAGAGGTTGCCCTGGCATCGGGGGGCCTGCTCGTAGTAGATTCCCCCCCTCCTCTCTCTATCTGTGGAGAGATGGAGCAGTAGCATCCGCTAGAATACAGGATGCACGATGAACGCGGCACAAGGCCTGTAGCCCGCCGCCGACGTTGAAAGATCTCAGCCGGCCGATGGCTCGCAAATTTGCCGCCTAAAAGATTTCCGATTTTTTTCTAATATTGTGGGCCCCACATTGTTCCGGCTTGGCGCCCCCCTTGCTTCTTTTCGTCGTGGCCCCGCGAGTCCTTGGCCCCAAGGGTTCTGGTGGTAGTCCGGGCAAGGGTTTTTCGCCGATAGTTTTTGCAGGTTTTGGAAACTGGGGCGGTGGGGATTTGTGTTTTTGGAATTGTTTGGCGAAGATTGCCCGGCCCGGGGTCTGCAGGGCCCGTGGCGCATCGTTTCCCGGGTCGTTCAAGTTTTGCGCCCCTGCGATTTTTGTGCCCCAGAAGGAAGGCAGCGCGATTGTTTTCCATTTGTCTCGGGCCACATATTAATGGTTGGCCCCGGCCCGCCCGGCCGAGGTTCATGAGGGGCGCAGAAGTGGGGCGGGGGGGGGTCTAATTTGGGGTCTAATTTCGCTTCTAATTTGTTTCTAATTCCAGCATAGGGAATGTGGAAGGAATTGCAATGAAAAAAATTAGCCGCGACTTAGCCAGGAATTTAGGCGCGAAGTTAGTCGCCTGCCTTAGCATCGATTTAGGCAAGGAATTAGCCGGAGGCAAGAGGCGCCCCGCCCGTTCTGTTTCCGGCTAGGCGGTTGTTGTTGATCATTTCGTCGGGCGGCTTCCCGGTTTTTTCTGTGGGTGAATTGCCGCCCCCCATAATCTTGCACATCGCGCCGCCCCTCCCCTCGGGGCCGCCTCCCTTCTGGGCCATTTTCTCTCTGGATGGGAAGGGCCCAAGGGTGTTCGGTATTTGGCCGCGAAGTTCCTGGCCCCGCTCGTTTTTGGTGTCCCGCCTCACATGATTTCTGTTCGGTGGCCTTCGGGTTGGGTGTTGTCTTTGGCGGCATTGCCGCCACTTTCTTTTTCTTGTTTTCCTTCGCAACATTAGAAAAAACATAGCAAGTTTTAAGCCTTGGAGAATGCCCGGGGCCGGCTGCCTGAAAGATCGTGGCAAAATCAATCAACACGACGCTCGTAGCGAAGACGCATTGATGCGGCCATCAGGAGCATGGATATAGAGCCCGCCGGTGCGTTCTAAGTCTGTCGCCCCCCCAGCAAAGGGCGGCCCAGGCACCTCCAGGATCCTTGTTCACCTCTTGTGGTGTTCGTCCACATTCGTCATGAATGCAGAGGGTTCCTTCACACCCTTGCTCGCCCATACTACGTTGGGTGGATCGCTTTCCGAGAGACAGGGTCAAATTTAGAGCAGCACAAACCTCTCGCAGAACCGCGTGGAGCATGTATGTATGTATATTTGAGTTTGATATCCATCTGAGAACTCCCTTGAGATAATCTTTTTCTTGTTTCTTTCTGATCATGTCTGTGCTTGATAGATTCAAATAAAAAAAGAATTTCATCGGAGATCCGATCCGAGATTATCCAATATTTTTTTTCAATATCCATCATCAAATTCTTTTCTCTTCAATGGAAGAAGATCGAGATATCAATCTCTGGAATTTGAAATTTCTCGGTTTAGGGTTTAGGGTTTTCAAAGGCCATATCTATTTCTACACCAATAGGCTAAAGATATCGATGACAGGACAAGAGAGATCTTCATGAAGGATTTCTTCAGGGCCTTGAACATTTGACGCCATGCCCAGGCACGACAAGAAAGAAAGAAAGAAAGAAAGAAAGAAAGAAAGAAAGAAATTTCTCATAATTTTTTCTTTCTTGTTTCTTAGAATGATTCTCAGAATAATTTTGAATTCATCTCATCATCTTGATATTCATATCATTCTCGAAGGAAACATTCCAAATTCAAGATTTCTCATTCATTTTTTTTTATTCTTCCTCTCCGATCTTCATTCCTACCAACAATTTCGCCAGATTGATTATTCCTATAAAATAAAACACAATCTACAAATGATACATCCGAATCTAGATAATGAAAAACACCAAAGAAAACATAATAAGAAAACAGATTCATTGAGGATAATTTGAAGATACAAAGATATTACGAAGATCGACAAGATAATGCTAAAAATTTTAACGATTTTCATCCATCCAAGACAATGGAAAAATATCTCTCTCCACCATCCAAAAGAAAAATTTTTCCTCATGAAAATTCTTGATTTTTTCGAGAGGAAACGATGATGATGATAATTCGATGAAATTCCAGGATTTCCTGGAATCGGAGTCAGGATTTCAATTTCATGAGGTCTAGGAGTGAAATCTTTCAAAAATTTGGATTTATCATTATTCGAATGAACCTCCAGATAATTCCAATTATCACCTGAAGCTGAACACATCAGATGGATGAGATTAAGATGAATCTTAGATCGATTGATCCATTCCGAATCCTCTTTCTTCCGATAAAATTCATAGACATGGGTGGTGAAAATGGCGAGCACCTCGAGAACCCCAGTAGTGATTATCGACATTGGAATTGGAACATGTTCCCGGTCGAGGAGTCAACGAAATCCACAATAGACGAGTGCTAGAAATGCTTCCACCTTGTAGAGGATCGCACCCCGAGGAGTATTTGTTTTTCTTTATTTTTTCTTCATCAATGACAAAGCCGGGCCCATGGGCCCTCCCCCGTTGGTTGCGTGGGCGCGACCTTCCAGCCCGGCGAGACTCATGCCGCCACACGTGCCAACACGCAGACAACCTACCCATGGCGGCGGCGCGATACATAGAGGGCCGCGCGCCACATAACGACGACGGAGGAGCGAGCCAACCTGGGGGCGGCCTCGCGCGGGGCCAAAAAATAGGTAGCAAGCGCAGGCAGGCTGGCACCCGGCCGCGGGGCGCCGCGCTTGGGTCGGGCGGGGGGTTGATACGCCACAAGTCGCGGCGCGTAACACACTAGCCGGGCAGTGCCACGCCTGGGCTCCAGAGGGGGGGCCCCGGGGAGACAGCGACCCTGTCCCCAAGGGGCCGCCGCGAGCGCAGACGCGCATCCAGCTAGCACACACAGAGGCGGCCGCGCCCGCCCGGCGCGCACGCAGCGCCGGCGCAGGTATGCCCAAGGAACCAGGCGGGGCCGCAGTTTTGCAGCCAGCGCGTGCCGGCCCGATCGGTTGCGCAGCGTTGCCAACATCTTGGCGCCCCCCCGGTCTCGGGATCGCTCGGCGTTGGCCACGTTTGCATTTCGCACCTGGATACATCCAGCCACCACCTGGCCGAGTGCGGGGCGCTTCCTGGTTGGTTTGGGGCACTGTCGCGGCCGTCGGCAATGCGGGAAATTTTGAAGCGTTCGGATGCTTGCGCCTCCAGACTCCTCTCGTTAAAGCGTTGCCACCATCTCCAGGACGAAACATATTTGCAGTGCATAGTCTGAATCTGTTGCATTGGATTGTCCACCTCTTGCTGATATTACGATTCGAAGATTATCTATGATTCGCTCATGATTAGCATTGATGTTTCCGAATGTTTTTACCTGCCTCTCACTCACTCTCCAACTTTTGGTTAGGCGACATACACATATCTGCTGGAAAGCAACGCCGACGCTGTGACTCAATGTAGAACAACAACACTGCGGAAGATTGAGCTTGAATTTCGAGGCGGAGTATCTGTTTTTGTTTTTCTTTTTTCCTTCAATGACATATTGTACAGGGTAAGGATATGGGTGTGTCAGGATCGAAATTCTCAAAGTTGAAAAAAAAATCCGGGGGCCCCTGAAGAGGTGCCGGGATTTTGCGTTTCAACTCTGACACATTCGCCCCCCCTCCGAGCTAGCCACCACGCTATGCTGGAATGTGTCAGAGTTGAAGGGGGTCCCGGAGGGGGTGCCCTGAAGGCCCCCGCCAAGGACTGCCAGAATTTTTTTTCAACTTTGACGATTTCAATCCTGACACTGCCATAAAGGATCTCATCGTCATCTCTCGGATTTATCTCCGGCTTTTCTTCATATGTATCCGCTCTCGATCTCATCTGGTGCTGTGACTGATTTGTATTTCATCTACGTGCCAGATGACCCCGGACGCGAAAGGCGTTGCTGCCGCCCCTCTATCAAACCTCGCACGGCCGGTAGCATTTTGATTTTGTTTGCGTCTGTCCAGCTGCCTGTGCCTACATACTGTGCTTCTCAATCTTACTGGTACACACGTGGTGAAACTGAAAACTTCGCGCTGAAATAGCATCGGTGCGCTTCGTATCGTAGAACTCTATCAAGGTATTGGTTGAAGTAAAAATCTTAATCTTAGCACGAAAGAACAAAGCTAATCAAGGTCGGCTGCTGGTGTGGTAAGAAGTTTAATTTTGTTTTGAGCCTTGTGATAATTGAACTGCGAAACGTTCGATTTCCATTCTGTATTGACTCATTTACTTTTCAGATGCAATGCAATCTAGTAAGTATTGTGAACCGTTGTAAAACTAAAACTCAATCTCTGCTGTTAACTTAAAGACGTGACAATGACAACATCACTTGTGATGAGGTGTAGCCGCTGAAAGCTCTGATGCAATAGGCTCTTCAATGGCGAGTTTGATATTGAAGCAAGACAAAGAAACTATCAGAGCTGAAATTTTCACTGGCCGGCGTGTCGCCACAATGTGTCGCTCGCTCAACAGCCGGCATTCGATGAGGACAGTGCTGTGCAGTCACCATCTCTATCCACTGCAAAAATATCGTGCCCGCAGTAATCCTCGCAATCTTCATGCATGACAGATTTGCAGATGCAGTCCCAATTGCATCTTCTTTACCTAGTTCAAACCCCTGCATGACAAACTTGCTTCGCATTCCTTCCGGAAGAAGATAGTTTTCATTTTTATGATTGCCAGCCGCTTTCGCTTTGTAATAGTAGGCACGATACTTTTGTTGCACTGTGTAATTTTCTTCTTCCATGAGCACCTGGGGGTCCGGCAGAACAACTTCGTCTTCGTCGCCCGCCTTCGCTTCGTCGTCGTGCTTACCGCCCAGCCCAGTTGTACTCGCCGCAGCGTGGTCACCTTGTTGCTCACCTTGGGCCGGCACATGGCCAACCTCTGGTACCCTCTCCTCACTGGCCGGGTCGGGAGTGGGGGTTTGCTCCTGTCGTGGGGAAGGTGTTTGCGCCGGAGGACCCGGGGAGGTCGGTGCATTGGTCCTCCGACTTCGTTCTTCATCCTTCAAACGGTTCAGCAGCACTCGAAATGGATCGTCGTTGCCGGGCTCCTCTTGGCGGAAATTGCGCTCCCCACTCGCGTTCGAGATCCATTCAGTCAGCACGTTCAAGTGGTGCTGTTTTCGTATGCAATGCAAATGTATCACACAAGGAGCAGCTAAAGTGAGTGTGGGTCTGATTGTGGCAACTTGCCTTTTTCTTATTTTTGTTTTGACAAACTGAAAGTGAAAGACAAAGAGAAACCTTGCTAGGAAGAAACTAAGTAGAAGCGAAATACTGAACTTGCAATGCTGACTCGGTAAAGAAATGAGAAGCGCCAGGCATTGAGGTGTTTGATGAAGGAGATAAAGATTTGTCATGCAGTAATATCAAAACTGCATCTGCAACGTCCATCAATTTGCCAATAACTAAAAGTGCGATACTTTTGTACTGGATATCAGTGCTTTCGACCCAGTTCTCCCATATCTGCGACACGCAAGGCTTGTTGCAGTCGAACGCGCCGGTGGTGTCGTATCAAACGGAGGCAATCCCGAGTCCGAGATACATCAGGGGGATTTGCATGACGCCATACCACTATGCGTTCCAAAAATGCGCCTGGGTCTGGCTGGAGGGACGATGCAAACTTGCGTGTCATGCGGATTCTGCTTCTTGTGGAATAGCGACATTTCTGTGCTGCATAGTCAGCAGATGTTGACGCACGATTTTTATGCGCAGGAGCGGGTATCTCTTATGCAGACTACGCATACAAAAGAATTGCGCAAAATGTTTCTTGCAAGCCGCGTCGGCTTTCTTCCAGACTCAGATTATAATACGTAATTTGCACTTGATATCCAAGAAAAGAAAGACAGCGGGGACATGTTGCACAACATTCCGAGGAAGACCGCCGCCAGCACGTACATGACCGTGATCGGCATTGCCATCGCGCGCAAATCGCTGCACCACCGGGGAAAATCGCTTCGCGCCACAGGTACTTGTCCCTCAGCTCCCGCCTCAGCTCCGTCCACCCCTGCGAGAAAACGGCCATGCCCAGCAATATCCATTTTCGCATCGCACGAACTGCAGCCGTTGTCCAGAACTCGGCTCCGCCCCGCGCGGGTGGCTCGTCGAATGGATCGGCGGGGCGAGCGAATAGCCTCCGCAATGGATCGTCGATCCCCTGAAGCACGAACTGTATCAACGCCAGCGACATATAAAAACAGTTCGTGCTCCCGGGGTCGACGTCGGCAATCCGGCTTTCGGCGTCGTGGTCTCGTCGTCCGGCGAAGGCCCCGGGCACCATGCAGTACGGCGACCCGGGAACGACCAACACTCCGCAGGTCGGGTCGCCGTACTCTTGCGCCGGTGCCCAAAACGAGCGGCACGCCGCGTCCGTGAACCACCGCGACAGCAGTTGGATGCGGTGGCTCACGTAGTCCCGCATGTAACAAGAGTTGCTCGTCCCTGGGCATTATGCATTGCAAACAGGTCTGGGTCTGGAAGTCGTACCACTTCGTGCTACGCAAATTGGGAAATCCTGTTCATGCAGGGTAGGTATCAGAAGGCCTGCGCAAAAGCTGTAACACCTTGGCGTGCATTCCAGACAATTTGCATAAAAAGTAATCTAAAATCAGATGCATGAGAAACAAGACACTCTTCCAGATCCAGACATATTTGCATTTGATAGCCTACTGTGCCAGACTTTGACGCTCCCGAGGTAGGTGCTTCCCATGTCCCGAGACCACCCGGCCCGCGAAGCGACAAACAGGGATCCGCCACCACGGGTGCGGTCGCCGTCGAAGTGGATGTCAATGAGCCCCTGCCCCGCAATGCGGAACATGAGGCTGACGTGCAGCCCGATGCCCCAGACGGATAAATCTCCTAAACAATAGAGATTTAGCAAGATTTCCATCTCACCCTCCTCCATGGTGGAAAAATCGTTGATCGTGGCCAGCCGGTGAGCCCAACCCGCCTGTCTTTCATGGTACGACTTGTACTGCTGCAGAATCGCCATCACGAGCAAAAACCACAAGCCTGGCAGAAGCAGCACGTGCGGGCGGCTCCCAGCATGGATGTCATGCTCCAGCTGCGTGATTATCCTAAGAAAACTCTTCACCATAGGAACCACTTACATCAATTTCAATTTTCTTTTGCATCAAGTTTGATATGCGTCTTATGCACACGACGCGTCCTCACGGTCAACAACGTCAACAGAAAATATCAGGTGCAAGTGTGCTGTGCTGGTGCAGGATCCAGCTGGTGCTACTTCCCTGCGTCTTCAGCACATCATGCACGTGCTGCGTCATCATGTATTGAAAATTGAGGGCGGTGCTTGTGGTGGAGGTTTCGTTACTTGACATAGCGACGCGCTCCAGTAATTCTTCGACTGTTGTGGTGTTAAAGGTGCTGCTTTTCGCTGACGGAGATTTTCCCGCGCGTTGTGGAACAAGATCTGGGCTTGTGGTTCCGGGGTCGTCACTCGGGCTGCACTGCATGTTGTAAATTTGTTCTTCAAGAAGCAGGAGTCCACTAAGCGGCCCGCTTCCACTTTCTGTAGCCCTAGCGCACATGCTGTCTCCAAGTTTCATCCCCGACGCCGGATCCATTGCCGGTGGTCCTTCCACCGCACCATCTGCTGACAGTGCAGTGTCAGATGACGCCACGAGCAAACACAGGAAGGAGAAATGACGCCGCATCTTTATTTCATTTCTCCGATACTTCTGAATCTGAATCTGATTCTGATTGAAAAAAATAAAACTTATCCCGGGTTCGTTTCCCGTTGGGAAAACTGCTTGGGGGAAACCGTTGGGTAATAGTCTCAATCTTCTTTATCTTTTTCTTTTCCCGAAAGAGTTCGAAGTCTCTTGCTTCAAAAAACTTCTGCCCCCTGCTTTTGTTGTGTATTAGACTGACAAATGCTTGTACAAAAATTCACACACAACCACCTGAGGCGCATTTCAGGTGTAACACGAAAAGTAGACAAGACAAGTCTTTGTACGTACAATAGACCTGGCACTGGCAGACGAAACGTTCACGATTGGCCCTCGCGCCAGTGTGCCGAAGATGTACATCATGACTTTTTATCCGACTTCGCTCACGATTGATCATGATTTTTTCGACATGACGGTAAGAGTAACGACGTAATGTTCACCTCGATATCATTGGACGAGTTTCACGACCACGAGCACATCGTATTGACGAAGATAGGATGGGCAACTGATCGTGGTACTGACGGTGACGCAAGGGTAGTACCGAGGCAAAGCCAGATCTCATCAGAGAGAGGAAAGCGACCACGTTTGCGACGGAAGCCCCTGCCTCAACAGACGACGACGTTGAATAAGAAGCTCGTGAGCCTTCTGAGTTTGATGGCTGCTGTAGTACTAGTAAGTTTAGTTTCATGTTGCGGTGCTTGCCTAGGGAAGCGTCATATCAACGTCGACGCAGCTGCTACATCTTCACGGGCACAACCACTGCAGCTGCCACAGCACACAGACACGACAGCGTCAATCTGAACTAGACTCAACATCTATGTCCGAGGCCCAACGGTAACGGCTTTTCGCGTCGAACGAACACAGACTGATGGCGTACACTGACTCGTAAGGCGGTGCATTTGCTGCAGTTCCACTACTTGATTGCATATGCTTCATAATAACAAAGGCGGGCCCGCGCGCGCTCCCCCCCTGCGCGGACGCGACCGGCCGGTCCGGCGACACTGACAGACCCCTCCATACGTGCCAGCACGCAGGCAGCCAGCCTGCCACACAGACACACATAGCGACGACACGATGAAGACCGCGCCACAAAACAATGACGGACGGAACAGCCCGGGAGGGGCGGGGCCAGCGCGCCTGCAAACGGGGCCAACACAACGAACATCGCAAGCGCCACCAGGCGCTCGGCCGCCGGGCTTGCTTGGGGCGGGCGGGGAGTGCGGCAGGGACACACAACACACCCCGGGGCGCATTGTGCTAGAGGGCAACACCGCGACCGGGCCCCAGAGAGCCAGCCTGCCTCCCTCGGGGGGGGCGGCGGCTCCTCCCCCAAGGGCAAGGCGCCGCGCGGCGCCGCCATCGGCGCGGCGACACGAAAACGGTCCCGCCCGCCAGGCGCGCGCCGGCGAAGGCGGGGCGGCGACAGGCAGAGAGGCCAAGGAAAACCGCGGCGCCATCCTGGACGGTATTCCGCTTTCCCCCAGGCGCTCCAGGCGCTCCGCCATTATTAGAGCACGGGCCACCCTGTTTCTTGGCTTCCGGAGGAAACAGTGGGCGCTCGCTCTCCCTCGACGATCGGCACCTGGATAGGCGCCCGCCGAAGACGCCACGGAGGGCGATGCGCACGAGCTGCCAGGGCGTCGCCGGAGCCGGAGCCCCCAGCGCGTAGCCGGATTTGGAGGCGCCGCGGCCCCCGATGTCGTTCATGCGCAAGCCCTCGAAGCTGCTCGCTTTTTTTTGGCAGCTGGCGGCCCGGCCGGCGGGGACGGGGGTAGGCATGATGATAAAAGCGCCATATTCAACCGGCCTCAAAGATGGCGGACCTATCTAACCAAAGCGTAACTAGAAGAAGGAGTTGTAGGCATAGTAAGTTACGTTTCCACTCTTGCTCGCCGTTAGCTGAGCAGACGGGCTCGTCGCTCTCTTAAAATTCTTGTCCTCCCTCATCACTAGCAAAAGTCTGATGCTCTCATCTTCAGGGGCTCGCGTTGTGGAAGACAAATCGGAATCGCATGTGGAAAGTATAAGCACTCACGCTACCAAATAGACCGCCGGGATAGAGACAGACTCTTACTATACTCAAACTCACACGGACACGGTCACAAACATACGCCTTTTCGGACACACGACAACCAACTTTGCAGCCGGTTTGTGCATACAAACTGACTTTTCAGCAGGCGTGAGCCTTGCGCGATTGATCAAATTCCAGCCACGCGCTCCTTTCAGCATCTGAGGAACGACCCGGGCCACGGCCCAGTCGGGAGCAAGACCACCCAATCCAGGGCCGATCTGTCGAACGATGCCCCGCGGCGTGGTGTCTGGACTAGCCGGCGCGCCACGCGCGGCAGGGATGGGAGAGACCAATGGCCACAGGACAGAAGCAACGGCCCCGCCCGACGACCAACGTGGCGGTGGCCGGCCCGCGTGCCGGCCTTTAAAAACCGCGCAGCCCGCCGGAGGGGGGCGGGCGTTGCGAACAAAACAATGGGCGGCAATCGGCCGCCATGCATTGCCCGCATCCCATCCATTACAACACGCGGCGCCCGGGCCGCCGGGAGGGTTGGCATCCGAATGGGCCCGCACGCTACGGCGCGCTGCCTATCTAACCATCGCGCCCCCGTCGGCCCCCCACCACACGCCACCCAACCGCTGGGCACTCCCACCCTTCTGAGGGGAGCTCTGCGCGCAGGCTAAACTGCTGGAACTTCATCAGGGCCCGCCCATCCTCCGCCTCATATAAACATCAAGGCGAGACATGGTAGGCAACGTGTTGCGTAGTGGCCTCGCACAGGTCGGGCAGGAGACCGCCGCGCACGGCGTCAGGCCCTGCGAGCTCGAAGTCCGGGCCCGCCGCCAAAAAGGGCACACCTTTTCGGCACAGGAAAGCGATATGCTTCACCCACTGGCCGCCTCCATTGTATCCCAGGCGCCCCCTGGCAGGTATCATCCCAGGCAACGGGCCCCGCATCAAAAGGCTGCAAACCGCGCGCGAGGCATGGCGCGCGTACCGGTCGCGCGCAAGCATAAATAGCGCCACCACCGGTCGGAAGAAGACACTAGACCGACCACCATCGGCGCACGTCAACCGGAAGCAATATTTTGCCGACGCGATGCGCTTCTTCATCAAGCGAACCGTCCGTGCCTGTGACCGGCAGGCGACACTGCTGCGGAAACGGTGGGCATGACGATGAAGACAACTTCATAAAAAATCTACTTCAAAGAAGATGGCGGACCATCGTAATGTGGAGTCGTCTCACTCAATAAAAGCGCAGCTCCACCAGCCACGTCTCTCTCGCAGAGCGGTAGCTGAGGCGCTTGCTGCTCTCCAAACCCTCGTCCTAGTGCCGCTCATGATCAATAGCAAAAACCTGGTGCGCTCTAGAAGAGTTCCTTCTCTGGAAGACCAATCCTGCTATACGCGCATGGAAAGCTCGCCTAACCAAGAGGACATGGAGAAATGGTCCGGTATAGCGGACGACACATTTTGGGCCACGTGAAGACCTCCATTCTCCTTTCGCAATAGCGATACTATCTACTTTTCCGATAAAGTGTACAGAAGAAACTCTTTGTTAAGTACATTCTCAATAGTTTTTGCTGAAGTTTCACGGAAATAAGATACAGGCTCGCCGTCAACGCCAATTCTCTTCTTGTCGTTTTTTTGCAAGGTCAAATCTAGTACTGATATAACAGTTTTTAATTTTGGTATACGGACGATAATAAATTCAAGAAATGTTGTTCTAGTTGGTAGAAAGTCGTTTACGTGTGAAAGTTTGGCTCGTTCATATATGATGTAAAGTGATACAGCTTCAATGGATAAACTCAAAATTGAATAATTCGAAAGTCAACCCTGGCAGGTTCAATCGTACAGGGAAAGCAGGAGACAGATTTCCAAACAAATTTAATCATCGTCATATTTGTGTACATCAAAAACGGAGAGAAATAAAGCTAAAGTCGAATCTCAGTAAAGAAAAACAGCTGCTAGTGTGAGAAATGTATATCTTTTTTCGAAAAAAGATACTGCTACTGCATAATCTAGTTGCTCGTGGTCCTCTGGATCAGGCAGGGAAACGATGTGGCTTTTCCCCTTGAAGCAGCTCCTGCTTCATCTTCACTCTTATTTTCCTAGACTCTGCCATGCATTGCAAAAGTATCGTGATCATCCTAGGAGCTTTTGCAATACAAATTTCAAGTTGCAGCTCAGCATGACAAATGGAATTTGTCGTGTTCTTTTACCTTAAGATGAAGAAGATAGAAGATCTGTCATGCATAGCCGCAATTAGAATTAGGACGAGCTCGATACTTTTGCAGTTTATATCTGGTGCCGTCTCACAAGTCTCCCGCGAGCGCGTCCGCCGAGTCAGCGTGGGTCTGATGTTGAGAGATTTTTGCGCAGTTTGTCATGCAAACACGAATACGTAGATCAACATTTCTTTTTCTTCATGCAGAGTGACGCATTACAAGATCCAACACCAAATAATCATCTTGACTTCTCACCGGAATGAATTTCTTCATCAGGCCGAATTGCTTCTTGTCATCCGATATGCATTGCAAATACGTCTGGGCCTGGAATCATGTAAAGTTGTGATGCGCGTTTCAGATCACGTGAAAATCTGTCATGCATAGATTACGAAAGGGAAAGTTGCTCATGTCTTGTCACCGAGGTGGAAGGAAATTTGTCATGCGGATTTATTGTTGACGGTGAGTGATGCAAAAAATGATGAGAACCTGTGATGCTAGCCCTTGCATTCCGGACCCCCTGCGTCATGCCCAAACGACATCACACTCTTTGTCCTCCATGGTACCGAGACAAATTTGCATTCGATATCCAACATCTGCTTGCGGTGGTATCAATTTGGAAAAAAGCATCCTTCTGCAGCTCTCGCAGTGAGCAGGTGAAGATCGTATGAAAATCACTTCAGCAACAGCAACTTACAGTCGCTTGGAAAGTACGAAGTAAAGTTGTAGTACAGTAGGAGTGGAGTAGGACCAGCTCCTTTGGCTTTGCATTACAAGTTCCAGAAATTGACCACGTCCGCGTCTCTTACAATATGCTGCCATCCACGTCGTGGTTATGAAGACGAGAGTCGCAGAAAGAGCTGCATATTCCAAATCCATATCAAGAACAGGGTGTTCTGCTTCGGTATCCAGAATGAAAATCTCATACTGCAGCGACATTTTTCTTTCAATGCTTATTCGAAAAAGATATAAAAAGATCCTGGCACTTTTGTTTTTCTCGCATGACAAGTTTGGTTTGCTAAGCACATAGGACGTCGGTAAAGAGTTAGTTTGTAATGCAAACAACAGGGCTCGATCGAATACGAATTTTTTTTCTGTAGTGTGTAAGACGGGCTTTTTACAATTTCAATTCCAGGCGTCGCCAAAGTACAGGCTTTCTCCTTCGTATCCATCTGCGAGGACATTTTCTGAATTGTGGTGGAGAACCAGCAGGGCTGGGGCGAATGCACCAACCTGTTGTTCCGAATATATTTTCAAAGTTTTTACTTTTCTACTTTTTTTACGCGCTATATCTTGTCAAACGAAATCGAAAAAAATGAATCAGCACTCAGCATCGGCCCATGCAGGAAAAAAAAAAAGTTTGTCATGCCAAAAGAGCACAGTTCGTGCGAATCGAACTTCAGAAGCAGTAAGTATCGGTACTTACCACTGCAGGCACCCACCCGCATGGAGGGGCTTTTTCATGCGAAACACGTCGTAGCGCGTCTGGTACTCGGCCTTGGTGTAGTAGACCACGACCGGCGGACGGGCAATTTCCACCGGGTCCTCTTTGCTCGCACGGGTGCTAACCGTCTTCGAGGTGTTCTGCTTGCTACCCGTATCCACTGTAAATACGTCAGGGTCTGCGAGGATGCAAACTTGTCATGCGGACTCTAGACACGGCAAAAATCTGCGTTGTACTATGTGAGATTTTTGTTCTCCGGGAGAGGAAATCTCTCATGCAGAACACTACGAATGCTGGAGAAACCCTTTGTTTCGATCAATTTGTCATGCTCTGTGTGCATTCCAGACCTGCTAGCTCGCGGATGCAAAAACCACATGACAAGTGTCTGATTTCCTTCAGACCCAGAAATATTTGCGTTTCATAGGCCATCATCGTGATCATCTTCATGCTCGCCATCCTGTCGCGGAGTTTGGCAGGTTCTTCCTGTCGTGCGGTGCTAGCAATACAACTTTGTTAGTTGTAGCTGGTGGATCAGGCACTTGATGGCGTCGTGTCTACTACAACTTCGGAAAGCGCGAAGCTGTCACGGAGCAAACAGCAGCAACAATGCTGAAGCAAGATCGAAGAGACTACCTAGGACGCAATCTTGTTGTTGGTTTTGTTTCTTTTCCAAAAAAAGCGGTTGTAGATTCCTACAGAGAGTTTGCTTTTGTTTACAAGGAAGCTCCAAATTTTATCTCGTCGGCGTGGTCGTGATATACTTCTGCATGGTTGTACTAGAGAGTGCAACAAGAAGACGACCAAAGTGGACGAGCAACGAATCTTCTGGCGTCGACCCCACGAAGCATCGACGACGTTACCACGAGCAGGTCGAAAACTACGATGCTACGATATTATCACGCTACGTCTTTTTCACTCCTTCGACGAGTTGTACATAGGAAGTAAACAAGTCGATGCTAGTTCCTATTCGAGCATGAAGACAACGAGTAGAAGCTACCGACGTGGTTCTAAAACGATCATTTACGCCAAAAGTACGGACTTCTACTGCTTCCGACCTCAAAAGTAGGAATACATAGTGACGATGCGATCTACAACGATTCCTCATTATTCATTTTTCGGCGGCCTTTCGAAGGGACACGGCTCACGAGCTGAAGTAGAAACAAATACTTATTTCCGAATCCATTGGCTCTTCACACGATGCGACGACTTTACTTTTCAGGATCCGATTGCGATTTCAAGAATTTGCATCGCACATATATGAGGACAGCAAGTAGAAAGTGCATTCTTACATCACGTCTGCGCGCCTCTGAACACACTACTCAGCGCGACTACCACTGGGCTGCGCGCACGGGCTACTTGCAGCCTGCTTCAGCCGAAAGTTGCCGATCGTGAAATAGTAATACGCCTCCAATTATGGGAGGAATGAAGTTTCCGGGCTTCGATGGGGGCTGTGTGCCTGAAGGACAGAACAGGGACGAGGACCTGACCTAGGCTGCACCCGCCCCCTCCATCCTGCCAAAAGGAAACACACCGCGCGCGGCGCCAGGCCATCGATCCTAAAATACGAACCCCACCCGCGCGCGACCGGGGCTAAAACATGCTCCCTCGGAATCCAGCAGGGGCACACCACGCCCCACCCCTGTCCGCTCGGGCTTGGGCGCGTCCGCCGAAAGGAGATGAAAATGACTACAGACAGGGCGCCCATGACTGGGGTGGACAGAACGAACCAACCACCGCCCGGCCCGCGCGCGGGCGCCAACCCTGGCTGGGTGACTGGTATAATGAAGGGCCTGCCCGGGAGGGAGCATGGCCGGCGGGGCCATTTCATCCCGACACACGCGCGCCCCATACACAAGACGGGGCGAGCGGGGCCCACACGACGCCGAACACACAGCCCGCCGTGCGCCGCGGCCCTTGCTTTCTATCCCGGCCGGCCGCCCGCGCGGCCGGCCGTGGCCATATATTTGGACCCTTGCGCCCAAGCCACGGAAAGGCAGCGGCGCCGTGGGCAGTCCGGCCGCTCCTGCTTGGTCAGATTGAGAATTGCCGCCGGTGGCCACAGCTTTAGCGCCCCAATCGCCCGTCACACGGTAGGGAAACGCCTGGGCGGTGGGGAAACGCCTCCGCCGGCCGCGCCGCTCGCCCCAAGCTGGCCGGAGCACCGACATGAGCACTGCAACGCGGCAGGCGGGCCGCCAACAAGCACGGGCGCCTAGCGAGGCGGCGCGTGGCCGCAAAGAACAGAGCCGCCGGAGAGGGCGCGGCCACGTTTCGCGCAATCACGCACGACGGCGGGCAGTGCCCCGGAGGTGAACTATATGCCGCCAAACCGCCAAGAATGAACGCTGCCGGCCCTCGCTCAGCCTCTCTTCGCTCAGCCTCTCTCTTCTCTGAATATGTCTCGTGCAACGTGCTGCCTCGCCTCTCTCCCCTCAGCCTGTTACGGTGCATCCGCACCCACTCGACCACACAACAATTCGCGCAATTTTCTACGAACACTTTTCTGCCTCGTCACTTCATTGATAACCGCTGTATATGCTTCTGTGCTGTAGAGATAAATTGAACTAGAAACCCTAAAACCCATTAAACCCTGAGAAGCCCGGCCTCGACGGACGCCCATCTTGTCTTTCATAATCCCTACATGCATATTTTTCGAAAACAAAAAGGAAAAAAAGGAAGGATGAAGAGAAAAATCGAGCGAGGCGAACGAATCTCTCGGCGGCCTATGATGAGCTGTAGAGATAAATAAGAATTTCTCTATATGGCCATGAGGCTTGATTTGCGATCACGCATGGGCGAGTTTGGTGCTACTTTGGTACTACTTGTTGAGCTTTTTAGTCCAGCAAAACGCAACAGCAAATGTGCGGAACGCAATATGTCCTCGTCGCAGAAGGGAGAACAAGAGCAATTACCGATGAACAATGCGAATTTGTACGATCCTGGTGCCTGCGGCTACTATATCTTCACGAGCGCGCCAATTGAGAATGATTCAACATGACCAAATCACGATAAAACCTTCATCGTCGTCATCAACGTGGAGGTCAGAATACAACTTCTGACTCAGTAGACAACTGTTTTTTGATTTTCTGTTGGTCTTTCGTTTTAGTTGCAGTGGTGGAAAAATGGTTGACATGGAGTTTCTGTTTCATCATGTTCTCAGCTTTTCCTGCTTGTGCTCGTTTGTTTTTCCGAAGAAAGTACTATAAGTAGGTGGTGATCTTTTGTTCTAGAAAGACGCCATTTCTTCACCCTCTCACAGACCTCCCCCCTCGACCCCCCGTCGGCGACTTCGGTGCAGCCGGTGAAGTTTTGTTCGAGGTAGTTGATGACCCTGCGCCCCGCGTGGATCTGCGGTCATTCCCGGGGGAAGACGGCGAAGAAGGCTCCACCTCCGGCGCGGCTGTAGTCGTTTCCTCCGTAACTGATTTGTTCCGCACGATGATGACGTGATCGGAGAACAACTTCGTAAGCTTCGTCACCAAGCCGACCAAAACCACTTTGCACAAAATCCCGATGATAAACTTCCAGACCACAATATCACAGAAAAAAAGTGTTACAGTTACTTACACACTTGTTGGAGTTTCTGCATCACAAAGTTGCTCGACATGGCAAAGAAAACCTGTGATGCGCAGACTATAAGGGAAAACACGAATGATATGAGGCTGGCAAGCATTTCCTGCATGACAGAGGTTGTCTGTCTTGCTTGTCTTCGAGCAGAGTGTGTAACTGTGACACTTTTTTCTCAGGATACACAAAATACCCGACGCACGCCATCCCGACTGGCGTGAAGACTGCTGAGTACGGGCTTGTATTGTTTGCAAAAGCATCACAGTCGTCATCTCATGGTTGCAGGAACACTGCATGACAGATCAAGATCTAGTGAGTCATGAGTAACCTGAACCAGCATCACAAGCTGAGTTTTTGCCTGTGGTTCAAGTTATGCGTTATTCAATTCAATTTGTCATGCACAAGCACATGTACCAGCACCTATAGACTCGTGCTGCAATGCTTTTGCAATGCGTAATTTGTAGTGCAGTATACCGCAACTTGGTTGTAGTACCCCGAAAAAACTGCTATTGCCGCATCAACCGCAGTTTTTTGTTCTCGTCCCAACTCTGTCAAGTGCAAAAATGTTCGGGCCTGGATAAGTGCAGGTGTTTGTCATGCGATTTGTACGTGTTGGCCCGGAAGGTCTCGTTTGGCTTGCAATTGCAAGCGGCAGCATCACAAGTTTTGCGGTTGTTTCAATCTCGATGTCGATTCTCACTGCCCAATCCGCATGACAAATCTCTTCTTTGGACAACTTTTTCTTATCACGCATCACAATTTTTTCTTTTATATTTATCTGAGCAATCGATCTATAATAAACGGGCATGACAAGATTACATCTTATTTGCCTTACTGACCCACACCCAGACATATTTGCCATGCATAAACTCCGCCAACGCGACACAAACCTTCACCTCAAAACCTCTTGCCGACTCCGTTTTCACTCGTTATGGGATTCTCAGTTGTTACATTCTCAACTGCTGTTCGATGAATTTGACATGCAAAATTCCCATACGTCCAAGTCGCCAGAAGATTATGGTGATTTGCATGACACATTCTCGAAGGGCTAAACAGCATCCAAGTCTGTTGCGAATTTGTGATGCGAGACTCGCAACAAGCTTGCCCCTTTCCATATTGCTCTTCTTGCATCACAGATTCGTGGTGTAAGAGTTGAGAATGTGACGTTTGAGAGCGCCATACTGGTGCTGCGCATCGTCTGAAGTAGAAGTCGGCAAAGTAGTAGATCAGACCTATTCTGTGCAAAAGTATCGCACAACTCGTAGTAATCGCAGTCAAGCATTACAAATCTCCTTCTCAACCTAAATCCGCATTACAAATTCCATTCTTCATGCTGAGGGATTTTGTCATGCGATTTCTACTAGTACGGTACTTTTGCAGTCCATAAGGCCGAAAAGTAGTCCATTCAGAACCAGCGATAGCGCTATGGCCACCTGCCGGACGGCGCTGAAAAGCCGCACTGTGGACACCATGGGTAGTTGAAGTTCAAGTTTTGCGGAAAATCAAATATAGGCTAGCATATGCTTATCCTGCTATTCGTTTGCGCACGCGCCAATCATTCAAATCTAGAAATTTGGCACTTTTGCTGCGCCCACGTTATACTCCAATCAGGCAGATCTATGCTAGAAATTCAGACCTCTTGCGGTACTTTCAAGCTGCAATACTTCTACTTCATTTGTGGAGTATTATCTTCCCTCCCACTCTGGACAAAATGCACTCGGTGAAGCACCACATACTCACGACTCCGCCTTCTCTCGGCGCACAGAGAGCATGAAAACGAAAATGAGCGTATAGATACGTAAGCAATTTTCAATAAATATGACCACAAAATAGCACTATCGATCGGAACGTTCTGTGCCCCATCTGGCTCTAGTGAGAGCTTAACTAGAAATGCTCCCACCTCCCACTCATGCCGCCGGAGCACAAAGTCACAAAATGAACACCAATCATGGCGCAAATTCGCACTCGCCACTCCAGATGCATGCGATTGCGTCCTCCGGCGGGACGGAACGAAGCAGGCGGCAGTTAACGGCTCCGCGGGCCGGGGCAACAGCGTCACGAAACAACAAAAAGCGGATCTGGACGCAGCTCGCTACACCGTTCCAGGCGAGGTCCGGCGGCCCCAAGGGGGACGCAGACTAGCGAGGCACTGGCCAGAAACGAAAGGCCCGCCCGGGAGGTGCTATACTTCCATGGCGGCCAGGGGGGGGGGCGCTATACTTCCAAATAACTTGATCCAGGGGAAGTAGCGCCGCAAATTACAACCACGCGGGCCGTCCCGAATAGCGCGCGCGGAGCCTAGGCCGGGCGTCGGAGCCGGCCTGCTTTTTTCTGGGCACGAGAGCACAATCTTGGCGACGTAGCCCACCATCGCTTCTGGAAAGCCTGCGCCGTGCCGAAGCGAAAGGCCAGGGCCCGCGCAGCGCCCCCTGAATCCCCGACTTCGTAAAAATCGCCGTCCCGAGTATGCGTTGCAACAACATCGCGCTCTTACCTTAGGAATGGTAGTCATGCATGACAGATCTATCTTTTCTTTGCGCGCCAACCTCCAGCATTACAAATTCCATTTTCCATTTTTCATGCTGGTCAAATTTGGGATGCGATTTCAAACGCGGCGATGCTTTTGCAGTCGATACCGAAGACCGCCACGCGGCTCACCCCGCGCGCCGCGTAGAGCTTTTTGTTCCCGAACACCGCGCGGGCTCCGGATTTTTTTGCCGCAGTACTGTATGCAGCAGAAATAAAGCTGTGTACGCGTAATGCCGTTCTCATGTTATGCGTGGAGCAACACCCTGTTCTTTCCACCTGTAGCTGTAACATGGTGAGGCAGCTTCTAGCTGTATTTGTTTCATGGGTGATTTGGTGTTCTTTTTCAGTTTCATGGATACGAAAGGCCTATACAAATAGTTGAGAAATTACGCGCGGGCCAGCTTTTCTGTCGGATATGTGGTCCTCCACAGACAGGGCCGCGTCCGCCACAGACAGTGCAACACCCCGACATCGTTCAACACGTGGCCGAGCAACGTGCTGCAAGACGGCGCGCTCCCGGGCAGGCGGTGGCCGCCCGGTCGGCTAGCGTTGTGCGTTGTTGAGCGTACAACCCCGCAACAGCAGCTCGAAGCTTATCTGAGTGGAAGGCTCCTAAGACTTCACTCCTCATCGTGTAATGCTAATGCAGCGTGTGTGTGTCTATTTCGAATATACGAATATGTATATGAGAAGTGGCCACTTTGTCAGTATCTCGGGAACCACAGGCAGTGCCAAATACATTTCAATTTCTCTCAATGACGATTTACGCTTACACTCCTTTCACGGATTCCTGACGCTCCTTTCTCGTTCTCGATTTTATCAAGCACATCATTGGTGAGCATGCATACTCTTACGCAAAGCAAAGCAAGAAACGAACGGAATATATCTTACGAAGCCCCTTCTGCTCGTCTAGATTGAAGTTGAACATGTTGTGCATGAAGCAAAGACCGAAGATGACGAACACGATTCTGCTGTCGTCGAAAGACAAAGAAGAAGAACAATCAGCCTAAAAAAATAAGACTCATTGGAATCCAGTTTCCGCTGACTTTAGTCCTCTCACGTTAATATTTTCATTACAGAGTGCTTCTTGTCTCGCAGCGACAGCAATACATACTTATTCGCTCTCGCATTTTCACCGTAGAGCCACCCGACTGCTGTGTCGTCACGATCGCTGTGAGCAATTCAGAGAAAGTCTGTGACCGCGGTGCGTAGCTCAGAAAATTGTAATGAGATTTTCCATCACGACGTTCTCAACTCTTCACAACATTTTTCCGCCCCACCGCCACTGCACCGACCTTTTGTCGCATGTCCTTCTTTCTCGATTCCGCCAAATTTTCGACCGCTGATTCCGGGATTTTCAAGTCTTGCGTCAAAAATTCGTAGCAATCCACGTCGTAAAAACCCTGTAGGAGGATCTCAAAGGGAACCGTCGGCGCGTCTTTTGCCATGATCACTTGCCCGCTCGTGGACTTCAGCACGTGCTGTTTCAAATGCGCCAGCACCTTGTCGAGATCCAGGTAATATGCATTGCAAATGTGTCTGGCTCTGGCACCTAGCATGCTAGTTTGTGTGAAAAGGAGGCACACTTCAAGATGACGCAGCCACGCATGACAAGTTTCTGGGCTCCTGGCTGTGTGTTTGTTCCCTTTCCGCATGACAAACTGTATTTTTGCATGACAGCCATAACTATTTTTTCCTGGTACGCATTACAAATTCAACCCTTTGCTCGCTTCTTATGGCGCGCGCATTACAAACTTAAGAGTCAGATGAGGCAAGCATAACAAACTCAGATTCTTCTAGACCCAAACATATTTTTTGCATCCGATAGGTAATACTTCGACAGGCCCTGGATGAGGGTGCAATTGTGGTTCATCCGCTTCTCCGTGCGGACCTGAATCTTCGGGAGCTTTCCGTTTTTGTAGGCGATTTGAAGTTGGTCCCTCGCCGAGGTTTGCACTGGATATGGGAATGAAAAGATTTTTCGAAAAGGCTACATCAACAAGGTAGCACTACTTCCACACGAGTTTGTATTGATGTGCAACTCACATGTAAGACTACCGCTACTCAGCTTATGATTACTTACTCGTGACGAAAAGGGTGCACTACGACTCTTGATTTTTCAGTACAGTGTAAGAGACATCAAAACTAGTAAATTCTGCCATGAGCAATCCTTTCCAAACTCTTTCTCATTCCATATCAGCGGCATCGTCACAATGCGGTGGTGCTTCTCCCCGGAAACGCAGTTCTCCCAGAGTAATCGCGAGAAGGATTCGAACGTCAGTGAAGAGACATCCGTATGCATCGCAAATAGGTCTCGGCCTGGAAGAGTCCGAGTTTGTCATGCTAAATCTTGTCGACACAAAAATCTGTATTGCGTGACCAGGAAAAGTCATATACTTTTGGTTTCCGGAAGGTGGCATTTCTCATCCGGATTCGGCATTGCGAAGCATTCTGGAAACTTGTGATGCTAGACGCGACATTCCAGACCTTTTGGGTCATGCAAAAGCTGCATGACAGAGCTTGCATCTTCCAGACCCAGACACATTTGCAGTTGATAAACTGGCGCGGGCGGCTGTCCTCGGGGGCTAGTAGATTCTCGTTTCTGCGGCTCAAATTTTTGTTTCCCTGGAAGCGCGGCTGGCCCTCGTCCTTTCATGGCTTTCTGATCGCCCCCTGCTTCGAGTGTCGGAAATGCGTCCAAATCCTCCTCGTCAAAGACGAAATCCTGTTGCGCCACAAGCTTAGCTGCGTTTGATTGAAGATAATTGCCCGAGGTGGACCCACCACCGACGTTGCTGCTTGTCGCACCGCTTTGCTTCTTAGTATTGCTCGCAGCCATGTAGCCGGAGACGGAGTCTCGTAATCGTGGCACTATGCACTGCAAAAGCATCGCACTAGTATAAATTGCATTACAAATTTTGGCAAGAAGAGAAGTAGAATTTGTATATGCTGTTTCACCTTAGGAAAAAGATTTCTCATGCATATCTGCAATTATTACGAGTACGATACTTTTGCACAGGATAGGCACCGTGCTCAGGTTCAGCATTTTCTTGCTCGTGGAGAGGTTCTTTTGTTCGCAAAACCGCTTTATCAAATGTAAAAATGTCTGGGTCTGGAAGAGTTCATGTTTGTCATGCTTTTCTGACATGACTCTTTAAATCTGTCACGCACGTTACCCAAGAGCTCCGCTTTTCTGTGATGCAGAAGCGCAGTTTGTCATGCAAAATAGGCAACACCTAGGAGCTCAGAAACTTATCATGCTGAGCCAGCATCTGTAGCCTCATCATGAGATGACGCCATCCAGCATCACAAGTTTCCAGACCCAGACATTTTTACTTTTGATACGCTTCAAGATTTGCTGGAAGTCCGACTTTTGCTTCACATAGTGGCTTGTGTTGCTGGAGGTGCTCGGGGTAGTCGTGTTTTTCAAAATGAGATCCTCTTCTTCCCGCCCGCAGGCGGTTGCAATTTCGGCAATGACGAACTCGCCAACACTGCTCGGAACACGAAACACCTCTTCGTACTGAATGAATTGACACACCCCGAGTTTGCTATTCGTGACGGCGAGACTGGCAAACAGTTGGCCGGGTGACAGGTTTCTCAGGTTTGTAGGTGCGGTAGAAGACGATGAGTTCGACGCTCCAGGGAATAAAGCACCACCTGGCACTTCGTCCGACGAAAGCTTTTCGTGCAACGCGTGATCCTTCACCGCAGGGTGCTTGAAGTTGAACTTCAGTATGGCGTTCTCAAGCGTTACATTCTCAACTGTAGTTACATGGATTTGCAATGCAAGAACAGCAATAGTAAAAGTGGCAATATTGCAGCTTTCGCATCACAGATTTGCCACATTTTATCATGCTGTTTAGCCATTCGAAAATTTGTCATGCTACGGACCTTGATCAAGTGGAGGCTGGTGGCAACTTTGCATGGCAAATCCGTGTAACAGTTGAGAATGTAACAATTGAGAATGCCATACTCAGAGCCTTCGTCTTGTCCTTGTTAAAGCTGATCAGATTTTCGTACTCCGCATCTAATTTCTCAAAAAAAGGCTTGAGTTTTTTCCCGGAGCTCTTTTTCACGTCAACGCTTGTGTTGTTCGGGCGGTTTGGGCGGAGGAAGTTGGCGTAGAAGGTGTTCTATCAAATGCAAATATGTCGTCTGGGTCTGGAAAGTGTCATGCGCGTTTTGCTTTTGTATGACCCATGATGTCTGTGATGCATGCCCCAGCATCACAGATAGATTTTCTGACTGTCTCTTGATGCCTATCCAGCATGACACATGCTTTCTCCGCACTGCAAAAACGCGGAATACTCTTGCTATTGAGGCAATACAGATTTTTTTGGATTCCAAAACTAGCATTACAGATTCCATTCTTCCAGACGCAGACACATTTGCATTTGATATGTTCAGGTCGATGGGAAGTTGTTTTTCTATCTGCGGCTGCTGAAGTTTTAAGGCCTGAAGGAAGGACTTGGTCAGCAGCTGATCCATTTCTGGTGCTGAAACTGGTGCTTCATCACTGTCTTTTTCTCCGCCATAGTCGTTTATGTTCTCGTTCCCAGCTTTATTTTCACCCCTCGGCGTGTTGGAGTTGCTGCGTGAAGCACCACTCTTACTCGTGCCGGAAGTTAGCACGACTTGGTCGTTTTGCAACTGCGGAGCAGCTGCTGTCTTCAATTTGTTTTTCTTGCTACCCGGGGTTGTTCCTGATTGCTTTGCCTGCATTTCCAGCCGCCGTTGCTCCCGCTTGGACAGTTGTGGTTGGTCTTCAGTGGCACTGTCACTGCAGCTGTCGACCTGTCGATCTCCAGCGCCGCCGTCCGCGTCGTGATCGGTCGGTCCGCCTACGGTAGACGCTTTGTTTTTACCGTCTTCATCATCATCGTCTTCTTCAGGCTGGCTTCCTGCGGCTCTTCCCGGAGAAGAGACAACAGGAGATGTTCGTGCGTTCTCCTTACTAGGAGCACTATCGACTTTTTGATCGTCCACTCCATCCTCGCCATCAGTCTTTCGTCCCGCCACCTTGCTAAAAATCGCATCTACTCGATCGTTCGAAAATCCGGGCGGGGAGAGCCAATTCTTCGGAAATTTTTGCCACAAACAGTCGCCAAACCGGTGCAGGATCTTGACTGCAGTCCCCGCCTTCAAGGCATCGAAATCCAAGTGAGTGTTGTTCCCGGCTGCACCTGCTCCCGGAGAAGAAATGCCTTTCTTTAAAACTTCCAGCTGCCAGACCCCAACTGCAATTGCGAACGGGTTACCCTCGACTTTAATCTCCACCAAGCTGCCTTTTTTGACCGCCCCGGCTGACAGGAGTTGTTTCTGGTTTTCAAAAGTTGTCTCCGGGTAGAAACACAGCTGCGGCTTGTTCACGCACAGGCCTGGGGCGAAGACGTCCGAACCCTTGAGGATAAAATGCGACACATCGTCTAGAATGAATATGGTAGGAAGAAATGCGTCTGCGGGTACTTGCAATTGATCAGCGCCCACCGGTGGCGCGCGAAGATTCGCAGTACTGAATTTTCTCCATTCAGCATGCGCTGGCGATTCCACGTGTCTCCACAGTGTGAAAAGCGTAGGAAAGAAAAAGTTGTTAAAACCCAGTTTCGGTTTGTAATTCAACTCGACATTGACGCCTTTCGCGTCCAGTGGCACGATGTACAAGTACTCCTGTTCGTTCTGGTCGTTACATGTTGTCAAAAACCCGAAATTCGAGCTGCCTGGAAGCTGATCCGGTGCCGCAATGTTCTGCGTTTTTAAAATCAGTTGCGTTTTCTTGTTTTTGATGGAGGCTGTATCAGCCGGGTAGTGCTGCTTCAGGAAATCAGCGATTTGTTTCGTTTCCTTGCCCCCGTAAATCTTCTCCTTGGTCGCACCATCGATGCTGGCAGCTTTTTTGAAGAGGTTCGACATGATTTGATTTTATCGTCGGTGGAGTGCGGGGCAGTTGGAGTTGCAATTGGATTTTTTTTACATGACAAGATTTAGATTACTTCTATACTGCTGTGTAAAATCTTCAAAATAGCCTTTTGAGTAGATCACAATCAGTTTCAGATTACTATTATACCGAAAAAAACAATAATTTTCTGAATAAATCATGAAACATACTGGCGATCATAGCCTACGAACTAAAAAGCTACCAGGAGCATCATGCTCGTATATTGAGCAGTTTGAAACAGAACTCGAAAAATACAAACGCTGTTTTTCATGTGAACAACAAAACAGTCACGAGATGAAACATCTCGATGATGGGAAGGCCCACCCGCTGCTGGAGGCACCATGACCTTCAGGCGCCCGCCACCAGGACTAGCTGTATATCAAAAAGAGCTCGGATCCTTCGTTCAAAAATAAGGCTGTTTTCGATTTTCTGCGTTTTTTTTCCGTACAGCAACAACCCTTGCCTTCAATTATTTCCTCAAACTGGAAGAAGTAGAAACATTGTTCATCTGTAAAGTTTCATTTAGTTGAGTCGAAGTTGTCGGAGCATTTCATTATCGGAGGAGACTTGAAAATCGAGGCTAAGTTCAAACAAGGGAGTAAATAGCATCATACTGAAACTGTAGCTTGTTCCGTCTTTTTCTATATGCACCTGCAGGCGCGTTCTTGTAGCAAAATCTGTATTCTTTGTTTTCTTCTTTCTATCTTACAGGTTGAATTTCAACATTTGTTTCTAGTAGTAGTTCTGATGTGTCAAAGGAGCAAAATTTCAAATATTACTCTTTTATTTCAAATTCAAAATGGAAAAAATTCTGCTGTGCACCATTATTGCTTCAACCACGGCCCCAGTTACAACTTACACCTCGTCAACAGAAGTTCAACATCCTTTTTTTCAGAAGAGAATGCCTCCACCTAGCTGTTGTTCCTCACACTGTAGAAAGCATCGTCTGGTGGGTTGAGTTCCGTCCTGTTGTTGGTTTTGCGATTCGCTCGTTCTAGGCCGGGAAGATGAGTGGGCGGGAACTTATTCTGTGTTATGCAGCAACAAAAAAATACACGTTGATCACAACGATGTCATTCTCATTTTTGAGTTCTCATGCTCGGTATCAAAATGCCTTGACCACTTTCTCATTCTTGCTCAAATTATGTGGCCTTGCTGACGTCGATTAGGCTCGCAGGTCGAGCTGCGCAGGGCAGAGAAGTCAGAATCTCCCGATTACAGAAGATCCCCATGATGTCTACACGCGAAAAGCTAAAGCAGCAGATGCAGAATCAACACGTTATGTCATAAAAATTATGTCGTTGCAGCTATCAAGTATCTTTTGTTTCACCCTCCATACTGTCGTTGTATCGCTCTTCGAGTGAAGCTGCTCTATCAAATGTAAAAGTGTCTGGGTCTGGAAGAATGCAAGTTTGTCATGCTTGTCTCGCGTGACTCTGGAATCTGTCATGCGTGAGCAGGTGGTACCTATGAGAGCACCCTACTTTCGATCTCCAGGCCTTTCATGCCGTGATGGTCTTGCGGCCCTGTTCTTGATCTTGTTGGGACCCCGTGCGGCGGAAGGTTGCCCAGCACCACAGACTTTGCGCCCTCGCTATTTAGTAAGCTTTTCTACATATTATGTCGTCGCACTTCGTACGCGGAACTTCGTATGCAAGTGGTCACATGATGACGCGTTTTTTGTTGGTCGTCGACTGTACTCTTTTTTCGTTGACGCTAGCAAGATGTAAGAACTCGCCCTCACGTCTGACTTGCAACATTTTTTTAGTATTTTTACTCGTCGAAATTCGTAAAATAAAACTTCGTATGCAGCTGATACATGATGATAAGTTTGCTGCCTTATGCTGTGCTCCTTTTCTTTGGCGCTAGCAAGGCAATAAGATTTCAATCTCATGTCTGATCGGTAAGATGCTCTTCATCTTTTAAGTATTTTTAAGTGCGACAACATGATATTTGTAAGCTTATCGGCCGTCGTGCCACCGGGACGTCCTGCCCGTAGACCACCAATGTCATGCGTGAGCAGGAGAGTAGCCTCTCACCTGTCATGCAACAACGCAGTTTGTCATGCGGGAAGCGAAACACATAGGAGCTCAGAAACTTGTCATGCGTGGCTGCGTAACGCAGTGCGCTTACCATGCACAAACTAGCATCACAAGTTTCCAGACCCAGACATTTTTGCATTTCATATGCTCCCTCCCAGAACCATTCGGTCTTCAATTCGCCGTGTTCGTAAAACGCGAAGCAGATGCGGTACACTTCCCGTACGGTTATCCTGTGTCACAACATCCCCGGCCCATAGATAGTAGTCACGAGTATAAGTTTTGGTCGTCGAGCATGACACATTTGGGCTTGCGGTCTGGGGCCGTCGAATCAAAATCGACGTGTGCTTTATCCTGATTCGGGTTCCAGCATGACAAACTCTCAAATATTGATAGTCGAAAGTCAAATTCAGAACGTTCCTCATGGGGCTGGGCATCAGAAGCATTTTATCCTTGCGGATTTGCATGGCAAAACTGGGCTGGGGCAGTTTTCACACAGGATACCGTTGCACTCGGCCTCCCCCGGCGGTGTGAAGATGTACTCGGTGTACGCAAACCCTTCTGGAGCACCCCGTCGCCAGGTCCCGAAAAACTGGTACCACAGGCCTTCCTCGTCCGGGAGCCAGACATAACTCCCCCACCCGTTCCGAGTCTATGAGAGACAAAAACCGCACAGCTGCCATTGATTTGAAACTGCAAACAAAAATCCCTTGTTTTCGCTTCATTCTTCGGAAAGCATGCAGCATGACCGTAAAAGTATCTTCACAAGGCTGAGAATGCAAGACTTCGTGCTTGGAGGAGTATAAGTCTGCATTGCGTTTTTGATTGTGCGGGAAGTGCTGTCAGCACACAACTACCTATTTTTGTAATGCACAAGAATAAATGGCGACCCAGTTTTGTGTACCATATCACCCCATCTTTGAACTCCCCTTGGAAGTAGTCACCCCTTTCGTCCGTAGAGCTTTATGATTGCAAAAACATCTTTTCAAGAACGCATAGCGCATAGCACATTCTGAATAGATCACTGGCGTTGCTCGTCTCCTCGTCTAGATATCAACTACATTACCGTGGTGGAAGCCGAAGGACGAAAGCAAAAGTAGTCGTAATTGCGTATTTATGCTCAGTCATATGGTCATGCGTAGTGGGCAGCCTTCTGACGTCGTTTTGCAATTTCATAAAGTGCCGTAACCATGTGGAATCGGTTTCTCCAAATCGTCAAACAGATTTTTCTTGGCCGACCCCTGTATTAGTATTTGTGTGTGTTGATTCAGGTTATTTAATATTTTTATGTTTTTTTATTTTCGCATGACAAAGACAATCATCATCATGATCCTGGACCACGGGAAGATAAAATCAAAAGCATTCGTACAGTGTAGTGATAGCCCTCAACAGGGTCGTAAAAAGACGCCGAGATATGGCCTGGCCAGGTGGAACAGCATCTTCAGCTGGAGAAGTATTGGATGACCACTTGTGATATTGATGAATACGCCGTGTGGTCCATCCTAGTTCGCTCAGCATGACAAACATCTATACACTCAGCATGACAATCCATCGGAAGCGAGAACCGCACTGGAATCCGACGTGTCGTTCATACGAAGCTGCAGGATGTGGACTTACAACAGCTATACTTAGTGCCAGGTGTAACTTTTGTTATTATTACAAATTTAGGAATAAAAAAAACCGTGTTGCTCCACCAGTTGCGACTGTTCTATCTGAGCAGGCCATATTGGAACACTGGTTCGCGTTCGTCCACTCCGCTGGCCCTTTGCTCTCCGCCGGAACAAACCGGGTCCTCGGATTTGGCGCCTGGTCTGTTGGTGCTGCGGCCGGTGGTGTTCGTGATTCGATTTGTCAAAGGAGGAAAGGATTCCGGAGACGGTGGTGCCAAAATATGGTCTATGGCGTTCTCAAACGTTAATACATTCTCAGCTGCTACATGAATTTGTCATGCAAAAACACCTTAAGCCGGTAGATGATCGAGCTGCTTCGCATGACAAATTTCGGAAGGGCGAGACAGTGTCAAAATCTGCGCCAAACTTGTAATGCAAAAGGCGCAATCTTGCTTCTTTCACTTTTGCCAGTCATGCATTACAAATTCATGTAACCGTTGAGAATGTACTTAACATTTGAGAACTCCATATGGTCACGGTAATAGTTCTGCAGGAGTTGCTGGTCCAATGGCGAAGACGCGATCTCCGGAGGCTCTTCCAGGATCGGTGACGGAAGCGCTCGGAACTGGATTCTCCCCTGCTCCAGCAGGTGGTGGTGCCAAGCGGCAGTCCACTGCTGCGGCGCGTACAGCACTACAGGTGATGGTGGCTTCTGTTCATGTTCGTGCAGCACTGCGGCAGACGAGGAGAAGGAGGACTCGTCCACCATAACGGGAAGGTATCATGCGCAAAAAAAGGATCGCACGCACGGCTGCAGGTTTTCGTTCCACTGACATCACAAAATCTGTATCTATCAATTTTCGTACACAGACACATCAAATCGCCCCAAGGCAGGAGAGCGTATGCATACCCGGAGTCAGAACTTCCACGTACTGGGTTTGGTATCCATATCCAAGTTCTTGCAGGAATGAGTGCGATCATACTTGTTTTCATCGTGCATACAGAATCCGCCTGCAGGAAGCGCTCCGAAGCCGACATGCTGTACACCTCCGGGCTGTTGAGCAGGTTGAGGTTCGTTCCTGTCTCCGGTTCACGTTCTCCATCTACGGGGTCTTCCTGGTCGCCGATTGGATTTAGGTGACTGCTGGTCAATACCACCGGCGTCGTTTCCCCGGGCGCTCCGCTCCTAAAACGAAAACTCACCTCGCCGAATGCGTTGTCGGAGGACCTACTTCTACTACTCCCGGTTATACTCGCAGCAGAAAATTATGGTTGTGCACAACTTTCCCTCCACCTTATATATTTGTCATGCGAAATCCCAAATCCAGCTATTCCTTCTTGGCACTGTTTGCATCACAGATTTCACATCGAGCCCAGACGAGGTAGGGGCAACACTCGGCGCATCAAGTTGTCATGCACGGGCTCCAGCACGTGCGCTGCTCCTGATGTTTGTGTTCATACAAATCAGAAGGAGGGGGAGTTGTGCGGTGGCATAAATTCACAGATTCGATTTCCCTGTGCGCATGTGCAGTGGCAGGTGGCGAACAAGACGAAGAGGCGATGACTTTGGTGGGAGACGGAGGCTGGTGTTGTAGTTGTTTCGATACTGCCCCTGCCGGCGGAAAACTGCAATCGGATGGACATATCACAAGAAAAAGCGTAAACGTTGTACGATTTTCTTCACTACGGATAGCATTCATGCGTCACAAACTAAGCCGAAGGAAGGTGTATGCTCTGCATGACAAATTGAAATTTGGATACGTTTTCGTTTTGTGAATGTGATCCAGTGCTGCGTCACAAATTCATCCTTGTAACGTTTTTCCTTTTTCTTGTGATATGACACGACTTTTCCTCGTCACGCACCAGCTCGCGTTGCAGATGAAAGGAGGACACAGGTTCTAGACCCTTTTCTTCTGCTCCATCTTGGTCCTCGTCCTGTTTTGTGGATTACAGGCTAATGATATATCAAAGCATGACTGATGCCGCCGGTGCGGTTGTCCGCATCATTTCGATTTCCGGCAAATTTGCATGACAAGTTCCTCTTACCCCGCCTGTCTGGTGACAGCTTTTGCTCGTAGTGCTATATTCACTACATATTGTCAACACAAGTACTATACCGGAACGCTCGACGTAGCAACCCGCCTTGCGCGTTCTTGGGCATCGAGCCGCATCAGCTCGAAATAGTCTGCTGCTCTGCTCTTGCGGCGACGCAACATTTTCAATGATGACACTGGGTTGGTAGACTTAGAGGAAAGCGAGGCACGAACGGGCGAGATTGGTCTTCAGAAATTTTCTAGACCACGACGAGATGATTGTCTTCAGCACACACGATTTTTATAACTCAGAAATGTAGGATGTGCTAGACAAACTACCATTTCCTCTTCAACATCATGCTTGCCCTTGCGCGCACACATCAGCGATGCTCAAATATCGCTATTTTCCAAAATTCTCTAGGCGATTATATTTATATTCGAATCACTAAACCGTTGTTTTTCAGTTTTTACAATTCTCAGGCTCTCCTGCTCGCGCACACCAAGTTTCTCCTCTTTCAGTTTCTGGGCCCTTAATCTACTCCGCCGAAATGGAAACACAACTCGCGCTCATACGACGTCTGTCCCGTTGGTTCGACGCCTCTTATTAAGGTAAGTACAAGTAAATCTCAATGGCTTTGTCGAAAAATAAAGCCGACGAGGACAAAGCCCAGTACTAGGGAAGAACATATACTACTAGACAGATTCTACATGCCTGGATAACTTGTACAGCCAGGTCGCGGCAGGTGATGCGCATATTAACTGAAACTGTCCTCAAGTTCAACATCAAAGTCAAGATCAACTGCATGTCTGTTTTCTCCCTCCTTTCTCATCCTGCACCTAGCCAGCCGTGGCGTAGTAACAAGACGAGTAAAAGAGCGCCTTTGCAGCTCTGTCCTTCATCCAGACAACTACACGCGATTTCAGGTGGTTGTGCATAAAAGGAAAGCGGTTGCTCTGCTCCAGTTCGTCCTTCTATTTCTCGTTTGGACTGCTTCGCAACAGTCTTTCTAAACGAGCAGCAAAAGCGAGTTATAATCTCAGGCGAGACCAAAGAAGTAGAGGTACTAGTTCAAAGCTCACGTACAAAAAACCGCGCAGGATCCGACTGCTTCCACGGGAGACGCGGCACAGATTGCGGCGTTTCGAGTTAATAATTTTTTTTTTACTACAGCTGTACAAAAACCAAAAGTCAAAATTTTCATCGTTCCGCGACTACATCGTTTCGGTAATCCGGACACCAGTGTCGGCGGCAGTTGTGAAGCGCAGCGTTTTTACTTGCTTGGGTACTATTGTTGGTCCAGTATCAAATATCGGTCTGTACATTCATCTTCCTGGCAGAGTTTTGCTCCACATATAAATATTTTGTAGTCTGTTCTAGTTTGGTTTCAGGTGTACTCATTGGGGAGCGCACCTTAGAAAGTCAAGTTTGCTCTGTAATTCACGAGTGAGGCGCGACTTTGAAAGAACCATCATTGTAGTTCGGCCTTCATTGGCATTTTGTTAAATTTGATTAATTTACATTTGGGAAAATTTATCTTAATCTTCATCTCGTTGCGCCTGGTTGTACTTTCGATAAATATATTCCAGTATCGGTTACTTTATAAAGTTGCAATGATATTCTGGTCTGTCGGAATCATACACAATACTGCTGTTCATCCCCACCTCTTCTCCACCTTGTTCTCCTCTTGTCCGCTACATGGTCCTTGCGAGCCTCCCCGCGTTCGCGACCTCCCCGACACTGACTCCAGTTTCGTGCATCGGGTTACGGGCTTGCCTCGTCCTGCGCTCGCCACTACGGGAACCACGTCTCTTGACAGACCTATCACTTGCAAAAAATGTTGTGCGGGTAAGGGGTCGTGCGCTCTCAACAATGCATGACAATCACAATCTGTGCATTTGCATGACAAACAGGTACTGTTTCGTTGTCTCGGCTCGTGGAAGTAAGTATGCAATACAAATTCTAAAAAATGCTGAAAAAGTAGCTACGTCGTATGAAATGTCAGTATCACGATCACCTTCACCATGCAACAAGCCATGCATTACAGATGCACTTTCCAGAGCCGCGACATGTGGTCTGCAGTTGCAGTTGATAGGGCGACCTGTTGGAGTACCACTCTGAGAAGGAGTACAGCGGTTTCTTCTGCAGTTCCTCCAGCGCTCTGTCAGCCGCGTGATGGCGGTACTTCGGCCCACAGCAGGGTGCTATCAAAGAAAAACCTGGCGCAAACAAGTCCAACACGGCTGTCCTGCGCCTCCGTGATAGATGTTTTCGGCCTATAATTTCATCACGGGGGTTGATCTACACTCGTTGTGCATCTTTTTTCTAAGTACAAAGGGGGCCGAAGTGCCTCTGAGTGGGCTTCTCCACCAGCCAGGGCGTGGCATACGCATGAGAGAGTCATAACCAAACTTGTCAAGGACTTGGACTCTGTGCGACCAGTTTTTCTTTGCATAGTCTCCGGCTTCGTCTGGGTCTCCAACTGCTTCCGCAACATCTCCACCTTTTCCCGCTTCTCCTGTACGCACCGCCGCGCCCAGTTTCGCAGCACAATCATCGCGTAATTCTCGCGGATGAACGCCTGGGCCTCCTCCGCAGACATCGCTCCCCGCAGCGCTGCTGCCGCAACCGCCCGCTGGTGCTGTGATTTGTATTTTTTTTGGGTTGTAGTTTACATTACTCCCACTTCTCATACATCGTTTCAAAGAGCTATCAACGCTTACGCATGTTGACAGCGCGTCCAATTCTCAGAAGAAACTGTCGCACAACATCTCCTTTCACACATGAAGATGCGTCTGTAGCCAAATAAACTGTACCCTTTTCTTCCTTTGTTCCAGGAGTTTCACTTGCGACCGCGTCGGTGGAAGTGGCGGCTTCACCGAACCCACCCTCGCGCTCGGTGTTCCCGTCGGCGGCGGAGGCTTCGCAGGCACTTTTGGTTTGCTGGCGAACACTGGGCTGCTGCAGATGTTCTCAGTTTCGTGGAGGAACACCGGACTCGTGCACGTGTGCCAGCTTGTCGTTGATCCGGTGCCGTCGCTGTCCACCTCGGGATCGCTGGGTACCGCCACACGGGTTCTGCCGCCGAAGGCAGAATTTGGCTCCTCGTTCACGTTCGTCACCTCCATCTCGGGATTGTTAATACCGCCAGATGAAGCGCCATCAGTTTCTTCTGTATTATTTTTCGACGTATCCAGTTCAAATATGTCTGGGTCTGGAAAGTTACAAGACTTGCCAAGCAGATTTCCCATGAGCCCTGAGGTCTGGAATGCAGGATCTAGCATGACAGTCTGTGAAATCTCCATCAGGCTTATCCTGGATGACAGACCTCATCTCAATTCGTTGAAACGTAGACAACTTGTTTTGGTAATCATGCGAGTACAGATTTTCAAGAAGTAATACACGATCTAGGCTTGTTACGTGCCAAATCATACACTTCCAGACTCAGACATATTTGCAATGCATAGGGGGTTGCTGTTGCTCCGCCACGTGTTCTGCTTTCATCGCCACCAGCGGGCTCTTCATCTTTCGCCCAGGCCAACTCCGCGGGTGGGTTTGCGCTGTAGTTGCTACCACTAGCCGGCTCTTCTTTTGTCGAGGCCAACTCCGCGGGGGGATTTGTGCTGTTGCTGCCACCAGCCGTTTATGCATTGCAAAAGCATCGTATTCGTACTAGTATATTATAAATTGCATGACAAATTTGCTCAGCATGAGAAATTAAATTTGTCATGCTGTTTTACCTTGGAAAGG